ATACTTAGAGGATTAATAATATTTTTTCTAAAAAATAAAACTTAAATTTAAAATACCTAATTTCAAATTACACTAAATATGAAATATTTTTATAATCTTGTTGAGTTACAATATGAAAGTTTTATAATTGTATATAAATGAAAAATTGAAAAATTTAAAAGCCTTCTTCTAATTGTAATTAATTAAAAAGAATAGGATTTCTGGATATAATTTGAAAGATATTATTTCAGCATTTATAATTAATTAATAAAATAATTTAAAAAAGACATTTCAAATTTCAGATTAGCTGGATGATTTATCATATGGATTTTCGATTTAAAATATTTAATTTAATAAAGGAAATTTTTGTTTTATTTTTTTAGAAAAATAATATTTTTCTTATTAATTTATTGATTGTAAAGGATTTTTGTAAATAATATCCTGGAATCATTAATTTTTTAAATATTTCTTTAAAATAACTTAATCGTAACTTACTTGAGAATTTAATGAGATGATAATAAAATAATTTTTAAAGAAACTGCAAATTTTGTAATTGTTGATAATAAGGTTACCGCAAATTTGACACTTACTTAAATAGAGTAAAAATACCAAATAAATTTATAATCAATAAAAGCTAGATATATTTTATTAAGCCAAAAATAAATTTATAATCATATCAAAATTATTAATAAAGATATGAATGGTACAGTGAGGATCTATTAAATATCAGTATCATTGGTGCTGTTATTAGTAGGGTTATTTTCCTTCTTTCCACAAGATAAGCATTTATTATTTGTGGTACTCCAAGTATAAGTGTAATCAGTTAATTTAAAACATTCATTAGCTTGAAAATTTTCAGGTTCTTCCTTTCTACAAATTTTATCTATCATTTTGCAAAATATTTTCTATTTCGAATTCATAATCTCAAAGCTATGACAATCTTTATGATACTATTAATAAGTAGCGCATGTGTGTTGCAAGCATTCACCACTAATTGAGTCATTATTCTCTTTCCAAAAACATTGATATTTGGCATTAAGGCAAGCAAGTTTATCATTATTTGCTTACTGACAATTTACCATTTTAGAGCAAATACTTCCCTATTAGGATGAATTTTATTAGTTAAAAACACAAATACCATCTAATCCACCAGAATTACAAGCTATTTTTGATTCATAAGAAGTACAATTTGCCTTTTCTATGCAATCAGTTCCATTTGATGTGCAGAAAGATAATTCTTTCTAGCAAACATAAGTACTATTACCATTTTCAATATTTGAACATTTCTTTTTCTAACAATTTAAGTTTGAAACATCCCAAAAACAGGGAAAATTATTTTTACTAAGTGCTATTTTACAAGCATTTTTTGTTTTGTATGCCTAGCATTCTGAAATAGATAAACAATAATTTCCATTAGAAGTACAAGTTGATAATTTAGAATTACAAGCAGCATGAGTTTGACCTTTTATATCTTCGCAGATTTAATCTCTACATTTCTCTTCAGTAGAATTCCAAGTACAAAAGCCAGTTGAAATTATTGTTTCATTTACTTTTTTAGATCCTTTATCATTGATAATACATCCAGCTTTTGATTTATATAATGAACAAGAATTTAACAAAATACATTCAGTTTCACCATTAGTCGTGCAATTTTTGCTAGCTTTTTAACATTCAGAATGAGTTGTGTACAGAGCATCTGAACATTTAGTAAATGGTTTGCATATACTAGGAAGTGGTTAATTTAAGATTTGATTTGATCTAATACAAGGTCCATCAAATCCTGTTACACATCCTTAATCTTTAGTTTCTGAGCATGAAGTAATAGCAACACAATGTTCTCCATTTGTTGTACATTTATTGCTAATCCGCTTGCATTATTAATCATTATCCCAATTTATGCTTTAACATGAAGAGTATTAAAAGCAAGCACCTTAAGAATTTTCAGAATTTTTAATCCATAAACAAGGTCCATCTAAACCTTCAATACAAGCGTTAACAACAGTAGTTTCACTACAATATTTTATCCTAGCACATTTTCCATTTTCGCCTACTGTACAACCAAGTCTTCTAGCTTTACATTGATGATGAGTTATTCCTTCAAAATCTTAACAATCTTCTTCCAAACATATCATTAAATTATTATTCCAAGCACATTTTGTTCCATCCAAAGCATATGTACATGCCACATCGATTGAAACAGCGTTGCAAGTACTTTTGGATACACAACCTCCTCCCTTTTTAGTAGTACAACTTTATAAATAAGCATCACACTCACCTTCTGTCTTTAAAACTTTAGGAGCTGTTTCGCAGCTCCTATTAGTACAATACTCTTAATTTTATTGGCCTGATAACCATTCACATAACTCATTTTATGAGGAGGTAACACATCCAGATCTACTTAAAGCTTATAAACAAGTTTCTCTTAGAACACAAAATATTCCATTTGTGGTACAAGTTGGATCAATAGCTTAACATTTATCATCAGTTTTATAATCATAATCTTCACATACTTTAGTTCTACATTTATTCTTACTATATGCACATCCAGGAAAATAATTTTGGCAATCCTCATCTGTTTATATAGAATCCGGAGCATTTTCACAAGATCTACTTACACACTCTTTTCCTGTCCAAAAACAGGGATCTCCTCTTCTGCTAATTAAACACTATTTTTGTGTCATAATTTCACAAGATATTGGTATATCTATACATCCTTATCCAGTAAAAGAAACTGTACATTAATTAAATAAATAATTATTGCACTTATCATGACTATCATATTCTTGTGTGATAGGAGCAGTAGCACAAGATTTGTCAAAACATTAATTATTTTACCATACACATATATTGCCTGTAGAATTTATCTAACATTGTTCTTAATGAATATATTCATAACAATTTTTCGTTTTTATACAACCTCCAAGTATTATACTGTTATTTAATAAATTTGTAGCTGCATTAACTGTGCAATAAATATTTTTTGTTTAAAAATAGAAACTACAATCATTATGAGTTACTAGAGAGATTGGCGCTGTGTTACAAGATTTATCTAAACATTTTCCACTTAATTATTAAGCTTCCTTTCCCCAAACGCATTCTTCGAGATTCTGATTAATATAGCATTATTCTTCAGCTGAATATTAACTGCATTCCATTCTCCCTTAACATCCTTTCAGCAGAACTCCATTAAAAACTTTGACTGTACAAAGAAGTTTTGAATCAACAGAATTACATTCTTCATGTGTATCATAAAGTTCTGTACTCTCTATATTTAAACATAACATATCAACACAATTTTAATATGTTTTATTCCAAAAACATTTTCCCCCATTTTAATTAAAATAACATTACTTCTAATTTTTGTACTCTGCACATTAAGTTCTTATTTAACATGATCCTCTTTTATTTACAGTACATGTTTACAAAAATGATGAACACTCAAAATCATTATCATGAGTTACATCCATAGGAGCCGCTTCACATGTCTTCCTTACACAACGTAAATTTATTACTATACATTCACCTTTCTATGAATATAGACATTCAGAAGGTGCTTAAGTTTCACAATCTTCAGGCATAATTACACAACCACTATAATGTTTATTGACTGTACAATTATTGAGCCAATTATTACAATTTTAGTGATTAAATACTATATTTACAGCATTTGAGCATTCTTTTAAGACACATTTCTTTGCTTCACTAACTGTGCATCCATTTTTAAATAAATTACAATTATAACTATTATAATTTCCATCCCCTAATATAATTTATTCACAAGTTGAAGCACTTAAAGCATTGAAACAATTATTACTTGAATCAATTAAACATAATGTATTTTTTGATCTATAACAACTTTCCACTTGATTTTTATAATTGAAACATTCAATTTATTCTTCAACACATGCAGATCCATTTCGATTTACACTACATCCTTTATTATATGATTAACAAATTTCATATGTTATGCTTCCAGAGACTCCTTAAATTTTAACACAATCTTTTTCAACATTAATAATTGAAATACAACTTGAAGTTAATTTGTCAAAAAAACATTTTTAAGTGATAGTATTTGCACAATTTGTTAATGTTGCTGGATAATCTTCACATTTTGTTTTAAAATTTTAGCATCCTGTTCCATCCAATATTAAAGTGCAAGCAACATTAAACTCTTAACATATTTAATGATCAAGGTTCAATCCTTTTATTCCACCACAGTTAGTAGCCGATAAACTATTACAAGAATTTTCAAACCAAATACATGGAGTACCATTTTTTTGGGCTACACATTTATTTAGTTCTTTGTACTCTTTACAAGAAGATTTTAATTCTTAGCAAGCAGTACCATCTTTTAAAGATGTACAACCAGGATTATAAGTCGAACAAGTATTTTAATTTAAATTGATTCCCATAATTAATGAACATTCTTAACTGACATCTGTAACATTGATACATTTAGCTGGAGAAGTGAGAGAATTCCAAACACATCTATTAGCAGTTGGTGCTGCCTTTGAAAATGTACAAGTTGAATATGTTTGATATTAATTACAAGTACTTAACATTTCTTAACAAGCTGTTCCAAAAGCATTTATTGTGCAATCTGGATTATAAGAAGCACATTTATTATTATTTAAACTTGAACCAATAACCAATTAGCATTATGATGCTATAAGAGTAATTTTAATACAAACAGCAGGAGTAATACTATTATTCCAGTAGCATTTACCATCTATAGATGTTGTGCAAGAATTTTCTACTGAATAATCAGAACACTTTACTTTTTTCTCTTAACATGTTGTTTGAAAAAGATCAGACACGCATCCAGAATTATATGCTAGACATTTATTGTCATCTAAACCTGGAAATTTTATAAGCTAACATTGATTTACTAAAGTAACAGTTATACATTTTTCAGGAGAAATTTGAGTGTTCCAAACACATTTATCAGCTGGGGATAAAGCTTTTGATAATGAACAAGAATCTTGATTTGTGTACAAATTGCAGTTACTTTATTAGACTTAACATGCTGTTCCACTTTAATTTGCAGTGCAATCTGCATTATATTCTGAACATGTAGCATCTGTCAATCCTTTTCCAATAATTAATAGACAATCAGTAGTAACATTAGAGATTGATATACATTATTGAGAATTAACAATATTTTTCCAAAAACATTTTCCTACTGTCGATTTTGAACAAGCTTCTTAAGTTTTATAAAGATTACAAGCTGATTTCTTTTCTTAACAAACAGTTTCTAAAGCATTTGCAACACAACCTGAATTATAAGCTTCGCATGTTGCATGATTTAAATTGATTCCCATAATTAATGAACATTCTTAACTGACATTTGTAACATTGATACATTTAGCTGGAGAAGTGAGAGAATTCCAAACACATCTATTAGCAGTTGGCGCTGCCTTTGAAAAAGTGCAAGATGCATATGTTTGATATTAATTACAAGTACTTAATATTTCTTAACAAGCTGTTCCAAAAGTATTTGTTGTGCAATCTGGATTATAAGAAGCACAAATAACATTTGTTAAACCAGTATCAATTATATTTTAACAAATTGAAAAACGAACACAATTCTTACCGTCAAAAAAGCATCTACCATTTTAAGATATTGTGCAATGTTAAATGTCATCTTGATAAAAAGAACAATTTGTTTAATATTCTTGACATCCACTTCCATCTTTTAATGATGTACAAAGTTTATTATAAGCTTAGCAATCATTATGTTTCAACCCAGTCTGTCTTTTAACAAATTCACATTCTGATGCTTTCTATATAGATTGACAACTTGATGGATTTTCGTTATTCATTACACAATAATTAAATGTAGATTTATAACAATTTTCTGAATTTTATCCATATTCTATACAAGATGATTGAATAGGGATGCATGAGCTACCATCTTTTCTTACTGAACAATTAGGATCAAGGGACTGACAATCTTTTAACTGCAAATTTATTCCCATTTTCTTATTGCAATCTAAAATACAATTAGCTGTAGGTGCTGCATTTGAAAGATTTGTACAACCTATTTTAATTTATTAACATTTCTATTAAGTTCCTTTAAAAGAGGAGCAGGGTGTTTTAATTATATAAGATAACTAAAAGCATTTATCCCCAGTCCATACGCAATCATCATCTTGGGTTAAATTAGATATTGTTTTATGACATTATGCTTCACTCATATAATTTTAGCAATCAGATAATTTTGAAACACATCCTTTTCCTTCAACTCTTTCAGCTACTGTGCAAAATTCTAAATAATTTTGACACTCCTCATCTGTATCATATGAATCAGTATCAGGTACATCAGCACAAGTGGCATTCCTACAATAAGCTCCTGTCCAATAACATTTAATATTGTTTATTGTTATTTTACAATTTTCATCTGTTGTATATGCTTAACAAGTAGAAGATAGTGATTAACAACTTGTTGTTTCAACATTCACTGTACATTAGTTTAACTCATTCTAACAATCATAATGAGTAAACAATTTAATATTAGAACATATTTTATCAACACAACTTGTTCCATTCCAATAACAATCTCCATTTATTGTTGACTTTGGTTAACAATTTTATAACTATTATAATTATGAACAAGTAATAGGTTTTTCCATACACCCATCTAAAGTATTATTAACAATACAAATTTTATTGGTCATATAATTTTGGCAACTAGTAAGATTGATATTTTGAATAGAAAGTGCCCCTGTTGTTCCTAAAAGATTAGCAGTTTAACAAGTTTTTAATATGCATTAAAATGTAACACTATTCCATAGACATTCTTTATATTCTACCCTCAAAATTTCACAATTATCTTAAGATTTTCTATCTGTACAATTAAAAGGTAAATCTTAGCATCCTTATACAATTTTAGAACCATTTAGGATAATTGGATTATTAGCTACACATTCTGGTAAATACTTTTAGCATTCTTAAGTAGTGGTAAATTTATTTGAAGCAGTAGAACAAGCCTTATCTATACATTTAGATCCATTCCATCCACATGGTGAACGATCATATTTCATCACACAAGCCTCTTTCAAAGTTATAACTTAGCACACGCGTGGTAATAAAATACATCCTTAACCTGAGTTACTTAATGTACAACTTGAGAGATATTTTTAACAATCACTATGAGTAGTTAAAGTATTTCCTGCTAGAGAACATTACTTTTTATAACAATTTCCATTCCATTTACAACTTTTGCCATTCATATCCTAAGTACAATCCGACATTTAAAATTTATTTTCACAGATATCATCTAAACATCCATTATTTTTTTAATTTTGAATACATTTTTTTGAGAATGTTTAACATTGATCAAAAGCAGTATTACGATTTTTAATTGTAATTCTATTTAATGAAGTATCTTCTCTAATATTTGCATTTTTACAGATTTTATCCTTACATAATGAACTTGCAGAATCCCAAAAACATATTTATTCTTTTGCATCTTATTAGCATGCTATTTCTAATTTTATTGCATCACAAGTAGTGTTTTCAATACAACCTCCTCCAACTTTAGTAATACATTTTTATCCTAACAAATATGTTTCACAAGCATTATTTGTTGTTAATATTGTTGGAGCATTGTCACATGATCTTTCTTAACAGCCTCCTCCTTATTTGACAGTACATGTTGATAAATACTATGAACATAATTCATGAGTATTATTATTGATAGGTGAATTGATACAGGTTTTTTCCTTACAAATATTATCCCAAATACAATTAATATTATTTATATTTTTAATACATGCTACCTCACTATCTGCAGCTGAACATTCTCCATTTTAAACACAACCTCCATTTGCTTTAGTTATACAACCTTTAAAAAATTATTCACACTCTTAATTGGTTTTTATTGAAGTTGGTGCGTTTATGCATATTTTAATTTTGCATGAATTTCCATCCCAATAACACTCATTATTTTGATTATCTTTGATACAAGCTGCCTAAATTTTCGCAGCTTCACAAGTACTTCTAATTGTACAACCTCCATTTATTTTAGTTGTGCATGTTCCATCTTTTATAAATTATTTACAATCATCATCAGTTACCAAAGTTTCTGGAGCGTTAATGCAAATTTTATCTTTGCATATTGATTTATCCCAAACGCATTCCATCGTTTTTGATTTATTCCAAAAACATTAAATTTCTAATTTTTAATCACTACAATTATCTCCACTTTCCGTACAACCACCTCCAGTATTTGTAGTGCACTTTAGAATTTATTTCCTACATTAATTGTCACTATTTAACTATTTAGGTAATTATTCACATAAATAAGGATCTGAACATTATTTATTTTCAGTATTCCAAAAACAATAAAGATTATTTTTATTCTATTAGCAAGAAACTTGTTTTTTGTATGTACTACATTCACCAATCTCTACACAATGAGTTCCATCTGTTATACAATTTTTACTTAATGATTAACAATCATAATCATTAGTTTTATTATATGCTGTACAACCTGTAAAATTTGTACATCTCTAATCTACCCAAGCACATTCTTGTGCTGTTGTACAATCAAAATTATTTACAAACTAATCACAATATTTAATTGAAATGTCTACAACTCGCTCTGTTGTCTCAAAATTTTTATTTTCACAAGATTATTTATTCCATTGACATTCCTATTTCATTTTACAATCATTTTCTAATTTTAATTCTGGACATAAACATTTCTAATAACTATCATCTCCTTTAGCTATCAATAGCATTAAAAGTATCAACATCATAATTTTCATTTTATTAATAAATCTGGCTTATCTACAATTTAAAAGTGGTCGTTAATGTATTCTATTCTATTTCTTTAAAAATTTCAATAAGCTTCAAATTGTATGTTAAACGAGTTACGTGAAGTTATGCTACTACAAATAATAACTATCGTGATTATATTTTAAATATGGTTATAGTTTAAGTTTAAAATCCTATATATTTATTTTTCTAAATTCGAATCAAATTATTTATTATAAATTATGGTTAAATTCTTAAATTATCAATTAATTCTTATTTCAAGAAAATAAATATTGAACTTTAAGTTTGTAATTTATAGTTTCTAAGTTTTATTAAGTCTTTCAGTATTAAAGAAAAAATCTATTATTCTTGGGTTTAAATAAAAATCTATTATTAAAAGGTATAAAATAACTTATCATCTCTTGCTCAATTGCTCAATTTTATTCATTAAGTAATTATATGAATCTTATTTTATGTAATTAAATCAGTTTTTTTTTTACAAAATAATAGAAGGGTCATTAGATGGCCTTTTCAAATTTATAATGGTCTTTAAATAAATAAAAAACCAATACAGTCAAAGAAAGTTAAATTCTCCAAGAAAATCATTTCATTATACAGGTAATTTAATATGTTAAATTATATAGATCTCGTCTGTGAAAATGGTGCAATCACAGTTGAAAAATTTTAAGCAGCATAATATTTTGCATTTCTGTTTACCTTCTTAGGGGATTTAAAATTCTTTAACTATCCATTTTTATTTAAATGACCATTAAATCATTTTATGAATGAGTATATGAATGTTATATATAAATATGGAATAATTATTTCAATAAGGTTTCTATTAAAATAGTAAATCAATAATGGATATTTGAATTATCTAGATTAAAACAATTAGTTGAGGTAGAGTGGCTACATGAGGAGATTACTAATCAATATTAGAGCCTAAAAATTCACAAATTAAGGAACAATTGTGGTTTTTTTTAATTAAACTTCAAACCAAAAAGAAAGGAAGGATTTTGAGTCTAAATTCTTAATCAGTTAATAAATTGTACATTTACAAAATCAAAACTATAGATAAATAATTGGAGGAAAATATCATTAAAAAAATAGCAAATGAAATGTAATTTTTATAAAAGCATTATAGATAATATTATAATTAACATAACAATATATTTATAAAATTCACTTAAATAGAACCTATATTAATAAAATAATCATTCTTTATGATAATGTCTTTTTAATCTTGCAAAATAGCTTTCTGCTACTTTTTAAAATGTATCAATTCCAGTTATTTTTTCTGAATCCCAAAGATCTGACCATCCATTAACTTCCAGAACTTATAAGCCATGCACTTCTGAATCTAAGATATCAACTCCTCCAACAGTTAAATAGGGTTCAATTGCATTAACAGCTTTAAGGGCAATTTCCTCATACCTTTTGAATTAATCCATTTTACTAACTAATTTTAAAGATTCATGATAACCATTATTTGATCGAAAATCCTAAAATATTAATTAATTTTACAGATCCAGTATCACTAAATTCACAAGCTAATACTAATTAGCCATTCATACAAAGCGCTCTGACTGATTTTCCAATAGAATCAGGAATAAATTTTTAGATGACTGATTGATGATTCTTCCAAACTTCTTTTGATGCCATACTAATTATTTCATCTTGTCCTCTAGCTAATTATACTCCATCTCCACCATATCCATCTAAAGCTTTTACAACTCCTCTTTCTTATTAAGCAAAATTAGATCTGACAACCTTTATAATTGAATTCACTGTAAAAGCAGCCATACTTTTTGGAATAGGTACGCCATGTTTAGCAAATCTGAGACCTTGAAGTAACTTACTTTACAAAATCTTTTCAGCATTTGTAGAATGTAAAGTAACTTTACCAGCAGACTCTGCTGCTTCAATTAAGTAATTAAAGTCCTACATATGTTTAGGACTCATGTAACCCCAATTCATTAGACCGTCGAACTCTATTAATTCTCCTTTATTGAAGAAAGAAATTTTCTATAAATATTTAGGATTTCAGATTACTCCTCCTTCCCATTCGAAATATAAATCTTCTAATTCCACTTAAGTTACTTCAACTCCCAATTTTCTTAGGCAATTTTGTAATCTGTCATCCAATTCTGTGAAGAACACTGGATCTGCGTTTCTTATATATATTACTTTAAACATATTTGATAAATTATTAATTAATCACAAATAACAATTACCATATATAGTTTGCGATAATCATTTTTAGAATATTCCTTATTCTAAATAATGTAATTAGTTATTTAGATCAATGAATTTAAGTTAGAATTATAAAGATTTACCATTTTTAATAAAAGATATTTAGAATAAAGTAAAAATGAATTAAAAATTACAATTAATTTTAGTAACCCAAATCTCTCATTCATAAATTTCATTTTTAATTATAAGATAATCATTTTCATCTATTCCAATAATGAAAGTATTTGGAGTGATTCTATCTATGTAACCAAATGTTTTATCGGTATTATAATTCTTTTTAATTTATTCTACAGAATTAAAGAAATTATCTAATTCCATTTAATTTTAACAATAAAATCCTAAAGCTAGTGATGGACTCATTTATTCTTCATTTAAATATTTTACATCTTTACAAAAGAAGGAATCTTTCAACATCACAACATTACCTCTACTGGTATGTTCTTAAATATAATGAGGATCCAAATATATTAATTTTTTATTAACTCTTCCAAGGATGTAATATGCTTTATCTTCTTTTCCACCTATAATTCCTTAAAACCATGGTAAATCTATTAAGTCATTTAGAAATGGGATATAATCCTTATTTATTTCTTCAAGTCCTATTCTTGTTAAAAAAAATATGGCTAATGATTTTGGTTGTTTTTTTTTGCAAATGTTACATATTTTAGATATTTCTTTAGTCTTGTCTTTTTTGATTTCATTTATTATGTGTTCACAATCCATTTTTAGTCCATACATATCACAAAATAATCTATCATAAAATAAGTTATCAGAGATAGATGTTTCTAAATCTTCACTTCCTTATAATGGTTTTTATTAATGCAATAATGATAACGCATTCAAAATCTAATCCGGTCTATACCATTAACAAGGTTTTGCAGAAAATTTAATTTGTGAGATAGCTTCTATCTTTTGTATTGAGTATGGACTCAAACATAATTTTAAATCATTTGTAAACAATTTTTTATATTCATCATCATCATCATCTGAAAAAGCACAAAGTAATTTATATTAATAATCTTTGCTTTGCTATTTCTTTTATCTAATATGAACTCTCAATATCTAAGCCCATATCATTTAACCTGACCTTAACATACAACCCCAACCTACATCTGATGTTTATTAACTATCTAAAAATAAATGGACTTTAATACTTAAGATTTAAGGAAAATTCTTGCGATAAGTAAACCAAATTGTTCTACTATATACTTATTAAATAAGTTCTTTTTTCTTCTAATTGATCAAAAATATAATTACATCAAATGGAAGATTTTTTAGACTAAATCCTAAAATGCTTATAGTAGCATCCACTAATTCTTTGTTATTAATATCATCTTTACTACTTTGCTACCAGGAATATCTATCATAAAATGTATGAATATATACTTTAAATTTAACAGTGACTGAAACATTTTACTATTAATATAGAATTTATATTTTAATCCAAATATCAATGGTTAAATGATTGTTGATATAAGAATTAGTAATAGAGTAGTTTTTTGATAATAATGATATTGAATTAATTATAGATTTCATAACAAATCTGTAACATTCATCGGCATCTCATCAATTTAGGTTGAATAATATTATTCAATATCTCTAAGAATTCTGACATCCTCCTATTTAACAAAATTAATTGCAACACCTTTTCTTCCAAATCTACCAGATCTTCCGATTCTGTGAATGTACAATTCTCTAGAAGAAGGTAAATCATAATTGATAACCAAAGAAACTTATTAAACATCAAGACCTATGTTAATAAAAATGCAAAATACCTCTTCCCCAAACGTCAGTAGCAATCAAAACTCTTTTATTTCCTTATCTGAATTCGGCCATAATTTTATCTCTTTCTTTTTAACTCATATTGCCATGCATTTAGACAACAGTAAATTCATTTTCTCTCATTTTATTTGCCAACCATTCACACTTTTATTTAGTAGAACAAAATATAACAGCTTAAGTAATGGTTAGAGTATCATATAAATCACATAAAGTATCAAATTTCCATTCCTCTTTATCAACTTAAATAAAAAATTGTTTGATTCCTTCTAATGTCAATTCATCTCTTTTGACTAAAATCTTAAGTGGATTATTCATGAATTTATCAGTCATATCTAATATTTCTTAAGGTAATGTAGCTGAAACCACAACATTTTAAGTTGTAGGTGGTAAATATCTATAAATATCATAAACTTATGTTTTGAATCCCTTAGTTAACATTTCATCAGCTTCATCTAGAATTAACATTTTTAAATGACGAACACGTAATTCCTTTCTTTAAATCATATCATAGACTCTACCAGGAGTACCTGAGACTATTTAAACTCCATGTTATAATTTGCTCATATCATCTTATATTGAATGTCCTCCAATGCAAGCATGAACTATTATATTTATTTTGTATATATACTTGATACATTAAGGAAATCCCCTAAAGCCATTCCTACCTTTGCACTTTATTCTGCTAATTCCCTTGTATTTGATAAAATCAATACTTAAGGTTCTCTAAAAATAATTATAAAATATCTTCTACCTAATAGATAAATCTACGGCAGATAATGCTGATAAACTAAACACTGCTGTTTTACCTGTACCACTTTAACTTTAAACAATAACATCTCTTCCTTATATAATTGGTACTATAGCTCTTTATTAAACTGCTGAAGGTTTATTAAAACCAAATGCATAGATTCCTTTGTTTAGTATTTATTCCTACCTCTTAAAAGTTCTTCTCTTAATTACATTGATTCAAATGTTGGATATATAGTTACATCTTCTGAAGTTTCATACTCCACATTATCCTATAAATTATGCTTATCCATAAATAAATAATTTAATTATTCATTACACAAGAACTCACAATTATTCTGCTTCTCTATAATATAATATTATTATATTAAATCATTCTCTACTAGCCATAACATCTTCTGAATAGCTTTATCTTTCAACAATTAGTTTTTTTCCTTCAAATCCTTAAGATTGTCCTGGTTCAAATGGGGCAGCTCTTCTATTTCTATGATATTTACTAAATTATTCTCATGTTTATCTATACATAAATTCTAATCTGTTTAAATTTTGCATAGCTCCTTATGGAAAATAATGATGTGGTGTATGTGATTGATTATCTGTTCCAGGTTATTAATAAAATGGCTAAACAAAATATGAATGTCCAGTTCTTGATGGAGTCTCATCATATACATGTGCCATCCAACCATGCCATACTGGAGGAACTCTATCTCCAAGAGTATGCCATGGATTAAAATAATCATTATATTCAACCCATCTTCTTTAATTTCTATCTAAAAAATGTTCTTTTTTAAATTATACGTGTAACATCAAAATCTTCATAATATTTGTTCCCAAATTAATCCTATCCAACACATTAAATAGGCCCATTTTAACCACCTGCATAATGACTTGATCTTGATTAAGCTCGATGCATTCTTATATAGGTTTACCAAAATCCTTCACTTTAATTATATATGTATACCTTCTCTTCGAACTAATGTCCAAAATTTTGGAGTTAGCATTTAATTTAATGTCCATGCCCAAAGTCCCATTTTATTTTATATTTAATATAATAAATCAATTAAATCCAAATTTCACAAACAATAGAATTTGAAAACATTTTTGATTATATTTTCAAGACTATCAAATTATAACGCTCCTTTCACTTTAGCTTTACTTTCACTGTCTTTTTAAATGATGTAATATAATTTATTTAATAATAGATTCTACATTATTATCATTATAGATCTATCACATCTAATCTTTTATTCAAATAAAGATTCTTTAATATTAATCGCTTAGAATTAAATAGCTTTTATTTCTAATCTCAATTACCTCCCATTTTATTTAAGAGTTAATTGATTATTCTTATAATTATTTTTTACTACTGAGTCTCTTTTAAATAATTTCAATCTTTTAGAACTTTTTTTAAAATGTTTAACTTTTTAAACTTTTTAAACTTGATGTCTATTAAATTTTAAATTCTAAAGAACATTTTATAAGCTAATCAGAAAAAAACATAACTAATACTCAGTTTAAAATAAGAAATATTGCATTTTATCTCAGTACTGATATCATTCCAAATAGATATCAAAGTTTCATATTGAAATCTTTTGATATTTATTAAAAATATTTTGTTGTAACATTAAATTAATCCTTAAACAACAAAATAATCAATCATTTTTATTGAGAATATTTTTTCTGATTAAAATTTACATAATAAATAAATTTTAATTGTAAAAAATTCAGAATAACAGTAAGGAAGAAAGAAGAATGATTAAGGAATGCTTAAGAACATTTTCAAATGGAACATATATTAGTTTAACAGAATAATAAACTTTTTAGTTTTTGTTTAAAATGAAACATAAGTTCTGGGTATTTGAATAAGCTGCTTCATAAGAAATAAAGAAAAATAATATATTAAATTTAAAAAAGCCTTAAAATATTCAGCCTAAACTTAAAAAAATTATTTCTAATACTAATTTATATATACTGATAAATTCTGATAATTTGGCGGTAAATTGGTGGGAAGTGTTTAGGTTGGTTTATGTAATACAATAATGATGGTAGTATATATTAATATTGGATGAATACGTATGTATTAATTTTGATAATTGGAGTTTAGATCAATGAGTGGTTTTTTCAAGTAAAAGCAACAAAATGAATATGAATGTATAAAATATTGAAATTCATTTAGTTAAAACTCCAAAAAAGGTTTAGTAGTAATAACTGGAAAATATTTCCACAATAGAAGAATTTGGATTAAAAGATTCTCCTTAAGTATTCCAAAATAAATCAATATAAACATAAAAGAATGAATAAAAATTAGAAGAAAAAGTCAACAAAATAATAAGAAGAATCAAATTTGATGATGACTAACTAGTCATAAAGAAGGATTAATCTATTTTTCGATAAAAAAGAACAACTAATAAAGAGTACAAAGGTATACTATAAAATATATAAATTAGTTAATTCTTCATATACATTAGATTTGATTAATTCAATAGAAATAAGAAGAGATAATGTAATAATTAATAAATTAGAGAAAATATCAACTCCAGATGAGTAAATATATTTTTTTATTCTTTAGATAATAATAATATTAGAATATCAGGAATGAATCAGTAACATGTAGATGCAAAAAAACTAAATGTATAAAGTATTATTGTGAATGCTTTTAATATGGGTAAGAATGTTCATTCAAATGTGAATGCACTGGATGTTGTAATAAGTAAGCAAAATAATCAACTGGAAAAAATCAAACGGTAAGTCCAACAATAGAATATTATGGATGTAAATGCTAAAAACAAAAGTATATTATTTTAACGATTTTTTTAGTTGTTCAAAGAAATACTGTGAATGTCTAAAGAGAAATTAAAGATGCACAGATCAATGCAAATGCATAGAAAATTGTAGCAATTAACTTCATTAAATAAAGCCTTAAATCTTAGACTTTAGTTAATTATTAAGCCAATTTGAAGATAGGAATTGATTTTTTTTATCAAATCCATTGGTTTCAATTAGTTTAAAAACAAAAAAAATATTTTATATTATATCTACATGAATAATAATTTCCTTCTGGTCAATAAATCAGATATATATATAATGAATGAATAAAAAATTATTAATTAAAATATTTAGAATAGTATATATATATTGATAAAATGAACATGTTCAATGGATCTCCAGAAAAAGAAACAATGATGGGATAAGTAAAAGACATTTATAATTTACCTCCAAAAGAGTTTGGACCTTAAGATGAGAATGTGATAGAATGTGAAGATGTATCAAAGGGTATCCTAATCTTTAATTTTATAGAGTTTAATTTAATTGGAAGAGATGAGAAGGTTTATGCTCTTAAAGAGATTAATTTAAAATAAAATGATGAATTTTATCCAATAAAAAGGGGAGAATTTGTAATAATTAGAGGACCATCTGGTGGTGGAAAAACTACTTTTTTAAATTAAATAGGAACAATTGATACTCCAACTAGTGGGTCAATAAGTTAATAATAATAATAAATATGATAGGATTATTGGGATAAGAAGTGAATAAATTATCAAAAGATTCTTATTTGAGTGAATTAAGATTGACAACAATTGGATTTGTGTTCCAAACATTTAATTTAATAGCCACAATGACAGCTTATGAAAATGTAGAATTACCAATGAGAATATTGGCGAAATTAGTAAATAATTATATATATAATAGTCAGATAAAGAAATAAAAAAGAGAGTGAGAGAATTATTAAAAAGTGTAGGACTATAGGATAGAATGGATCATTTACCATCAGAATTATCTGGTGGTGAATAATAGAGAGTAGCAATAGCTAGATCTTTGGCTAATTCACCTTAGATTTTATTATTAGATGAACCTACTGGAGATTTAGATTCAAAATCAACAGTAGAAGTAATGGATATATTATTGAAACTTAATAATTTTGGATATGAAGAATCTAATCGAACACCTTGTACTATGATTATGGTAACACATAATCCTGATCTTGAATGTTATGCTCATAGAATTATTTATATCAAAGATGGAAAAATTGAAAAATAAGCTATAAATGAGAGATAATCCCCATTAAGATATGAATAGTACCTTCACTATCTTAACAGTTAAAACTGATTGTTATTAAATTCAAATTATCCTTTATCTAATAGAATAATTATAAATAACTTTTAAAGATATATCATTAAAAAATAACATTAATTTAGTTAAAATTATTTATAATAAAAGATATATAAATAATTAATATGTTTTATCAAAAATAATTAAATGTAGTATATAATTTTCATGTTGTTTATAATTTAAGCATTAATCATATTACTTACTAATTGCTTTACTGATATTATTGCCTATGAAACAGATAAAAAATATGGCTAAATCTCTTAAATTCTGTTTTTCATTAATGATAAATGGAAAAAAATTCTATGATTTTAACCAAGAATATATAGGATATTATATTGTTGTTCAATAATTATAGGAATGATAATTAGAGATTTTGCAGTAATAAATTCTCCTATATTTGTTAATTTTTGGATACCAAAAGCTTATTGTTATTTTTTTTTATAACTAATTTAGATTATAAGATAAAAATAATAAATAAAATTATAAATCAGTTATCATTTTAGTCTAAAGAATCAATTTTAATTTATGGAATTGATTATTTTTTATTATTAAGTTTAATAAGTTATTTTTTTAATCCTTATTCAGTTGATTTGCTATCTACATTTAATCGACTTTTTAAATATTCATAACTCAATTTGATAGGAGCTTTTCCATAAGATTATTGTTAATTTTATTCCATAATTTTTTAGATGTTATTAAATTCTTTATTATCTTCAATTATCTCTTTTTTAACTTTATTGGTACTTAATTATTTATCCATTAATTATTATTTAAGTGAATAACATTAATTTTTGAGTTCACTTGAAAGATCATCTTAAATGTTTTTAGCATTATCTATCAATAGATTAGGTAATTCAGTAGATTAATCTTATTTTTCTTTAGTTCTGGATTCTAACAATTAATAGATTTCTTCTATATCATCTTCTGTTAAAGTCTATACAGAAGATTATACATTAACTTCTTATAAAACAGATTCACATTTATCTGTAAATAAGGATGGTTTAGATGCTCCTTTAACTATAACTTCTTCAGCTGAAAATTCTAAAGCTCCTAAATTTTATTTTTATCCATCAATAAAATTTGATACTGTATTGATTTTATTTTCAATTTTATTATAAATGTGATCATCTAATGTTCCATCTCCAATAAGATAATGACAATCAACACATTAAGCTTAACCAATTCTATGTGCTCTATCTTCTGCTTACATCATAATTGCAGGAGTCCAATGCATCTCACCAAATACTATTGTAGAAGCTGCTGTTAAAGTAATTCCATAATTTGCAGATGTAATACTCAATATAGCTATTCTTATTTCATCATCATTTTAAAATGTTTATACATTCTAATGTCTCTATTCTATTCCAACATTACCATCAATCCTTATAAATTATATTTCATTCTAAATACAATATTCTTAAACAGCATCTAAAACATCTTTATGATGAGCAAAGAATAAAAACTTTATATTATTCTCAAATAGAGTATTAATATAATCTTTTATTGCTTTTATCTTTGCTTAACCTGTTAAGATATAACATTTCTATAAAATTGTATTTACTGTAACTAATTAATCATTCTAATCTTTTTACTATTCCTAAAATATTGAATCTTTATTTATAAGTTATTAAATATCCATATTTCCCAATTAATGTAAAAGAGCCCATATTTATTTAACTTAACTTGAATCTCCTGGAATTCTTACTTTTACTCTTCTTTTTTCTGGTAATTAACTCAATACATCCTTTTTTAATCTTCTTATCATAATATAGTTAGTTAATAAAAAATGTAACTCTCTTAAATTCGATGCACCATCAAAATCTATTCCTTTTGTAAATCTACTCAATTTTGGATCACAATATCTATATCCAAATTCTTTAAAATTACTAAATATATCGGGTCTAATTATATTTAATAAATTAAATAAATCTTTAGGTTTAGCTAATGCAGGTGTACCAGTCAATAAGATTGTTTACTTACATTATCTCAAAATTGGAACACATGCTTAACTTCTTATTGTTTAAGAACTCTTTAAATAATGACATTCATCTGCTATACAAATTTAAAATTTCATACTCACTAAATTCTATATATTTATATATATTACTTACATCTTTTATTTTAGCACAAATATCATATGAAACTATTACTATTTTAGCGTTCATTCTTACTCCTTCTTTTCCACAATTTATTATTTATATATCAATTTTATGTATTTTTAACCAATGAATTATTTCATCCTACCAATTTAATCTTAAAGGTGATGGACACATTATTAATAATGGCCAATTTTATCTATACATACTTGCCAATGCTAATGATTAGACTGTCTTACCTACACCCATATCATCTGCTATTAATATTCTACCATTAAATTTTAATCCTTATTTTATACAATCTCTTTAATATTAATACAATGTTTCATTTAATGTTTTATCAATTTATTCATAACTTATTTAATTATCATATTTTAATGTTATCAATTAACCATTATCATAATACTTTATTTCCTTCATATTCAAATTTTATAATTTTTACAATAATTTTGGCAACTATTTTATTACAACTTCTGTCTATTATTATTTTAACTAATTATATTCATTTATTTTACACTAGTTATCAAATTCTAATAATTACTTATTGGTATTATCCAACCCTTCTCTCCGTCTAAATTAAAAAAATATCCATTGTTTTACTAATTCATAATGAAGTAGAATACTTTTATAAATGATTTCACTTCATCAGTAAAAGCTGTAAATGTTCCTGTCATAAATACTCTGTTTTCATCAAGTAATTGAAAATTTAACTCCTGTTTCCAAATCTACTAAAATTTCTATTTCTGTGGATTAAAATACTACATTTTATTATTTATTTATTATATATTTAATATATATACATATTTATCACAACAAAAGAATTCAATATTTAGAAAAAAATAGGAATCTTTTTTGAAATGTTTGCTTATATTTTTACTAATTCAAATAGATTATAGTATTTTTATTTTTTAATTTTATAATTTATTAATACTATAATTTATAGAATTAATTCAATTGACTTTCTCACATAAAATCTTATATAAGCATTATAAAGCTGATTTATCGATATATTAAATTAAGTTTGATATAACAGAAACTAAATACTGGTTGAGTTATTATTCATTTCTTTTCTATATTATTATTTCTTTAATGTCTTCATTTTAATTTATTTTCATTTACATCTGAAATTCTTCTTAATTCTTTTATTCCTCCACTAAACTAATTTCTAATTTCGATTATCTAATCTAACTATTTTACTCAGACTTATCAGATAGCTTTTTTAATTTTTTCAAAGTACTTCTATGAGATTTAATACTTTAACATTATGAATAATCTGAATCTAATTGAATATAATTAGATTAACCAATTTATTTTTTTTTTTATTTTACTTTATTAATAGAAGAGAACTTTTATTTTTTCTTTTAAAATTATTGTGAAGTTTCAGAAGTTATTGGATACATTTTAACATCATTAATAGTATTTGATAACTTTTATGAATTTGAATCAAATTTATTTTTTGAACCATTAGTTGATTAATCAGATGATTAACAAAATTTAGGTTCAACTTTTAATTTTTTAAAATTTTTTGCTTTTTAATTTCTATATTTAAATTATTTTTCATTCTCATCGTTTTCCTCTTAATTTGAATTATCATCTAAATTCTATGATTAATCTTATAATTCACATTCTTTTAGGAATTATCTATCTTTCTCCGTAATTTTTGAATCATCTAGTATTTGTAAACCTAAACAATGCTTTAAAGCTACCTTTTTATATTCAGGATGTTCAACCACAGGATTTTCTAAATAGTTATGCATATCAAACCTATCAAACTCAATACTCGTAAATTATATAATTCTTTTAAATACTCAAGTTCTTTTATATCTTTGATTTTATTTTGTCCTAGATAAAGTTCTTTCAATTATTTTAATTTGCTTATATGTTTCAAGGTTCCAATCTAATTTCTTGATAACTATAGAATTTAAAGGTTTGGAAACATAGTGAGCGGAGATACATCCTCACAATCTATTCCCCAAAGATTTAACTTTTTTACTTCATTATAAGGTTAAGAACCGATTTTGTTTTGTAATAAGGCCATTGTGATGGGCTTCGTCATTTATTTAGAATTTATTTGGATATTTTTTATAAGGATTATATTTGCTATATATGTTAATGCAAAATTCAATTTTCATGTTAATAAATTATTCTTATTTTTTTTTTGTAATAATTATTTTTACTGAAAGTAGTTTCAATATAATATCGTTAAATAAATTATATTAAATAAAGTTAAACAATTCTTTCGTAGAATGCTATAAAATTAGAAGTAACACTAGAATTTTATATTTTAATTTTCTTTATATAGATTTATATTATCATAATAAAATAATGTGTTAGAGTATTCATCCTAAAAATTATTCAACCAATCTTTAAAATCTGTTAATATCCACTTTTTCATCAATTACCTACAATATATAAACTATATAAATAACTTTTGTGGCTTCAATAATTTCCTATTATTTTTGTGATGATGCAATTGTCAATAAAGCTTTTCTACAATTCTCTTATGTAATATATCCATCACGTTTCAAATCAAATAATTCAAAAATGTTTTAAATTTCTGCCTTTGTAAATATTGGAGTAATGAATCTATCCAATCGTTATATTAATATTGATACCCTTATTTTTATTTAATCTTCAAGTCCTCAACAAAAAACTCTTCTAAGTTCTCAGGCTATATGTAACTAGCCTTAGTACAAAGATCTTCAAATAATTCCATTATTCTATTTCTTCTTAAGTATTCATCAGCAGATTCGACTTTATAATTCATTTTATGAATTTTTTAATATTATTTCTATTGAATGATGGAGAAAATGAGACAAAATATAAATATAAAAATAATTTTTAGAAACCATTAATATGATAAATTCAATTTTCAAGCAAATAGAAGTTTGAAAATAAATATACAATTCTTATATGAAATTTATATAATTTGAATTTATATTATTATTTATTACAAAAAGAATGATTAAGAAGTACCTAAATAAATTTTTCATTTACTTCATTTGTTTTTCAATAGTGTTCGTATACATAGTTAATGTAAAAGTAGTTTGGATTGATTTAATTGGAAGTAAATTACTTTTTAAAATTTCAAATAGGTTCGAGTTATAGAATTCCGTATTTGTTATTATTTACAATATTAACAAGTTTATTGGGTTGGAGTTTATTTAAAACAATGTTTACAGATCCTGGTAGAGTTCCATAAAATTGGGGATTTTTTTTAAATGACCCAGAATAAAAAAAAAGAAAATTTTGTTTAATTTGTCATATTTTCAAACCAGAAAGATGCCATGTATCTTAATCTGATAAAAAATAATTAGCATTGTTCAGCATGTAATCGATGTGTGTTAAATATGGATCATCATTGTCCTTGGATAAATAATTGTGTTGGATTTTAAAATAGAAAGTTTTTTATGCAAATGTTATTTTATGTTATACTTGATTCTTATTGTGCTGTAATAGGATTGGGATATGGTTTATATGTAGAATTTTAAAATATTATGCTTTACATTGATTCAGATGGTGATTTACATTTTATAGATGGAGTATTAGTACTTTGTGCATTTGGAATTAGTAGTTTAGCATCATGTTTAATAACAATGTTTTTTAAATTTCATTTAGAATTGGTATTAAATAATAGAACAACAATAGAAAATTTAGAGAAGAAAAGAAATGAAGAAACAGGACAATAAACAGAAGATTTTAATTAATATGATTTAAAACCATATTATAATTGGGTGTAAGTATTTGGAATGAGTAAATTATCATGGTTTCTACCAATTTAATTGGAAGGAGGACGACCAGTTGGTGATGGTATATTATGGCCTAAAAATCATCATAATGAAAGCTTATTACTCAAAGATCATGTTTCTAATCCTATTTATAATGGAAATAGTGAAAATATTTAAATCCAATAATATAATAATTAACTTATGCATAGTAATAGTATAATTTACAATTTATTTTATAGATCAATAATTCAGATCATCATCAACTTAACATCAATGATCAAAATTAATGAATTAATTATTATTTTTTTAAATTTTATTAGGAAAATTATTTACAAAAAAACAATCAAAATATTTTGTTCTCAAAACTTTCTTTATTTTAAAGGATGTAAAGATGAGGGAATCCAAACAGGAGGATAAATTAATTATCTAGCTTAATTTACAACCTAATATAATAATGGATCGTGATGTACTTTTTTACTCCATAGTTTCTCAAATTTATATGGACTCAATTTTTATTTTTCAAGTTTTATTTTTAAAACTTTTTCTTCAATTTTTGTTAGTAATGATAATCTTTATTTACCTTTACGTGATTTTTTTTCTTATGATTAATGAATAATATTATTTTAAAATTCACTTTCTCTAGTATTAGGAGAATTAGTATTTGTAATACTCTCACTCAAATTCTTTTTAGTAACATTATTTTTACTATCAATTCTATAACTTGATAAAACATTTTTTCTTTTTGTAATAGATGGTAATTCAGTAATTAATTTTTTTTTTGTTGAATCAACTTCTGTTTAAATGCCAATTGATGAAGTTTGTAAATTTTGAAATTAATTGGCTTAGACATCTAGAAAAATACCTTATTATTTCTAATGAGATATAATTTAAGGTAATCTTTAATTATCAGAAATACTTAAGCTAGTCTTACTTTATAAACTAATTCTTTTGAAAATATCCCCTATTTTTTCATGATCTGGTTCTTCAGCAACTTAAGATTAAATTTCTTCATCTTCTATAATGTCTTTTAGTTTATTTACTAAAGGAAATTAATTTAAAGAAACTCTAACCTTTTCATAGGATATAAATTAATTGTTTTTCCAAATACCTTATAATTTATTATGTTCTTAAGAATATATTCCTTCCCCATCCATTAAACCTTATCTCCAATAACCTTTATACATAGCTTTTTCTGGCCATATAATTTATCCATATCCATTTCTTTAATCATCAAAGAACTCTCCTATATACTCTGTACCATTAGAATAATGAAAATGGCCATGTCCGTTTTTCTTATCATTCACATATTAACCTCTATAAAATTAAATTCCTTTTTCAGTTTTCTACTCCCAAAAACCTTCTCCCCATCTTAATCCATTTTAAAACTCACCTTAATAAGAATTTCCATTTTTCCATATATACTTACCTTTTCCATTTGGTAATCCATTCTTATATTATCCTTTATAAACATCTCCTCCATGAAAATATTCCTCCCCATTACCAAATTTTAAATCATTTATCACTTCACCAAAATAACTATTAAATTTAAAATTATTTATACAGTGAATCACAAATATGTAAACCCAATCCATAAAACTTTCCATTCTCCCAACTCCCTAAAAAATAATCATTCTTATTTCCAACACACCATCCAATACCACTCTTATAATATTTTTAATTATCTTACTTTCTTCCCATGTTACCACTATCCTATGTATTAATGAGATGTAGATTTATATACACCTTCACCATTAGGATATCCCTATACGTAATGTCCATGATAAAAAGTATCTCCTTTTAATATTTCAAAACCAATTCCATCTTTTTTATCAAGTGCAAATTACCCTTCATATATTTAATTGTTCTCTTTTATAAGAACTCCTTATCCTTGTCTCATTTCTTAAAAGATTTCACCAAAATATATTGCATTCTTATATAACTTTATTTTCACGTTGGGCCTCTAGGACAAAGATCTTATATCCAAAATTATTGGTTAATAACTTTATAAAAAGAACTCTAATATTTATTCAGCATTAGGATATATTAATAATGGCATTTAATCTGGAAGAGGAAATTTTGTTTTTATTTATTGAATCATACTATGATACTTTTGTAAAGTTTCATTTCTATACAAATTAAAAAGGATTGGTTAAAACTATTCCAATATCTCTGGGTAGAATTCGATAATGTTTTATTAATTCATTTTGTGTAATAATATTTATATAATACATTTTATTCCTAATAATTTATTATTATTTAATCTTATATTTATGATACTAATCTGTAAAATATAGCATAAAATGTATAAATTAATCAAAACCACTCAAAATTTTCTTTATTAATAATAGGTCAGTCCTTAATTTATATTTGGTCTTCGTTTATACACTCTAAATTGTTTGAACTAATACCCAAACTGTAAATTTTAATATCCCTTGCTGTTTCATCAATTTTTAATAATGACGGTCTTTTTTACTTATGTTTTATTTTTCTAGAAGTTTATAACCATTTCTTATACTTTTTTAAAATTAAACATTAAGAGCTCACTCTCAATTTTCGAGCTGATACCTCATTCGAATTTAAATTTTCGAATTGCTATTATGAAGTCATTGGCATCTGTATATCATATAATTGGATTGGATAATTATTGGTCTCAAACTCAGATATCATTACGATATTTTTATTAAATAAACTAAATCCAAAAATACCCACATTTATATATACAATTATTAAGCAAGCCTATATTAATTAATTATTTTTTTTAATTTCAGTGATAATCTATTGCAATTATTATTACAAACATATTTTTATTCATTACTTTCACTTTTTAATTGATTTTATCAATCCAAAATATATATTAATTTCTTTTAATAAAATTGTTAATCAATCAATTTTTTTTTACTTCAAATTTCAAGTATTAACCTTCTATTCATTTGAAAGTTTTTTAAATTATAGAGATTTTTAAATTAGAAAATATTGAAACTAGTTAAATTCATTTCATAAAAGAATTTTTCTTATCATTCTCAAAACCCATAATTATTTAAATTATAATTGTAATAATAAAAATGATAATTTTTATAATTTATCATAATGATGAATATTTACTCAGCTCATTATGAATTAGAATGAATAAATTATTTAAGACTGATCTATATATATTTTTGATAAAATATTTAAAAAGCCCTTCATTATTGGAGTTAGATAATATAGAAATAATAATATCCAAATAGTCTCAACTTAATTTTTAATTCTTAGTATTTTATCGTATTTAGCTTTAAAATATCTGTTGATTTTAGAACGTAGATTTAGAAATAAGTGTTGCAATTTGATTAGGATTTTTATAATTTAAAATGAATATTTCTTTCAGCGAATTTGAAGAAGCAGAATTCAAAGATTTATATGAGAATTTTTCAGAAACAGCTCAATAATTAACTTCAGCACCAGATGAAATTATGTTTATTGATGATTTAGTGTTAGGAGTGCATATAACATATGATGATGTACTAAAATTAAACAATGATGGAAAAATGAATTTTAAAAGCATGATCTACTTTATCAATTACCTATAGAAGCGTTCTAAAACAGTATATCAATATTACTTAGCATATTAAAAATAAATGCTTGATCTTGTGGATAAATTAAATCCTTTGTTAAGAAAGAATTAACAAAAAGGTGATCCAATAGGTTATATTCTTATATTTTTTTGGAATGATAGATGGGTGAGTGGAATTTATAATCTAAAAACAACGGTTTTAGATATAGTGGATTTATAGAAAAATAAGACAAAGGATGATTTAAAAAAATCATATGAACAGTTACTAAAAAAAACAGGATTGGCAAAAGTACCATTCAAAACTGTGAATTATATATATTAGGAAGATAAAGCAACAGATGGAGGAATGTATGTAATAAATTATCTGTATTAAACAATTGTAAAAGGCCAAGCATATGTAAAATTATAGCCAAATGATAAAGCAAAATTGAAAAATCAATTGTTATGGTTGTTTTTTAGAGGAGAAAAATCATAGCATATTGATTATCCTCCTTTGCCATCTCTAGCATAATGGAATGAAAATGAAGTTAAATAATATTAGAAGTCTAATTTAGAACCATTTTTAACAGGCTATTGGACAGGAATAGAAGTATAATCAGATGATTTTGAATAATTATAAAAAAATGGGAAATCAAAACCTCATATGATGGCATTTTGGTTATCATATTTATATTATTTTGATTTATAGAGTAAAAATCCTTTAATTCCATTTTTTGTAGTAGCAAATGGAGAGGAAATATGTGAAGAATTTGAAGTAATATTTAAACCAAGGAGAAGATAAGGTACCGAAAATCATAGATTAATAATCTTGTAATATTTAAAAAGTGCTAGATGGGTATTTGCTATATATCACATGATTTAAAAGTCTTTAGATATTGTAGATTTATAACATAAGAATATTACTAAAGATGAATTGAAAAATTCATTTGATAAATTAATATCTTCTCTAGTTACATATAGTAATCCAACTCCTAATTATATATTGCAAAGTTATACAGATGGTTCAGATGGCACAGAATATGTTATAAATTGGCTTTGGTAATATATTTAAGGCACTGTCCTTCCTGATAAAATTAAATTTGGTTTTTCAGAAAAAAGATAATTAAGACCTAAATTAGTATGGGCTTTAATTAAATTATAATCAACTGTTATTTCAAGTTAAAAATCAATATAAATATCTTCAAAAAAGAAAATAACAATTTAACAAACTCCTTAAACTCCTCAAACACAACCTCAATAAAATGAAACTTAAAATACTCCATCTTAAGCTGGAGGAGGTAGATTTGGTCGATTTAGAAATAATACTAATACTAATAATGAAACACCATTATAAACACCACAATAAAAATCAAGTAGAAATTTAGAAGAATAAACACCTTAATAAAAAAAAACTTTTGTCAGTTCATTTAGAAATAGATAATAAACAGCTACATAATAATCGCCTATGAATTCTCCATCAAAATCAGTTGCTTCTGATTAAAAGTCTGAATAGTAAGAACCAGTTTCAAAAAAATCATCCTTATTTAGTAAAAGCAAACCTTAATCTGATTAATCACCTAAATCTTAAACAAGTGAAACATCAATTTAATTAGCTAAACCAGCTACAAGAACTTTTACAGGAAAAAAAACTGTACTTTAATCTGGAACAAAAATAGGTACAAATAAAAATAGTTCTACTCTTCATAATTAGGAACCAATAATTGAAACATAAAGAAGCGAAGAATATGATGAAGAAGAATTTTCAGATTTATTTAATAAAAAGAAAAAGTCTATAGATAATCCATAAACATATGTTGAGAATTAAGATAGATTAGCAAGAATTCAAGAAGAATTGACTGAATATTATCATGAATTAATTAATGATGAAGTTGATAAAGATTTAGAAATTTAAAAATTACAAGAAGTTTTTAGAATTAATGGAAAAATAAAATAATTTTTAGACTAAAGAAAAAAAATGACTATTGATGAAGTATTAGCTACTGTACAAAATAAAAGTAACATAAATCAAAGTGTTGTTTATAATTCTAATCTATAAAATTATAGTACTGTTTTACATGATGATTAATCAATTTTAAGAATGATAAATGAAATGATTTAAGGAGAAGAGAATGAAGAATCTCTTTAAAATACTCTTTTAAAAAGATAAGATTATTTATTAAAATAAATGGATCAAATGGACATAAGTACTCCAAATGTTGATTATGAATTTCCAAAAACAAAAGAAGAAAATTCTTCAAAAAATTAATCAACTATTTTACCAACCATAAGAAGAAATACTTCAGAATTATTTCAAAAAAGTAATACAGCTGCAAAAAGATATGGAATGAAAATTGAAGTTCCTATGATGTAATAATTTTATAAGGATGGTAAAGTTAATAATTTGGTATTTAATTTTTTATTAAAATTTTTTGAAGAAAAATTAAAACATTAACGTAAAAACAACGTTTTAAATCATTATAATACTAATATTAAGTTATTTCCTACTCAATTTTATCAAACATTATGTTTTAATTTAATCCATTCTACTTTTCGAATAAATTATTTTGAAGCTAATTAATTTACTTTTGAAAATACAGGATAAGATGAAACTATTTTTGATGTTTTTGATTGGTTAGTTGTTCCAATTGTAGAATATCCTACTGAATATTCAGTTGTTTTTGTAAATCTAAAGAGAAAGACATGTTATTGCTATTTGCTATCTTCACTTTCATTAAGAATTAAGGATCCATAATATATAAATCCAGAGAAGAATCCTTATATGAAAAATGTCATTGCTTTTTTATCATATGAATTTGAAATCAAATTGAAGAAACCTAGAGAAGAATTAGGGAGATTTAGTTATTAATTTGGAGTTGTTAATGATACTTAAAATATTGGTTACAGTTTGAATTATGATCACAGTGGATTATATGCATTATATATCATACTTCATTTAGTCAAGCATGGTCATAATTAAGAAATTGTTGTTGATTAATACTAAATTTTAACTTTAAAAAAGGCTTTCCATGATTTAATTGTTAAAATTGGATATAATGAAGATGATAATTTATTTCATCTTTTAGAAGAAAATTAATTTCCATTTTGAATTTATATTCATTTTGAACTTGATTTATGAAGATAATTTTATACTTTTTATCTAAAATTAAAAAATGCAAATTACTATTCAATATTTTTTGATTCTTAATAATTTCTTATTTTTTCTTCTTTTAAATTAATTTATAGTTTCATAAAATTTATTTAATACTAACCATAATTTAATACAATAATAGAATTCATAATTTTATTTTTGAGATTTATAAATTTTAACGCTCAAAAAGAATTAATATTTGAAAAATATATGAAAAATATATGAAAAATTAAAATTGAATTAATTTATTATAGTTATAAATGTAATATCGAAGTTTAGAGGCTTAAATAATAATTATAGATAAAAAATGAAAAATGAAAAAAAAATTCTGTTATAGATCTTCGATATCTTTAATTGAAATTCTTAAATTAAATTGAATAATCAAATCAATGAAGCTTAAACCATTCTATCGCAAGTTTTTTCAATTAAATTAATTATTTCTTCTTCTTTTTCCTATCTTTCTTCAGACAATTATTTTAAATCTCCCTTAGTTCTGATGATTAAGTCTTATAGCATTCCAATAATTTCATTTTCTTATTCTAATGTTTATCTTGTAACATCATTTAATTAATTAGCCAATTTATTCATTTCGATACTGCTTTTTTTTAAAATTTGTTTGTCAAACAATTCTCTATCTTCGGTTTCACTTTTTATTTATTAATTAATTTTAGGTAATTAATTTTCTAATCCTCTTTATATTTCATCAACTTATTCCTCTCTTAATTTTGATTCAATAGTTAAATCTGATTTAATGAAAGTTATCTAATGATTATAAATCTTAATACCTTTTCATTTAAGTAGGTTGTCAATTAATTAATTCCATCAGACCTTTCACTCTATTCATTATATAATTGTTTATATGATGACTTTTCCAATTCAGATAATTTTTACGAATACTAATTATGTTGAGATTTAAATTCTTATCTTTCTTAATCAATATGATCAGAAAGTTCTTAAACCTATTCTTTTAACTATAAGACTTATTTATTATAATTTTCTTTGATGGCTCTAATTCTTTCATCAATTTTATAACTTCTCTCATTTAATTTATCAATTCGATGAGCCTTGCTTGTACCTTATTTGATATCGAGATTATTTAATTTGTTTGTAATTTAAAGAAATCTCTCTTTTAATGGTTCTCTTTTCATAGTAATTTTTGAATTTAACATTAACTTAAATTTATAATTCGTTAAAATTATGAAATTAGTCCTTAAGAATAAAATAAAACTTATCAAAAAAGATATTGAAGAAAGAATTAATATTAAATTCTAATTTACTTTAGGATGATCTGATAAAAGCCTTCATTGGATATATTATTGTTTAATAGTGTTAATTGTTGAGAATTTATAAATTATATGAGAATGAATTATGATATAACATAAAAAGTTATAAAGTTTCATAAACTTATAATAGTTTTAATGTGTGTAATAAATATATGATTAAATAATAAAAGAAAAATATCGTCATAAAATAGAAAATTCGTAAATTATAAAGAATTGTTTGATGTAAAAAATGTTGAAAAGTGAGTTTTAATATAAAAATGGATGTGTTTAGTATAGAATTAGAAATTAAGATAAAAAGAAATTAGTAAATAAAGTATTAATATGAGAAAAATATCTTATTAAACAATTTTTTAATCGTCATTGATAAAGTCACATCATATTTAGTAAGATAATATTAAAATTATTAGAAATGGAAACAAAAATAAAGGTTGATAATCCTGTAGTAGAGATGGATGGAGATGAAATGACAAGAGTAAAAAGAAAATATAATATTAGGTTATTTGGGCTTGGATTAAAGAATATTTGATTACACCATTTTTGGATATTCCAATATAATATTTTGATTTAGGTATGGAGAATAGAGATAAGACTGATGATAAGGTAACAATTGAATGTGCAAAAGCAATTTAATAATGTAAAGTAGGAATAAAATGTGCTACAATGTATAAGAATAAAATAATAATATTAGTACTCCTGATGAGGCAAGAGTGAAAGAATTCAATTTGAAATATATGTGGAAATCTCCTAATGGAACAATTAGAAATATATTAAATGGAACAGTGTTTAGAGAACCAATATTGATAAAGAATATTCCTAGACTTGTTCCAGGATGGACAAAGCCAATAGTGATAGGTCGTCATGCATTTGGAGATTAATATAAAGCAACAGATCTTCGTTTTTAGAAGGAAGGAAAGTTTGAAGTATTATTTACACCAAAAGATGGAAGTGAACCTTAGAGAGTAGAAGTATTTGATTTCTAAGGTACAGGAGGTGTAGCAATGGCTATGTATAATACAGATGATTCAATTACAGCATTTGCTCATGCTTGTTTTTAACATGCTATTGAATTAGGATATCCATTATATTTATCAACAAAAAATACTATATTAAAAGTATATGATGGAAGATTTAAGGATATCTTTTAACATTTATATGATACAAAATATAAAGCTGATTTTGAAGCTAAAAAGATTTGGTATGAACATAGATTGATTGATGATATGGTTGCATATATGATAAAAAGTGAAGGAGGATTTGTATGGGCTTGTAAGAATTATGATGGAGATGTATAATCTGATACTCTTGCATAAGGATTTGGATCTCTTGGATTAATGACTAGTGTATTAGTTAGTCCAGATGGATGTGTTGAAGCTGAAGCAGCTCATGGAACTGTTACTAGACATTATAGATTACATTAATAAGGAAAAGAAACATCTACTAATTCTATTGCTAGTATATATGCTTGGACTAGAGGATTATTACATAGAGCTAAATTAGATAATAATAAAGAACTAGAAAGATTCTGTAATACTCTTGAAGCTAGTATTATTGAATCTGTAGAAAAAGGATTTATGACTAAAGATTTAGCTATTTGTGTTCATAATACTATGAAGTATTAATAATCATTTATCTTTTTAGTGTACCAAGAGATTAATATTTGAATACTCTAGAATTCATTTAAAAAGTAGCTGAAACTTTAAGAACTAATCTAGCTAAATGAGTTTATTCATAATCATAATAATAAAAATAAATTATCAACCAAAAAAAAATTTTAAATCAACAAAATCCACCAGATATTTAAACTATTGTCTTATTCTTCTTTTATATCTTTCCAACTTCCTTCATAGTTGAATTCTTTTTCTATATTAATATTAAAATTATTTAATTACCGATAATATTGGATTACTATCCCATTCCGTACCTTCTATACTTCTAACTGGTTAATAAGTAGTAATTGGAACAAAACTCTCATCCTCAACAAATGTACCTGTCATACGAATTACTTATTTTACTTTACTTTCATCTATTAATTATTTTTATAATCAATACTTGGTTAAGGTATTAAACTAGGAAAGGATTCATCTTCTATAGCTTAATTCTAAAATATTGCTGCCCCACTATCTTGCCATTTTCCTTTCTTTGTTTAATTATTTTATTTTTATTTCTACTACTACTATTACTACTACTGTTATTATTTTTAAGGCTCTACATTTTTCACTTAAAATTGATCTACTAATATTTGTTCTTTTTTTGGGGCTTTAGCTAATATATTTAGACTTAAAATTACGTAATGATGGAAAATCAAATGCATTCATATCTAATCCATTTACTTATTAGTTTTTTGGTTTCTTTTACAATAATTATTATTTATTTTCTTCTACTGTTTAAGGTTTTGTTATCAGATTAAATAATTTTGCATCCTTCTAAAAGAATTCCAAATAAACACATTCGTTAACATCTTTTTTTTCTTTATGAATTTATTCTCCCTTCAAAATCTTTGAACTTAAATTTACATATAAATAAAATGGAATTAAATCATGATTGCTGATTTTTGATATATTTTCTAATAATATATGATATTAAATACATTAAATAATTGATTAATCATTAAGTAAAATATTTTGTTTGATATGTTCTAATACTTAAGAACTCAAACCAAAATTTAATGCAAATTTAAATTTCCCCATCTCTGAAGTTCTTACATGTCTAAGTACTTCAATAAATTAAAATATTCTTTCTTTTGCCATAATTGTATCAACATAATTTTTAAGTTCTCCATTTTCAATTCTCTAAGCTAAATTTTTATTTAATTCATCTAACAATCTTAAAAATAATTCTGAATAAGTCTTGCAATTCATTATTATGGAATTATTTCTTTTTGGTAATCTTTATAACTCTTTAAAGTAGGCATCATCTAAAATCTTCCATTTATTTCTATTCTCTTTAACATCCCTCATAGCCATGTAAAAGGTTATCAATCTTAATCCTGTTTTCAATTCAAACAATCTAATGAAATCACTAACAAAATGTTCAGCACTATATCTTTCTTATTCAAACATTGAAATCATTTTTCTAATTTGATCTTCTTTCCCTTTTTAGGTTTTAAAGAATTATGAACATTTTCTAATAAAGTAATCAAATCCAATGCTAGGCATAGATATTGGTTTAATTAAACGTACATCTTCTAAATTAATATTTTATTATTAATGTAATTTTTCACTATGATCTAATTATTTATCAATTTCATCATTATATTCTACATATAAAAAGTCTCTAAAATCAATGTTTTCATCATTATGTTCATCAAGATGGACAACAGCTCTTAAATTAGTTTATTTAAGTGAAGGGAATTGATCACTAAAATCCTCACCTTCCTTATCGTTAATTTATTTTTTTTATTTTGGATCATCATAAAATCCAGCAAATTATTAAATATTATATTGATTAAGTTTTTTAATTCTTGGATCATTACAATGACATTAAGTTTTATGTAAATCTAATTCACCTGAAGATTTAAAAACAACAAGCATTTACTTACATTCTGGTTCTTCACATAAGTAATGAGAGAGTTTTAAATGTTTTTCATAACTTCCATGATCTTTATAAAATACAAATTTTTTATCTTCACACATATTGCAATTAATATGAGCAATATTGAGATGTTATTTAAATTTGTCTTCATCATAAAAGTTTTTCTTGCAATATTTACAATAAGGATGCTTGAATATTAGATTACCATCTTCATCATAATCTCCATATTATAGATGATGACGATATTAATATTCAGTATATACTTATTATTCTACAAGAAAGCATGTCTTCTATTCAATACAGACATCACTAAAAATATAGAAAATTTAGTAATACCAAAAATATCGTTAATGCTATTCTTTAAGATGATTTCTTAATAGATTGTAATTACTGAAATGTTACTCAGTTTGGCATTCTTAAAATGGGCATTTAAGATTATTAAGACTTTCTACTTTAGATTTAATTTATTGAGAATTAGTATAAAATACATCTTTTGCTTCTTTCTAAAGAAGTGATATGAATTAATATCATACTGAATATGTTATTGATATGAGTTAATTAAATTGAAAGTCTGTGAATTAAGCATTTAGATTGTCAGTGAGTATTATCTTGTCAAGTTATTATTTACAAATTGGACACATTTTAATTTTACTTATCACCCTCATTTTGATCATACATTGATAACAGAATGTTTTATGATTGCAATGACCTAATGCAATGATTTCTGCTTCTTAAACACATAGTACACAATCTGATTCTACTTTATCCATAATTAATTAAAGAATTATATATTAAAGATATGAGTAATTTCACAACAATTCGTTAAGAATCAAATGTTTAAGAAAGAAAATAAGTTACACTTCCTTAAACATAATATGTATGTTTTATATAATAAATTAAGACAACAACATACTTGAGATCAGAAAGACCAGAAGCTTATTAATTTTGGCATAAAAAAGGAAAACAAAATTCATATCAATCAAAAGTGTTATCAACTCATTATTAAATGTAAACATCATTTAATCCTGGATAATCAATTTAAATTGGAGGAGGATGCACTTAGAATATATAGTGTGGATCTAATGCTTAATCTTGTTGTCCACCATAATAATAGGCTGTTGTAAGATTAGGCGTAGTATCAAGAGAAGAAATTGAAGCACCTTGGAGAGATGAAGTCTTATATTTATAATAATTGATTGCTGAATTTGAAAAAAAAAAGACTGTTGAAGTTGTAAAAGAAATAGATAACACTAGAGTATTAACTATGTTTTATACACTAGGTTCTTGAATTAGAACATGAAAATGAAAGGTTGAGATTGTTAATTCAGTAGACTCAAAGTGAAACTGTAACTTAAAGAATTACTGAAGTTAATAATGAAGCTGAAGTATGGAAAAGAAAGTTCTAAGAAATTAATCATGATTATAGTGAAACTCAAGAAAAATTAATGAATGCAGAGATAGAATTAGAAGCTTTAAAAAAATAGAAGGTAATCCCATTCCATTTTACATAGATTGTAACATCCACCTCTACTGTCACTAAATCAGTTGTGAAAACTTCAGGTTCAACTGTTAGATAGTCTGCTTCAAGTATCAAACCACCTGTATGATTAAATAAAACATTAATCAATATATTAAATTATTTAAATATTATAGAAACATTAACAAATTAACTTTAATATAGCACAATCCTAATATTGTGATATCCTATCTTAAAATAATTATAATTTAATATCTTAATTATACATAAAGTATATTTAAAATAATCAAAAAAAATAGTACAATCTAAAATATTTTCTTTATTAACATTTTAAATACTAATTCTCATATCTAATATATAGATTTAGAACTAAGTAAAATAAACCTTTATTAAAATTAATTTAAATTCTAGCAATAAATTTTTAATTATTAAGTATCATAACAAATTCTAAGTGTGATTGATCATATTTTTTTGAAATCTAATGAAAACACATAGTTTTGAAAAAAATTAATGTAAATAAAATATTTCACTTTTAAATATAGATTGCTTGTTCAGTTCTAAGTTTCAATTCTATTAATTTACAAATATTAATGATGCCATTAATTATTGACATATTTAAATTAAAGGTATAAATATCGTATTACTTGTCTGATGAAATTCAAAAAAATCATACATTACCCTTTTTAAATTTACCTACTTAATAAATTAAAGAAAAAACAAGAAAACTACGTAAAAAAAAGTCAATTAAAGAGTTTTAAAATCTATGAGGTTTAATATAACATAAGATAAAATCGCTCATAAATAAAGCCATAAATATAAACTAATAAAGTAAAACTTAGGAAATTTAGAAGAAGAATCAAAATTAAATATTATTATTTAAGAATAATGATTTTGCTTAAAATCAGACTAATTAGTTGAAAGAAAATTTATTTCACAATTATTTAGAAATATGAAACTTAAGATTTATCGACTCAAGTCATTCATTATATAAATACATTAAATACAATACACATATTATTTACTATAAGAAATGTAAATTTGAAAATACTATAATAATTTTTTAATTAAGGCTTTTTTAATCACTTTGAAAGAATATGTATTGATTTTATAATTGCATTGCTGTTAATGTACTCACTATAAGAATAAAAGCACCAATAAATTCAGATGATAATCAATATTATTGCTTTTATTTATCTTTACTTCATATTATGTGATGAATTTTTTTATACCTAGGATCAAATTAAAAAAAAAATTATGGAAAACACAAACCTATAGCTAAGATATGCGGAAATTTCAATACAAAATCTATCATTTTTACAGTTTATTATGATGAACCTATGACTTATAATTAAATTAAATAAGATAAGATAGGAGAATCAAGAAAATGTAATAATTTTACAAAAACTATTCATTGAGATCCACTTAAAATATCTTAAAATTACCAATTATTCTTATATATAACTTAGAAATTAAGAACCCACCAATAAGAAAATATTAATATGAAATTTCCAAAAAATAAAATCCTAATAGTTTTAACAAATTTACCAAGAGAGTAATAAAAAATAAAATTTACAGAAAGTAAAAGATTTCTCGAATAGTTTAATAGATAATCACAAAAATAATTACATTGATATTTTTTTTAAATTAAAGGTATGTCAGTCTTAATCCTAAAAAGAGGGATAGAATATTTCTAGAAGTTTTATAAAGACATTTGGAATGATCCTTGAAGGAATAGATAAATTTGAAAGGCATATTCTGTTAAAGATCTGACATTAATATTTAGATCTTGAGCTAAAGTAAGCAAGTTCTTAAATAAATTATTTAGTTTGTCCTTTTTGGTAAGGTTGGTATTTTTAGATTTTAACTTGGTTAAACTAAATAAGTTAATTAATTCACTATTGTATATGCATTACACAAATTGATCTAAAACAAGAAAATATCTTTTTCCTCATACTAAAAAAAAGTTTACCATAGTAAACTATTATTAGATGATATAGAGGCTGGTATACTTGATATGAATTTTGAGTTTTGCATGTGTAAATGTTGAATTACATGCGAGTAAATACTCAAAAACAACAAAAAAATATAGGAACCTTATATATCTAAGGATACATTAATGATGTAAAGAACTTGTTAATCATTCAGCTTATCTTTTGGAATATTCAAAATGTATGAATGAAAGATACAAAATTCAATTACAACTTAATTATTTTATTAAACAAAAGAAATTAATTAATTCAAGTTTATAATCTATATATACTCTCATTAAAATATTTTGTGTTGATCACAATTAACGAATTGATTGTCTTCAAATTTAACTACGTTTTTCAAAAAGGAATTTATTTGAATTTTTGATTATATATTAAATATTTTGTTGGAATTTTGTTCTTGATCAGCATTTTTATAAATTTGATTAAATCCCAAAAATATTTATTCAAAATGGGAAACATGTCATCAGTTATTTATATTAATTCCTTTACTATCTATTGGAATATTATTTTAAAATGCAATCATTTCCATCCCAGGCAGTAAATAAATTGATTTTAAACGGTGATCAAAGTCCAGCCCATGAAGAGAATAGTCCAATTTTATTACCCTAATCCATTAAATTAAAACCAACTTTAGGCATCGATATGGCGAAAAACAGAATAAAGTAAAAGAAAAGAAGCATTTAAGAAATAACAGATGAGTTGCTTTAGTGGAAATATTTTCTTGATCACAAATTTCAACATCATGACTGATTATGAAAAATCAACATAAGAAAACATTGATTCATTAACATTGTGAATATTTTTTTATTAAGTCAATAATTTACTACTTTACATCCTTAAAGTTTTTTAAATCATTTTAAATTCTATAATGAGATATATTATGTTTTAAATTATATGCATATTAGCTAATACTCACTTAAATTCACCGAAATCAAAATTTTTCACTTAATCTTCACTTCATATTTTTTCGATTTTTTGGATAAAAAGTTGTTTCAAACTCATCTTGATAACATACGGAAGAATCATCTATAAATGAAAAAAATTAAAAAAATTTATTGACTAAAATTTAATGTTAATTATGATTGATGTTTATTAAAAAAAAATATGCAATTGATATTTGAATAATCTTAATTCAATATTTTTTAGAAAACATCATAATTTAATATTTAAGATAAAATCAGGAGTAAACTAAGAGTGAGAATATACATTAATAATATAGGAAAATAAATTAATCACTAATTCTAAGAATCAAGAATATAGCATTAAAAATATCTAGTTTAATTAAATAAAAAAGGAAAATTGATTATTTTATGAAGAGAAAAGAAAAATTATGAATTGAGTAACTTAATATTTATTTTTGATATGATTTAAAGAATGAAAATCATTATCATTTCATGATAACTTGTTTTTCAGTTTATTTTCATTTATTCATAAATTTTTTTCCATTCATATATAGAAAATATATTATCATATAGAATATTAATAAAAAGATAGAAAATAATTAAAACACAGATAATCATTATTTTTTCATTTATTTTATTACTTAATATATTATTATAGTAACCAATCAATGTCCCTGATTTCAATTTAATTCATTAATCTGCCACCTTTATTAATTTCTATTATTTATTGAAATTTTTTTCCTTTTTTATCAGAAACATAATAATCTAATTCTGATAATTTATAATCAGGTAATTTTCCTGTAACTATTTTTGCTAATTCCTTAAAAACAACTTTTTAATTAATGTCTTTTGTTGTAACATAAATTAATTTATTTTTTAGAAATTGAGTTGGTGTTTATTGATTAGTTGGTTGTAAATGATATAATTTTTTATTATTAACTTAAAGTTCAAGAAGATTTTTTTCTAAACAATAGTTAACCCATCTATAACTGTAATATTTGATGGATTATACTTTACAATCTTTTTCTATAATTTAAATAGTTTCTTTGCATAATTCATGATCAGGCAATAAAAAAATTAAGACAGCTTTAGATGAACTTATTTTTAGATTTGAAACTTTGATTTTCATAGGGTAACTTAATCTTTCAACTAATGCCCCATTATCATTTAAGGATGTAACAACAATCTTATCAAGAGATGAATGATCAAAGACAAATACTTAACATTATTCAAATAATTTAGTTTTTTTGACAGTATTTGTTGAGAATCTATTGAATGCCAACATATTACTATTATTATTGCTAAATGATTATGATTTAAGTCCAAATTTAGAAGTATTATTATTTTCTTCTCCAAATGCTCTAGAGTCAGGAATTTTACCAAATAAAAACTAATCTCTTTGAATTTCTTCTTAGCTTGCAGGTAAACTATTGAAAGTAACCTATTCAAAAGAAGATTTGATTCTGACTTAATATTCATCTTCTCTTAATCTTCTTCTCAATCTAAAGCATTCACATAACCACATTGGATGAAAAACTTAATAAATCTATTAATTAACTTCTTCACTGCATCCCTATAGATAGATTACATGTGTAACTATAGGAAGAAGAGTATATACATAAAATCCATCTCCAGCTGAAATCAATTAGGAAATTACCCTTTTGAGATTATCATCTTTAACAGCTATATAAATAACACAATTAGTTAAATAACAATACTCAGAAAGTTATACTTTATTTAATGCTTCTAACACACCACTTCCTTACAAGTTTTCTAATAACTCTCTGGCAGTCACTTTCTATTAATTGTATTAAAAGTATTGAGTTGGTACAAATTCTGATCTTTCATAACATTGCATAATCCAATCTGAATCAACTAAGCATTTTGTACAATTCCTTAATTCAAACTCAAATTAAGACCCTTTTTTAAATACAACAATATCAGATTATTAAATATCACATTCCACAATACCTTCATTCTTTATTATAAAATCTTTTAATTTATCTAATTCACTTTTCATAAAACCTAATAGCGCCAATTTTATATTTCTAAATGGTTTAAGTAAATATTTTTTTGTATCAATTTTTTAGTGTTAATTATAACAATTATATATCCACTCTTTATTTACAACATCAATGTTTAGTCTTTTTGCTACCTTTAATGGCAATCATAATACTTTATATTTATCTGATTGGAAAGCTGTATTGCAAACTAAAACATTAACTTAGAAAGTCATTCCTTAAGATTATTTAAATCCTATTTCTGAAAGTTCTTCTATAAATTTAGAAATTGTTGTTTTCTCTTTTTAGTCAAATCCACTCAAAGAAATGTTAAGCATTTAATAATTAAGTTTTTTTTAATTTTTATTAAGTAAACCCATATTTACAATAATATCAATTTCAAATTCATTGATTCAAAGAATGCTATCTACTGTGATTACTATAAATATTTTTCATTCCCAAAATTTATTTATTCCACACTGTTTCTTAATTCTTTATTTATTAGTATTGTTTCCAAGGATCCTCATGTTTAGAATTAGAAAAGAAAGTCTTCCCTTAACTTTTTTATGTGTTTATATTGGAAGGACTACAACTTTTTTCTAGAAAACTTGATTTAGTGTTGGGAATTTTAATAGTTTTTAATTAAAGATTTCTAATATTAGTTTTAGTGACTTCAGAATTAAGATTGCAATAAATATTGAAGTTTGAAATGCTCTGACGACCTTTTGGGACAGAAGTTTATTTTTCAAGACTTGAATTCAAACTTAAATACTTGCTAGCACTTTTATTTAGACTTGAATTTTAATTAGTTTTAGTTGATTTTAATTTATCTTCATATTCTTTTAATTATTCTAAGAAACCATCATTTGGATCAACTTAAGGTCTTTAAGATTTTATTTTGTTTATAGCTTCTTTTAATGAATATCCTTGACATTTGAGTAGATAAGCAATAATCAATGAACTTGATCTGGATATACCAGCATAACAATGAACTAAAACATTGGTATGTTTAAGATTATTTTGAATAAAATTAGAAGCTTAATCAAAATACCTAATAAGTTGTACACTTTCACAATCTTCAGCTGCTATCCACTAAAAATAATAATCGATAAAATTACTAGATGAATAACAGACTTTTCTAATTTGATATCACTAGTGTCTATTACAGATAATACAGCACCAACATCATGTTTTCTAAGATATTAAGCATCATTAGCTGCATTGATATTTCCCAAATATAATTTGTGACTATCAAGTTCAAAGACACAATTCATTGGATTATCTTTGAATTAATAAATGTTAACATACATGAATAAGGTTATTGTGTCTTGAAACTAATTTATGTACAAGTTAAATTCATATCTAACCACTTTGACATCGTTAAATTAACAAACAAATATAATTTCTAAAAATAATGTAAATAATATTTGAGTCAAATTTCTAATAATATATAAATAACTTAATTCATCACTTTATCAATCAGATAGTAAATTTTTAAATTCTTAATAAGAAATCTAACCTGATTTGTCACGATCCATTTCATTAATCAATCTCTAAGTAGATATTTATGCATCTTTACTTCAATATCAATTGTCATCTTAAAATCAGATTTAATAATCTATATAATTATTAAGTTTACTTATATTAATTTAGTTGCATCTACAGTCCCAGACTTATCAGCATTTCCTCCCATAGCTACAAATGCATCCACTAATATAAATGTAATTTTTAACTTACATGTATCATCTTATTCATTATCTTCTTCTATGATCTTATAAATAGCTATAGCTCTTTTGAAATCTTCAAAATCTTAATTCTACATTATTATTTTACCTATAAATCCTTTATTCTTCACATCAACTTAATTAATCATTTATTATAACTCCTCTTTACTAGGTTTATGTCCGAATTCTTCAAGTATTTTCTACAACTCTTCAACTTCTAATGTTCCATATCCCATTTTATCATAAGCTTCAAAAGCATCTTTTGCTGCTTTAATCTCCTCTTGTGTTAATATTTAATCGGGATTAATTTGATTCATTATATTATTTATTATTAAACTTCTTTAATTTTATAATCAAAATAATTTCCCAAATATACGATTATTATATAATATTAATCAAATTGGAACCACCATTGTATTCCAAAGTCCACAAGTATTTTTACCTCTTTCAAGATAAATGTAACCTGAAGAACCCCATGTATTAGCCCAAGAATTCTTTACTATTGTTGCAGTTGAAGTAAATCCTACTGCTAAAACTGCATGATTAAGATTATCTCCACATTCATCATAATTAAAAACCTCTCTATCAGCTGGTTTATAATTTTTCCATTATCCTGCATCAACACCAATAGACACTGGTTAAATTTATAATGCTTGATACAATGCCCACTCTGAGATTTCTAATACTTTTGATCCTTTAACTTTATATACTCCACCTTTCACTAAACATTCAGAACCTTATACTCCTTCCTATCATTATTATTATTAATATTTACATAGGGATAACCTTCCTCTGTTGTTATACCATTTCTCTTTACAAAATTTAATGCTCTATAAGGCATACCACCATTACAACCAAAATTTAAATCTACTGTTGTTGAACAATCTATTAATTATTATTCAGATAATGAAGGTAATTCTCCTGTTGTAACTTTGAAAAATCCTTCCAAAACACCTGTTGTACTAAATGTCCAACATGATCCACATTTTAACTAATTCTTAACTGGTGTTACCGCTCCCAAATTTCTCCAATCAATCTCTTTAGGATCAGCTGTTATGTGTGAAAAAGACTCTCTTGGTTCATTTTCATAATCTTCAAACTAATATTTTAATGTCAAATATTGTTCTCTGAATTCTTCATCTGTTATATCAGCAAATTATGTTTCTCCATACACTTATCTACCCAATTTAGAATTCTTTAAATTGATTTCTTCCAGGGTTTACATATAAACTTTAAATCTATATTAATCTTCAGAGGCAGAATATTATTTATTGTAAGCCAACTTATATTCATTGTACTTCTATTTTAAATCAACAGAAGTAGAATAATTTAAATTGTATAGGCTCCCTATTATTAATACAAAGCCTAATGTTAGAAAAGCTTTTTCCATAACAAATATTAATTAATTATCAACAATAGATCATATATATCACTAAATAAATTAAAGGATGACATCATCATCAAAAAATTACTCATTTACTCTCTAATTTTATGAAAACTTATCTTCTTCTAATTCTTATAAACTGTAACAACCAACCTAGTAATTTGTATTTTATTAAGGATTCAGGGTCATCATCGATATAGATTTTCCCATCTAAATCTCAGTTTAATTCCTAAAAACATTAGTTCCATTCCAAGACTAATATTTTTATAGAATATTTTTAGATATTGGTTCAAGTTTTTCTTAAACTAACTAAATAATACTCATTGATAATCTGTATAAATTAACCCATGATCCCAAACAATTTTAAGGATTCCATCTTTCCTCTTTACATGGCCATATTTAAGAGTCAGGTTCATACTTAAATAAGCTCTTATATAACATAAGAGTTTGTGAATAAAAATTCTAAACAGTATTTTAATTTCCTTAATTAGCAGGATTATGATAAATAAATTTTTCATAGATTGCATTACAAAACTATCGATATTATTTTGTCATACATTAATGAGTGTGCCAAACTTAATCAACTTCTTGACTTGGAACTAAAACAATTTGAGAGAATTTCATCATTGTCATAAAGTGACAATATTCATAAATATATTATTTAGCTAATTGCTAACTTAAGCAATACTTATGCATCATTATCGATTCTAAATCACGAGGTATAAATTGTTATATTTTCTTAAATACTAACTCAATATTCTTATCACAAATTTATCTCTTTTAAAACTTTTATGTTTCTTTCTTACATAAATTTATTTTCATCTACATCATTAAATCTAATATAAATTCAAATGTAAGTGTTTCTTGACTAATTATAGAATTATGAATATCCATCATTATTTATTCCAACTCATATGAATTTACCCAAATTATAAATTCTAATTCTATTTAATACATTTTATCATCATATTCAGGCAGCATCTTTTTTAGAATTTTCTAATGTAAATTTCGTTAATTGTATTCTCTGTCAATTATATAACCTACAAGCTTTTTACATATAGTAATATAATTTTTTGAATATAAAATTGCTATTTGCCACACTTAATCTAATAATGGTGGTGCAGAGAATCTAGAAACTATTCCCTTGTCTTATACTTGAATCTTCTATTCTTTTATTATAAATGCATTCTCAAGCAAAAATTTCTTCAAGCATATTTATAATTGACAAACTGTTTTTGTGTCAAGCATTAGTTCTCTGATCACACGCTATTCAAGTGGAATTTCTTATTTTGGTTCGTTAAAATTAAAATTTATTATTTCACTAACCATCTCTGTACGATATGTATCACTTTTGCAACAATTAATTCCCATTTTTATTTTTATTATAATTTTTTATTTTTCATTTATACTCATCTAAAAGGAATCTTTTGTATAAAATAAAATTCAAAAAATTTTTAAAGAAGATCCTTGTAACTGATTTATAAATTGATCTTTCTATATAATAATATCTTCTTGTAATGAATGCATGAAAAAATAAACAATAAAGTTTTGATCTTATTTAATTATACATTATTGAATAGAAAAGAATAGTGATTTAAAGCTATATTGAGAAGAATTGATTGAGATTAGTAAATGGAAGAAATAGTGTGATTATTTTAGAGAGAATGAATTTTATTTATTATTATTTATTTTAGATTATATTAAAATCTTTAATTTTCATTTTTCAAATAATGGCAGAATAAACATAAGATAAATAATTTAAGGGTGTGAAAAAGTTTACCTACAGAGGTTTATAATTGGAAGAGCTTGTCAAATTGCCAATGGATAAATTGGTTGAATAATTCAGAGCAAGATAAAGAAGAAGAATTTCTAATTAAGGTGAAAAAGTTCATGCCTTTTAAAATTTGATGAAGAAAGTAGAGAATACAATATATTATTATAGATTCGTAAATCAAAGAAAGAGACATTACCAGGAGAGAAACCAAAGCCAGTAAAGACTCATTAAAGAAATACAATAGTAGTACCAGAGATGGTTGGTTCAATCGTAGGTGTTTATAATGGTAGATAATTCAGCAACGTAGAAATAAAGTTTGATATGATTGGCAGGTATATCTGAATGCAAATTTAATACTAGATATTTGGGTGAATTCTCATTGACATATAAACCAACAAGACATGGAAAACCAGGTGTTGGTGCTACAAAGGGATCATAACATACAGATTGATAATTATATAGTATATAAGTACAATATAAATAATTGCAGTTAATGTAAATTGAATATAACTATTTTCATCTTGATTTTTCATCAATTTAATATAATTTCTATATTAATTAACATTTATTTTACTCAAAGTCTTTTATTTAACAACAGAAATTGGACTAGATTCTTTAAAAGATTTCTATCTACTAGTGTCTAATTATAAATAAAAAGAATTATTAATTAAAAAGGTTATTCAACTTATTTTCCTCTCTCTCCTAAAAATTTTTTCATTAATTCAAAGAATAACTTCCTCTATTTAAAAGGGATCTATGAATTAACACATATTAGCAACATCCATAAGATAAGGACGTTTTAGAATGTCAATGAAAGTTATTCTTTCCAAGGATCAAAACCTCATATTGATTTGAACCTTATATTTAATTACTATTAAATAATCCTATCCATTATTTTTTAAGGCTACATATAAGAAATAAAATAATTACTTTATACAGATTTATAATGTGTTATTTCATTCAAAAATTTAATAGCATTCTTAATTAAAAAGATGTTGCAATTTAAATGTTCTTGGATAAAAATAAATCTTAATAGATTTTAAGAAGAAAAAGATAAAATGAATATTTTGCATTTTATATCAGATAATTTAAAATATTATAAAAGCAATTATCACTTTAATGGAAGTTATAAATTATGGTTTAAGTTTAAATAATTCTAATTCTTTAATTAGAGAAAATTAAATTTTCAAATGATGGCATTTCAGTCAAAATTTTGAGAATCTAAAAGAAGACTAAATAAGAGATAAGACTTTTATACCTAATTTTTTGAATGTAAATGATATATAGAATGAATAGATATGTTTAATACTTAAATTTGAAAATAATGATTTTTGAATTCAACCAATTTCAAAGGGTCCAGGAGATAAATCACCATTTTCTTATGTTATTGGTCTATTACTTCGAAGTTATTGATTCATCTATTCTCTCTATTCAGAGATTGGTGTTTGGTCATCTCTAGAGACAGGGGCTAACTTGCTCTATGATGGTAATTGAAAATTGTTTTAATTGTCTGTTTTCAAATTTTATGTTACATCTGGTATGTGTTCTCTATATTTTTCATGATCAACTTGATATTTCTTATATAAATATATTAAGGCTCCAATAAATGAAATAAATAATAACAATATGGCTATGTATAGTAATATTATTAGTAAATAAGTTTATTTATTACCTCCAAATTATTTTGGTTCAACAAATTAAATATTATAAGTTTTAATAAGTTCACATTCTCTACTCTTCAAATTATTTTTACATCTGGTAGCCCTATGACTATAAATTAATTGAATTTCAGAAGTGATTTCATCTGAGTAACATTAAATAAAAGATTTTTCCTAGATTTAATAATCAAGATAATTACCAACTCTATTTTTGAATAAAAGAATTTATGTTATGTAATTCCGATTATGATATTATAAGAAGAATTACCCTCTTTGAGTTATAATTTTTATTAATCTAAATTCAAAGACAAAATACCTAATTATTTTAAATTAGGTATGACTAATTGATTCATCCACTCGAATTAAGAATAAGTAGATGGAATTGAATGAAATAAAATTTAATGACCATTTCTACCTATTACAATAGCAAATTATTCTGTCAATTCGATATCGACTATTTCAGTTTCTAATTAATGCTATTTAACAAGTGAATATTAATTTCCATAATAATCAATTCGAATCTCGTATAAATATTTATCTTTGACTATCATTAAAATTTCATTGTATATGTCAAGAATTTCTCCTGGATAAGGAATAATTCCTAATTTTAAATTTAGCTATAATTATTGTGTCACAGTATTAAATATATATTAACTAATTCCTTAGATTTTATCTAACAAATAAATGTAGTAAATTTCATTATTTTTGTTGTTAAAAATTTTGATATCAGTAACACGATTAATCTAATCGATTTCTATTAATAATTCATTTAATATATGACCCTTGAATTCAAACATTTTAATTCCAGTATCCATTGCTACAATCATAATATTGCCAACTGTTGCAATACTGTTTATGTGAGAGAGTGACCATTGTTCATAAATTTTATATTATTTTATATAGAGATCATCATCATCATAAATTAAATCCAAAGCTATAGTTTAAGTATTTGCTATCAATAAAACTTATTATTGGTAATAAAAATATTCTAAAAATACATTACCTTCTAAAGCAAATTTCTCAACTTCCAATTTAAAGGTAGATTTTAATCTAAATGTATTATTTTGGTAAGTTAAATATTTTAATTGAGCATCATCTTATAATACTAAGACACCATTAGTCACTTAGACAAATTTTATAATCTTTCCTATTTTACCGACAAATGATCCAAGTTCAAAGTTTTAACTAAATATTTCATCTTTGTAACTTTCAATTAAGGTTATTGAATTATCATCAATATTATGAGCCACTAATTATTAAGGGACAATTTGACACAATTTTTGATCAGTCATCTATTATTCAAGAATTATTCCAGGTGAAGTAAAGACTTCTAAGATTGCTTCTTACTTGGTTAGAATCTAGATAAGTTCAGATTAGACTTAATAAACCAAAAGTTAAAGAATTATGAGCATATAATTAAAAATATTTAATTTTATATTTTCATTCAATCTTTTAGTCATTTTATGCAGGAATGGAAGGAATATAAGATTATTTATTAATTTTCATTGGACTATCAAATGAATTTAAAGCATATATATCCAGAGTAGGTGGAACTTAACTTCCACTTTATTAATGATATGAATCTTTTGAGTTGTGAAATTTTACAAAATATTAGTACTTTTTGAATTCTTTTATCAATAAGCCTAAAACTATCATAAAGATTGCTACAATAACTATACATGTAATATACACATATATTGATTGTTCAGAAGTAAGAATAGGATGTACAAATTTTATTGTATAATTTTATTTGAAATGGCAAATCTTAATTTAAGTTGAGTTAGGACATTTTGTAGAATTTTAATGATACGTAAACTTTATCTCTTCATCATTTTTGCTATAAAAACAACTAATGAATTGAGGAAACAATTATAAATTTGTTGTGAAAAATTTATGTTTAGTTACACCAAACATCTAAATATTATGAGATTCTCCTTTATTAAGAAAAAAGAGTTTTTATAATCCAGGTATAATTATTTTATCCTAAATTTTAATATCATAAATGGGAAGAGAATGATATATTATTTCGTGTCCATTTTAACCTATAATGATAGCATAATTCTCAGTCATTTCAATATCTTAAATATATTTCTATGCTAAATGTTAATGAACTAATTTCCAAGTATTATTTTCATATGAAATTTGTAATTCATGAATTATTGATTCATTTTCTTTTTCTTCTACAACCATTAACACATTTTTATATAAATCTATAATCTATCCTCTATAAGGAATATTTGTTAATTGAAGATTTTCATAAAATAAAGATGTTTTAGCATTGAAAGTGATTACTTTAATTCCTTTTTCATAATCAAGTGCAAAAATAAAATAAATTGAATTTTCTTAAAAAACTCTTAAGTCTGTGATGTTTTTAAATTCAATTGTACATTATATCTATTCAAATACTCGTTTACTTACCTAATAAACATGTAATCCTAATTCACCTGATGCTACAAATAATAAGTCTTCTATAAATGCTACACTATTTATCTATTCCGTTAAAAAAACATCATATATCTTCATCATTTCACCAAAAATTGATTCACCTTCAAACTCCAATTTTATCTTCAAAGTTTCACCATTCAATAAAATCAATAATTCATTTGAATTTATGATGAATTACATATACACAGGTTTTAGCAATTATTCTTTATTAATAGATAACATCTTTGTGTCAGCTAATTTAAAAGAATTCTCTACTAATTTTAAATAAATCAACTCTCCTTTATTACTCAGAACTATTGCACCAGTTGATATTTGAACAACTTATATGATATAATTTATATCTCCACTCAATTTGCCATCATTATAATAATTAAGAAATACATCTTCCTTGAATTCAGGTACAAGAATGATTTCCTCTGATTGTTTATTCTTTAATTTTTAATTTATTATGTAGCAAGGTTATTCTGTTTGAGTTTCATATGTTATATTTGATCCCAAAATTATTCCAAATTGTGAAAAACTATCTAGCACTTATTCATCATTCTAATAAATAGAAAATTCTTTTGCAAGCCCTTCTGAACAATATTCAATCAGAATCAAGATTATTAACATTCTTAAGTGGTTAATAAATATATAATAATTATATGCTTATGATTATTGGAAACATTCAAAATTCAACAAAATCATAATTGTTAACAATTAATCAGATTCTAACAGACTTTTTGTCAATAAATATAGATATGTTCAATTTTTATTATTTTAATTCATTTTTATCAAAGATATTACTTATTTTATTTTAGTAATTTAAATTTTAAAAATATTATAATAAAATTAAATGAGAATGACGTGGATAATTATACTTATTTTCCCTCTCATATATTCCTAATATGTATTATGTTTTCTAATTATAAAGATAGAAGGTTAGAGGGCTTGCTATTTAATAGATAATATTATTAATAACAAAAAAGAAAGAATACCATTAATCTATAATAATGGATGGAATTAAGAACTTATTATTAGTACCCCAAAAGGAAATAGACCAGAACCTTAAATGATAATGAATAAACAGTATATTGAATAGCATTTGAGAGCTTTTCATGATGGTGCTTCTCTAATAATTGTAACAGCAATCTTAGATAATTTTGGAAGAGATTATGTAGGAACAAAAAATGGATTATTTGTTGTACCTTAATATTAAATGGATATTTTGTTGAAAGCAGCAAACGGTAGTCTTTAGATAATAGAGAAAAATCTAGGTGTTCCATAAGGAAGATGGTTATTCAAAAGACTAAGTAGAATTGATATTCCAAATCCTTAAAAATTTAATTTGAGAATCCCTAGTGGAAATGAAGCTGGCATAAATAATTTATGGAAACCTGGTGGATTATTGCCCAATGGAATGTTAGAAGCTATCATCGATATGGTATATATCATTTATATATCTACAATTATAAATTATGTATCATCTTTTTATTCTCTACCTTAATTTAGATATTTTGGTCTTAAAAAATATGGTGATTTATCTAAGTAAATTATATATCTTTAGATATCGTAATTAAAAATTTAGATTCAACTTCCTAATTTAAAAAAATTTATGACTTTCTTTATTCCTGAAAAATGTGAAAAGCAATTTCTACCTTAAGAATTAATCCTAAGATTATTAAAGAATAGGGTATCCATTAATTTTAATATAAATAAATTATAATATTTTTCTTATGTTAATATATCTATAGAATATAATATTAATTATAGAAATAGTTTTATATGTAGAGCTTCTTACGAATTCTAATTTAGTATTTTCTGGAATATAGGAATTAGTATAGTCACAAAAATAAAGTATAAGGACTTAAAAATAAATAAATAAAATTATCTTAAAATCAATTTTAAATTATAATTAGAAAGATTTACAATATAATATTAATCTATATGAATATTTATCTTAGAATTTAGAAATTATAAATGAATTTAATTCTAATATGAATAAGTAAAGAAATAAATTTGATTTATTTAATAAAGTAATAAATAGTAGACATATTAAAACAATATTTTTAATTAAAAATAAGGAGATAGTTAAAAAAAATATGTAAGAATTTATAATTTTTTATTTTATTAATATTGTTATTCATTTTTTTGATTTGTTTGTCTCAAATGATTGAATATAATTTACATCATAGAAATCTTTTTCCCTTCCATTCTCCTCAATATCATCACAGTTATCATCATTATCACTATTCAACCCTAAATAATTTTATGTCTATTTTGTCAACTAATGATAATTCTAACTTAATATCAAAGCATCATTAATAGATAAGATATCATATTTGGTTGAAATAATATTCATGTTTCTAAAATTAATAGTTTTCATTTGGTTTTGAATACCTTCAGAAATAATATATGATTCTCCTGTATCTGATAATTTCATAGGAACTTTAATTCCGATTCTATGAACTTTTTCTATTTCTTTCCGTCTTTTCATAGACATTAAGATAAATTAAAATCTTGATATTTCATACAATAGATTTTTATAATTTAATTTACAAGCCATCTAAGAATGAATTTATTTTTAAAAGGATAAAAAACTAGATAATTCTACTTATAAACCATCAAATTTAACTGATTTAATTTTTCCCCAACAGTTTTTAACAATATCAAATCTTCTAATTTCAGGATAATATTATCTCATAATATCATCTAATACAGATTATCTCATTTATGATAAATTAAGCATCAAAATTAAATATTTAACAGAAAATAGAATGCTGATAATTGATCCAATTGATGCAAAAACTTCACTGATTGGTGGATATTAAATTTAAATAATACGATATTACTATTCAAAAACTATCCAAAAAATTCCAAAAGTGTTTGGTAAATAGTATTTCTCACAAAATGATTTAGAGGAATATTAAGGAAAATTTTGAGCGTTTGAGATATAAGTTTTATCTTCTGTATCAGTGGAAAATAAAAATGCCTTATCTATTTAGTAATTATTTAATTCATAATATAATGTAATCGTAGAACACAAATCTGCTTCAGGAAGAATTTATATTGAATAAATTCGTATAAATTATTAAGATTCAAATGTAGATGGATTTAAAGTAGTGAACTCTAAAATAGAATACAATTCATTGCCTATTTAATCAAAGTAATTCTATTTGATTTCTTCAGAGGCACATTTTAAATCACCATTCAAATATTGTTCATCACAAAAGATAAAGAGGATTTTAAATTCAGAATCTTGAGTTATTTTAAGTTTTATATCAAGTTATTAGTCATCTGTAATATTATTAAACAATGGTTAATAATCACCAATACTAAGATCGAATATTAATGGTATGAAAATAATCTCATCCTTTTTAAATGGATTAATTGGAGAACTTCCATATTTGTCATTAGCAAAAATCTAAATTCTATTATCGATTAATCCTAAATTAAGGTCCTACGAAAAGTTGCTTAAATCTTGTGTAACTTTTGGTAATAGCTAATAACTCCACCACAAATACAGATAGTATATGCAATAGATTAAACTTAGAGCACCAATTATCAAAGAGATAATACCACCAATAACACTTGAATGATTATAATGAAATCCATCTGATATAGCAGGGGTGTATGTTACGCTGAAAAAGTCCACATTTTTTAATTGATTAAAAATTTTCTTCATTATTAATTATATTCGCTTAGAATTTAATCTATTTTAGCTAAATATAAAGAATAAAGGTATATTTTTTAGTTTAATTAGAAAAAATAAACAAAAATATTTAAATGAATATTAATCCTCACTAAAAAATATGAGTTTTATAACTTGAATAGTGTCATATATTCATTTTTCTCTATTTGGAATCAAAATTTTAATATTCAAAATCCTATATATTTATTCATAATTATATAATTTTCATTTCTTTCTGAAATTACTGAAGTGTTTTTAAATAGAATTCATTATATATCTAATGATGTTCAAGTATCTCCCAATAATTTGTTCCTTTCAATATTTATGTTTATGGCATTGCTATAATACTACATCAATTTCTCTAGGAGATATAAATTTATAATTATAATTTATAAGTCTTTCATTTTTTATATAAGATTTCACACATAATTTCATTAAATGAATATCATTACACTAAATATATGAAAATATAAATTACATCTATCATCTAAAGCACAAATTAATAAATTTTTTATTTTTTGGATTAAGATTGAGAATGCTTAATTATTCAAGCAAGAAGCTTTTTACCAACAGTTATCAAGAGCATCTGCAAAAGAATATTAAAGAAATAATCGAAAGAGCTTGCCAATCATCTTTTATAAATTTAATGAATTCTAAAAACAAACCTCACTGTAAATATGTACCTAAAAATGAATATAATGAAATTTTTTTGAGTCTTACTTGAAATTTTTGAGAAGATGTTAAAAATGAAAATCAATATATTTAATAATCAATATAATTAATAATCAAAATATTTAATAATATTAAAATCAAATGTAAAAAATAAAACTATTACAAAAAAATAAAAAGATTATTTATATGAGATAATCATTGTAGTTAAATTAAAAAAGTTTTTGTGATTATATGATATATAGAAACAAATGATATGATGGGAGAAGTTATGAAATTGGATTAGAATGCTGTTTTGCCTGGGAAAGGTGATGAAAAATAAGAATTTTCATCTAAAGTTGTATCATAAGAATGCACCTATATAAATTGAGAATGAGTTAAATTTTGCATTAAATAAATATTAATTTAAGTGCAAAAATTATGGAGATATATAATCGATTAGTCATTAGAATTTTACAAAACTATTGTATTGAGTCTCTTAAAAATAAGGATTTATGTATTATGTTTTACTAATAATGCCTCAAATCCATTGATTAATTGATTTACATATCATAATATATTAATATTGTTATAATATTAATTATTATAAGTATTTCATAATTTATAATGGGAATCTGTGTATATTTTTAACTATTAATTTGGATCTACATCTATGTATTTGCAATGCTCATTCCGACAGTAATGACAATTATACATTTTATTTGTTAAGGATTGCACTGCACAAATATGACAAACATAATTCGAACAACATGTTGATTGTAACATACCTAAATTAATCTATTATCTCATACAATCATAATATTTGAAGCAGATTGGACAGTAATATTTACATTCTCTATTAACTATTTCACTTGCCTGAATATTATTAATTGAAATTAATACATTAGTCTTATTATATTCAGTTATTATTTTAAGATTCTTATCGAAATAAAGACCATCTTAACATATTAAATTTAACTAATGCAAATTTCCTAATGATAAATGCTTACGATCCTTCTTCTTCTTACCACAACAAACAAACATCTAACGATAAATTAAATTAATTTACTATTAAATAAATTTAGTATAATTCACCATTCCAAATTCTATTCCATAATAACTCATTACTTTTAGCACTACTTACTTTTTAATTTATTTTAAAATTATCAATTTAACATCACTCAAATTCTTCTTTTTTACTAAAAATTATTATAATAATCTAAAATAATGAGTAAACATGATTCAGATGAATAGGAGGGTATTTTATTTACTATTTATAGAATTCTCTGATGAGGATGATTATGTTGATGATAAACCTATTGAACCAAGACCATATTAAACAACTCATGATGAGGAAACCATTCAAGTAATTAGATTTATATATATTTATATAAGGAAATTCTATCCTTATATGTGAAAGATAGACCACATATCAAAATGTAATTCATTAAAAAGAGAAAGGAATTTGGGTATCCATTTTTATTATTCGTATTTTTAGATTGCCATTCAAATTTAGCGATCAAGAGACATCTGAAAGAACAGGAGAAATTAAGGCATTAGACAAGGACCCACTTCAATTAACAAAAAATAAAGTTATTGAAATGGGAATTCAAGGATGCAATCCTGTTTTAGATGCCTGCTCTCAAACTGTTTGGAATAGAAAAATTAATAAAGCATTACAAGTTGATGAAGGAGATGAAAGATTAGATATTCCTGATGACGATTTTAATCTTCTTAAATTCATAGAAACTGTGTAACCACTAATGGAAGAAGCACTCCAATCAAATGAAACTATTGATATATATTAAGATGATTTCAATGTCCTTCCATCATCAGATCTAAATGGAGGTATATAAAATAAGAGAAATTTATTTTAGATTAAAATGCTGAACTTACAAATGTGATCAAAGAAATAAAAAGCTTCAGTTATTTAAATTGTAAAGGTAAAAAAATACAATGTATACAATTCCAACCTTCAAGTTAAGCGATAAAATCAAAATATATCGTTGCAGAATCATTTGTAGAAAATTTATTGTTTGAAGAAAGAGCAATTTCATAATTAAAGTCTCATAAATCTCTTATAGTATTTTGGGATTTTGAAGACATACATTCAATAGAGCCAGTTTTATTATTACAATCACCTCTTGAAATATTGGCATTTGAATTCAATCCAAAAGATCCTAATATAATCATAGGAGGTGCAATAAATGGATAAGTTATGTTATGGGATTTGAGTGGAACAGCACTTTCTGTTTTTGCATCTAAAAAAACCTAAAAAACAAAATAAGAAAGAAGTATATAATAATAAATAAATTATAGATGAAATATAAGAATTATTACCAAAAATGATATCTGCTTTATAAGATCCAGCTTCTTATTAAGCTGGTGCTTCAAATGATATATTAAAAAAATAGGTTGCATCTCACAAAAGCCCTGCTTTAGCACTTAAATGGTTTCCAATAGGAATGGAATTTGATAAAAAACACTTTAATCATCTTATACTAACTTCATCATAAGAGACTTATTAATTTGCAAGTATTAGTTCTGATGGATAAATATTGTTTTGGGACACTCGTTTAATAGACAAGGACAGTAAAAAAACTTAATAAGATGTAATGAATTGATATATAAAGATAGATTTAATCTATACCTTGGAAAGCTACATATGGAATATAACTATATCGACCTGAAGGAGGTGGAATGATGGGAGGTGGATAATTATAATTTAGGAAGAGTATTTATATTTAATTTATATATATAGATTAGAAAGTACCAACTTTATCAGGAACTTCAGATGAAGGTGAAGTATTTATATTAGATTGGGGAGAAAAATAAGGAGAAGAAGGATAAAAGAATTAATTAGTCACAACAATATGGTAATAAGCAAGATGCATGAGACCTCCTATTGCATTAGATGTTAGTCCATTTTTTGATGATATTATACTTACTCTTTATGATTTCAATTTTTGTATTTGGAAACATAACTCAAGTTTACCAATTTTTGAAAGCTTTATTTTAAAAGGAGCTCATATTACATGTGGTGGATTTTCTCCATTTAGAGCAGGTGTTATAATAGTAGGAAAAACTGATGGAAATTTAGATGTTTGGGATATGTTAGATTAATCACATAAATGGACTATATAATTTTAAGTTGTAGCTTGTGCAATAACATCTCTTAAATTTAATGATAATATGGCACATATAATGGCTGTTGGAGATTAAGATGGAACCTTACATTTATTAGAATTTCCATAGAGTTTATGTAAAGATTAAGGAAGTGAAGTAAAAGTCATGAAAGCATTTTGGGAAAGAGAACTTAAGAGAGTTAACTATTTTTAGGAAAGATTCAAATTTAGAGAATAATAAGCAAAATAATAAAATGAAAAAGAAATTTTAGCTCAAGCTTCTAAAGATATAAAACAAACTGGAGATGTAATTATTCAATTTATTTTTTAAGAATAAAGTACTTGATGATATTTCAAACTTTGAAAATGAATATTAAAAATTTAGAGATACATTATTAGGAATTGGTCCTAAACCTGAAGATGATAAAGTTATTAGTAAATCAAAGAAGTGATAAAAATCAAAATTAATAATTTTCATATCTTTAAGTTATATTTTTAATTATCTTTTTCTTTTTTTTTTTGTTTTATTTATGATGACAGGATATAGATTTTATTCTTGTTTGGCTTACACTTATATTTTTTGCAAAGTGAACTGATTTACTCTCACTCTTTTATCTTGGCTTTTTTTTTAAAATACTTTTTATTGATTTACTCTCATCAGATTCAATATTTATTTATTTGTCACTAAATTTGAAATGAGCATTAAATTCTCTAAATTAACTATTTGAACTTGATGAATTTGATAAATTTCTAGGAAGATTAGGATCTGTAAATCTAAAACATCTAACTTTTGTAGAATCATTTTGATCATTGATAAAAAAATGGGACTACTATAATTTCTTTTCTTAAAAACTATAAGTTCTTCTCCTTAATTTTACGCTTTCATGTATATTTTTCATCTCAGATCTTTCTTCATTTATTTCACTAACTTAGGAGGATTTATCAGCAAAATTTTCATAACTAATCTTTTTATTACTTCTCATTGTCAAAAATATTGTTGATTTTGTATTTTAATTTAACTCTTTTAATTTCTAAAACACATTTTCTTTTGATATCAAAATATCACTCTCTATCATGTCAATTTTTGAGTTGCACGGAGCACAAGTTCCCATCTTTTGACAATATCAATTAATTATATTTATAATATATAGAAATATCTGAATTGATTTTATCATCACTTTCTCAAATTTAATTTGATTTTATGAATATGAATGGATGAAATTTAAACTTCCATCAAATAATGTAATTTCTTTCAGAATCATACAATGTTATTATTTTATTATTTAGCAGAACTAATTTTATATACTAAAACTTTGAAAACTTTATGTATAAATTATTATATTTTAGGCTATGAAACATTTTTGAAGAAAAAATCTTTAATTATAGAATTATATTGATGAATTTTTAATTTAAGCACTTTTACTAAAATATTTTAGAATCAAATCATTTAATATTCTCTCTTAGAAAACTAAGCTTTTTTTACTTACTTCCAATATTTAACATTTATACTGAATGCTGATATTATTGGTAAGAGCAATAGAACTAAGCATAAATAAAAAAATAAAATGATATAAATAGCTTTATAAATAAAAATGGAATTAGATAAATAATATGAGCTTAATCCAGAAGATATAGATACAATTTTTAGAGCCATAAAAAATAACATTGAATAAAAAAAGGATGATCTAGATTCGACTCTTCCTTTACTTATAGCAAAATACAAACATTATTAGCTTTAAGATAATGATAAAAAGTTTTAATTATTCTAACAACAGATTGATCCACCGATTCCATACAAGAGTTTCTGAATTGTTTGAAAAATGCAAGAATCAAAATTCTATTGACTATATTCTAAGTATTAGGGATATCCTAAACTATGATTGCTCAGATTTTAATTTTATACTTAAAAAAATTCATAAAAAGTTTGAGTTGGTTATGTAGGAAAATATTGAAGAATCAAATTAAACTTTTGTCAAGAAACCAATTCCATCATGGCAGTTTAATATTCAAGACAATAAATGTCTATTTCAATTTTATGATTAAGATTTCTGGAAACTGTACGATATAATGTAATTATAAAAGTAATAACACATCTTAAAATTAGATAGTATTGTTCAAATCTAATTATATTTCATTAAGCGAGGCAAGAAAATAGCGAAAGATTATATAATTAAAGTTTAGAAAGGAATAAACGAATTAACTCAATTTAACTTTAGCCTAATTTTGAAATGAATATTTTATTAGAAAGGGCTTAATAGCTGAAGAATCTACAAATAAATAATCCTTTATCAACATAATACATAAATAAAACTATTGTCATGTTTCGAAATCCAAGTCCAAATAAAAATCTATATAGAAATAATAAATATTCATTGTCAATAAGTCCAAAAAAAACATAAAATAAAGATCCAAAGAATTAAAAGATTGATATTCAAAGTATTTTTGATTCAGATAACATTAATCTGTATGTTAATAATTGCAAGTTGTCTCAAAATAAGAATAAGCAAGTTTTGCATAATGATAAATATATTTAGATCATAAATGAATCATTTAAATAAAAAAATAAATTGAAAATATTTTAAGAGAATTGTAGTCCTCAAAAAATAGATAATAAGTAAGATTTGTTTCTTCCAAAAATTAAATCTCCTCATTCATTCGAGTAAAAAGGTATAAAGATAAGATATTTAAGATAAAACAAATATAATTTTAAATTCGTAAAACAATGAAACAATGATCCCTGATAAAGGCTTTAAACAAAAACTTCCTTAGAGAAATGATTATAATAGTTCTATTGGCTAATAAATTATACCCTTTTATAAGATTAGCTCTAGAGCTGTTTAAACAATTAGAAGTTTAGTAAACAAATGATTATAGAAATTTGATATACATTAAAAGAAAACTTTTTTTATTATGTAAAAGTTGTGATCTATTATACATACTTCATTATTCAAAAAAACTAAAAAAAATACACTAAAATGTTTCTCCTAATTCATCAGAATCCATGTAATAACAATTTGTCGAAAGGGAAAATTTAAAATACTGTTGTACAAGTATTATTTTATCATTATTTAGAAATCAGTAGACATATTCTAAATTATATATTTAATTTACATTAATTTGAAGTTAAAATTTTTAATTTATTTTATGAACTTAAATCTTATATTCTAAAATTGATTCAACACAAAATTATTCATTAGTGCAGGATATTAGTGAATATAGTATTTTAAAATAATCAATATGTAAAAAAAGTTAAAAATTAATTGTATATCGATATATCATTATGAAAAGTTTAAGTTTGAGATGAATTTTTCATTTTTAGTTTTTTTTAAATCGTTCATTACTTGAAGAATTTGAATTTAATGAAACAATTAATTTATTGTATATTATTTGATCTTATATTGTAGAATATTTTAAAAATCAATTAACAATTTTAGATCATTTTAATTTAGAAAGATCTCTGTAAAAATTCTAATCAATACAACTCTGTGAAGAGAATGAAAAGGTATAGACTTTATAAACAAATGTATCAAGTTTTTTCTGTAAGTTTTTGATTTTTTAAATAATATATGATCTTGATTAGTTCATAATTAAATATAAGAAACTAGAGAGTATAAGAGAAATAAATTTAGGAAGAAGCGTTGTAAGTAAAGGATGAGGTACTCAAGAAATACCTTAATAGAGCAAGTAAATATTATAAAAATAAATGGATAGGCAAAGATTGTATTAAAAATAATTGGAGAATTAGATATATAAAATATAATATAATTATAAAATGAATTCCATTTTTAAAAGAGGAGATTAATAAAGTATTTTAGAAATTTGAGTTTTAGGTAAATCTAAAGCTAAGATCTCTAATAATAATGGATTACCTCCACTTCTTTCTCCAAGAGCCAAAATTGATATTTTAATTACAACTAAAATTCCCTTAACCTTTCGATCCCCTTCTACATTGAAAAAGTTGTCAATTGAGAAGTAGGAAGATAATCGACCAGTTACAGATAATACTTAGAAACAGAAAAGTTATTCCTCAACCAAAAAATCTAAAACATAAGGAATGATAATTCGTAAACTCTAAAATCACTAAGTAAAATTTGTAAAAAGCAGTACAGAATCTTTAGAAATGATAGAACATAAATTTTAAAGTCCTGCAATTAGAATGATTGAGTTCCCAATAAATGGTATCTCTGTATATTAGCATAGACTTTTAGGATGATACAATTATAAAGGAAGAGAGTAGATTATAAATTGAATCCTTTATGGAAAATAGATTTACTGCAATGAAAAATCAATCATCCTCTAGTTCTTAGAAATAAGCTATAGAATCTAGTAGTTCAAATAAAATTGTTAATGATTCATCTACATATTCATAATTCAATTTTTCTACATAAAATCCAAGTTTTACTGAAGGAGAAATGATTGGAGCTGGATCCTTTGGATAAGTTTATATAGCATAGGAAAATAAAACAGGCAAAATATATGCTGTTAAGAAAATTAACTTAAAAGGAGACTTTGAATAGGAAGATTTATAGGGGTTGAAAAGTGAAATTGATCTATTGAAGAAAATAAAGCATAAGAATATCATAAGATATGCATGGAACCAAGAAAACGATGAATATTAATTACTATATTTAGAATATATGTCTTAAGGTTGATAATATATATAATAAAAATAGGTACATTAACCTAATTGATTGAAAAATTCGGTTCTCTTAATTTAAATACTATTCGTTCATATTCTGAATAATTGTTATCGGCCATCTCATATCTTCATGATAATAATATAATTCATAGAGATATAAAAGGAGGCAATGTATTATTAGGAGTGAATGGTGAGATCAAATTGGGAGATTTTGGATGTAGTAAAATCAAAGAGAAAACCATATCAAGATCTAAATAAGGTGGAGATATTTTACATTCATTAAAGGGAAGCATTCCTTATATGGCTCCAGAAGTATAAATAAATTAAAATTAAAAAGGTAGCCAGTTAAGAAGAAAATTGTAGAGCAAGTGATATCTGGTCTTTTGGATGTACTGTTTTAGAAATGGCAACAGGAAAAAAGCCTTGGAATGAACATAATTTTGATAATCCATTGAGTGCTTTGCTTTTAATTATTTCTGATAATTCTCTTCCAAACATTCCTTAAGATTTAGATCAAGAATTAAATTAATTTATTAGATTGTGTTTATAAAGGGATCATAAATTAAGGCCTACTGCTTTAGATTTGCTTTAACATAAATTCATAATTAATAAGTGAATCTATTATACTGATATCTGTATTTCAATTTTATTTTTGATAATAGTCAAATTCTCTAAATTCATCTTAGTTGACTAAATTATTTTCAGGGGCGTATGAATTAATTGCTTCTTCTGCAGTAAACTGTTTATCAAAATTATCAATCCAAGCATCACCTTAGATTTAAGGTTTGAAAGGAGTATCAATTTCCTTCTTTAAGAGTTTTTCCCAATTTATTCCTTTAAACCATGGATGATTTTTTACTTCATCAATTTTACTACTTCCTAATCTTTATTTTGGATCTTTGATTGTTAACTACATAAAATAAAATTTATTACCTTGGTCATAAAATCTTTGGCTTCATGAGAAATAGATGGTGTGGTTGGAAATGATATTTCTTTAGTTTAGATTTATTTAAACATCATATCCTAATTTTTATTATAAAAGGGAGGAAGTGCATAAAGCATTTCATATGTTAAAATACCTAGAGCCCACCAATCTGCAGATTAAGAATGTCCAATTTCAAGAAGTATTTCTGGAGCTAAATATTCAGGAGTTCCACAAAATGATTTTGCAAGTTCATTTTTTTTCAACATTTTAGCCATTCCAAAATCTGTTAAACAAATATGACCAATTTCATCCAATAAAACATTTTCTGGTTTAAGATCTCTGTAAATAATATTTTTCTAATGCAAATGTTCCAAAGCTAAAACCTATGATAATATTGGTTGGAAATTACAATTTCTGACACATAAAATTTAGTTCTATTTTCATCAAATCGCTTAACATGTTTAAGATGTTAAAATAATTCTCCACCCTTCATAAATTATGTAACAAAAAATAATTTTTCTGGTGTCTAAAATGCCCAATTCAAATTTACTAAGAATGGATGATTGACATGTTCTAAAACTAATCTTTCTGTTTTTGTGTGTTCTAATTACTCAGGATCAGCTACATCCTCTTTTCTAATTGATTTCATAGCATAATATTATTTATCACTTTTCTTCTCAACTAACATAACTTTTCCATAGGCCCCTCTTCCCAATACTTTTATTAAGTCAAAGTCATCAATTGTTACTGCTTCACCTTTCTGTTTTGCATAGAGTGTCAAAGTTTTTGCTCTTGTTTATAATCGTTCTTATGTTTATGAATCTATCCTCTTTCTAAACTACTCTTCATTCATTAATTCAGAACCGGTGGTTGGCAACCTATTTATACCTTTCTTTTTATCAATTTTTGTTGTTGTATATGCAGTTAATGTAAGTTCATCTTTATAGAACACTGGCAGTGCTGTACCTTTATGTTATAAACAATAAGCCTTAATAATGCTTAAGACAGCTTAATCTCTTCTTTCAGAACTTGAATATCTGTAATCATATTCTTCAGGCACGTGCACTACAAATTCTGTACCAATTAAACCAATTGTTATTCCATACACTCTTTTGATTGGAATTTTTCTTTTCACTGTCAATTTTGATAGATTGTATAGGTTATGGGTTGTAATCAGCAATGTTCTCTCTTATCGTTTATTCACCTCATTAAATTTATAGAGTAGGCTAGAAAACAACACTTACTCTCCTAACTCTAAAATTTTAGTAATAGATTTTTCATTTGACAAATGCAAATCATCCCAAGATTCCTATTTCATTAATTATAATATTTTAGATTTCAGAATATAAGAAAATATGATATTTATTATGAATTATAAGAATAAATTAATGCCGCAGTAATAAGATTTTAAAATGTCATTTTATTATATTTGTTCAATTATTCCTAATATTTTTAATTTATTACGAATTAATCACTATATTTTTTTTAACATTTTCTATAACAAATAAAACAATATATTATTACTAAACTTGTACAATTTCTTTAATGTTAATAATAATCATTAGATTTATGCTGTTATTTTAGTCAACTCCTCAACTTCGGCTTCACTCAAGAACCAACAAGTATTCTTTCTAATCACACATAACTCTATATTTTTATTTCCACTTTCAACTACATCCATCAAAGCCTTTTAATATATTAAAACTTTATATACTTTAGTAGTAAGCAATAGAGCATCCTTTTCATGTAATCCTTCTCTCCAATGTTTTTCTAAAAAATCCTTCACTTACTTTGCACTCTTTCCAAGAGAAGTAGCTTTCCATTCTGAACAAGCTCCAGAAGGATCAGTTTAGAATAATTTTGGTTTATTATGATTGTCAAATCCAGCAATTAAAGTTGAAATACCATAAGGTCTTGCTCCACCTCTTTATGTGAATTTTTATTATTGCTAGCTAGTAAATTTAGCTATATAATCAACAGAAGGATCATCTTCATAATAAATTTTGTATTATTAGCATTACAATCTTGTTTGATTAGCCAAAATTCTTGCATCAGCATTTAAACCAGAAAATGTCATACATAAATTATGATCTATTTTAAAAACAATTTCTACCCAATTGATAAACTTTCTTAATTGTTTTAACATCTTATAACTTTGATGCTGCTTTTTTTTCTACACCAAGAATAATCACATCTTTTCCTCTCACACCAACACAACAAAGTCCTCTTTTCACTGCTTCCATAGCATACTCTACTTGAAATAATTGTCCATCTGGAGAAAAAACTGTAAGTGCTGTGTCGTAAGACATTATTTTAAATATAATAATTAAAATTAATCCTAATCTAAACTATATAATATTTTTATTATCTTTCATATTTATCCTCTTAATTCTCTTCATAAGAGTTTATATCCTAGTATTCCAAATATTCTCTTAATTTCAGCTAAAACCTTTCTTATTCTCCAAGGATCATTCTTAATTATAACATTTTTTGTTCAATTATAAATTTTCAATTTATTTTTTTTAATCGAGCATAAATATTTTTAAGAGAAGAAAACATTAATATTATTGATAGTTATTTTATTAATTCCTGAGAAAAGAGTTTTAATAGATGATTTGCAAATAAAATAATAATGTATTGGCAATAAAAAAAAATAGTGAAATATTAAATTACTTAAAAATGATTAATTTGTTTTTGAAATTTATAATGATAACTAAAATATATATTTATTAAGTACAAAATTGCTTGAGGAAAATAATTATTATAATTTTTGTGAATGTAACAAATAAAAAAAAATTAAATCACTGTTTGAAATATGACGCACGATTTCTTAAAAGTGTTCATTATATATAAATAATGAAGAGGATTTGTATTAGTTTATTAAAAATATGAGTTAGTTGAGATTTGATGGTAAAGTGGTTGTTATCACTGGAGCTGGTAATGGCTTGGGAAAGGAGTATGCATTATTTTTTGGAAAAAGAGGAGCAAAAGTAGTTGTAAATGATTTAGGAGGATCAATGAAAGGAACAGGTGCTTCATCTTCTGCTGCTGATAAAGTAGTTGAAGAAATAAAAGCTGCTGGAGGAATGGCTGTTGCAAACTATGATAGTGTTGAATATGGTGAAAGAGTGATAGACACAGCAATTAAGACTTTTGGAAAAATTGATATTTTGATAAACAATGCTGGAATTTTGAGAGATGTATCATTTGAAAAAATGAAAGATGAAGATTGGGATCTTATATATAGAGTATTATATGATAAAAGACATTTAGGTTCATTTAAAGGGAACATATTCTTGTTCTAAAGCTGCTTGGCCATATATGAGAGAATAAAAATATGGAAGAATAATAAATACATCTTCAGCATCAGGAGTTTATGGTGTTTTCGGATAAACAAATTATTGTGCTGCAAAAATGGGTATTCATGGATTAACATTGGCTTTGGCAAGAGAAGGATTAAAAAGAAATATTTTAGTTAATTCAATATGTCCTGTAGCTGCAAGCAGATTGACTGAAACTGTTATGAGCAAAGAATTATTATCTAATTTAAAGCCAGAATATATTGTACCACTTGTTGCTGTTTTGAGTCATGAAGAATCTAAAGAAACAGGAGCTATTTATGAATTAGGTGCTGGATATATTTCAAAATTAAGATGGTAAAGAAATCAAGGATTTTTCTTTGACACTCCCTTTACACCTGAAGATGTTAGAGATAAATGGGAATAAGTAGCAGGTTTTGGTGATACTGTTTATTATCCTTAAACTTCTTCTGAAATTTTTGAAATCTTCTTTAACAAAGAGGATTTCATTAAATAATAAAATGAAGGAAAAAAAACAGCAGTTAACACATAATAAAGTACTTAGGCTCCAAGTGTTAATCTTAAAGCTGAAAAGATTTTTGGTTTAATGAAAGCGTTTTTAGATAGAGGGGAAGGAAAAGATTTAATTCCTAAAGTGTAAGGAGTTTTCAATTTCGAAATTATTACCTAAAAAGGTGGCCCAGTGATAAAATCATGGGTGATTGATTTAAAGAATGGTTAAGGAACAATAAAGGAAGGAAAAGAAAATGCTGATGCTACTTTCTTAATGATTGATGATGATTTTGAAAAAGTTTGTTTAGGAAAATTGTAAGCAAATGAAGCCTTTTTAAAAGGATAAATGAAAATCAAGGGAAATATGAAGAAAGCGTAAATATTAAATTATATTTTAGTACTCTATTCACACCAAGTCTTTTCCCAGCACCAACTCCAGAGAACTTTGCTAAGTATTCCTAACCAAAATTATGAGATATATATAAATTAGTATTTTAATCATTAAAGCGAAAACAATTTGCCTTCTCTCCAAACTCCTTTAATTACTTAGCTATTAAATTCAGTAAACTCTCCTGATCCATGTTATAAACCATTCATCCATTAACCTGTATATTTACGACCATCAGCAAATTAGAATGTTCCGAAACCTTATCTTTTATCATTCACATATTATCCTACATAGATACGACCTAAATAGTTATTGTTCATTACCATCAGGCCATTATAAAATTCCTTATCCATGCATCATTCCTTTTTTCCAATCTCCCTCATATCTTCTTCCATCTGGCCAAATCTAAAGTTAAATATAGATTTCTTACAAAAATCCCTTTCCCTTCAAATAAACCATTTATAAATGACCCTTCATATTTTTCCTAATTTAAAAACACTAATTATCCTTATCCCTATTTTAAACCATTTTGAAACTTGCCTAATTTATAACTTTCTCTTACCCCTATATTAGCTATCATTTTTTATTTCAATTCCATATCCATGATATTTATCGTTCATCCATAAACCTTTCATTATCATTATTACATACCATTGTAAACTGTTCCATCAGAATATTTATATATTCCATTCCCATGCATACAATTTTAATGAAATTCTCCTTAGTATTATCCTCCATCAGCATCATAATACTCTCCTTTTCCATTTGCATAACCATTATTCCACTATTTATATGTCATCAATTTACTTCTCCTATATATCTACTCCCATCTACAAATTCATATTCCCCAATACCATGTGGTTTTCTTTTGTACCAATATCCTGTGTAGATGCCTCCACTTTTCATTTTTATTGCTTTGAATTAACATTACTCCTAATCACTCCTCGCCAAAAGATGCTTATCCTCTTCACTTATAGGAGTAATTAACTCTTTTTCTGATTGCTTCTCTTCCTTTGATATTTCAAAGCTTTATTTCCTTGATTTATTTGTACACAGAGAAGGTTTTAGTTAAAATGAATCCTCATTTGAATCAAATTCAGGAATTTCATCGCAAGTTGCCTAAGGCACTTTAGAAGTATAACAATGTTTCGTTATTTCAAATAATTTTCGATTATCTTGTTGTGAAGTAGATTTAGGCCTTCTAAAATTTCAATTTACATTTATTACTTTTACCAACTTTCTATATCAGAGTCTACAATAGTATGAACACTTTCTGAATGTGTTTTAGTCTGTCCAGTATATTCTAGCATTATTTCAATAGAGTTGAATTATAAAATAATATATATATGTTAATTTAATAAATTTGAGATATCAATTGCATCACAATTTAGAAAGAGAAGTTAGGTCTGGTCATTAATTTAAGTTAATAATAATTTAAATATCTGCTATTCTATTTTTCATCAATAAATTATATTTAAATTATTATAAATATATTGGCATCCAAAGATACGAGAAAATATTATTATCTATCAATTTATAATTTAAAAAAAAAATTATTGTACAAATGTCGAAGACGGATCAATGGTATAATACTAGAATTTACTTAAAATGATAAAATCACTATGTATCTAGTGAACATTTTTAGAATTATAGAAGAAACAAATTTTATATATTAGTTAAAAATACTTCTATCAATAGTTCTCTTTATATTTTTATCTAAAATTAATTTTTAATTTATTATACAATTTAAATTCTTATAATATTTTTAATTAATACTTATAAAGAATTCCTTTAACAATTTAGAAAGTTTCATTCATTTTCAAAATGAAAAATCACGTAAATCAATAAATGTATCATTATTAATTAGCATTATTCTTAATATAGGATTTTTTTAAATGAAAAAAAGAATTAAGCCCAAATATTTGTTAATATATTTAAAAATCCACAGATTTTTCTTTTCATAAATTGAAGACCTTCTACTTTTAGAATGATGTATTACAAGATAAAATGCTGAAAAAAATGAATAAAAGAGATTTCTTTAAATGTATCTAAATTATAAATATTTTCTTTAATATTTTCCAAACCAAATTTGTGTTTAAAATATCATATAATAAAAATAATTATTTTATTAATTCATGATTCTTAGATGGAAGCAAGGAATTCATACATATATTTGATATCATAACAATTTAAATAATTTGATTCTATAAATTTTTTCTTAGAGTACTCGATCACTATAATAAACAATATATCAATTCTTATATCAAAGCTTGCATTTATTTTATATAAATTTTATATCATTATTTCTGTCTCATTTTTACTTATATTGTTTTTTTAGATATAAAAATCTCACTAATTTTATATTTGTTTCTTGCAAGTATGTCCATTTTTTGAATATTTATAAATTTTACTAGTACAATATATTGTTCAAAGAAATTTAATATAACCTATTAAAATTTTTTACTTTTTTGATAAGCATTCATAAGTAAACAAGAAATGTTCTAATTCTTAAAAAAGAATAGTAGTAAATAAAATAGCAAGTTTTATAATTTTCTGACTTAAACACTTTATCATTATTTTAAGACAAGTAAAAATATCAAATTTCTTGGAAATGGTTTAAATTAATTGATTGATGATATGAAAAAAGAAATAAAATCAATTTTATTCAACTACATCGATTGTACCATCTGATTTTGCAAAATAAGGGTTGTGTCTATCTGAAAATTTTTTTGCCTTTATCGAAACATCATTGATAATTAATGGCTTGATCCATTCTTTTTTGATGAGCAATTTACTATCTATATTTATTATTAAATACCTTTCATTTCCTATAACAGCACCATCCTCAATTGGAAGTACAATAAGTTATAGTACTCCCCTTGGAAAATGAGAAGAAACTTCCTTAATCTGTATTCTGTTTAGACATCCAGAGCCCTTTTTAATAATGGTTTGTTAGCACCCTTTGTATATTGATTAGTTTTTGTTGTTGTGAGTAAGTTTTTTTGGGATTTTATCATAGGTCCATCTAAAATAACATGTTTTTTTACATTTACAATTCCACAAGGAGATTATTTGCATTGCAAATAAGCTTATCATTTTCAACTAGTCTAAGTTTAATCTAAAAAATTCTGTTTCTATAACACGGAAGCTCTAGATCTTAATCCATTTTAAGTTCATATTTGTATTACTGGTTAGAGAGATTTTATTTTGATTCATTTTATTAACTAACTTATTGATCGATTATTCGTTAAACTAGCTAATTGAGCTTTTCAAGATGTTTTTATAATTTTTCATTTGTCTTTTATCTCTATAATTGTATCTGTTGAATTTCTTAATGTTGTATTTTTATTTGCTCTTAAACATGATCGAAAATCTATGAAATGGTATGATTTTAAGAGATCAAATCATTATTTTCAAAGATGTTCATAAATATTTTAAGAAATTAAAAGTTATGCCAGAAAAAAAAACACTAATTAAGTTATAATCTTAAAATAAGATATAAAATGTTATTAAATTAATAAAATTAGGAAAAACAGGTAAAACAGATTAGTATTTCAGTCCAAACACAAGACGATTATAGTAGAATATTATAAACACTTTTAAACAAAAACTGATTAATATCAACTATTTTTAAATAAAAGTTATGAACTAAGACAGTATTTTTGATTTGAAAATATTTATAAAAATTAACTAAGTTTTGAAATATATGATGAAATAGTATGATATTGATTGATAAGTTAATATATGAATTTAAAGAAATATTTCAATTAAAACACTTTGAGACATCTTTAATTTATATATTAAAATAAAAAAATCATTATTAGTCTTCAAACTATTCTATTTCTTCGCTGGACTCATCAAGTTTTTATTTTTTTTTTAATTTGGAAGGCATAAAACTAGATGTGATAGTTTAGAATCTTCCATCTCTAAAATTATTGACTTCTAACATTTTTTATGTTAAATGTGTAAGTCCAAGACGAGTATTAGTAAATTTCTAATTAATATATAATATTTACCTACATAAAGCTTGGTAATAAGGATTTTCCATCTTTTTCTCTTTCTTACATTCTGTCAAAGTTGGGAGCAGTGGGATTTCTAAATAATTTACTATTTGGATCTTTAGAATAGACATCAAATTCAAAATAAGCTTCATTATTGTAAGGTGGAATTTTAGTCATAATGTCTTTTCTTTTTTCGAGTTTATCAAAAGGAGCTCCACAACTACCTAATTATCTAAAAACGAAATAAAGAATAAATAAAAACTTTTTTCCATATTCAAAATTAGGATGATAATCTGGTGCAAATTATTTCTTTTTATAGATGATCATTTATTCTCTAGATAATTATTTATCTAATTGAACAGAAGGAGTTTTTGGAATTTTACTCCAAGAATTAGTGACATTTAAGAAAGTGAATCTATCAGGATGTGGAGTAGGTCTTCCAAAGAAAATATCAGGTCTAGAATATGATATATAAATATACAATACCTAGGAGTTTATCTATTTAGATCTGTAAAACAAGTACGAGAGAATCTAGGTCTATCTACAATAGGTTTGCTTAAATAAATTGAATATTTATATACTCTATAGTTTCTGGTTATCCAAGCTTTCCTGGTACATGTCTTGGAGTAGTTTATTTTAGAGATTTATCATAATCATGAATGGAATGAACAGCTCTGAAATGAATGATGATAATTAAATTTACTTATCTAATTCGCTAAATTTAACATGGTATTATCCACAAGATGGTTTATTATCATTACTTAATTTAGTATAATGTCCAACTTATCGAGAGAGTTATTTAGAGAAGGGCTAAGAAAGTTTGAGTTAATTTTTGCGTTAGACAAGTTCGGCATCTGTAATTTGTTCTGTCTTTTTATTTGTGATTTCAGGAATCTTCTTTTCAGGTTAAAGATTGATTTCTTCTGGAGATGCAACTGATTAAGATTTGGTATTAAAATATCTAGGTCTGTTGTTTATAATTTCCTCTTTTCTTTGAAAAACAATGTATTTTTCTGAAGTGATTTTACCAGCTTTGCTAAACATGTTCTAGATATCATTTTGATTATGAATTAATGCCATAATAAATAAAATATTGTTTTGTTAATAAGTAATTTCACATAAAGGCTTGGACCATCTATAAAAAATGAATACTAAGTAGAATACTTCTCCATCTTTAAGTTAATAATTTCCAATAAGATGATGATTTTTCATCTCTCTACCCTTAAAAAATAATCTGCATATTTCAGATCCTGGAGCAGATTCTTAAACTTTAGTTTTTAATTCTACAATGCTTTAATTGGTATGAGTAAGAACCTCAAAATCTTAAGGTAATTTATTGGAACGTACTTTAATCTAAAAATAAATTACTATAATATAAATATTTACTTTTAATTCTGTTTGTTGAAAATCTTATATTAAACCAGCATCACAAAATTTAGTTTATGGGAATGATTATGGTTCATTTATCATAAATATAGGAACATCATATTTATGCATAGAATTATCATATAATAATTAAATGGAATTATTAACCAATTTTAGATCACATGCATTAAGAATTGCTAATACATTTGCTTAAATATTTATGAGCATACCTTCATCTGGTTCTTCAATTGCTTTTTAGATTGATTACCAATAGACTTTCTCACCTTCTACTCTTGATTCTTTAAATTACACATATAAAGCTACCCCAAAATTCTTTTCTCTTTTCTAACCATTCTTCTCTACTTAATCTACTTGTATATTAATTAGTCATTTTGATTCCCTTACCTACTGTACTCTCTGGTATTATTTAAAAATAATTGTTGTATTTATGATTTACATTCAAAGGATGATTTATATTTGCTAATTATTGATAATTCAAATATAATCTATTCTATCTATGGTTTTAAGGAGGATCACTATTCTAAGTATATTATTTATTAGTGCAAATTCCCATTAAAAATATAATTAATATTAATGAAATTAAAAGTATACGTAGAAGAACTCGTCTTTTACATCAATGTTGGTTAAGGATTAAATAATTTTGCATGGTTAGCTCTTGCAGCTGCTAAACTATATTCTAATAAAAAGAATCCTGATTCAAACTATTTACCATGCAATTTATTAACTAAATTCCCTAAAGGAGAAATATTTACAACACCATCACCCCGTGCTCAAATTTTTGAATATATTAAAGATGATGAAGATGGAAAAGAAACCATAATAAAAGTGGAAATTAGAAAAGGTTAAGGATATATAATGACTTAAGAATAAGAAAGTATTATCTTTTACTTTCAATTTAGAATGGTATGATGAGGCCTTTGGAAAAATGAGAAATTAATTCACTGTTTCCTTTGAACTAGATCCGATAAATTTAAAAGGGGTACGTTAAGAACCTACTTATATTGTTCAATATGAATACAGGATGTTCCCAGAAGTTATGCATGAATTCGATCCCAAAAATTATCCATCTAAAGATAAAATCATTCTGAAAGAAATCAAGTTCACTATATATATTATTATTTTAGATATGGAGATAATTTTAAAAGATATTATGCAGAAATCACACTCCCTTTTGGTTCTTTTACATACTAATTCTACGGATAAGTTATCACTGAAAAAGAGGGACAAGAACCTCAATAATCTATTTACCCTTTAGATATGAAAAACTTTAATTCAAACATTCTCTTCAAACCTAATCCTTATTCTTAACAAGATATACAAAAAAAAATAATGGAATATGCTTAATAAAAAGAAAAAGATTTATAATTATAACAACTTCAAAAACGAGAAGATAGTTAAAAAAATAAACAATCTGCTGCAGAAGAGTGTCCATATAAATTTGAGAAATTATGGACCATCATTTAAAAAAATGCTGAGGGTAATCTAGAACTTAAAGATCTTGTAAAATTATATCATTTATTATAAGGAAGAAAATTTCTACAATAAAATTGCAGCTTATATGGATGACAAATTACCTCTACTTTATGAAGTCTTTCGTTAATATGCCATACTCTATAATACAGATCATGCTAAAAAAGATGAAATTAGCATATCATTCTAAGATGTAATGCATTTCTTGAAATTTGTATAATATCTTATATACTATATTAGTATGGATTAGTTTAGGATAGTTAAGAACTATTTTCATTTGTTGAAACCTATGATAAATAAGGATCGAAATCAAAAGATGTTAGAAAAAGCTTAGAATTATCTGTTAAATTCCAAGAATTCTTTGTAATCATTGTTGAATTGGCATAATTTAAAAAAACCAATAATCTGAGCGAAGTTGAATGTATTTTTAATATTTATTCAAATCTAGCCTAAGATCAACTTGTTATGAAAATTGTAGATAAAATTATTGAAATTAACTCAGATGAAAAAGAGTTTAATAATTTCTAATAACATATGAAGTACAATGAAATCTTAGTCAATTTTATAAGAGTAAATTCCCATATTATTAAATTTAGGAAATTTAAGATTAATTATAGAATATTTTCATTAAAAGATTTAGTTAAGGTAATGATGATAATTCCGATATTAAATTCCATATCAGATAAGAAGAAATAAAATAACTCATTTAAGATTCTGGATATAAAGGTGATAATCTTGATGGAATTATTAAGACAGCATATAAAGAATTATTTCATGACGAAAAATTTAACGGATTTGAAGGATTATTTTATTATGAATTCATTTAAGTGATGTAATGGCTTGCATTAGTTCTCATACAAAATGATGAACGTAGTTAGTAAGATGAAGCAGAAGAAGTAACTACTTTAGACTAATTGCAAGAATAATTGAGATATTTCATTTAATGTATTGAAAAGTGAAATAAATCCATATATATAATTGAAATTCATAATAACAAAAGATTTTTATCTATTTTTCATGTCTCAATCTAAAAGATTAAGCTTTATCTTCAAAAATAACCCTAAAATTCATAAAATGCCAAAAACTTTCAAAATTTTTTAATCATCTAGAATTTAAAGGTAAGAAGGTAAATTATCAAACAGTGAAAACTCAAAAAAACATTAAACAAATTTCAAATTAATAAGTCAAATTCAAATATAACGCCAAATTAAGTGTAATTCTTAGTCTTAATACTTTACTATAATTTTGTATTGAATCAAATGCCAAATATGCAACCCTGACAAAGTTTATATCAAAAAAAACTAACTTAATGTTCTAGCTAGGTAAAATAAATGAATGAATCTTAGAATTAGCACTTTTTTTACTTTATTCTATTCATTAATAGATTTTTAACTTGATCAACGCATGCTTATGTTGTGTTGAGAGTTACAATTATATAAAGGTTTTCTTTTGAATTTTGACTTTAACGAAATAGAAAAGTTTTATAGAAATTTTTGACTTTCTCAATATCTGTTAGGACTTCAATTCCTTAAAAATTATTTTCTTTAGTTTGGTAAGTACAAGTTTTAATAATTTTATTTGTTTTTTATTAATTTTTAGAGGATTCTAAACTCTAGAAAATAAGGCATTTAATAAGCCAATTACTATATTAATTTTTACAGTGATAGTTGTTTTATTGATAATTCTGAGTTATTGAACGATTTCGATGTTTTAATTAATAATTAATTATATAACAATGTTAGTAAATTAATCAACAGGGAGTGAATCAGCAACTACTTCAGTATAAAAAGCATAAGATAATGAAGTAAAATAGTGATGTATTAGTAGTAAATGAAGATAACAATATATTAATTAGAAGAAGAGATTTAAGGATTGAAGGGATAAATAAAAGTAAAATAATAATGTAAAATAGATGTGGGAAGAGAAGTATGAAGAATAGGAACGAATCCATAATAGAGAGATAGTATAATTGAAGTGCAATTTGGATAATTCTATTTTTGAGGATCAGCGTTGTGATGAGAATGATCTTTAGGTTATATAGGAGGAGACAGAATTTTATTAAAAGAGTTTAGGTTAATCACAAGTAAATGGATGTAAGATAGAAGCAAATAGTTTATTGAAGATTTTGGATCAAATAGATATGGATGATACGATAGAATTATAATGTGATTAGGAGACATTCATAGTATATAAAGTAACCAAATTAGTAGAGATGATACAAAAGATGGAGTTAGAATTAGATGATTGGAAACGAAATTATTGGATGTTGGAGAAGAAATTAAATCAGATATTATTATAATAGTAGGATAAGCTACTGAAGTAGGGTTCTGAAGAGATTGAAATTGAATTTGATTTTGATAAGAAGAAGATTATATCAAAGAATGAAGAGAGTAAAACTATTAAACACAATGATGACATTTAGGTATTACTTGATGAAATTAAACGGCTAAAATAATTAAATGCCGAATTGATATAGCAGTAAAAGTCTATGACAAAATAAATGCTTGAGCAATTGATAATCAAATAAATGAAGAATGATTCTAAGAATAGATGTTTGACTTAAGTTAGTGAACCAGGAGTCAAGTAGTAAATTGCTATCAGAAATAATAATAGTCAACATTATAAGCAATTGAATAAATCACCTCATGTGGAACCTAGAAACCACTATTTTAGTCAATATTTTCAGGCTTAATAACATCATCAGTAATTTAGTATGAGAATTCAACCTCAATCTAATAATTAGAATTTGTATCAATCTAATCATTCATATGAACAACCTAAAACTTCTACTCCTACAATGTATGCAACTCCAGTGATGATAAAATATGCAAATGGAAGTCCTTTCAATCAAGCAAATAAAATATTATAATTCTGAAATTAAACTAAGTTCCGTTTTTATTATATAATGAAAATTGCATTAATCGTCTTTTTGAGCCTGTCATTGGTTTTTGCCACTAAGTTTAGTAGCAAGTACCACACAACAGCTGAGTTGAATGAAGAATTGGAATCTTTAAGTAGAAGTTGTTCATTCTTATCTTTATCAAATGCATCAGAAAATCCATAAATAAAGGAAGTGAGCATAAATAGAAATCAAAACAAAAAATATAGGGGTAATTTGATTCAATTAATAAATAAAGCCTACATATTATTTGGAGAGCACCCAAGAGAATTGATCAGTCCTGAATCAGGAATTCATTTCTTAAATGATTTGTGTTATGAAAAAAATGATCAAAAAAACAAATAAATTTTAGATGATTTTGAATTAAGATTGATTCTAAATGCAAATCCTGTATCAAGATAGAAAGTAGAAGGAGGTGAATATTGTTTAAGAGAGAATGAAAATGGAGTAGATATAAATAGAAATTATGATGCACATTGGGAAAAGGTTTAAGATGATGTAAGATAAGTAACATCAGGACCAAATCCATTTTCAGAACCTGAAACAAGAGCAGTTCGTGATTCATTAAAAGCATTTAATCCAGACATATTTTTAACTGTTCATTCAGGTACTTTAGGAATGTTTACACCACATGCTTATTCGACAGATGCTGGTAATAAATGAATTGAATAATTTAGCTGAACATAATGAAGACAAAATGATGGATATTTTAAATGATATATCTGGTAAATATTGTCCTTCATGTGATGTTGGAGTAGCATCATAAGCAATAGGTTATTTAGCACCAGGTAGTTGTGTTGATTATGCTTATGATGAATTAAAAATAAGATATTCATTTGCATTTGAAATATATCATGGATCAATAAATTTAGAAGAATAATTGAAATCTAGATAACATTCAAGTTTTTTATAATTAACAGGCCAAGAATAATAAACTAAAAATAGAAAATTCTAACATAATAATAATCATTCTTGTTTCTTATAAACATCTTCTAAATATGATATGTCAAAAGAAGAATGTTTTGATTATTTCAATCCAGATAGTTCCTAATATGATTGGTATGTTTAAAATTGGACAGAAGCTTATTAAGAAATGCTTTTAAAATTAGTCCAAGAAGAATAATCATGATAATAATGAAAGAATAATCAAAAATTATTTCTTATATCATCAAACCAATTATGTTTTAACAATTCTTTTGCTTAAGGTCTTTTTCCTGGATTAAATTATAACATTGATTATAAAATCTCCAAAGCCTTTCTATCATGTTCTAAAACTGGTATAACTTCAATTAAATCTTTGCCTTAAAATTTAGGGAATGTAACTTTGAAATGTGGAAGTTTTGATAAACCAACATATGTATTGTCATTTGGAGTACCTAATAACTATTATTTATATCTTCATATATACTTCCATCATTTTAAATAGCATATCTACTTAACTATCTCCTGCTAATAATGGTCTTCCTATTAAACATTCTGCCATTATACATCCTACTGCCCATATATCCACTCCTGTTCCATAATTATCATCACCCAACATTAATTCAGGTGCTCTATACCATAATGTTGCTATTTCCTTTGTAAATTTAGGCATCGGAAATGGAAATACTCTAGATAATCCAAAATCTGCCAATTTTATTGTCATTGTCTCATTCAACAATATATTTTATGGCTTTAAATCACGATGCAATACTCTACGACTATGACAAAATGATAATCCCAATAATATTTAATATATTATCAATTTTATAGTGTTTAGTGATAAAGTTTAGTTCTTATCTAAATATTTCCTTAAATCACATTACATTGATTCAAAAATCAATAATATCTTTTTCTCTTACATAAAGTATTTTACTTCCAATAAACTACATTAATATATATATATAAACACTTTATTATATTTCCATGTTTCAATTTCTACAATATTGCTATTTCTCTTATTGTTGTGCTTGGAACTCCTTCATCATCACAATTATCTAATTTCAATTTCTTTATAGCAACAACTTTCCCTCTTTTTTTATCAAATGCTCTTGTTACTATTCCGTATGTTCCTTCTCCTAATTTCTCTTCTTTGCTGAAATTTTACATAAACTTATTATATTATGTGTTCTCTTCTTATTCAATTTACATGTCTCTATATTAAATTATTGAAATCTCATCCTTTAATACTTACTTAAGAATCTTATTCAATCTTGACATTTTTCACTCTAATTTAGCCTAACTTTTTATAATTACAAATCACATATTATTTAAATTTATAATTGATATTATAAATTGTTATTTCAATATATGATCACTTCTTATTCTCATATTATTTACGACCAAAAATATTAGTATTTGTTTTAATTTGTAATTTTCCTGCCAATTTTTATACATATTTTTTATATATTTTCATTACATTAAATTACCAATAATAAAACAATACTAAATATCATTTTTTAACTATAAATTCACTTTAAGTATTTTAGTAAAAAAATCAATTAATAATTCCATAACAAAATCATTTAGTCACACAAATAAAATTTTATCAATATAAAATAAATCTCTAAATTTATTTTTTTTGTAACTCTTCAATAAAATATCCTTAAAGACATTTATATTTTCATAATCATAAATTTATTATATTGATTCGAATACTATTATTAAACCTAAAATGTAGAAATTATTTGGGCATTTATTATACTTAAAAAATGTCAAATATATCTAAATTAGTTGATTTCGATATCATACTTAGAACCAAAATCATGTAAAGTGTTTAAGTCATATATTGGATATTAGTTAAACATTATTCAATCTAGAATCAATAGTTAATATATGCTTAATATCCAGCATATTACACAAATTATTGATTATTTTATGAATTAATTTACTTAGAGTTTAATAGCTAATTTATGAAATTTTCTTTTTCTCAGATTTAGTTATTTGTGACTTCGAATTTAAATTATTTTTAGAAGAAAAATATAGAAAGTAAATGTAATCCCATAGCATATTTATAATTTTTTAGTAAAATTTATGAATACCAAAAAAAAATCTTAATTTATTATCAAAATAGATTTATCATATCACAAAAATGTATTCAGTTTATTAAAATTTGCAATTTTTGGATACCTGAAAGAACTATTGTTTATCTAAAACTTTATTTTTGAATTGTAAACTAACAAATTTCTTAAAAAAAATTTGTTTTTCCTTCTGATTTTAACCATTAAAATGTTTGCAAATTCTTTTAGAGCAAAGTGAATAATGGCTTTTTTTCTATAATCTGACCCTTTTAGAATTAATTTTGTTTAAAGAATTTTCAATTAGAATTAATGTTTTCTTTCTTATAAAATTAGTCAAAAAACTTTAGTACTTGTTGAAGGATAGAATATCGATACATATAAATGTTAATTTCTTGATTTTATTAGCTGAGAATAATATAAAGAATATATGAAGATTATAAAGAAGATGTTGATATAAAATCTTGATTATAAGAAATCTACATATAGTTTTTAATCAAATATAATATTGAATATCATTCTCTGTTCGTTTTAAGTAAATATTTTCTATTAAAAAATTAAAATAGAAAAATTGAGATTCATTATATTTTTTGAAGACTATTTTTAGAAGGATTAATCAATTATGAATTGGTAGAAAATTTTGGATATATTCCATTTTTTTACAGGAATTTATGTCAATATATAATTGAATGTCTTTATATGAGAATATTTTATGAAAATTTAAGAAGTAATTTTCCTTTTTATATTGTTTTCATAATATACTATTAATATATTTCATAAGATTTATAATGTATCATAAATGTATTAATGATTGGTTCAATGTTTTTATTCTATAATAGAAATATTTGTTACAATAAAACTTTTTTTTTTTTAAACTTTAAGTGGTTTTTAACTAGAGATTGCTCTTTCATTAAAGTTTATTTTTGAATTTTTAAAATGAATTTGTTAAATAATAGAAAGATGGTATTAATTAATGAAAATGAGAGAGGTAGATATTAATTTAATACTGGAAAAGTGATCAGGGAAATATTTGAAATATATACAATGAATAATTTAAAAAATTCACATCATTTATTTTTTATTTCAAAGTATTTTAATAGAAAAGTGATTAAGCTAATTTATTATCTGAATTAAATTTGAATAGGTTTCATTGGTCATAGGTATAAGATAAGGAAGAAATGAAAAATTATTTAATTAAATATTTTGTATTCTTAGATTATGAAAATTGGATTACATCAAAGATTCACAATATGCAATATAATTGCATCGATTTTATTTTTAGTTTTAGGACTGACAAAACAGATCGTTACATTGGATTCTGGACTATTTATGATTGTGGATCTGATATTTTCTATAATGTTTTTATTGTTAGACTACAAATAAAAGTTTATTTGTTTAACAGGAGATTATTATTTAGCTATAACTTAATTGATTATGTAGATAGTGTAAGTTGAGATGACTATAAACACTGAACAGAAGGTATATATAGTGTTATAAAATAAAGGGAATTTTCATATTTATCATACTGAAACTTTTAGCCTTAACTCAAGTACTTAGAGTGCAATTATTCTAAAAATTAATATATTTCATAGTGCTTATATATTCGATTATAAGATTGAATGAATATCAGTACCCAATATCTTATTTAGGATTGATCTTTTCTCCAATTCTTCTAGTAATATAATTATAATAATTGTAGTCTTATGAATAAAGTGATGAGAACGATCTTTTATTGTTATTTAAGGAAATCTTACCATTACCTTTGTTAGTGATAGATAAATCATCAAGAAAACCAATATATCATACAAAGGCTTTGGAAAATGAGTTTAAATATGATGCAGCTCATTCAGAAGAGTTTATTGAATGTTTGAATCACTTTTTTTCAGATAACCAAATTAAACTTTAAACTTTATTTGATAATTAAAAAGAATTGATTTACAAACCACAAAACAATTTTAAGAGTATATTTACAGAAATTATGGATAATTGTTAATATTTAGCATAAAGTCCATTATTATAAAAGTTCAATCATTTACCTGAAATTCCTATTGAGAATGATTAATTTGAAGAATAAAAACAATTATAATTTTAACCAGGTTCTGAAATTATAATTGATACTCCTAAATATTAATAGTTTTGTAGAGCATCAATATAATTAAGTGAAGAGAGTCCAAAAAATAAAAAATCTAAAGTAATGGAAGAATGGTTAATATAGAGTTAAAGTTTAAGAAATATTTGTGTAAATGAATTGAAAAAGAAAAGATTAAAATTATTTTTTAATCATTGTTATTGGAATAGATGTTAAGCATTTCTTTTAGTATTTTAAAATAAAGAAATAGAGAAATCTTTAACCTCATTATAATAATAATTATCAACATCAAAATAAATCTGTGAAAATAAAGATATGATTCTAGCTACTGTTTTTCATGATTTTAAAACACCCATTAATGGAATAGTAGCAATTTTAGAAAGTTTAGAAGGTAAATAGGATGTAAATCCGTAAGAGAAATATTTTCTTAACATAATAAGAAAAAATGTTTATCTTATGCTATATATGATATATGATATATAAGATTATGCTAGAATAGAAAAGAATCAATTAAGATTATGTATTAGTGACTTTTATATAAATGAACTTATAGATGAAGTTATTGAAACGATAGCTATTTCAGCAGAATAAAAAGGAGTTGAAATTAAGACTATTTATGATATTCCATCTTTTCAAGTACATTCTGATCCTAATAGAATCAAATAAATTATTATGAATATTTTATCTAATTCTTTAAAATTCACCGAAAAAGGAAGTATAACAATAACAATATAATCGTTAAGTACAGATAAAACATAACATATAAAGAGAAGCAATTCCTCTAAAAATATTAGCTATATGAATTTCAATTAATCTGTTTCTTCCATTAGAAAGTCTCTATAAGGTAAACATCCATAAATCTCTTCTAATAAACTTGTATATACAATCTCAATTGAAGATACAGGTTGTGGAATTCCAGATTCAATCAAACCTCAATTATTCAATTTATTTGCTACTTTTTCATCTTAAAAAATAGATAATAAAAATGGCACTGGTATAGGTTTAATGGTTTGTAAAAAATTGGTAAGTTTATTAGGACCATCTGATATTATTGATTTATAAAGTTAATTAAATGTAGGAACAAAAATGACATTTTAAATTTATGCTAAATTATAAGATAATGCTTATAGATTATCAAATTATGTTAGTTGTTTTAAATAAGAAAATAGTTCTTAGCATATTAGCAATTTTAAAAATGAGGAATCTCCAAATACTAAGGATAAACCTTAACAACAATCTTTGTTTGTTAGATCCTCTTATCTTAGATTGTATACAAAACCTTTAGAAAAAGCAGAAACAGAAATGAATGAACCATCCATAGAAGATGGGGATCAAACTAAATCAAAAAATATATTGAGATTCAAATCTTTAAGTTAGAGATCTTAAACATAAAAATGTCTATAATCTCGAGATCACTTAGAAGTTTAAGATCCTAAATTGATTATTCAATAATTACATCAAAGTAAAAAATTCGGTATTTTAATTGTTGATGATTAAACATTTAATGTATTAGCTTTTAAAATGTTATTATAAAATTTAATACCTTAAGCAGATATTATTGAAGCTTATAATGGATAATAAGCAATAGCTAAAGTAATTTATAATAATAAAACTAGTTATAAGAATATTAAAAGAGCTTTAATATAAAATATGTATTTATGGATTTATCAATGCCAATTTTAAATGGATGGCAAGCAGCAGAAAAAATTCGAAAAATGGTACTCAATTTATTGCTTTATCTAGATTGATAATTAAGAAATTGATAGTATAAAATTAATTGCTTTATCAGGATTTGATGATGAATCTTAATAAGAAAAATGTGAAAAGTTAGGTTTTGATGCTTTCCTTTCAAAACCAATCAGAATTGAAATGATTTCAGAAGTTTTTTTTCAACTTGAAAAGAATTTTGATTGATTTTGAATAATTTAAATTCACTTATTCGTTGTTATTATTTATTACCTAAGAATTAATATAAAATTAATCATTTCTCTAATTAAGAATAATTATCAAAGTATATCTGCTAAAATTAAAGAATTTCTAAAACGATGCTTAATTATTAAAAGAAGAAATTATATCATTTAAAAAAAGAAAACTAAAAACTAAAAAATTTAAACTAATAATTATCTTTTTAGATCAAACTTGATGACAGTTCTAATAATAAATTCATTATATTTTATTAACTTCATTATTTTTTCATATCTTTTTTATTAAATTTGCAAATCAATTAAATTTATCAATAAGTACTTCATTTATTTAAATCTTGCTGTATTCACAAATCGAAAAAAAAAAAATTCAAAAAATATTTGATTAAGTTAATTGAAATAGATATTTAAGACTTTCAGATAAACTAAAATAGGTATTACAAGACAAATAAACACAAATTGATGATCTCAAAAATAACACATGTAATAATTGATATTCCAAGAGTGAACGGTTTCAACTAAAGTGAAGTTTGAGTTTTTAAACGAAAAATTCAACGAAATTTTAAAGACAACTAATGACGTAACCAAATTTCAAAAGTTAACAGTTCGAACTATTTAATTAGAAAAATAATTGAGTTGATAGTATTATTCAAATTATAAACAAAAGAAGAAATTTTGAGTCTTGGATAAGAATAATCGCTTGTTAGCAATTAATAAATAATAAAAAATAGTTTGAATAAAGCTTAAAAAGATTTTAGAAAAACTCAATAAAGATCATAAATAAGAAATTTAGAAAAAGAATAAACTTAAAGAGACTATTGAACTTTTAAATTAAGAATTAGTTGATAAATAGATATTAATTTAATCAAAGCAAATTAATTTAGAGAAAGAAAAGATGTTTATAATTTTAGGAATTAGAAGATTAATATTAATTAAAATAGTCTTGGTTGTATAATAAAAAGGAAGCTCATACATAATTTTAATTAAATTTTAGCTAAAAAATAAGAAAAATAATATCGAAATTACAGAGGATGAAATGATTTCTATTTTTAAATCTAATTCTAAATTTATTATTGAAGTCGAAATTTAAAAATTATGCAAAATCACATAAATTTTGAATTTGCAAATGAGGAATAAAAAACTTCTCGGATTGAAAGTCCCAAGAAATTTATCAGAAATAGAAAAAGTAATTATAAAAATTACTTAGAGTAGATTCTGAAAATCTAGGGAAATTTTTGAAATATAAATTGATAAATGCAAAAATTCTCTTTGAAAAAATTTAAAAATATTTTGAATAGAAATAAGAAATTAAAAATTAAGAATTAGTTGAAAATTTATAGTAGTTTCCCTTTAATATATAGGATAATAAAAAAGCATTATTATTAATTCTTTATTTATTGAGGATAATTCATAATAATTTGTTGAATTTACTCTTTTAAAAATAAATGACATTTGTGTCATTAAAGGTAAACTAAAAAAAGTTATAGGAAAATATACAGTAATTAATGAGGAACAATAATCATAAATGATGGATTATATTGGTTAATAAATTTGGAAATGTAGTTAATCAATAGTTGAATTAATCAAAATGATTGTATAAAAAAAAACAAATTCTCAATTTAATGATAACGAAAATGAAGTTATCAAATGCCTTAGTAAATAGCAATATTTTTTAGAAGATAAATAAAAAGAAATTTTGGGATATTTATTAATGAAGAGTTTAACTGGATAAAATTGTTTGAATATAAAGGTCTGATTGATAAGTTTTGATTTTCTCTTTAGATACATTCAAAATATAAAGTTTATATTCAACAATCTAAATGATCATATTTATATTAATTATTCATGTTCGATATTTTAATTTGATAATTAAATTATACAAAAAAAAGATTTAATTTCTCGTATTAAAAGTCACTCATTATAGAAAGATTATGTATTATTATTTAAATATCTAATTATTATGGGTCTTTGTATAACAAAACCAATTACAAAACAACCTAAGTCTTTGATTCGTCTTATCAAAGTTGAAAATGAGAATTACAATTCAAAACCTGCTACACTGCCTGATCTTTAGGCAAAGATACTATAATTGTGGGTGAAGGTTGAAAAGAAATTGAATAAGTTAATTCACTGTGAAAGAACACAATAAATCCTAGAATTTAAGAGATTGATTCAAAACATACTATAAAAATAAAAAAATGCTCTTTCTTTCTCTGAAATAACAACAGGAATCATTATTGGGTATATGGAAAAAATAGCTTTTGAAATTGAAGAATTAATAAGAGAAGAGTTACTAATTGAAGAAATAGCTAATAAGTTTTAACAATTCTATACTTAAATTCTCGAACTTTCTCTAGAATACCATAATTGGAAGAATTTCTAAAATACAGATAAGACACAAGTATCTAGTTTTATTTGAATTAACATATAAATTTATATACTTTATATCATTAATATTATAAGTATAGTAATAACATTACGAAAAGTTTAATTAAATAATATGAAATGGAGTAAATAAACCATCAAAAAACTTCTTTTATTACTTAATCTCATCATTATGGTACCAAATAAACAATAAAGATAAGCTTTCTAACTATTTTATTATAATTCATAATTAGAATACAATTTCAAAGAATTGATTAATGTATCTATACAAATATCATATTTTTTTATAATATATAAATTAGTTTCAAAGTATATTTTTAATTATGATAATAGAATCTAAAAATTAAATATCATTTATAAAATAGTAAAAATATGAATAATATGTATGAATGAATACCTTATTTTAAACCACATAGAAGTAGACTCTTAGTATATTGAATGCTGATGAAAAATCTTTTTCAAGAAAATAATTGAAGAATGGCAAAAATAATAATTTGAGAATTAATTATTTGTAATATTTTTTTGTAAGTTTTATAATAAAACATTTTGAATTTAATAATTAGAATAATTTATTTTATTATTGATTAAATTCTTTAAATAGAACTCATTATTTTGATAAAATTATTTTATAGTATAATCAATCTAGTAAATTAATCTCTTGCTTCTTTTATTATTAAGGGATAATATTTTCGTCTTCGAATTCCACTACCTTATTAATATTATGATTACATAAATTTTTACTCTGTGAGTTTTTTATAATTTAAACATTTTATGTCTATTCTTAGACAGCATTAGATTTTTATTATTAACTTTAAGTTTCATTTGATTTATTTGTTATAGTAATTTCATCCATACATGAGTCTGGAAAGTAATACCCATTTTCATCTCTTTCATATGCTGCATTAATTGTAATATTGTCAATTATTTGATCTAATTTATCATTTATCTAATCTCCCCAACTTTCCAATTTATCATTAAATTTATCCATATATTTAAAAAGATAGTTTTCTAAAATGTCATCTAAGGTTGTTGTAGTTTATTTGTTATTTTAATTGCTTAATGATTATGTCTTTTGTTTGTTAATTTAAATTTTTAGTTTGATTTATTTAGCTATTTCTTTTTCCTTATACAAAAGCTTTCTATTAGTTAATTGGTTTGCAATGTTTCCTGCTTTTTATCGAACTTTTAAATATTAAAAAATCTTACTTGTAACATATATTGGGTCCTAGAAATCAATTTTAAATTCCTGATAATTTCTAAACATGTAAATTCTAACCTTCAAATCATCGATTATACCTGAACATCCATACTTTAAGAGATAATCTGTAATTAATAGTGTCTATAGGAAATAAATTAGAAATATGATACTTTAAGAATGACATTTGCAGTGATTCCAATTGTAGATAGTTATAAAACAATTTAATTGATAATTTTTGGATAATGATCGCTAAAGAAACTTTAAATAATAAATAAATACATTTGGAAACTCAATTCAGCAATCTGATCAAGAAGATTGATAGGAAGAATTGAGTTTTCATAATGATATGCTTGATCAAAGAGTTTGATAGCTTATTCTTCTGGTGAGTAGGCAAATTTTTATTTGAATGAGAATGATGCTTCCTTAAAGTATTTCATGAATTTTAATTAATGCATTTATTAATCAAGCGACCTGAATTAACAGGTTGTCGTAAACTTAAAAGAAATTCATATTATTTGATTTGTGGTTCAGATGGAGATTAGAGACATGACAATTATGTTTTAAGTTATCGTGTTTTACAATACCTAGATGATGGAGCAGAAAATTTAGCAAAGTCACTTAAATTAAGTATTTTAACCTACTAAGAATGTCTAGTAGTAGTTATTTTAATTCTATTTTATGATTCTTTATTCTTTTTTCTACGTTGATGTACTTCATTATATTTTATAATAGATTTTGAAACATGGTAGTTCATATCCATAAGATCTTTGAATAATTTTTCATAACGAGTAGTAATAATTTCTTAGGTTGTTTCAATTGGTATATAAACTTAAGGAGTGTCATTAGACTTCTTTTATTTATTAATACTTGCAATAACACTTTTAAAACCTAAATAAAAATAATGATTAACCTGCTCCTTATAAATACAATTGTTTAGTATTATCATCTAAAATAAGAACATCATAAACATTTTTCCAATTTCTTTATGATGCTAAAAAATAATATTTTTGATGCAATTTATTGATGTAATTCATACCGAAATTTCCCATAAGCAGAGGTTCAGAAAAGAACTTGTCATTACGATTGCATCTCTCTTCTCTAGAATAAAGCATAGCCTTTTATATATTACTTATCCATATACTATGCCCGATTGAGTTCTATCTTCATTCTCATTTTCTACATGTTACTTAAGTATTTAAGAATTGAAACTAAATCTTCATGTTACATGCTTATAATAACATTCCTAAGATTTGGTTAAATAATATTTTCCTATCCAATTTATTATCCTTATTTTGGAAAGTAAACCTAATAATAATTCCATCAATTTTACTTTAGTTTTATTGGAATAATATGTTTATATTTTGTTGAACTTTTAGACAACTTTTGGTAGGAATATTTTTCTATGTATAGATTCATTAATGATGGAATAACTATCATAATATATAATATATGTCTATTACACTTAATTTTCTAGTTCTTCTCTTTTTTTCTCACCTCTAATGATTTCAAATTGATATTCTTTAAGATTTTTACCATCTTCAATACATTAATGAGTAAGAATGCGAATCATAAAGATGACTTCTTCTCTTGAGGCCATAATAGTGAGGAACTATTGTAATGGATTTTGCATATATTTACTATATATTAAATATATATATTTATCAATTAAACTCAAACTATACGTACCTAATTGAATTTATGAATGACTTTCTCTTACATAGATATCTCAATAATGAAATAGTACATAAATTTTCGTTACATCCAACAAATAGAAATTTGGTTTTGTTCTTATATAGATAATTATATTCCATAGTGAAGAAGGTGATTCCTTTTTTTATAATTCTGATAGGAGACATATTGGATTTAATTTAAATTTCTATATATAGTTAAGAACTCTCCAAGTATTATTCTCATTACCCAAGTCTTAAACACTTTGACTGTTTTATTATTCAATTCCAATTTAATTGATCATTTAAGAAACTGGCCTAATTCAACCTCAAGTATTATTTGAATCAACAAACTTAATTATTTTTAATTATTACTCATCTCAACTTAGACAGAATTCATTATTGCTAATTTAATTATAATAAATGTTTTAAATTAGTTGTAAAAGTCCTTATATTAATCTCAGTAATTCTTTAATGACAATATTGAAATCATAATTATCTATTATAATTTATGATTAATTTATAAAGAACTTGATTAAGGAAAGGATCTAGTATTTTATTATAGAATTATATTACTTTAATTAAAAATGTTATGTTTGATAATAATTCATATGATATTTAATGCACAATTCATGGAAATCATCTAATAATTTAATTGGATGCTGATAATTTTGAAAATTTTGATATGAATGCACTTGATAATGTAATATATTTAAATAAAAGAATTATTTCTTTTAAGTAACAGAATTAAGATCAGTACCACCAGATACATGTCCATTAAAGTGTATTAATTCATTCAATAAATTTGTTTAACATCTAATTTTTCCTTTTTTGAATTAGATCCAGATTAAATTAAACTTTCTCATCTAACATCTAGTCTTTTAAATAAATATCAAAAATAATGGATTTTTGAAGAAGAATGCTTAATTTTGGTAGTCACTATTGACTAATTCATACTTAGATTAATTATTATTCGTTAGTAAGATTAGGGATAGATTGATTTAGAATTTGATTCAAGCTCATTAGATTTATTTTTTGATTCATACTTTCATGATGAATATGAAAAGGAATCTGTTCTAGTAAATGATAAATATTATTAATCAATCTTAAAAATAATTCTAATCCTTTTCAAAAAAAGTCACACATTAAGATCAAAGCTTAAGTATTATATTAATTTGATTATTATGATTTCACTAAAACTTTTGGTCTACATAAATCTTTTATGCATTATGCTGATAACTAATTATTATACTATTTATTTACTTAAATTTTCGATTTGAGTACTTACATAAAAGAATTAGATTTGGATGATTATGAGAGATATAAAGAAAATTGCATTATCAGAAATGAAATTATTAGTGAGAATTGTTATCATATTTAGGAATAAAAGATAGACCCATCGGAGTTAAATTGAAAGTTTTAATGAGATTACTTTATCTGAAAAGGAATTTTTTTAGCATTATTGTAAAAGTATGGGATAAGTAAAAAAAGGAAATAATATATGAATAATAATTATATCATAAAAGAGTTATACGAAAAAAAAGAAAACCATCCAAATATATTTAATGCAATACTGTTTATTACTTGAATTATATTTTATAATTTGGAGGATGGCAGGTCATTTTTGAAAATGTTTCAATTAATTCAGAGAATTTAAAAGTTTGTCATATTCTAAATACCAATAAGACTATTTTAGTTGATAGTTTAGAAAACATTTTAAGTATTATCATTAAAAATTGATGAAGAACTATTGAAAAGATCTTATATTTATATAAAAATATATATAAGTACAAGGATTTGTAAAATAAAATTATTCATAAATATTTTAATTATTTGTCTATTAATGTTCCCTGTGAAGTTGATTGATTTGTAGTTGTCGCCCTCGAGATCTGAATACAAAGATTTCTCAACTAACATCAGTGAAAATGATCTTGATTATGACACATTTAAAATGGATCAAATACACAAACCTCCCTAAATTAAGAAGAGTTCTTCTTATCCTAGAAATAATGTATTAAATTAATGATTAATATTATAGTACAAACAATAATTAATAGAAGAAAGTAATATTGATGGAGATCAAATCATATAAGAATGCAATCGCTTCATATAAGACTCCTAAGTTAGTGTTACACAGCTTCTTTAAGAACTTGCGCTTGATCTTCCTAAAAAGAATAGAAGTGCAGGCTTCTTGAAGTTCTTTGATGAGAATAAAAATTATGGATTCATTGTAATGGACTCAGATGGTTCAGATATTTTCGTATATGCTGATGATTTAACTAAAACTGGAATTTCTAAAGAGTATTTGCGAACTGCTAAGTTTGGAAATTGCATTAGGTATTATTCTTATCTTAATTAAAAGATTTACTTTTACCTGCATGGAATATTATGGTAAATATAATAAATCGAGGAAGGCAATCGACTTAGAATATCAAAAGCCAGGCTTATTCACCCAAAGCCTGTACTGATTAATTATATACATTTATAACTTAAAATATTCCCATCAAAATCCATTCACAAACATCTATTCCATGTATCTACTAATAAAAAATATATATAATATAAATATTTTTTCAATCACTTTTTTAGATTCACATATTAATCAAACAATTGAATTAAGAATTCATTCTATTATTTCAATATTATTCTCTAAATTATTTAATTTATAAGCTTAGCATCTTTATTAATCTTCAAAAGATACAAAAGACAGATTATAAAATCTATTGAGTTTTCCTATATTAATTAAAGGTTGCTTAAAGTAATTTTAATTTTAGATTATTTCAATTATTTTTAGTATAAAGAACATGGATGATGATATTTTATTATATTAATTATAATATTAATAAGAAACTCTTATATTGTAATTTTTGTATTAAAGGTAAAAAATGATTTACTATTGACACATTTCTTCTTGAGATTGATTCAGCATTTTCATTAATAGCTTCAACATTTATTATATGTAAAAAATGTAACTAAAAATTTAGATTAATACAATATTTTAAATCTAGTGAAGGAAAATCTAATTAATTGAATTGTTTGAAATTATCGGAGTTGTTATATACGAACATGCAATCTTTAGAAGATTTAATATGATAAATACTTAATGAATTAAAGACCAAAATAATAGATGGTTTATAAAAAAGCATGATAATATAATTTTTGTTTAAATTTAGAATTTATTTGATAAAATATTTGAAATTTTCCTAAATAAATAAGTTATATATAATCATTTATATAAGTTAAAAATTTGCATAATTTTCTAATTTGTAATATTTTATTCTTTGTCAATAATTTTATAATACTTATTGTAGAGACTATTTTATTTTAGAATTTCTTCGAAAGCTTTCTTTTGATTATCAAATAATTATTTACATTCGATTAACTAAAGGTTAATAATTAAAATTACTTACCAATTAATTAGAATGCTTGGGTCCACTTACGGATCTGTTTCTTAATTGAAGATATTTTTTTTCAGATTCAAACTAATGAAGATTATTTGTTTCTGTTGTGCTTACTCTATCTTCAACTATGATTTCTTTAATCCTTTGACTTTGTTCTTCAGATTTGAGTCCTCTAAAATCTTGAGGTTTTTAATGGGTTTATGAAGAAGGTGTTGTTGCTTTTTTTGGTGGAATAAGTCCAAATTTGAAAAGAGGGTTTCTTCTGCTTATTTTTGGATGAGCCCTAACATCACTAGGAATTTTCCAATCAGCAAATGTAGGAGTGAGAATATTTGGAAATTTCGATTTCTGCTCTCCCTGTTCTTATACAGATGAGGCTCTTAGCTTAGGATGTAGCTATTACATTCAATATTGCAATAATTTTATAAATTTAATAATATAATCACAATTGAGGATGTCATAGAATCATCATCTTAAACTTATATTTGTTTTATAGAAGAAATAATTTATACTTAATGATTTAAAGGATTTAATTCTTATATTTTATTGTTTTAAGTATCAAAGATTTGAGAAATAATATAATTGTATAAATTTAGATATCATAATTTATATAATTTTGTTTTTCAAAGTTTTTTAATGATAAGGTGAAACTTATTCTATCAAAAATTGTAATTGTACTCAAGAATTAAATTTATAGATAAAATTAAATAATCTTTGATTGCTATTTTATTTATTTGTATTGACATAAATTTATTTAATCCTATACTTAATCCTAAATGTATAATAAATTAAGAAGTATAATATATTCTCGTTTAATGTTTAAAAAACTAATAAACTCATTTTTTGCTTAATATCTTTTATTTATAGATAACTTCTTATTTTTCTTATTCTTTTTATGCTTTGCCTGTCCATAATTTTGATTGAAGTTTAACTTCTTTTCCATAAGTTCCCACTTATGAAGGAGGATTGATCTCTTTGATCATGGAACCTAAAATATAAAATTAACTATACCTAAATCATTACTTACTATTAAAACAGCAAACTTAGAGACTTCTTCTAAAGATTATGAATCAAGTGTAGCATAATCAAATCTTCCTCTTAGATCAGTATATCCATCCTTATAAAATATATTTTGACCATCATTTTTTTTAACAAAAGTTTTTATATATATCTTTTCTAAGTATTTACCATCTTCATTTGATATTCTTAATTAACCACTATTTTCAGTTATGTTTATTTATAATTTTGTTTCAATGTAATGATGACTTACAATTTTAGTATCTCCTTTAATTTAGATAATTTGATTTTTATGTTTCAAATGATCAGGAAATTCAAGAATCATAGTTTATTAAGTTGAAGTTGATTATAATTCTCGTTTTGATTAATATATTGGTTTAATGTAAGTATAATTATTGTAATTTTAATCACTTAAAAAAGGATTTTTAGAGAATATTACTTCTAAATCAATTAAATAATGTTCAATAGATATTTTATTAAGATTAGCATATGTAATTTTAATTTGTTCATTTTCAACAACAAATTACAATTATTCTTCTTTATTTGCTTGATCCTAATTTTTTTAATGTGAATCATCCTCTTTCTTTTATATACTTCTATCTTCATCACCATCAAATTCAGCTAATAAATTCATTAAATCATAAAAGAGATTTCTCCATTCAATAACTGGATAGCTAAGATATTTTTCACAAATTGATCTTGCTCTATCAAAATTTGGATATCCAATATACAAATCTAAATAAGCACTTAAATAATCATATTATAAAATTGGATCATCTTCTTTAAATTATGTATTGATACTCTAATAGATTTAAATTGCATCATTAATTCTTGATTATAGTAATAAATAATATGAAAATATTATTTTATCAGCAGTAGTTAAATCTTATTTTATAACAAGATAATTTAAAAATTCTTGATATTTTTATTTCAATTAAACATTTAAAATTCCTTAATCAGTTCTAGCTAATGTATGAACTCTTTTAGTTATTAAAGGATAATATTCATAAAATCTTATAGAATTAATTTCAATAAAAGAGTTTTTTAAATAAACAAATTCTCCTTTAAGTAAATTTTCAATATTTGATAATGCTAGGTAATCTTTTAATCCTTCAAGATCATTATGAATAAAACAATATTATAGTATTTCTTCTTTTAATTCTAATTTCTCTCTGAGAATATCACAACATTTTAAATAAAAGTTTCTATCTTTAAAATATTTTTTTATTTAACTTAAATCAACTCCACTATTATTCCTTAAATATTCAAGAATATCATCTTTGCTACCTTTTTAAATAATATCCATAAGGTTTTCCTTATTTAAAATCTAAGAAGTAGTGACAACAACAAATTTTTATTCTTCAGCAACAGCAATAACTGCTTTTTCAGTAGAAACAACAGCAGGATAAACTGAAAAGCATCCAATATTTGGAAAATAAAATGAATAATGATAAGTACGTGATTAATAAGGTTAAAGACTGACTGTATTAATACTAGAATAATTATTTGTATCCATTGGGAGTGATCCATTAGGAATTTCTTGTAATAAAAATACATTTAGTTTTTTTGAAGAACAATTTGTTATAACTATTTCACATTAATAAACTTTTTTAATCTCATATTCTTAAGGTTATAATTCTATATTATCTCCATCTTTTTTAATATATCTATTATTTTAATCATAAAATTTTTAAATAACTAAGATTTATTTATTGATTTATTTTGGTATTTCTTTTAATTCCTTCATTAATAAAATGCATGGTGTTTGTGGTTTAATTCTTAGATCTCTTTCATTATAAATTTATTCTACTGATACTTAATTAGCATATGGTAATCCAATTAAAGCAGCTGTAATTAATAAATCATGTTTTTAAGCAAGATTATTATAAATAAATTTAGTTGAAACAAAAGGATTTTCAATTACACCATAATTTATAGAATGCTCAACTAAATCATGATAAAAATCATTATAAGTTGTTAAATCAGGATTCTATAATTCGATGTTATCTATATAATGTAATTCACAAAATTCAGATGTTTATTTAACATTTTTGAATGGTTGAATACTCATATCTCTATATCCACCATACTAATCATATTCTATTTCACATTCATCTTCATATACTTTATAAGCTCTTTTTTTGAATGACTTCATTGCACGACATTTAATTTCTTCACAATAATTTTATTCACAATCATCATAATTAGGTTAAAAGTCATCGCCACCGTAATTAGCATCTCCTCCACCTCCTCCACATCCATCTCTTTCATCATTCTCATTTTCTGATTCTAAACCTTTTTCTTCACCTTCTCCACCTATTATTGTATCAAATTTCTGCTTTCTTTCTGCTAAATTTACTTCATAATTTTTAAACTTCTCAAACAAACAATTTCTTATTCTATTTGATAATCTATTATTTTAACTTATTTCATTAAAAAATATAAACAAAAATGTTTGTTCTAAAGCATTTAATTATGCAAACTTACCACTAGATACTTATTATTATAGATATTAATTGTTTTTTAATAAAAAGTGATCCATGAATGATTTTTCTATTTTATTTCTAATATAATCTTAGATATATATTTCAAAGAAAGCAGGATCTTTAAAATATAAAAATACATTAAATTCATCTGATTAATAATTATTATAGAGTTTAAATTTTTCATCTAAATGCTTATTATTCCAATTTGAATATAAATCTAATTATGTGGCATCAATATTTTATGATATATTTTTCATTATTTAGCAAGCTTCTTCATATGAATTAATTAATTTAAACTGAGTATTTGCACAATCAGGTAATAAAATTTCTTCTCCTTTTTTAAGAATAATTGATTCTCTGTAAGTAGAGTAATATTTACCTATTTCTAGTTTCGATTTATGAGTAATATCTTTTTTATAAGGATCCATTGTTTTAAAACCAATTATTTTGTTTTGAACATTCTTTTCGTTTATTACAACAATTTGTAATTATTGTATATAATCAGGAAAAGTTAATTAATATTAATTTGATTTTTCCTATTAAATTGTTAATACTTAAGCAGATCTTTTTAAAAAATTCATATGATTACTGACATCGATTTCTTTTTTTAGATTTAATTTATTATTAGTATTGTTCTTACCTTTTGCCTTTGATTTTTTCTTTGAATCTAATTTTTTCTTATCTTTTTATCTAAATCTTCTTGGAGCTTCTGATTCCATTTAACCACATTCTTCACCTTCACAAGATTCATATGGACATTATTCTTCTGAATCTTCATCCTAATTATCTTATAAGAATTCATCTTCTGCATTTGTTGTTTCTTAAACAAATTAACGATTCAGAATTAAATTTGGCTTTTCTAATGTATTTCCAATATAAGCAGGTTTTGTTCTTCTATTTTAAACATAGGCAATTTCAAATTATACATTTTAATTTGATTAAAATTCATTTTCTATTAAATCCCTATCTAATTGATTTTCATTTTTGATAAAATATTTATTTTGTAAATATTAAGCATATTATATATATAGATTTTATGGATGAAGAAATTGAGATGCTATTACTAAAACTAAATATTTCTCTTCTGTTTGTTCAATTTTAAATTAAACACATTTTAATAAATCTTTTTCATATATTTCTTATTTTTCAATTTAAATAGAATTCTTTTATTAATCTGTTTTTAAAAATGTATATTTTAATTAAGGTGGAGTTAATTATGAATTTGATGATAAACATGATGAACTTAATGATATAATTCCATCTAATTATCCTAATAATATCTTGCCTTAACCATCAGTTTTTAATTTTACTACTATTGATTAAGTTGTGTATATAGATAAGAATGTAATTTCAAATAATAAATTTTCATATGTTTCTCCATTCCTTCCTATAACAGCTAATTCATATCCATTTTATTCAGTATATTTTATGTATTATTTGCATAACATTGATTCATAATAATAATTGATATTAAATTCAAACTATAAATCAATTAATTTATTTTCTGTCATTGACTTAATTTATCCAAAAACTATAATCTTTGTTTAATTCAAATTTGAAAGATTTCTCATTTAAAAAGAATAAGGTTAACGATTTTAAAATTAAGCTTCCTCAGTTTAATCATAACTAATAACATTTGATTAACTTTTTGATTATACTTTAATCTTTGTATTTTTCAATAATCCAATATCTATTGATTTATTAGCAACTGTAAGTTCTGGATAAATTGTAATAGAACAATCTGTTTCAGATATTATTTATTCTTAATCAATAAAGAATAAACAATTTAATTCATATTTTTCAATTTCTAGAGTAATCACTTAAACTTCTGCATAATTTTCATGTACAATAATACAATTAATATTTTTACGATTTACAGAAAAAGGTATCATAATCTCATTTCTTTCATCTATTTAATAGAACTTTGACTCAATCCATACTCCTGTTCCTTCACCTTTACAAAGTTCTTATTTTTCATCAAAAATTTTTAAAGAATGTCCAGCTGAAGTTATTGTATTTTCTAAGATTAATCTTCCTTTAACAACAAATGCTTTTGCATAAAGACCACTTCCTATAAATTCAATCACATATGCACCAAATTTAGTATTAGTTATTGTATCAAAAGAATATTCTTTAAAGAATATTTCAATCGGAGCTTATTCATAAGTAAATTCTATCTCTTCATTTGGAATTATTCCATCTAAAGATATATCAATATTTGCATTCCTCTCATTTAAAAGACAATAATTTTCACAATTTATCTAAAATATTTTAATGGATAATTTTTAAATATTTTTTAATTTACACTACAAACTCACTTATTCACTTAAAATATATTAATAATTATTTACCCATGTTTAAAATATTTTTTGTTCGTATCTAAAATCTCTAAAATCTTTTCATTATTCATTCTTTCAAGCTTATATTATGGCAATATCTTTGAAATATGTTCTATTTATTTTCCTTAATATAATTTTAATTCAGCTTCCAATTAATCTAAAATCTTATTTTATACATATTAAGAAAGAAAACTTAAGTTTTCATTATTCTTTAAATAAGTTTATAAATAACTCTTAAAAATTTTAAATTCATAATTATTTCCTACTAAATAAACAATTCTTTAATCTTCATTCGCTTACTAATCGTCATTTAAAGAATTAAAAATAGATTAATGATATTTCAACCATTCAATTATTAATTCTTATTTAATTTGTATATTATTTTAAGTTCCATACTCAATTAAGGAATTTAAATGTTAAATTTTTAAATCTTAAAACTTTGAAGACAATTTAAAAAAGAATTCTGTTGTAGTCTCTTTTAATTTATACAATTCTTATTTATCTTCTTTAAATTAGGTTATTTTTCTTTCAAATTTAATTTAATAGTAAATTGTCACAAAATCTTTATCGTCCAACAATTTAGGATAAATTTATAATAATTAATCCAATTAGGTTTCAGATAACTTTGGTAGAAAATTGTATAATTTGTTTGATTATTTTTTTTGATTTAAAAGAAACTAAAACAATTTAATAACTTCTTGATTCCTTAAATATAATTTATAATAGTTACTAATCTAAGTTTGAAGCTCTATCCAAATATGTTTCAATTGATGAAACATCTTTTGATTATAATAAGTGATCTAAATCTATAAGATAATAATATTGAGACTGAAGATAACTTAAATAAACTGATGGATATTAAAGCGCTTTATTTAAGAAAGTAGTCAAACTAATGGATGCTTGATCTAATTAAGAAGGATAATATTTTTCATATTCCATTTCCTCTTCTTATACCTCAATAATTTCATTAGAACACTTATCATTGTCATCATTGTTATCTTATAAGTTTTCTTTATCTTCATTTATTTATTGATTTTCTTGTTAAATTTCTGATTCTTGTTAATCAATTACTTATTCTTGTTAATCAATTCCTTATTCTTGTTAATCAATTTCTTATTCTTGATAATCAATTACTTATTCTTGTTAATCAATTTCTTGTTCCAAATCTTAAGATTTCTTATCCTTTGATGATTATTATTCCTGATCTTCTGAAACTTAACTATTAGATTTTTTAATTTTTATGTTTTCTTCATTTTAATTTTCGATATCTTAATTTTCTTCTAATTCTGGTTCTACTTCTTCTTCTTCTCTAAAAATTATATAAATAATTACCTTGAAACATCACTAAAATAATATTGTTGAGGTTCTACATCATCATTATATTCAATCTTAAATACATATTCTCTAAACAATCCTAAAAGTTTATTTCTTCTATAATTATCATTTTAGTATTTATCTAGCTAAGTAAAAAGCTTTCTTTTTTTTATATTTTCTGCTAATTCTGTATCTCTAGAAATAAATTCCTTTAATTATTCTTTTTCATCTATAGATAAATTAGCTCCTTTTTGATGAAAGAGTTTCAGAAAAAAAAAGTAATAATATTCATCAGATCCTTTAACTAAATACTTAAATGCTTCTTCTTATGGTTTTAATAATAAATTTTCTAATGCGGAAATATCTTGCATTTTTAAATTTTATAATATAAGTCGATTTATAAGAAGTGTTTATTAAAATAAAAAGATAAAAAGGATGATAAATTCTGATATTTTTTGGTTGCATATATAATATTAAATAACAAGAATATATATTACATCAAACTTTATCTAATAACTACAATTCTGTATCATTATGATGATCCCCTAAAGAATCAATTTTATTATTTATTTCATTTGACAAATGATACCAATCACTTTTCAACATAATATATATTTATAAGAATGAATATGTCGAAGCTGCGACAATCATTCCCCACCAAACTCCTGCTAATTCATAATCTAAAAGATAAGTCATTATGTATGCTACAGGTTATCCAAAAACTATGTAACAAAACATCATAGATTTAGATGCAAAATGCTCTTTACCTATAACTTTCACTATTCCAGAAACTATAGCTTAAACACCATCAACTACAATTTATATAAGTAAAACAGGTAAGAATTTTATAAATAATTCTTCCATCTCAACTTCAGATGTTAAAAATTTAACAATTTACTACTAGAATCCAATAATTAACATTAGACAAATAATAAGAAACCCTCCTAACAAAACAAATGATCCAATTGTATATTGCTTAGCCATTTTCACTTATTTTGCTCCCATAGCATTTCCAGCAAATGTAGTTGCAGCAATAGATATTCCATAACTAAATTAATAAACAAGCAATGCCACTGTGTACATTAAAACATTTAAACTTAATAACAAAGATGGTAAATAATTCACTTAGATTTAGAATATTTCAAAACAAATACTTTCATACCAAAATATTGATCCTATTGGTAAAGCAGTTTTGAAAAATTTAAATGAACCATCTAGTACTGTCCATTCAAATTTGATTAGAGTTTCTTTACAACAGTTCAATCTCTATTTATGTTTATATTATAATATACCTTAATTAAGTAAACTACAATCAAATTGTTTGAAATTTCAAGAAGATTTCTTGCAATAATTCCTCCTAATAACTACATCTCTAAGATTGAAATAAAAAAGTAATTAAATAGTAAAGATAAGAAACAGGATATAAAATGAGTATAGACTGATAGACTATTATATATTTTTATAATACTGATAAAGGTTCTAAGCATTTAAAAATGCCTTAGTCTGTGCAAATATTCCTTCAAAAAAAATGACTGAAATCATTCCTTTATTCAAAAGACCAGTTGCTGCAGCTAATTCTTATTCACTAAGATTAAAAAATAATTACATTTTAATGGAAAGCATAATGTCTTCAGAAAAATACAGGATTAATGCTACTGGTATAATTAAAATGCAACAAATGAAAATTGATTAATAATACAATTTACCACAAAATTAAAATTTTTACGCACCAATAGCTTAAGATGCTAAAGCTTATAAACCCTATGCTATTTTTAAATTGATACACTAGATATTCCATTCATTACACTAAATCCAAAGGCTTAATAAAATATAGTGCCAACTCCAAATGTAGCTACATGTAATTAATTTTAGGTCTACTCCAAAAAATAAATTGTGATAGCTGCAGGCATTTATTGGAGTGTATAACAAAAAGCATTAGCAATAGAAGGACTAATTAAATCCTTATATATAAAAGGCTTTGTCAAATCTAGTAGCTCGAGGGATTTTTCAAGTTCTTATTATGACATTAATTATTAAAGATTTTAAGTTTAATTAATGTTAATAAATCAAATTATTCTATTTTTCAAACATAAAATAAAGTTTTATTCTATGGAATTATTTTCTTTTTAATTTTGATAATTTAATAATAATTTTTATATCTAATCAACAAATTCTATGAGACTAATTCGTTGATATAAATATAAACAAAGAAATATATGATAAATCATATCAAATATTAACAATTATTTTGATAATGTTATAAATTAATATTTTACAATTTTATAATAATATTCAAGGACTCTGTTAACTTTAACTTCTAAATAACTTTTATTTTTCTTTGAAATATAGGATATCATTTTTAACAATTTCTACTAAGCTTAATCTTCTGGCTTATCCTCCAAGTGTAGCTTCCCAAGTAGCTCTAGCACCTATCTTTTTAGCTATAATAATATTATTATATTATGAATGACTAGGAAAAGCCTCACCAATCTTTACTAATTCATCTCTTATAGGAGCGCATTAATCTTTTGGAATTCTATCTAATTCAGCGTCAAGCTATTTATAAACTTCAGGCCATAAAAATTCACATGTCTAAAAATAAATATTAATTTTTACCTCAAAATTAGCTTCTCTTAATAATCTTAACATTAATGGACAAGCTCGTTCCATTAAAAACCATTTAAATCTTTTTCTTAAAATAAAATGGAAATGATCAAAAAATAAGTAATCAGTCATTAAATTATATTTGTAAACCATCTCAAATGCTTTTGCAGTTGCTTATGGAGACATTTTATTTAAATGAACTGGAATAACTAAACTCATTTGTTTTTTGAATTCATCAGATGATCTTTCTGATTTTTCCATAAATAATCTAACACATTCTCCAAATAATTTAGCAGGAATATTTGGTAAAAGTCTATAAAATATTATTTAATATTACTTTAACATTCTTTCTTCAAACTTTATCCAAACCTCTGGTGTTTCTATACCATAATTACTATAAATGTTTAATAATTATATGAATTATGTTTTAGTAAGATGATTATGTTCTAAAAATGCTTTATCTAATGCAGCTTTAACCCAAGGATGCTCAATAAGATTAAATTCTAATATTTAATATATTCATACATCCTTTATTGAATTTATGCAATCTCTCAAGACTATTTAAAATCTCATTAATTCTAAGATTATCCAATTATTCTAAATATAAAAGAATTTCATTGCCACTCATAATTTCTGTATTAAGATAATCATTTTATGGTGTAGCTTTCTTAAATTACCTTTATGGACGATATGCATATCTTAATTTAATCATCTTAATGAATACCTCTATTTTAATGGTATATTGATAGGAAAAGTCAAGTCATCATTCTTGAAATCAAATTTTTTTCTCATTTCATAAAATCTGTAAAATTGTTAAGGTTTTGTAGCATAATATCTATGTCTGCTATTTGTTTTACTGCGTATTGATACACTAATTCATAAATATGTATAATACTGTCTGAATTCGTATTTTATTTGATTTACCCACAATTATGAATAACTTTTGAGTAGATTTTACATAAATATAAAATTTTGTTATTTATATATATATATTTTTATTCATAATTTTCAAGCTGTTCCATATTCTGCACCAACAGCCTAAATTTAAAGAAAAGTAATACATCTTTCAAACCTGCAGTCGCACTCTTGGGTCCAACAAAATGAATAATAACATAAAATATTCCAACAAGCCATAAAGTCAATCCCCAAATCCATCCAGCCCTATATTCTATAATATTATTTTACACTTATTATGATGATCCACCTGTAGGTTAATAAGACACTACTGAACCCAAACTATTTTATATAATTTTTTATTTTATACAATATATAAAATACGCCTCTTCCAAAACAACTCATCATAAATTAAAATTAGTCTGCAATGAAATCTTTCTTAAATTCTATTGCCAATAAAAGGCCACAAAAAATCCTGAATTTATAAAATGAAATAGTTTACAATGAATATATAGGAGTGAAAATACTCCAAATTTCATAGTAATGAAAATCTTAAAAAACTTAAAAAGTAACTAATTGATAGATCCCCATAGCTCCAATTACTATTCTAGTTTTTTTTTAATTCTAAAATTATACGCAGCTACAATATTAATCCATCTTAATATCAAAATCCATGTTTTTGTTTCCATTGTTAATTAATTAATGTGATATAATTTACGTATAAAAAATTGATGAATATTTGGATTGCCTTATCAATAAATCTGGTTATTGGAACAGATGCAACTTTAAATCTTATGGATTCTCTTTCAAATATGAACTTAATATTGTAAGTAGTAAGATTTACCATTGCTTTATTAAACATACTTTTTTAATTAGCAATCTACAGAAGTATTAAGCTTTCTTAATATATTATTTTGTTATAATTCCTTTTTTAAATGCAACTTGTTTCTGAAATTAGACAAACTTTTACATCACTAAATTCATTTAACATTTACAAATACTTACTTTTATTATATTACGAACGCTAGAACTAGTAACTAAAGTATCTTTAATTATCTACTCTTCTTTATTGCATGATTGAAATACAATTTCAAAATTCATAAATTCATTAATACACAATAACTTCATTGATTTTTATTATTATCTTAATCATTAGAATATCATAGAACTAATAATAAATAATTCATAAACATTCAACTTCTAATGATGTTTTCCATTCATATTCAACTGTCCCACCAGATTCAGCATCTTCAAACAAAAAAATAGATTTAATCACAAGAGATGAATTAATCTTTATATTAAACCATAGTAAGTAAGGAATTATCTACTTCAATTAAAACCTTGAGATTCAATATATGAATGATAAAGCTTAGAAATTATGTTTAATAAATTCATACAATTAAGCAATGAATCAATTGTAATAGATTATTATGAAGTAAATTACTTTATTATTCATAGAGCAATTGAACAGGATGAAAATTTCAATACTCAACATAAAGAAATTAAGTATAGAGCTTCACAAAAACATTTATTATAAAAAGCTGATTGCAAAATGATAGAAAGTTTAATAGCTTCAGCTGAATAGAATCTTAAGCGATTTCAATCTATGAGTGAAAAGAAATTGGAATCTTAATTTTTACCTAATAAATAAAAAAAGACTCAATTTTCAAGTTCTGATTTCAGATAATTACTTTAATCGCTATTTTCTGATACATAAATGAATAATCTGTAATCATAATATTTTATTATAGTTTAGAGTAAAGAATCTTAATTAAAGCTAATAAAATGAAAGTCAATCTTACATCAAATCATGGAGAAAAAGTTATTGAATTGTAATTCTGTAAAATTGCTAATCTCATAAATCAAAGTGGATATTTACTTTTCATCTATGATATTACAGAAAATGAAAGATTATAATAATACATTTAAAAATAGAAGTTTTAAACATTACATTTTAATTCTTTTTCTCATGAATTGAGAACGCCCCTTAATTGTTCACTTACTTTACTTTAAGCATTAAAAACATAATCAATCTCATCATAACTCATATAAAACTATTTAAATCCTGCTATAGTGTCAAATAAATTATTAATGCATTAAATTAATGATATTTTAGATTATGCTTCATTTGGTCTTGGAACATTTTAATTAAATATAAGAGATTTTTAAATAAAAGAGTTGTTTAGATAATTAGAGGAATATTACAGTGAGATTTGTTCAAAAAAAGGTATTAAATTGATATTCTCTATTTATGATTCTCTTGAAAATCATGTAATTTATAATGATCCAGAAAGAATATTGTAGTTATTAGTAAATTTAATAAATAATTCCCTTAAATTTACAAGGGAAAATGATGTTATTTGTATTACTGCAAAAAGTAAATAAAAATCATCAGGAATAATCAAAGATAATTTTATTAAATTTATAGTTCATGATACAGGAAGAGGAATAGCAAAGACAGAATTAGATGCCATTAACAATATTATTCATACTTGTATTGATAATGATATATATCATTAATTAAAGAATTTTACTACAAAATATGTTGGATTAGGATTTACAATAGGAAGTAGGATGAGCAATGAATTAGCCTATTCTAAAAAATCATATTTTAAAATAAGAAGTAAGGAAGGATTGTTTACAAAAATTAGTTTCCGAATTAATAACTAAATAACATCTTTTGGCATTAAATAAAAAGATACTTCAATTAAATTTGAATAAGTTGTGTCTTTAAATCAAATTGATATAGATAATGTAATATAAGAGTAGCATTAGATTCCATTGTGGACATAAACATTTTTTTCTTAAAAATTAATTTAAAGTGAATCTTTGTCTTAGATTCTAATTTGTGATGATGTAGCTTTCAATTTGATTTCTTTGAATTTATTGATTAAAAATCTAGGATTTGAAAGTGATATTGTTTATGATGGTTATCAAGCCATAAATTAAATTAAGAAAAGATTACTTTAATAACAAGAACAATATAAGATAATCTTAATGGATATTGAAATGCCAGGATTAAATGGATATTAAACTTCTACTTCATTATTGTAGATAGACAACAAATTAAATATAATAATGTGTTCAGCCTATGATACAGAAGATAATTTAAGTAAAGCTTTGGAGAGTGGTATGAAAGATTATATAATTAAACCTGTTAGAATAGAGTAACTAAAAGTTTTGATTAAGAAATATATTAAATGAAATCATTTCATATTTATTGTTGTTGATCATTTTAACTTAATCCTAAAGCTTCTATGTCTTCATTTTCATCGATTGAATTTGATCCCATTTAAAATCCATTTAAATTATATGAGAACTTTGGGCTATATGCATAATCAGATTCTTATTATTCATTTATTGAATCCCTTAGTTTACAATTTTAATTAAAAGTGTGATATGAAAATTCTCTAAATTAAAATTAAACACATCTATTACTTTGATAATTTTTAATAAAGAATGAATGCATATTCACCATAGTCTAATTTATATTTATCACAAACTACTTCTAAAAATTTGTCGATATTGTACTTAAAGCTTTATGCTTAAAGTAATTCATAAACAACTTCTAAGCTACCTAAGTTCTAATAAATAATTGAATATATACCTATTTTATCTTTCAATTTCGTGATAACATGATGGATTGCTTCTGGTTTAACTTCTTAATTTTATAATTAAATTGTTAATAATGATCTTAATTCCTCTCTTGTGATATTTGCAATCTTTCCGTAATAAATAATATTTTAAACATGTATTCCGTTAACATAAATTTTTTCAATTTCTAATGAACAATGAGCAATAAATTACTGCTATTAATTTAATTTTGTAATTTATGATTAGAATTTGTGTTAGGAGTTATTTTGATATTATTGATTTATATTTAATAGCAATGGTAATTATGAATAATCAATTTAAGCTGGAAATTAAATAATTAAGTTTTCTATTTAATCTGAAATCATCTTAAGTAGTTATTATAAATTAGGTTAACAGTCTTTTAATAAATCTTTACAATATTAAGTTGATTCTGCATTAATTGTTGGATTTATAAAAATACTATCAAAAGGTAAACGTCGTTTTAGTTTAAAGATATCAGAATTTACGATTTCTACTTTAGGATTTAAAAGATCTTGTTTTGAAAGACTTTTATCACAATTTTTTCTAGTTTTTATGCATGCTTCAGTAGATTTATCAATTGCAATCACAAAGTCTAAATATTTAGCAAACTTTTATTTATTTCATATCATACTTAAACTGTGTTTCCTCCATCCCCACATCCCAATTCAGCTAATGAATTTATTTAATCATTAATTCTTAAGGCAATATATTTTGCTATCTAATCTGAAATTTTATAATTGCTACAGATGTCTTCATTTAAATTAATATTTATTTATTTAGGAACATCGATATTGGTTGATGTAATTTTAGCAAAAATAGTGTCTCCGCTTTAAATATTTTTGAGTTAGAACAATTAATTTTAAGGGTAATTATTTTCAAAGATTGAAACTACAAAACTGCTTACAAAAGGTGATGCTTCAGTATTCTATCTTTATAATTCAGAATTAGTTGAATTTAATTAATTGAATTATGATATACCTTAATGTTTACTGGTATCCAAAGCAGATTAATAGAGAGAGAGTCTCGCTTATTTATTAATTGATAGTTTGCTTTATTCAATATTGATATTTTTCTAATTCTTTTTTTTAAACCATGAACAGAAATATCCCACATCATCATAATCGTCATCTATTTTGGAAGTATTTTTTTTTTTATTACTCATTTATAAATAATTATTTTTAATGTATAAAATTCATTTTTTTTATTTTTTTTCCTTAGATCTACTTTTTCTTCTTTTTTATGATGAACCTGATGAATCACTATCACTATCACTGCTACTTGAATCCTCACTACTACTTTCAGAGGATGAACTTTTTTATTTTTTTACATTATTTATAATTCCCTCTTTTTTTCCTTCTACTTATTCTTCGCTGTCTGAATCTGAAGACACATCCAAAGCAACTTTCTTTTTTGTGTTTCTTCTCCAATCACCATCAAATGCATCTGGAACTTCAGGTGGCTTTTCATTATTTAATTCATATTGCAATTATTTCTCCCTAAAATAAGTTTCTATAAAAATTATACTTAAATTACATTGTTCTTGAAGGTCTATACAAATACACATTTTCATTTTTGCATTCATAAGTCAAATGACCATATTTTAAACATCTTTAACATCTTACTCCAGCAGCATCTTCATTATTTGCCTTTTTCTTATTCTTCATAGCCTACTACATATATTTGTTAAAAAAGGATTGAGATTCGACAAAGTTGTTTTTGTACATTTTAAGAAATATTTATATATTATATTTTTTAATTTTCTGATTTCAAGGTTTTTTAAAGAAAATATGATTTATTTAAATAACAATACCTAAATCTCTTAAAAACAATACCATCTAATCTATATAATTAGTTAATATATATATATATCTATATATCAATATAAAAGATAATTTATAATTAAAATTTGTTTAACTGCTAAATGAAAACCTTTGATAATGCAATAAAACCTACTTAAAAACCAGTTTGTTTTTCTGTCCAAGAATTGCTTTAAAGATACAAATCTACCAGCAAAGAATCTGCATCTACTTCAGAATATCAAGAATTATTCTAGACAATTTAAACTGACGTAAATAGATCTTTGGAAACTCCTGATAGCAACATTATTTAACAATCTTATGTACCTGACTCTATTAAAATGACTTCAANTCCCACATCATCATAATCGTCATCTATTTTGGAAGTATTTTTTTTTTTATTACTCATTTATAAATAATTATTTTTAATGTATAAAATTCATTTTTTTTATTTTTTTTCCTTAGATCTACTTTTTCTTCTTTTTTATGATGAACCTGATGAATCACTATCACTATCACTGCTACTTGAATCCTCACTACTACTTTCAGAGGATGAACTTTTTTATTTTTTTACATTATTTATAATTCCCTCTTTTTTTCCTTCTACTTATTCTTCGCTGTCTGAATCTGAAGACACATCCAAAGCAACTTTCTTTTTTGTGTTTCTTCTCCAATCACCATCAAATGCATCTGGAACTTCAGGTGGCTTTTCATTATTTAATTCATATTGCAATTATTTCTCCCTAAAATAAGTTTCTATAAAAATTATACTTAAATTACATTGTTCTTGAAGGTCTATACAAATACACATTTTCATTTTTGCATTCATAAGTCAAATGACCATATTTTAAACATCTTTAACATCTTACTCCAGCAGCATCTTCATTATTTGCCTTTTTCTTATTCTTCATAGCCTACTACATATATTTGTTAAAAAAGGATTGAGATTCGACAAAGTTGTTTTTGTACATTTTAAGAAATATTTATATATTATATTTTTTAATTTTCTGATTTCAAGGTTTTTTAAAGAAAATATGATTTATTTAAATAACAATACCTAAATCTCTTAAAAACAATACCATCTAATCTATATAATTAGTTAATATATATATATATCTATATATCAATATAAAAGATAATTTATAATTAAAATTTGTTTAACTGCTAAATGAAAACCTTTGATAATGCAATAAAACCTACTTAAAAACCAGTTTGTTTTTCTGTCCAAGAATTGCTTTAAAGATACAAATCTACCAGCAAAGAATCTGCATCTACTTCAGAATATCAAGAATTATTCTAGACAATTTAAACTGACGTAAATAGATCTTTGGAAACTCCTGATAGCAACATTATTTAACAATCTTATGTACCTGACTCTATTAAAATGACTTCAAAATAACATGAAGTTGAAGAACTTCCAATAGTTTAAGACAATGATGTAATTTTACAAATCAATCATATGCATTCTATCTTCAAATACTTATAAAAAGAAGATTAATCTTAAAAATTATCAACTAATACTAATAGTTAACATAGCACTACTTCCAAACAAACCTAAGAATCCTTTAATAATTAAATGAATAGAAATTAGAGCTATAAACCAAATTAACCTAGTCAAAATTAAAATTAGCAATTAAAAATAAAAGATATATCACCCTAAAGAAGTAATTCTCCACATAGATAATTTTTACAAAGACCATAGCACAATTTATAAAAAAATTAATAAAGAAGTAGATCGCCTTTTGCTAAAAATATAGTTGTTCCAAAACTTACACCTAGAAATAATTAAAGAACTACACCATCTGCTTCTCCTTTCAGATAGGCCAAAGAAAATAATCTATCGAACATAAATCAAAAAACTCTAAGGACTGAGAAATCTTAAAATAAATTAATTTAAGTTAAAGTAAAAGAAACACATAATTAAAATTAATCTCATGTAATAGTTGACTTTAGCAAATGTCCTACTCAAAGAGTTCTTATCAAATAAGGTATTAAATTTATAAATACTTTTAGATTCAAATCGACCTAAAATGAAAGTTGAATTAAGTCTTAAAAGTTTGATCTCAAATGGAATATGAATTAGCTTTTAAAAATATATAACTTAATATATTTATAAATATTATATTTATTTAATCTCATGCTCAATCCAGAAGCCAATCCTTTATATAGATAAGTTCTATATGATGGATAGAAGAAAACCAATATTCGGACTCTTTAAAGTTATTTTATTATAATTCAATTAATAGATCATAAGAATCAAATTGCTCACACAGAATAATATTAATGGTATGACAAACAAGATTGTTTCAAAAATACTGACAAAATCACTACCATTAATAATCTATCTTCAATTTAGAATGTTTCTTATTAAAGATTTAAAAAACCAGAAGTATTTTATTTACAATATCAATAAGGATAACAAAATCTTCACTCCTTTAGAACTGAGTAAATAGACTTCAATACCTATGAAATATTAATCGAGATATTAAAATTAGCATGCTTTATTTCCTATGACCTCTCCAAGAACAACAGAAAGTTCAGCTAAAATTATTGGGAAGTTTATTTTAAATGAAGGAAATGGACACTATAATTTACCATCATTACAACCTCCATCGGAAACATATAGAAATAGATCATAAGTTTTTTTTGGATGACTTTTGTAATATATTAATTATAAAATAAATTAATGAAAATATTCTAAAAAGCAAAGTAATTAACAATTCCATTCACTCTTCATCTAAAAAATTAACCAATTGTTGTTATGGATACTTTTACTCAAAAAGGAGATGAATCTAAATTTAATTTATTTACAGATTAATCTATTGGAGGTGATAGTAAAGGAGTGGCTGTATATAAATAAGAAGATGAGGCTGGTAAGATATATATCTATTCATTATAGTTACATTTTTGGGTCAAATCCAAGTTGATAAGAAAAAGCAATTAGAATCCTTACCTCATATCGGAATCTAATATCTATATTCTAAATCAGTCAATATAGCTAAATTTACAAAGATCTTATTTAAAATGAGAACAGATGGATAAATCTATAAAATAAGAATAGGAATTAATTCATCTTTTGATTTCGGACAACATGATGCTTACGTAAAACATAATTATCTAATTTAGGCATACATTATTGATTAATCATAAATGTGGAATACTTATGTTATACCTTTTCAAAATTTTGAACATTAAGGTTTTGATAAAGATGTACAAAGGCTTGAATTATCTGATGAAGGTTTATAATTCTATAGATTCGACATCCTAAAAGAATCAAAAATTAATGAAAAAATAGCTATTCAAATTAAAGAATTTGCGATTTCACAAGAAGAATTAACAAAAGAAGAAATTGATTTCAAAAAACCAATCTTTTATAAATATTTAGAAAAATAGAATACTATAGACACAGGAAGAGAAAAATATAATTATTCAAGTTCAAGTAATTAGAAAGTAAATCAAAATAACAAAAGTATAAACAGTTGGTTTGATTGATATTTATATTTGCAATTTTTTGTAAATTAAATGCTTATTAAAATAATGAATAAATCTCTCTTATTTCGAATATCTAATGAGCTATATTCTCAATTTCTAGAAATGCATATTATAAACATTTAAGAATATCTAATTAAATTATTGACATACATTATTTATTAGTTATATTATAAATGAGTCTGCCCTTACTATAAATTTTTTATCAGAAATGGTTTGTTTGCTTTGGAAAAAATTCTTAAATTTAAATAGAATGATTCCCAAACAAATTTATTAGCAGGATTATGAAATTGAAGAGTAAATGATATAAAACAAATAGAGCCAGGAATAACATTTATAAAATTTAGATAAATTTAATAGAATAAAATTCAAATTATTATAAATATTTAATTGTGTCATATTTGATATTAAGTATTTTTTGAATTTTTACAACACATTTTTATGCAATTAGAACATTATAAATTGTGTGATTCTAAGGATTTAACTGTAGAAGTAGAGCTAAAATAAATGGTTGTAATTACTCAATAGTTTATTAACTTTTTTTATCTTTGGAACCTTAGACATTGGTTTATTCTTCTTATCTATATTTTTCGAAAGTAGTGATGTTTCTAAATAAATTATCCATTTAAACATAGATTAAATATGACAGTGGAAATAGAAACAATGCGCATAATATCAAAATTGATGCTTAAATACATATTTTTGAGATATCCAATGCTTCTAGGTTATTAATATTATTGAACCATGGATAATGCGGATTAGGTAAGCAATTATTACAACTTCTGTAATTATCCGCTAAAAAAATAGCATTCAATATAATAAGATGAATTAAGTTTATAAAGATGGTCACAATAAAACAAATAAAAAATGGATAATTTTTAGCTCCTATCTTAATTAAAAATATAAATATTTACACAATTATTTAACCATGGACAATGATGATCATAAACAATAACACATCTTGAACAAAACTCACAATGTCTAGATCTTTAGGGTTTGTGTATTTAACATTCAGGGCATAATTCCCAAGGTTCATATTAAGTGAGAAGTTAAAACAATTTTCTTGAATCATCATTTTTTTAAACATAACCTGGATTGATAAACATTGTCAGAAAGTAAAAAATCAATCCTATTAAAAATGATGCAATAGACAAATATTGTAACCATTCATCTTTATTAAAAAATGGATAAACAAATAATACCGAACCAATCATGCAATAGAAATAAATAATAAAAAATGAACAAATCTAACTCCAACTGATTGAGGCAGGTTTATAACTAATAAGAGTGAACTTAGCATTTACCTTGTTCGAATATTTAAGAATTCAAGTAGACAATTATTTGTTTCCAATATTTTATAGATTATTTCGTATTCATTTTCTAATGCCGTTTAGGCTGGTGTTTAATTCCTTTTGTCCCTAATATTTTTTTAACTTCCTTTATAAAGTAATTTTTTAGCTATTCTTTGATTTCCTGTCATAGCTGCTAAATGTAAAGGTGTCATTCCTTCAGTATCTTACTAATTTATTATTTTTTTGCCTTCCTTTGTTTTTTATAACCAACTTAACAAAAATTAAACTGCAAACTCACTTCCATAATAAGTAGCCCAATGTAAAGGAGTTCCTCCTTTTTCATCTTTTTCAGTATAGGACAATCCTTACAAATAAAGCCAAACCATAGCTGATACTTAATCTCCTTAAGCTGCTATAGAAAGAGCATTTTGACCTTAATCATTTTTGACTTTTAGATCTGCTCCAAATTTTTTTAAAATTTCTAAGGTTTCTAATGATCCAACATATGCAGCAAAATGAACACCTGTAAATGAATCTTTATTTTTTAAATTTATCCATGTATTGAATTCCTCAATTTTTGAATTATCCTTTTCATAGATTAAGATTTATTCAACAGCAGTTGGTAAGTTCTTAAAGCATGATATATGAAGAATAGTCTATTATTTTTAATCATAAATTTCTCTTATTTTTGGCTTAGGAGATATTGTATTAAAATGATCTAAAATAGCTTATATTTCTTAGACTTCCTATTCTTATACAGATTTTAAAAGTTGATGGCACTTTTATTAGGGACTCATTAAGGCTAAAGAATCATACAATTCTTATAGAGAAGGCTATAATAATATTTAATTTTTACATGTTTATCGAACTATTAATGTTAACTTGCTTCAAGTATAGATTTTTTCAATTAACTTAAAGCCCCATCATAAAAAGATGATTTTTTATTCTCTCCTTTTTTATCTTAACTTTATTTTCTATCTAAAAGAGGCTTTGTCTTTATTGATATAGAATTGTCTTGAAATTCAATTTCATTTTTCTTCATGGAATAAATATTATTTTATAAATTTAATTCAGTTTAATTAATTCTCATGGTTGATTGGGATTCTACTAACTGGTATGCATGTTTAAATATCATCTGAACATGGAATATTTTTTTCTTCTTCATTTCCTTTTTATAATGGTTCTTATCTTTTAGTTGTCTTAAGTGTATCCAATCCAAATTCTTAAAATTGATTAGAATTTTAAAGTTAAATTCTTGAATATTTGTAACAATTCAATAACAAAATAAATAAAGTGATTATTATGAGACACAAAAAGATTAATATGAAAATAATGAGCACATTAATTCTTTGTATTCTTTTTATTGGAAATATTACAAAAATATCATACTTTATTTCAATTTACTCTATTGGCTATACAGTTTATATTTAATATTAGAAAGAGAATTCATCTGGATAATCTTGAGTAACAAGACATTCAAGCCTTATTTTTGACACATGGATATCAAGTGCAAAAAATTCATTATTTGTAATTCCAACAATTTAATTTTATTTTTATTCAGTTTTTTTTAAAATTAATTGCTTAGCACCAGCAATTAAATAATGAGTATATTCAAATTTAACAAGTTCTCCAAAACTTCCATAAATTACTGTAATTTAGCTATTATTATAAAATATTAAATAATCTTTCATAACTTCCATTCCATATACTTCCCCTTCAATAAGAGTAGAATATTTAAGATTAAAAGTAGGGTTTTAAAAGTCGAGACTAAATATTGATAAGTTATTCAAATACGAATTTTAATGTGGTGTAAGTATATATAAATTAGATTAAATAAATTCAAAGAAACTACAATTAGTCATAAAAGTATTTATTTCTTTATTTTTATGCATTTCATTAATACTTTTGTTGTAGAAATAAAAATGAATTCCAACTTCACTATCTAAAATTAAAACATTTATTTTGTCTTCTTAAACAATTATTAATGAATCAATTATAGTTATTATATCAATTTTCTGTAGAATTTATATTTGAGTGTTTTCTAGCTTATAAATTCCAAATCCTTAATTATAAAAAGTAATAAATAAATAATTTTATATTGCTTTCAATTTCCTAATATTACCAAGCCTAATTTACATATGAATTTTGTCAATATGAGAATTTTCAAAAATGTTTTCCAAACTAAAATTAGGTTTTAAAATCCAAGCATCTTTATTAGTTAAAATCACTATTTAGTCATCTAAAAACTCCATGAATGCATTTTCAATACCTTCTAATTCTTAGTACTGTTATAATGATCTTATATCATACTTATTATTTTATTAAGTATAAAATATTAATACACCTTATTAACTCAAGACTATAATTCCCAATCCAACCTTAGCAATTCCTAATAATTTTGGAACTGAACTTTGTTGATATCCGTCTACAAAATTTTACTCAAAAGCTTTGTTGATTATTTGTGTAATATTTTTGTTGTAAGGTTGAACCATAACTTTTTATGGAAATGTTTTACAAGGATTTGAGAGTTAAAAATCTTTACTAAAAGCAAATTCTGAATTAAGTAAAACACCATCAAAAGTATCAATAATCATTTATGTATTTGAGTATAAAGTTACTTATTTTGTACTTAACATGCTTCCTAAACAAAGCCTATTCATTATCAAAATTATCATAATTAAGCCGACAAATTTAAACATATTTATTAATTTATTTCACACATGAATGCTTAAAACTCCTTTGATTTTCAATTTTAATAATTTTACCTACAAGAATCAAATATCTTAATTAAGAATAAAAGGTAAAGAAATAGTTCAATAATAAAAACACCTTAAAAAAAAAATTATAATATTAAGTTAATAAATTCATATCTTATTCTATATCAATATTAGAATTCTGATAAGAAAAAACTTTCTAAGAAAATGCAAGGCAAGGCTCTTTCTATAATTTACAACAAAAAAAATTATTTTATCCTACTTACAATAAAATATCTAAATAAACAATTCAATAATTAACTTCAACAATTTGTAAAGATAATTTTAAGAAAAATGACAGAAATTAAAGCTTAAGAGTATTTAAAAAATCGCATTCTAAGTTTAAGAGGTAATGTAATTTAACTATAAATAAAAAATAAATTGATAAGAGTATTCAATAATCAATATCATAGAAAGAATTTAATTTTTAAGACGAATTAAATCAGACTTATAAAAAGACAATTTATTTATAGTCAACTTTATAGAAAGGTCAGAATTTCATAAATATAAAAAATTATCAAATTCAGATATAATAACAATAAAAAGAAAAGTAATTATAAAATTTGAATTAGAATAGAGAATGAAGTTTAATTTGAAGATTTGAAGTAAAAATTTATATCAAAGAGTTGGGTGTAAGATTTAAAAAGTAAATACCTTAAAAAATGAAAAAAAACTCGAGCTTATATTTTTAGGCACGCTAATTAGAGCAAATAAGTTAATTTTCAATAAAACTTCCTAGAAGCAGCAGATTAGTATAGTAATTTTTTTAAAAGAAGATCGCCATCATCAAGCTGAAGTGAAAAATAGATCGGAGTTTATTAATAATTTTTAAAATTGCATAAATTAAAAAAAACAAAATTAATTCTTTTTTCAAAACTTACTTTCTCACTTATATTTTTAAAGAATGATATAAAAATATTAATTCTTCAATTATACGATTCTTAAAACATTAATACTCTAATCCTGATTTCAATTTTAAATTTTTAGTATATCAAAGCATGTAATAAGCAGTAATTAAAATATAAAAGGATTTGAAAAATGCAGTCTTATAAATAATAAAAAGGATAAAAAGCATATTATTTTGAAATTAAGAGATTAATTTAAAAATATTTAAAATGTTTATTTATTGAAACTAGATCCAATCTTAATCATGTCATATGAATAAGGTATTAAAATAAATAGCGCCAATTAAAATATTAGGAATAAAAGAGTAAAAGAATTAATAACATAAGGATAAAGAATTTAACAGATTTTAAAAAATTTTTGAAGCAATAAATTTAGCCATTCTCTAAGCATTTATTCACAATCCGAACCAGGAAACATGAAAGATGAAATTTAAAATTAATTGGATAAATGGAAATTTTATTTAGAAACTTATGATAATGATCAAAAACCAATATAGCTATGAGTAATTTAAAAAAAACCTGAAGAATACAAATAATTTCGATTATTAAGACTTAACTGTCAAAATTTAACCTTTATTCTAATTAATCTAGCTATTCTTATGATACTAAATTAAGATAATTTTTAGTGTAAGCAATAAAAAAAACTTTTATTAATTAAGTAGAATGTTAAAGCCTTTTAAATTAAACAAACTAATGTTAATTCAATCATATAAAGATAATACAAAAAAGATTAGCCAATCATCTTTTTAGTATTATAGTCTAAATAAAAGTAAAACGAAATAGAACTATTAAATATGAGAGAGGAAGCAATATAATTGAGATATTTAAGAATTAAAAAAAATTGAGAATGATGAAACAAAAAAAATAGAATTAAATATTTGGTTAAAAAAAGAATTAAAAGATCTAAAAATTACTAGATAATACATTGAATTACGCAAAAAATAAGATGAAATTCTAAAAAAGATTTAAAGAGATTTGATGATTGTATATTTTTTGATGAAGATAACTCAAATTAATAAGTCTTATGTGGTATTTGAATAATGCATAGAAGAATTTATATCACATGCAATCTTAAAATAATTATTTTAATTATTAACTTTATGAAATGTTTTAGTTTATTTCTTAATAATATTTGAACAGTATCATATTAATAATAAAGACTCTTATTTAATTAAATAAAACTTTAAACATCAAGTTGATGGATAATATCTATCAAAAAGAAAGAGATAGGAGAGCACACATTTAAGAAACATAAATTATCGAGATAGAAAAATAAATATATATATATATTAATTTTATTAACTGTCATGAACCAACTTCAAATCGAAGAACTGCAACGTAAGTTATAGAAATTACAACTTGAAAGAATGAATGAGGATTCATCAGATGAGGAGCCAACATTTTAGTCTGTTTAAGGAAAACCTAATGATAAATAACTTTTCTAAAACCTCTCAATAGATAGTTTTGAAGTGTATACAACATTGGGCACAGGCACTTTTGGGCGTGTAAAGCAAGTTCGAATAAAACGCGATCCAAGTAGATAAGTTTATGCATTGAAAATAATGAAGAAAAATGACATCATAAAATTAAAATAAGTGGATCATATAAAATCTGAGAAGAATATATTGAATGAAATTTAACATCCATTTTTAGTATAGTTAAAAGGCTCTTTTTAAGATGCAAAATGTATTTACATGTTATTTGAATTTGTATCTGGAGGTGAATTATTTTCTCGATTGAGAAAAGATGGTAGATTTAGTTAAGATATTACATTGTTTTATGTATCTGAGATATTATTGGCAATTCAGCATTTACACAGGAAGGATATTGTTTATAGAGATTTAAAACCAGAGAATTTATTAATTGATAGAGAAGGACATATAAAAATTGCAGATTTTGGATTTGCAAAAAAGATAAAGAATAATCATACCTAAACATTATGTGGTACACCTGAATATTTGGCTCCTGAATTAATTTAAGGAGCAAAAACAGGATATGGAAAATCTATAGATTGGTGGGCATTAGGAGTATTAATCTTTGAAATGTTGGCAGGGTATTATTTTAATATTATTAATTATTTAAGACATCCTCCTTTTTATGATATTGAACCCACAAATATTTACAAGAAGATTTTAAATGGAATAATAGAGTTTCCAAAGTTTTTGCATGTAAGAGCTAAAGATGTTATTAGAAAATTATTAAATTCTGATATTAACAAAAGATTAGGAGTCGAAGATGTAATTAAATCTTACTAAATTAGGAAGGTGCAGCATTAATGAATCATAAATTCTTTAGAGGTGTTCCATGGTAAAAAGTCTATGAAAAGAAAATCTAACCTCCATGGATTCCCTTTTTAAGAAATGAAACTGATTCACAATGGTTTGACAAGTATCCTGAAGAAAGGGATGATATTCAACCAATTGATGATGAAAAATAACATATGTTTGATGATTTTTGATTAGTTTTAATAAATGAATTAAGAAGAGTCAATTGCTTTTCTATATAAACGATTTTAAAAGTATTAATAAGTTCACCCATCAGAAATATCAGATAATGTCATAGAAAAGGTCGAATCTTTATATTAGGATCTTGCTTTTAATAAAGATCTAAGCAGATTAAAGGTTAGCAGAGAAACTAAAGAAAAAATATTCAGACAAACTATTCTTATATATATGTCTCAACCAAAAAAGACAGGCTAAATTGATATTAAAATGAAAGATGAATCATCCTGGAAAACAAGATAATTGACAATAGATATTGATCTATGCGAATTGATTATTTTGTCTGAAAAAGAAATCATTCTCAATTTGCGTTTCTTTGAAATCTAAAATCCCATTTAAGATAATAAGACATTTAAATTTTTACTTCAGCATAAATCTCTCCCTTAAATATTTTGGTTTGCAGATGATGATAAAAATTATGTTAATTAATGGTTTAATGATATTAAATAATGCGTATTTTAGGGTAGAAGAGGAAAGAAATATGAAACTATGACTGTTGAACCTATGATTAAAGATATTAATATAGAACTATTAAAATAAATGGATCGAGAAAGAATAAGTTTAAACTAAAATTTGTTTTACTCTTAAGAAATTAATCAATAAAAACACTATTCAATCAATTAATTAGATAGTCAATAACAGATTTAATATACAGAATAATAAAATCCTAATTAGTTTGATTAAGATAGAATAATCTTGTCAAAGTAATCTCTTGGTGAATCAGTTATTATACCTTAAGTTTAAGATAATTATAAAGCTATTCAAATAGATTAACCAGAATTATCTATGATATTCGAAGATTTAAAATATAAATTAAGTTATGATTATTTAATTGATGAATCTGATTTCAATCTATATTTATTTGAAGATTCTATAAGAATCATGTAAAATAGAAATGACTGTTATAATTTTAGAATTTTTCTTCCAATAATAGATGCTACTCCTAATGGAATTATTATGTCACTTTTTGATACAAAAACTCAGACAAAATGGAATAAATAAATTAAAAATATTGAGTAATTAGAAAATTTAGGTCTTACAACTATAAAAATTAAGGAGACAAGATTACCATATGGTTATTTTTATTAACCAAGAACTTTTACTTATGTGAGATAATTTTATTCCACTTATAATGAAATTTTTGTTATTGAAAAATCAGATGACAAAGGTAGTTGTAATATTAATTGGAATATTTGTGCTGTATTTCTAACACATAATACTCCTAAACTATTAATTGTTGATACAAAAACAATAAATGGTGGGTATATTACACAAAAATAAGACTTATAATTAACTATTTAATATTTAAAAGAATATATGCATTTAATTTAATATGTTATGGAATTGAAATTGTAAACATAAACACCTCAATTCATTATAGATTTAATCAATATTTATGAAAATCGTCCAGTTAAATCTAAAAAAACTTAATAAGTAATTAATGAATAACCAATGAGTGAATTCGTAGAAGATACTCAAATTAATAATTATTTGCATAAATCTCAACCATAAATCTAGAATTTAGAAGAGAATGAATTAACTAGATAGGATTCTATATCATATCTATAAATAAAATAGAAATATTTATCGAAATTTCAAAACTATTCTGATTCTAAATAATCAAGTTCTGATTAGATTTAAATTGAGGATCGTATATTAATTAGTAAATAAAATTAAGAAGCCATAATAAAGTAAGAAATAACATTATAACAAAAATAAGATGTTGTTACAGAAATAGTAAGTGAATAAAAAGATGTTGCTAGATAAATATTTAGTGAATAAAATGAGATTATTGAATAAGTAATAAGTGAATAAAATAATATTGAAAATAATCAATAAATAAAGGAGGTTGAAGAAGTATAACAAAATAATACTCAAGATGAGGATAGTGAGATAGAAATAGATGAGGAATTTTTGCATTAAGATATTCGTCCTGAGTGGGAAAAGTCTTAATTGATTTAGAATTAAGATGAATATTATAAAGATCTTCTAGAATATGTACTAAAATGTTAAATGTGGAGTTCCTAAGTGCATCCTTATACTACCACAATAAAAGAGTAAGATTAATATGAAATTATAAAAGAGATAGAAGGTTTACATTTCTTTTATAAGGATGAATGGTAATTTGATAATAAAAAAGGTTATCTAAAATTTGTGAATGCTAAGAAACTAGAAGCTTAGAAAAAGGTATTAAAATATATAATAAGTAAAATGGGATCAAATCTTTTGAAAGGTAAATCAATATTAAGTGTATCACTACCAGTTTATGTTTTTGAAAAGAGAACAAATTTATAAAGATTTGGAGAATCATTTGCTTATGCTCCTCATTTTCTTGAAAATATTCAAAACGATCCAGTTTAGTAGATGGCATCAGTAATAGCATTTTCACTTTCCTTCACTATAATATATTTGAATTTAGAGAAACCATTCAATCCAATTTTAGGAGAAACTTGTTAATTATGGATTAAAGGATGTCCAGTTTATTTAGAATAAATAAGTCATCATCCTCCAATTGCAGCATTTATTATGTATGGTAGAGGTTACAAAATATATGGTAATCTTGAATCGACAGCTAGCATAGGGCCTAATACAGTAACAGGGGGCAATGAGGGTAAAATCGTAATAGAATTTAGTCATACTAAGATAGAATACAGATATTGTAAAGGATATGTGAGTGGCATAACATATGGAGATCGTTATTTTTATACTGAAGGATAACAACTATATATTGATTATAAAAATCAAAATATAGGAGAATTGTATTTCAATCCTTAAAAAAAGGGAAAAACTTAATACGATTACTTTGAAGGCAAAATATACTAAGTGAACCAAAATATACTTTAGAAGTACAAAAAGGATGGCAAAATTAAAATGGCTAATCAATAAGCATAAGTATTGGCTGAAATAGAAGGAAAGTATGAAATCTTTAGAAATAATATTTTAGTTGGTAGTAAGAATAAGTAATGAAATTCAATGGCAAAACAATCTTTAATTTGATGAAAGATTTTCCATTCAAGTGTAAACCTGAAAGATTTCCACTAGCTTCTGATTCTTAATATAGAGAAGACTTAATTGGATGGTAATTAGATGATTTTGATTTATCAATGAAATACAAAGAAATCTTGGAAGAAAAACAAAGAAAGGATAGAAAGCTTAGAAAATGAGTTTGTTTGATTTGGTTAATAGTATAAATTTAACAAATTATAATTATATTATGTATTGCAAATCCATCTATCATTATTTGTAATAATTATTTTTTATATAAATATTTTTATTTAAAATATTGAGAATTATCCTTGAATGAAACAGAACAATATAGAATTTTACAATTATAATTATCAAGTAAATATGATAGGCAGTATTATAAACGATCATTGTAGCATTTAGGATTAGATTGTAGCATTTAAGATTAAAAAGTAAAAAAAATTAATTCAAATGAAAATGAGAAAGATAGTACTCTTAATAGATAAAAGTATCAATTTATTACATCTACAAAGTAGCATTTTTAATTTACACATGAATTAATAAAGAGAAAATTTGAAGTTAGATATTAATTTTTAATAGAAAGAATGAATTTAGTACTTTAAGCAATAGTGAAAAATATAAGATTATTTTTGTTTAAAACTTTAGAAATTCTTTTTGTAATAGAATTTCCAAAGTTGAGATTGATTATTTCAATATTTTCAAATTCATTTTAACATTACTTCAGCAACAAAATGTAAGTAAATAAGAAATCTATTAATAATTCAATGAGTAGCATGTCATATAATTATTTTAAATGACTAAAACATTATTTAGAATACTAAAATTTCTAATAATATTTAACACAAAAATACTAGAAATTGATAAAAGTTAGAATTGAACACTAAATTTCACTCACTTTACAAGATAGCAAAATATAGATATGCTCTTTATCATATATTTATTAAAGTTTGTTAAAGAATTTGAGATGATGAATTAAGAATATTAGATGAGTTTAAATAAATTTTATGAATCTTTAAATCATAATAGCCAAAAAAATAACAGAAACATTGACTCTTTAACTGTACATAATGGATTTATTTTGCTGATGTGATAGTGCATAAATGAATGTTTTGAATAAATTTATATACTATTTAATCTAAATTTTAAAAATTTAAGATGTAATATAAATATAAATATAAATGAGTGAAGAATTATAGGCAATGAAATAATTATTGTCTTAATTGGAAAAGCTAAAGACAGTTAAAAGTGAATAGCAATATGAGCCAATTCTGCAAGCTTTATAAAGAGTTGAGTAATATATGGAAGAGACTTTGACAGCGGATGGTCGATAATATTTGCCAGAATTGGTAAATATATGTGTGAATTTGATAATAAATCATAAAGCATACCCAGAAAGAGTAATTTAGAATTTGGAAGCATTTATAAAATGTGTATTGAAATATATCTGTAATAATATATAAGAGGAGAAGGTAAGTTAAATGTTTCGAACAATAATGGATCCATCTCGTATGATTTATGAGCATAATGCACATCGTACTGAATGGCATGATCAAGTAATGAATTGCATAAAGTTAGTTCATAAAATATTCATATTCGCTCAATCCTCAATATAAATAATTTATAGACCAAATTTAAGTAGGGACTTATGTAGATTGTATGCGTTTTTGTCGTAGTACAGGGAGGTAGAATTGGTCTAGAGGAGTAGTGGAAGAACTTAATGAAGATAATATAAAGGTGAGATATCTAAATGAATAATCTGTCACACATATATACAATATTAGAAGTGGTAATATTATGCCATATAGAACTCGTTCTTAAAAGCTAGATTAAATGTTTAATTTTTAAGTAGGTTAATTAATATTAGCAACTTAATCAGATAAATGGGTATTGAGTACAATTTAGGAACGTTTCGAAGAGAATGATGTCGAGCCAATTCTTAAATATAATGTGGCATTTCGTTTTTATACAGAAGAAGGAACAACTGTAGATGATGCATCATAGATGAGATATATTGGTTATAATAAATATCATGATGAATCAATTACAGCTTGTCATCCACGTTTGGCTATTTGTGGAGATCACATATTAAGAAGATTTAATTCTATAGAATAATATATAGATGATAGTTATGATATTCTATATGAATAAGATTATTAGGAAGAAAAGTTTTATGCTATTTTAAGACCTAAATAATCTAAGAGTTTTCTTTTAATTTCATTNTTAACTGTACATAATGGATTTATTTTGCTGATGTGATAGTGCATAAATGAATGTTTTGAATAAATTTATATACTATTTAATCTAAATTTTAAAAATTTAAGATGTAATATAAATATAAATATAAATGAGTGAAGAATTATAGGCAATGAAATAATTATTGTCTTAATTGGAAAAGCTAAAGACAGTTAAAAGTGAATAGCAATATGAGCCAATTCTGCAAGCTTTATAAAGAGTTGAGTAATATATGGAAGAGACTTTGACAGCGGATGGTCGATAATATTTGCCAGAATTGGTAAATATATGTGTGAATTTGATAATAAATCATAAAGCATACCCAGAAAGAGTAATTTAGAATTTGGAAGCATTTATAAAATGTGTATTGAAATATATCTGTAATAATATATAAGAGGAGAAGGTAAGTTAAATGTTTCGAACAATAATGGATCCATCTCGTATGATTTATGAGCATAATGCACATCGTACTGAATGGCATGATCAAGTAATGAATTGCATAAAGTTAGTTCATAAAATATTCATATTCGCTCAATCCTCAATATAAATAATTTATAGACCAAATTTAAGTAGGGACTTATGTAGATTGTATGCGTTTTTGTCGTAGTACAGGGAGGTAGAATTGGTCTAGAGGAGTAGTGGAAGAACTTAATGAAGATAATATAAAGGTGAGATATCTAAATGAATAATCTGTCACACATATATACAATATTAGAAGTGGTAATATTATGCCATATAGAACTCGTTCTTAAAAGCTAGATTAAATGTTTAATTTTTAAGTAGGTTAATTAATATTAGCAACTTAATCAGATAAATGGGTATTGAGTACAATTTAGGAACGTTTCGAAGAGAATGATGTCGAGCCAATTCTTAAATATAATGTGGCATTTCGTTTTTATACAGAAGAAGGAACAACTGTAGATGATGCATCATAGATGAGATATATTGGTTATAATAAATATCATGATGAATCAATTACAGCTTGTCATCCACGTTTGGCTATTTGTGGAGATCACATATTAAGAAGATTTAATTCTATAGAATAATATATAGATGATAGTTATGATATTCTATATGAATAAGATTATTAGGAAGAAAAGTTTTATGCTATTTTAAGACCTAAATAATCTAAGAGTTTTCTTTTAATTTCATTTATTAATCATTTTGGTTACTTAGAAGGATTTGATAAAATATTAAACATATAATCTGTTGATATACTAGCTAATTATATGTCTGCTATTGGTAATATACATGCTTAATTATTCAGATCTTTCTGTTAAGAATATGTACCTAAATTATAAGGATTGAGATAAACTTTACTTCATTCTGATGAGTAAACTCTAAGAAATATGGGAAGAGAAAAAATGAATTTAATCATTCAAGCTTTTAAATATTTATTGGATAGAATTATGAATGAAGATCAAAGGAGAGAATGGCTTTAAAAGTTAAGTCTTGAATTTGTTTAAGTTTGCTTTAATTGCAATTTCTTAGATAAAAAAATCATGGGCTTAAAATTATTAACTGATATGTTAAAGTAAGCCAGTTGTGATAAATGTCCATAAACTATATTATAATGGATTGAAACTGAAAATATTATGGAAACATTATTTCATCACAATACTCATCTTCAATTACTTGAGAGAACTAAAGAATTAATCAGACTCTATTTAAATATTGATTATGCCTTCACATCTAAACATATGTAAATGATTTGGGATCTTATGCAATAAAATGATAATGAATTAAGACCCATCATTTTTAAATTAATTAATGAAATTGCTTTCTAGATGAGAGATTATCATGTTTCTTATTTTTTAGAGTAAATCAAATAGTTAAAAGAAGATTAAATTTTAATTGAGCACGTTTAATTATTATTTGAAATGAACAGATATTAAATTAAAAATTAAGAGTTGATATGTTTGACTATAGACACTTTATGGAGAATTATTGAATATGCTGGTTAATCCTCTAAATAAACTCTAGAAGATAAATCAAGATTATATCTTTGTGATTTAATTAAGAATTTAGAAATTAAAGAAATCAAAGTATAAATGGTATAAAAGTTAATTAATAATATTTAATTAATGAAAGTAGAGAGTTCATCAATCAAAATACTATCTCATTTAATATGCTCATTTCCATAAAAATAATTATCATAACCATAATAATAATAATCAGAAAACAATGCAGAATCATAAGTGATGATGTATCCTTTTGTGTAGAATAATCCTCAAAATATGCTTACTTAAAAAATTAAAGAAGAAATTGAACAAAGTTCTAATAATGAAATTAAAACATAAGAAATAACATAAGATGAATTCGTAAAAGAATTAATATTATAATCAAATATAAATCACATTTTAAGATAAAATATTGAAAACCTTCGTATTTAAAATAAAAGTATCAATGCAGACAATCTCTAAGAATCTGCTCGTTATATGAATAAATTATAAGAAAGAATCTTATTAATTAAAACTCTAATTAAAATTAATGGGACTGCTGCAAATATAATAGATTAATAATTCTTAGATTTGATTTGGAATGAAATAATATTGAGACCTATTTGTAAATAAGAATGTGATATGGCTAGCAATTGGTTAAGAGATTTAGTGGAGAAAGATGAATAATTTAGTTAAACTGAATTAGATGCATTTTTTAGAAGATTATTAAATTCAGATTCACATTTGAGTGAGAGTGCATTTAATTGTTTTTAAGCCATATTGTATTATGTTAATTAGAAAGAATATCGATTGCATAGATAATAATTCAGTTTGAATTAAAATTGTGATCAATATGGAAATGTGATAAGCATAACCAATACAAATGTGAATGAAAATGATTAACAATTATAATTAAATATATTAGTGGATGTAAATAAGATAATAGGAATAGAATATTTGTGGCATATAGTGTTTAATTCTTAATTAGATAAGGCAGTTTAATTATTGGTGAAACTGAATTTATCATAATAAGAATAATTCATTGAGAAGATTTTAGATAAAATGGATTGTAAAGATGAATATACAATTTTGAAATGTTTGGAAGTATTGAAAAATTTATTGAATGAGACTGAGACAAAAGGAGTAGGATCATTGCTTTCATTGGATGGATTAATAAAAGGAGATGCATTTAGTATAAATATAATAAATGAAATGGGTGATGGAGCATCAAATAATAGAATAACAATAAAAGTTTATTCAAGAATGACAATGTTTGAATTGCGAAGATTGATAGCAAAAGAATTATAAACAAATTGGGAATAAATAAAATTAGTAAGAAATGGAGTAACAGTTTTAGATACAGATAATGGCAAGACACTTAAATAGATGAATATAAGAAAGAGTGAAATTATAAATGTTTATAGAAGAAAAACAAAACCTATTCCATAATTACCTTTAGTTGAGGATAATAAATTAACACCAAAATTCATTTAAGTTTTACATAAATTATTTGAATTATATTCAACAGATGGTAAGATGAATTCTGAATAATTATCTAATTTTGGAGTTAAGGCTGCAAATGATGAGAGTTTTAAGTAAGGAAAGAAAATTAAAGAAGTTTTAGATACTTATGGAGAATAGAAAGGTTATTTATCAGTGGAAAATTTCATTTCTTTTTATGAAGATTGTTGCATACAATAAAAGATTACACCTATAGTATGGAAGAATTTACATTCATTTGGTTACAAAAATGATTTGACTTTAGTTGAAAATGATGAAGTTGATTTAAATGAATAAGAATTGCCTCGTTATTAATTAGCTCATAATCAAAGATTTTATAAATTAATGTTTAATTTTATTAATCAAAGTGATCTTGTTGCTTAAGAATGCTGGAAATTATTATGTTCATTGCCTGTTTTTGAAGCAGCTAAATAACGAATTCTTAATTTTGAAGATTTTACAAAAGATAGATCATATGAATTAATCTATTCAATCAAAATTATTGAACATCTTCTTTGTACTTAAGAATATTGTAGGAATTTTGTTTAATATGGAGGATTTAAATAATTACAGTATGTTTTAAATAATTTGGAATCAGAAAATAATAAAATAGTAAAATTAGTATAATGTTTGATTTTGAATATTCTTAGTAGACATATTGCTGCATAATTTTAACCTACATTCAATAATATATATTAAATATAATAACATGTAAAGTAACCAATTTAAGCAAATTTTGATATTATTGCATAATTAATTGATGGGACATATCCATCGCAATCTGACAACAAACCGTTATTAAGAGTGAAGGAAACTGAAGAGTTTTTAGAATTAGTTAAATTTATGAATGGATTAGATATATAAATAGATTATGTTGATTTGTTAAGATACGTTATTAACATGTAATTAGATATCACTGAGGATAGATTTATAATTGAATATGTCTTAATCTTGATTACCACAATAGTTGGATATAATTTAGGAAATTGTTTAAATTATTTTGTTTCTTTAATATTATCAATTAAATAACGTTATGAGTAATTACTATATGCACCTAAATAATTATTAATAAGGAAATTTGCAGGTAATTCTTTGTTTTTAATATTCAAATGTTAAAATCAATTGGGAAGTTCTCTTATAAATATGTTAATTGAATTATTCCCAAAAAATGAAAATAAAGATTCATCATCCTTTTTTGATTTATTGGCTAAGATGATTTAAGAATCCAAATATAGTGATAGAGTATTTGCATAAAATATCATAACGTAATTAAAAGAATATGAACCTACAGAATCTAGAATTGGATTAACATCAGATAAGACTCTTACAGGTTTATTATCAATATTGGAAAGCTTGAGTATAGTAGATCAAAGCATATTAACTTAATAATTGATTATGTACTTATATTAAGTTCATTTGTTTTGTTTTCATTTGAATACATTTTAAATTACACCTTAAAAATAACACACTCCAGAGTATGTGAAGAGTAAATCTCCAGAAAGTAGAAAAATAGTTTATAGAATAATCATATTATATCTAAAATAGAACTATTATCCAGAGATTTTAGATTTGAATACAATTATTTATTAAATAATGATTTTTAATGGATTTGATATCAAATTTAATCCTAAGACTTATCATGGATTTGTAGGAATTCGAAATTTGGGATGTATATGCTATATGAATGCTATGATGTAGTAATTTTTTATGACACCTGAATTCAGATATTGTATGTTAAGGGCTGAAGATGGTGTTGAAGTAAAAGTAGTTCAATACAAAGATAATTATGGTTTAGAACATTAAATAGATGATAATTCAATTCATCAATTCTAAAAATTACTAGCTTATTTAGAATTAAGTGAAAGACCTGATTTCAATCCATAATACTTTTGCTATTCATTTAAAGATTATGATAATCAACCAGTTAATGTGTCTTTATAATAGGATGCTTAGGAATTTTTAAATCAATTTTTCGATAGATTAGATAATTAATTAAAAAATAAGGGCTGGTAATAATTTATTGAATCTATATATGGTGGTTAAGCATGTAGTCAAATGATATGCAATGGTTGCAAAAATATGAGAGAAAAATTTGATTTATTTTATACTCTTTCAGTAAAAGTAAAAGGAGTTAAATCAATCCATGAATCTTTTGAAAGTATGATTAATGGAGAAGTAATTAAAGATTATTATTGTGAATAATGTAAATAGAAGAATGATCTTATTAAACGTTAATGTTTACAAACATTACCTAATGTATTAATAGTACATATACAAAGAATAGTTTTTAATTTAGATATATTTATGAATGAAAAATTAAGTACACGTTTAGAATTTCCACATAATCTAAACTTATTAAATTACACAAGAGAAGGTTTACTTAATTTAGATATTAAATAATAATCATATTATTAATATAAATTAAAAGGTGTAGTTGTTCACAAAGGAACAGCTTAATATGGTCATTATTATAGTTTAATTAATACTAAGGATGAGAAATGGTTGAAATTTAATGATTCAGTAATTGAAGATTTTGATGTAAAAAGATTGCCTCATGAGTGTTATGGTGGTAAAGATACAGAAGATGCTTAAGATTTTCAAGAATCTGGAAGTAGTACAAATGCTTACATTTTAGTTTATGAAAGAATCCAAAAAGAATAGGTGGAATTAAAGTTCTCAAATATTTAGTAAAAATAAGAGATAATGTCAAAATTTGATAGAGTAATGTAAGAAGAAAATAATGAAGAGTTGTCTTATTAGCTTGATTATAAGACTATGACTCAATAATATATACCGGATTCTCTATATCAAGAAATTTGGCATGATAATCATAGATTTATGATGGAAAGACATATATACAGTGATGAATTCTTTAGATTTGTAAAAGAAGTAGGAGAAGCTTTCCCATTTCCATAAGATTATATATTAATTACAAATCCAGAATAAGTACCATAATATTTTGGAATTTACAATAATTATTAATAAATATAAGGAGTCGAAAGGATTCAATGTTTATTGTAAAATTTAACATATATAGCTATTGAATTGATATCTAGATCATCTGATCATTCAACTATTAAAGGCTATGTACTTATAATCATGAATTTAATTAATATCATACCTACATTTGCTTTTTCTATATTTCAAAATATGATTGTTAATAGATAAATAAGAGTATTCAATGTATTGTTATGTGCACCAGATTATTCAATAAGATAAGCTATTTAACAAATTCTCTTGCATTATATTAATGTTATAACTTATATTCATGCTCTTACATTAAATACTGATTTATTAGATGTTCAATAGCCTGAAAATACTAGTCTCTATTATGATCAAATAGTCATTAAATTTTTATTAGATATGATTTAAAAACTTCAAAATGATGTTGCCAAAAATCCTACTAAATTTATTTATTATTTTACTTTTTGGAAAGATTTTGTAAAATCATCAGTTACAAATGTCAAATTTGCTAATTAAATTGAATTAGTATCCATTTTTGCAGATTTCTTTATGGAAAAGCAATCTCCTTAAGGATTACAAAAAACTAAATTTTATGAATTCATTTTAGAGAAAAAAATAACTATGGCTAGTAAGATGGTAGTTCCATTCTATTCTTAACTTTTCCAATGTATATAATACTTACTATAAAATCAAAATTATGAGCTTTCAAAAAATGATACAATATGTCTCCAAGCTTAAATCTTCTACAAAAGAGCTTTGACAGAATGTTAAGATTTCGAAGCAATAAAGTAGATCATTTAGAGAATGGTATTTGCTAATGAACCTCTATCTAGATCTATAATTGAAGTTTTATTAGAAGAAATCAATAAAGCAAATTATGAAAATGTGGGTTAGTTTTTAGGTTTAGCTTACAATCTCCTTAACATATATGATACTTATCAATAAGAACGTATTGAATGGTTGCTTGGTTTCCCAGAGCCTAATTATAATGACAAATACACAACGGGTTGTTAAACTAATTTAGGTTATCCTAGCATACTTTATTAATCTCACATAGGGTCTTAAAATGAAAACATTTCCATTCTTAATTTATTATTTGAGAATTAAAAAAGATTTTAAAATGTTGCAATTTAAATGATGAAGATGGTAATAGCTGCTGCAAATGTTAATAAACAAGTATTTTCTTATTTGGTTAATTTACCACCCCCATGTTATTTGTATTCAAAATATACCGATTGGTTTGAGGGATTTCTAAATGAATTCTTAGATGATTGTAAAAAATACCCTGTTGTAGCAACAAATATATTTTTTAATAAATAAAAAGAAGTTGAAGAAACTTTATAATTTTGGCAATAATTTAAAACTAATTACTCCTAAGTAACAGAAATTGGATTATTTGATCCTATTTAACCCATATATATCTTAGGTAATACTATATAAACAGAACTTGTTTCAAGTGTTGTTTAGGTAAATGGAGTCATTTTAGAATGTTATGAATCTACAGTCTATTTTACTGAATCCAAACCTACAATGATCAGTAATAATGTTTTCCCAATCTCAATATTGTATGATAATATTTACTTGTAAACTCTAAAAGTAGATCCCTCTTCAAATATTCACAACATTATTTAAAAGTAAGGATCTTTGACTATTCCAAAACCTCCTCCACTTCCAAAAAAGAAGGATGTAATTGATGGAATTGATTTTGGTACTTGTATTAATACTTCCATTAAACAAAAAAAATAAGAATGCATGATGCTAATATCACAGTTTTAAATGGAATTAGAGAATAACAAAGAATCAAATAAATAGCAAGATCTAGATTTAAACAAATTACTTGATACAGATTCAAACAAACAACCTGATACAGATTCAAACAAATAATCTGAAGTTAATAACACTATTCCTATTATGTAATTAAAGATGATATAATTATTATAGCTAATTTGGAGAGACTACCTAATAACTAATATAATGTGATATCGATCTTTAAATTGCTCCAATGTTGAAAAGATTCATGCTCAATAATACAACTAATCAGACTTTACATATAGCTTATTAAATTACTCTTGATCCAGATATCATGGCCAATTTTAAGTGATTAATTATTATTAATTTTTAGACATCCAGCTAAAATATGTAAAGTTGTTCCTCCAAACACTACTGTTTACTTAACCACAATTATGAAGACCATTCCTTCAATGGATTGGGGATTGTTCATTGAAACAATGGATATTAATTTTAATGAGTAAAATAATTCTGCTACTTAATAAACTAAAAAACAGTAAACATTCTAATCATTTTAGAGTGAGAATAGATGAAGAAGTTTAAGTCTTTATGCCAAATCTTAAACCTGAAATAGGTCCAAAAATTGATGATCAAATGTAATGTCCAGTTTGTACATACTTACAATCAAATTCAAACCACTTTTGTGAAATGTGTACTTTTGAATTTAAGTGAGTAATATAAGAATTATTATTAATATTAAATATTTCATAATTCTCTTTACTATTACATTAATATAATTAATTAATTATCAAAACAATTCTATAATGGAATAAATTAATAAATTAGATCTCTTTGGAGTTGTTAAAAGTACACTAAATTAATAATTATAGATGGTGGATTAAAAAAGGCTTTAGTTTTTTATACTTTTGGTTTTTTTGGAACTTTATTTATGATAATCTCTTTTCTTATGATTTTATCTAATGCTTTAAATGAACAAAATAGTATAATCATAATCATAATATTAGTGAAAATAATGAAGTCAATATCAGATTTAAGTTAAAGTGGTCTTGAAGCCTACTAAAATTAAATGTATGTAAAAACAAAAAATGCAATTTACTAATTATAACTTATAAAAACTAATGAGAAATTAAATTAATTTTCTTATGATATTTAAGCATTCTAGACTGAACTATAATAGTAAGATCATTAAATTTTTCATTACAAATTTTTTGAACTTTAATGGCCTAATTTCACAAATTCAATTACAAACAAAGAAAATTGGTGTGGATAGAATTGTGTAAGTGTTCCTTTTAGAAAATATATTATAGAAGAGTGTTAGGAAGATTGTATCTTATATTTGAGTTAAATTTGTTTGGTTTTCGATAAAAATGAAATTTTAAGTGGTTGTTACTAAAATTAACAATTAGCTTTATATACAAAAGACAGAACTAATTAAATAAAAATTTAATTAAGACATAATAAAGATCCTTTGGTTCAAATTAATCATAAATGTAATGATATGAATTAATTATATAATTAGAAATAATTCTATCAAATAATTATGATCCTCTAAATTTGATTATTTTTGGAGTAATCTGTTTAATTGTTTGCATAATGATTATGATTATAGTGAATTTAAACCTAAAAACATAAAATAAAGAGATAGAAATGTAAGAAATTGTAAGACATCCTCCACCAAGAGTGATCCCATTAAATTATTGATGATAATATATATCTATATAAGTTAACAAAAATCAATATTTAGATTTGGCTTTAATTCTATTAGCTATTTCACATAATTGTAAATATTTCATATCTATATTCTCTATTTTTTTATTTGAAGCATTATGATTGCTATTTTATATTTCTGTATGAAAAGGTGATTAATTTTTTAATCTTTTTGTAGTGTTTTATGAGTTCGTTGACTATAAAATCTTAGCAATATCAATTTAATACTATGATGAACTAGATCTCTTATATATTTTTTTTGGAGTGCTCTACTCCTTTTTGGCACTCATTTAAATAAGTGAATTTTAAGCTTTTAATTTTTATTTCTTTATATTTAATCTATTCTACCATTCTAAATTCCGTTAATAAACTGCAGTATGACTAAGATTAGTTTTAGATAAATTTTTATTTAGAGGACTAAAAGTACATTCTTTCATTATTCTTTCTTAGGTTTATTCCTATTACTATGTTATTTTTTAATTCTTTCTTTTAACCCAATCATCCAAGCGTTCCATAAAATTTCCAGATATATTTTATTTATTAATCTTTGGTATAAAAGTACATTCACTCATTTCTTTTTAATTTTTATTAATTTGGCTTTCTTCAAAAAGTTTTTAAAAATTTGACTGCTTTTTTTATGCTCTTTCATAAAGACTTTCAACAATCTGATTATTTGAATAAGATGAATTAGTATTTTACTTTTTTCTTTATTTTTAAGGATCTAGTGCAATTTTAGCTTCTTCATCTTCCATAATTTTAATTTAATTATCAAGAGAAAGGATTTGATTTAAAATTGTTTTCTTTTTCATCATCAATTTAGTTGTAGGAGATAAATTCTCTTTTTATGATTGATCAACAAACAATTGACTATTTTTTGAATTATCTTTTGGGGATTCAAATTTTGTTATAATAGTTTCAATCAATACATCATTTTCAACTTATTATTTAAATGCTTATAATTCTTCATTGATATATTTGAATTGTTATTAAAATTGATGTTTAGCTAAATATTAGCTTAAACTAGTTTGATTACATTTATTACGATCACTTGATAAAGTATCTCTGAAAAATGGAGTAGGTTCATCTGATTTTCCCAAAGTTTATTATTAACTAATCTACCTTTCAGTTTAAGAACTAGGTTTATGACTTCCTTCAGTTTCCTATTTATTAGTGCGATTTGATTATAAAGCTCCTTTAATGAAAGATAATGAAGAATTTGTTTAAAATTCTTTTCTCTGTTGGATTGGGGAAGCTTACAATTAACTGGATGAACGTTAACAATTATTTTAGACCTATTAAATAAAAGGTGATGAAACTCTTCTAACGATTTAGGAATTTTGCTGAAGCATATTATTCTTTTTAATCTACTCTAAAGTTTATAAGGCCTCAAAAGCTTACGGAGACAAATGGACAAATGATCCACTTTAAGTGTTTGGATGATCAGATAATTTATTTATGAGCATTCAACGAATACAATTTAATTATAAAAAATTTCATTACATCTTCTTGATCCTTTGACAAAACAAATTCTTCATTGTTAAATCTAATAATCATTTAGATTATATTTATAAAAATACAATTAACACAAATGATATTATCACAACTTCTTTTATTTATAATAATCAATCAGAAATACTGCAATGCTCATTAATTATATTTAATAAAATAATATTGTTTCATGCCTTTTAAACTTTTCGCTAAGAAGGATATCAATTTATTTCCTCCCTTTTTAACAAAGGGGGATGGATGGGTGTTCTCAGTCAGAAGGTTCTATTTGCAAACAAGCGAAATTATTTCTTCTTTCATAGGACTCATGATTTTTGTAAATTTCATTTTTTTTTGTGGAAAATAAGATGAAGTCGATATGAGATTTAGAATCATTAATTTCATTCTTAGCTTTGTCATAACAACTGATTTTCTAATTAAATATAAATTTATTAACAAATTATATTTAAACAGACATTACTATGGTATAAAAATATTTAATTAGGTGTGAGTTTTATGATTATTGATATAATAAGTGGACCTTTAAGTTTAATTTTAAATATTTACTTTTCAATCGTAAATGTCGAAGTTGCAATAACTATTTCTGATATTATGTTACTTTTGCGTATATTTTGTTTAGAAAAAATAAGGTGAATCTATAATTAATTTTTAGATTATTAATTAAAGATGTTTTTTACATTTTATATGTATCTAGATACATTAATTTTGCATTACTTCTTACTTATTATGTGTATAGTTATATTGCATACACGATTTTTTAAGAAGTTAGCCCTAAGTTTTTTAGAAATATTTTTAAGTCAATGTTATCTATGTTTTAGGTGTTAACATTGGATAGTTGGAATTTATAAGTTAATCAATCAGTTTCAAAATATTATGGATAAGCTTGGAGTATATTTTTCCTATTTTTCATTTTATTCATGTTTTTTTATTTTATCAATTTGTTATTGGGAGCTTTTGTGAGTTATTACTCGAATCCTACATTAAGAAGAAACTTTGAGTATGATTTCCAACATGATGATGTACTAAATTAAGAATTGAATTTAGAGTACAGACATTCAATAGAAATAAGAGATGCTTTAAAATTATTGGATATGGATTAAACTCCTTATCAATTAAATCGTAAATCATGGGGATTAAATGAATCAGAAGTATTAATTTACATTTACATCTCATTATAAATATTATTTTCTATGGTGGAATTATTTAGTGATTTATTTTACATTGATTATGCATAAATAGTGATAGAATTTATTTTTGGGTTATATTTTTGCCTTTTATGTTATCAAAAGATTAGTTAATTCAGATCTTTTATAATAGAATAGAGAAATTCATTTGAAGAGAAAATTTATGATGAAACCTAAATAAGAAACGAAGAATATTCAGTTAGATTGTATGTAGTAATAATTTTATTGATTGCAGGTCCAACTGCAACAATAGTGGATATAATCTCATTATTTATTAATTAGAACATTAGATTTGGGCCAATGTTGCGAGTTTTTATAGTACTTGCTATTCTCTATGTACAGAAGTTACTATTTAAATTTGTTGAAGTATTACCAGGAGTTAGTCATATAATAATTTTTGTAGGTGGTTTACTTTTCACAATGGCATTGATTGGACATTAATTTATAAAAATAGATGTTGGTTATCCATTATTTAATTCTCTAACATAGACATATTTATTTATGTTGTAAGTAGTGACATTTGATAGTTGGGGAGATGTAGCTAGAATAGTTATTCGACATCAAGCTATATATGTGTTTTACTTTTTATTTTTGACAATTTTTGTTGGATTCTTTTTAATGAATATGTTAGTAGGAGTAATGGCAACTATGACTTAACCAAAAACATAGGAGTTATTTGAGAAAGATCATATTTTAAGATAAAGAGTTAATGAATTATAGGTACGATAATTAAGTGAACATATTTAATAAGTAAGTTTTATTTTTAAAAAATTTATAGTTCAAAGAATAGGAATAGAATTAACATAATTAATTAAAATAAATCTTGGATGAATTCAATTCTTCAAAAAATACATAATCACTTTATGTGATAATTGATGGTGTGAAATATGAAATAACATCTAAAAATTTCATATAATTTTAAGGTGATTGATATAAATATTAAAATGATTTTAAATATATTAATTAAAAAAATTAAGAATGTGATACTTAATATTTGTTTTTAATGGATATTGAATTGTAATAATTGGATAAAGTGAAATGGAATTCATAAGAGGATGATTTATTATTGAAATTGCAAAAACATTTTTAAAATGATTTTCAATAGATAGCAAATTAGATGAATAAAATATTCTTTTATAATAAAATGACACCAAGTTTGTGTGAATATAGATGGAAATATTATATAGATAGTAATATAAATAGATCAGAATTCAATTAAGGAGAAGAACATAGTATGTTTTAATAGATGAAGAAGAATGATTTGTATACAAATTAATTTTGGTTTGAATTATCTGATTAATTTCAAAAGAGACCACCTAGTGTTTTAAAAGTATGCACAATGAAATTCATTATAAAATATTTGATTGCATTAAGCGAGTCTTATGTATAAAATAAGGCAGTAAAAAAGAGATATTTAGCTCGAATAAAATAATTTAATATTGATATAATGATAACATTTTTTAGATTAGGAAAAGAGAAATAGAAAAGAACTGGTCCTCCTACTTTACTTGGTTAGGGAATAGATTAATGCACTTAACTCTTATTATACTTAGAATAAATGATATCTACTCGTGGTTAAATGTCAAAATATGATGATCAGAGTGAATAAGCATCAATTAAATTTCATTCAATGATGGAATGCCTCATTTTCATAGATACAATATTTAGAATCTTTCATAAGATCTCTCCATACAATTAAGGTGAATAAGCAGAAAGAGATAAGATGGAAACTCTATTAGCAACAAAGAAATCCATACTTAGTTTACATGATGACAGAGGCTATGAAGATTAAGCATTTGAATAACTTAATAAAGAAGATGTTAGATTAATATACAATAGTGAGGTATTGCAAACATTCTAATAATACTTTAGTACAAATGAGTGATTTATATTATTCGATATGTTTTTATGAATTTCATTCATGATTCTTATTTAATGCTAAACCCACTCTATTTTTATCTCTATCAAATTTAGCAGAATACTTTGTAATAAATACATCACCTAAAATCCATAATGGTCCTCTATATAATTAATATTAAATCTATACTATTTTGGAGGTAAATCCAAAGGGAAAATCGTTCCAGCACAACCAACAATCTAATCCATTGGTGAATGTTAATAGGGAGCCTCTACTCCAGATTCTAATCATCTTTATTAATATTTTACATGTTATTGTCAAAATGTAATCTTTAGGTTATAAAATGTAATCATGTCCATCAATAACAAATGTGATATCTGGCATTGCTGGATAATTTTAACATTTTGGTTCAACTCTTATCATTGATAATAATTATCTCACATCCTTTGTTGGTCCTGTTAACAGAGTGGTTCCTGTATCCACGACCATTTTACATTTATGTTAATGTGTACATATTCCAGTATCCTTATTACCAACTCTTATCTATTCTGCCATTATTGACCAATAAAATTATTCATGAACATGATGATAAACCCATTCTCCTTTTATTTGTGAATCATCACTACCACCAAATATTAATTATGATCCTGAATTACCAGTAGCTCTATTCAAATGGAATGTAAACACATTTGAATGTAATTTATGCTATTATATCATATAATCAAATAAAGTAGGTACTCCTGTCATATGAGGATATCCTAATCCTACTATACCATCAAATTCACCCTCATGAAATGCATCTCCAATCTACTATGTTACTTCTATAAACAGAGCATCTTTCAAATCTAAACCATCTACTCTAATTCTCTCTCTGTTTATCAATCCTTTCAAAGTTCCACTACCAAATACTATCTCAACTGATTTACCAATCTCATTAAAAGATTGACTTTCTGCTCTATTATAACGTTTACTCTTTTAACATCCAATATCTTTACATTATTCTGAAGCTACACATGTTAAAGCTGAACCTGTATCAAAAATAACATCGAAAGCATTCTTTCCTTAAGCACTTCCTACCTATAATTCACCTATAAACATAGTATTTGCTATATTTGTCAAAGGTACATCTGCAATATATGAACCATCTTAATTTCTATCTGTTGTCAATAACTTTTAACTTTGATGTTCCATTTATTTCTCTATATGTAAATCAACTGGAGATAAAGAACCAGATTCTTCAAATATACCCTTCTCTTCAGATGTCAAAGGTATCACATCCATTAATGATTCATTCACAACCATATTTGTATTTTTCTTTTTCTTGTGATGATGTTCTTATTTTTTATTTTGATGATTCTAATGTTTTAAATTCTTTTTTTAAATATTCTTCTCCAACATGACTGTTTCAAATTAAAGTGCCCCCTCAACACTCTTACCAATCTTCTGATAATCATTTTCTTCTAATAATTGAGCATGGGAATGTTACAACAAATTTACTATATCAATTAAATGTTCTTAAGTATGTCGACTTTTAAGCTCCACTGTAAAATGCTTGGCTGTTCCTAAAAGTAATAAAGCTGCTATAAGCAACATAACAATTAATTATAATAAAAAAACGAATTATTGAACTTTATAAATATTTTCCTTAAATTTCTATGCTTTCTAATTTTTTATTAACATTCTACAAATGATTACCTGCTTCTCTATTAAATACTTATCAAAATCTTTTTAATAAAAAAGCTTCTAAAATTTCAAAAGTTTAAAATAATCTAAATTTATTTTTGAAAAATTAAGATTATTTATCACTTCTAATCTACTTAAAAGTGTTAAACATATCATTTAATAATAATTTTTTTTTAAATTACAAAACATTTTTAAACCAAAAATAATCAGCTACTGATGATTAAAAATTGGGTAACAGATGAAAATAATTAATTGAAACTTTCAATTTATTTGATACAAAATGCAAAGTAGATCCAAGAAAATTAAAGTTATCAATATAAAGTTTAGGATTTGATTAAGAAAACCAGACAATAAACAACATAATTTAAAAGTAAGAGAATGAAGGTAATTAAATTAATTTTGATTAGTTTTTACAGAGAAACAAGAGATGAAATTAATAAATTTCTGACTGATAATAAAACTTATGCAATGAACCTAATATCTAAAAAGGGTATTTTTACTTTTAATATTAAGATAGCCAGAGAATTAGATGAAATTATGACTGATGAAGAAATGGCAGAAATATTAGAAAGAGCATAAAATGGTAGAGAAATTTCAAGAGAAGAATTTTACAACATAATAAATATAAAAACATTCTGATAAATTATTCATTTTAACAGCTAAGTATTTTGAAATTAAAATAGAATGTATTTTAAAATAAAATCAAATTTAAAGTTTTTTTGTTATAAAAAACTTTATTTTTAATATAAAAAAGGCGATTAAATAAGCTATCCATTTAATTGTAATGATTAAAAATAAAAATAATTTATCTATTGAATATGATTTGAATTGTTATCATAATATCAAATATTAAATTACTTTGTAATTTATAATTACAATTAGATTATGGTTAGTTATTTTTAAATTCTTGAGTATGATCCTCATTTAATTGATTTTCTATTCTTCATTTGTTTTATAAACCTAAAAAGGAAAAAATGCTTAATTTATATCTGCTATTACGGGCAATAAAAATATAATTAATTTTGTACTTCAGGATTCCTTTTTTATAAATTCCATAATTTATTTATCGGAAAATTAGGATAAATTAAATTAGTCTGATTTTAGGTTGGGAAATATATAGTAAAATAATAAATATTTATAAAAGATGTCTGTGGAGTAAAAGTAATAAAATTAGAATAGATATGTGATATTTGATAAATGTAAATTTATATTTTGTAAAATTTGAAACATAGAAAACATTATTAATAAATTCGAATTGATTTTGATTTGAAATGTCTCAATATGGTAAAGCAGAATACTGGGAAGAAAGATATACAAGGTAAGGTCAATGAATATCAAGTTAGGGATCCTGAGCCATTTGATTGGTATTAAAGATTTGCAGGTGTAAAAGATCTAGTATAAGGGTGTTTTACTCCTGAGAGTAAGCTTGTAAATGTTGGAGCAGGCAATTCAAGTAATGATAATATGGAATGTAAAAGGATTGAGTGAAGAGATGTTTGATGAAGGTTATTAGAATATTACAAATATTGATATATCACATGTAGTTACAAAGGCAATGTAGGAGAAGTATAAAGATAAGGGTCCAAATTTCAAATGTAAGACAGTAAATTAAAATAGATTTACATATGGATGCAAGGGCAATGGATTTTGAAGAAGGAGCATTTGATGGAGCAATAGATAAAGGAACTTTGGATGCTATTTTGGTATATGTGTTATAGATTTGAAGTGTGGAGAGTCATCTTCTTCTAATGCTTAGAAGGTGATTCAAGAGGTTCACAGAGTCTTAGGACCAAAAGGAATATTTTTTATTATTTCATATGGTTTGCCTGAGCATAGACTTTAATATTTGGAGAAACCTGAATATGATTGGTATAGAAAATTGATATAATTTATGCAGGAATGTCGTAGTTAAATAAGTTCATAAACCAACAATTTCAACATCGATTGCCATAACGAATGAGGATAAAGATGCTCCGAATGTTCATTATATCTATATTTGCACAAAAGTAGAAATATTGTATTAAAGATTTAGGGTCAAGCTAAAGGAGCTAAATAGTGATTATGAATATATATATATAATAGGCATAATATTTAAATATATTTTCATATGAATTATTAATAAGCAATTCAATCCTGCAGCTCTACTAAATAAAAGTAAGATTGTATCTTAAAGAAGATAAGAAGAAATTAATTCTCCAATCACAATTTCTCTTCAATCCGAATTCGAGTAGTTAACATTAGACACTTCTCCTAAATTAGATCCACTCACTAACTAACATAGTGGCATTCTTGACTTTATTGACGAAGTAGATTAGGAAGAAAAGTTTAAGAAACACTAGAGTTTAAGTTTATAAAAAGACCTTATCAGAAGAAATAATAAAAATAAAACAAATGAAGGTTAATCTTCTCCACATTCTAATCAATCTTTAAATGATCAAAAGTTTAAATATATCAAAGAACTTTGGTTGCAGGAATCACCCATATAGGAAATAAATAAATAAGTTCTATCTTAGAGAGTTATTTCAATCAATGAAGAATAATATTTCAAAGATCTTCAAAGCGATAATGTTATAGGAATGGGAGTTTATCACTCTAATGAAGCTAGTCCTTTAATGTACTTTGAACCTGATATTGAGACAGATATCTATATCTCAAGTTTGATAGTAATTAACAAATTTAATTATCAATAGGATTCATTATGGGGAAATTAGATTATTTCTCGAAAATTACAGAAGCTTATTGAATCAGGAACACCAGAATAATAATTATTAATTGTTTAAAAATTAGAAAGAATTAGTCCACAAATTGAAAAAGATGTCTTTGGAAATTATGTTGTTCAAAAGATTTTTGATAGTTGTGGAGATCTTAAACTTAAGACTAGAATGTTCAACAAATTAAAAACTCATTTTTATGATTTATCTAAGAATCCTTTTGGATGTAGAGTAATGCAAAAATTAATTGAATATTCGTAAGGAAAAGAGGATGTCCAAAATTCTATACTTTCTTAATTGGTTTAGAATATGAGATCTTTAATTTACGATTCTAATGGCAATTATGTCATATTTAAGATGCTTGAATCCTATGATAAACCTAAAATGGAATTCATAATACCTATAGTTGAAGAATCTGTATTTTATTGAATTATTCTAGTTTCATTATATGGCTTAATAAATCTATGGATGTAAAATCATTCATAAAATTATCTAATAATATACTCCCAATTTAATAGCCAACCTAGTCAAATAATCTATCGCTAATTATTCAGTCTTGAGTTAAACTGAATTTGGAAACTATATTCTTTAACATATATTATAGTTTTGGATTCCCTCTCCAGAGAAAACTAGACTAATCTAACTTGTAATCTAACAGTTTTATTAATTAAGTATCAATAAGTATGCAAGGTGAGCTAATTTAATCTTAATTTAGTAATACTGTTGAAAGAGCCTTAGAGGCTTTGAGTAAATCAGAATTAATAACTGTGTTGAATTGGTTGTTATTTAGAAATCAAACCCAACAATAATTCTCTTATGTAGCTTCGAATTTTGTATAATTGGCAAATCATCAATATGCAAATTATGTGATCAAGAAATTTTTGATCTTGATCGATTAATAAATGTAGTAATCTATTTTAAACTTTTTAATTAAAAATTAGTAAGAGTATTAAGTTCTGAAATCCACTTTACATGGTAATTTTTATCTAATTCAAATAGGTTAACGAATTTGTAGTCTACTGGAGAAATAAGTGAAATGTTGATAGTGTGTTAGAATTTATATATATCTATTTAACATAATGAATAAAAGTATGGAAATATATTGATTTAATAATTGACTTATTTCTTGATAAGTCAGAATGCTAAGAAGTATTTTGTGATCATATTTTTCAAATAATAATATATAAATCTCTCATGCATCTTATACTCTTCTTTAGACACCTTCATTAGGGACATACAATTACCTTTGGGAGGGGGAATGAAATCAGTGTATAATGTGTTGTAAAGATTTGGGTAGAGTACCCAGACAGCTATAATTTAATAAATTTGTAGAGCATACCCCAGCATCCAACAGCTGGCATAATTCCCATGAATCTCTTAGACTTGGCAGTCCATGCTTCGTATCCTAATTTGTAAAATGTTGGTAAATACATTATTTAATTAAAATTATTGGAAATCTTTAGACTCTAATAAATCAAAAATGTATAGTTCAATTATATGAAATTATCATATAAACTATTAAGCATATGAAACAATCTAAAGAAAACAATGAAACTTGATAGATAAAATATAATTTCTAAATACAATGTGATATTTATAATAAATCAAAGAGGTTTATGCTCTTGAATTGTTTAAGCAGCTATAAGAAATAGGGATCAATAATTTAAATATGAAAATTTTTATGAATTATTAATATAATACTAATGGGAAATTGTTGTCCTAATCATGATCCAAAAGCATCATTTATTAGTTCAATAAGTGATAATAACAGTAATTAATAACTATAGTTGTAGAAAAACAACTTGAAGACATTGCACCAAAGCCAGTTTTAGTACCACCAATGCCTCCAATAAAATAATAGATTAGTCAAGAAGATTTTATTAAGATTGGAATGCTAGGATAAGTATTAAAAATATATAATAATAAGGGGGCATTTGGAAAAGTTTATTAGGTGAAAAAGAGAGATACTTAGAAGATTTATGCGATGAAATAAATATAGATAAAAAAAATCAGAGAATGCAATTTAGAAACTAATACAGTTTTAGAAAGAAATGTATTGAAATAAAGCAAACATCCTTTTATAGTAAAATTGAAATTTGCATTCTAAAATCCAAAATATATATTCTTTGTGATGGAATGTATAAATGGAGGGTAATTTTATAATGTTCTCAAATGTAAGAAGAGTGGATTACCAGAGTATGTTGTAAGATTTGTTGCAGCAGAAGTAGTATTAGCATTAGAATACTTAAATACAAAACTTAAAGTTATTTATAGAGATTTAAAACCAGAAAACATACTACTTACTGAAACAGGACATGTTAAATTGACAGATTTTGGATTGGCAACTTTAAGAAATGATAATGAGAAATCGTTTCTTTTAGCAGGTACACCAGAGTATTTGGCTCCAGAAGTTATTACTAGATAAGGTCATTCTTATGAAGTTGATATATGGACACTTGGTATCATATAATTATATCTATATTTTATAGGTATTCTTATATATGAGATGATTAATGGTAATCCACCATTTAATGATCCATAAAGAAAAGTAGAAATGATAACTAAATAAATTTTACTTAATGATCCTCTCTATCCTAAAAAAATGAGTCCTGCAGCTTGTGATTTAATTTAAAGGTTATTAAAAAATGATCCTAAAGAACGGTTAGGAGTTAAAGGAGGTTATGAAGAAATAAAGAATCATCCATTCTTTAATTCTATAAGTTGGGATGTAATTCATTTGTAGGTTTCTCCTCTTAAAGATTTTGTAAAAAGAAATCCTTCACCTATTATACCACCAGATGATACACCAATTAATCCTAAAATTCCTGATCATAATAAAATTGATGGCATAACATATGTAGGAGAAGGTGAAACCCTCAATTCAAAAATTTGATCACAAAACAAAATACTATGTAAACATATAAAAATATATATATATATATGTCATAATGCATTTGATTCATATTAATTAGTAAATTTCTCTCCAAATTTAAATTACTCTTGTTATTGATTCCATTCTTCTGCTTTCTTCTAATCTTCATTTTATTATTGAATTTGAACATCTTCTTGAGTTGAATAATCTAAATATTCTATTTCTTTTGTCTAACTCAAAGATTACTTGTCTTCAGGATTCATAGTCTTTAAATATTAACTAAAATTACTTTACGATACTTAAATGCTCTATACAAATCCTTACATAAACTTCTAAGAAAAGTCACACAGCAGATACTAATCAATCCAAAAATAAATATAAATCCAACAAGCTTCACTAAAGCCAATTCAAATTAATCAGGGTTTTCTGGATAATACATATTTACAGCAGTTGGCATAATCCCAATTCTTCTTACTTCATTACCTGGTTAATTTTCAAATACAATATAATGATTCTTTATAAAAGGTTCTCCCAAAATAATATAATCCGATTCTGAAACTTTAATGCTAAAAAAGCAATCTTAAATCATTTGATTATCACTTGTAACATTACACTTTCTTAAAATCAAGTGATAATTATCTATTGGAATAGTATGTTCACCAAAAATGAAGGTCAATTGATAATCAAAGATTATTTATACATGAAGGTTCTTACAATATAATATATACATCTATAATATTGATTTCTAATAATACTTCCTCATCTATCAAATTACATTCGGTTCCAACATGTGTATTATCAAGTTTCTAAATCAATTATATCAAAATGTTATAAGGTAGTTCAATAAATTATGAATTCAAGGTAAGTAAGGCTTTATTGATTGGTAAATTTTAGTTTATTAAATCATTTCCTTAAGCATTCTATATTATATTTTAAATAAATTACAATAAATTAAATTTTATCTACTTAGATCATCCAATAATAACCAGATTCTTCAAGTCTATTTATCCATTTGACATTTTATGACTATTTATGGACATATTTATAATCAAATCCTCCTACTTAAACTACCATTTCTAACTAATTATATTAACTCTCGTAAGTATAAAGAGCAAATTATTATCTGGTTAAATGAAGTTATGTATTTTCTTTAACTAATTTTTCAACAAAATCTGTATCACTTTATGCTTTTTCTTTTTCTGTTTCTGTATAGCCAAATCCAAAACCAATAACACCATCTGCTAAAATTGGAAATTCTCTCCAAATATAATCAACTTAGAGCATTTATAATCCAGTTATATTCACAAAGGCAGGTGGAGTATCATTTCCCCATTCATAAGAAAGAAATTGTGAAATGCTCATTTTTCTTGAAGAATTATAAGCAAGTAATTTTATTGTATCAGTTTGAAAAGTTCCTTAAAATAGAGATTCCGAAGAATAAATTTAACCATTTACTTTTTTATCATTCCATTTTGTTGAATTAAATGATTTTTCAAAATTGGGATCAAAACATTTACCTGGCTTTTTTGTTGTCTAACATTGCTCATAGTTTTTAAAATTTAATTTTTTGAATTATTTGCAACTTAAACAAGATTTTGATTTGTACCAAGTCCAAGGTGTAGTTAAATCAAGCTAATTTATAATAATGAAAATAAGTATACAGATAATTAAAATATGCTTTAATTATTAATAACATCTCCTAAAACAACTTCCAGATTGTAAAATACATTTTTAGTAAAGCAGATTTAAGTCACATAAGTATCATTATGATAGTAATCTAAAAATTCATTTGGACATTATTTAGGTTGAATGGTGGTGACGATGTCATTTTTATCAAAATTTTGATAGTTATAAACATGCCTTGATAATTTCTATTCAAAATAACCAAAAGTTTGAGGTAGGATAATGAAGAGAACACTAATCATTAATTAATTATTTTATACATTTTTTTTATATGTATGTACAACTTTGAAAACAAATTTTTAAATTAAGATTTTTATTTTAATGGCAGAATAGGAGTAATAATAAGCACCAGTAGAAGAATAATAATAAGCAGCTCCAGTAGAGAAGAAAGGATTTGGAAGAGGAGGAAGAGGATAAAGAGAAAGAAGAGAAGGAGGAGCACCAAGATAAAATAGAGGTCCAAGAAGATTTGGTGGTGAATAAGAGTGGACACCATTAACAAAATTAGGAAGATTAGTAAAAGCTGGTAAGATTAAGAGTCTTGAAACAATTTTCTAATTTTCAATTCCAATAAAAGGTATGAAATAATAATAACATAATTTAGAATATCAAATAGTTGATCATTTCCTTAAGAATTTGAAAGAAGAACCACTTGCATTAGGTCCAGTTTAAAAGCAAACATGTGCTGGATAGAGAACAAGATTTAAGGCTTATGTTGTAGTAGGAGATGGTCATTAACACATTGGTTTGGGATGGAAATCAGCAAAAGAAGTTTAAGGTGCAATTAAAGGAGCAGTAATAAATGCTAAGCTTAATTTGATTCCAGTGAGAAAAGGATATTGGGGAAATAAGATTGCTTAACCACATACTGTTCCATGCAAAGTGACAGGAAAGGAAGGATCAGTCAGAGTTAGATTAGTACCAGCACCTAGAGGTACTGGTATAGTTGCAGCTATAACATCTAAGAAGGTCTTATAGATGGCTGGTATCTAAGATTGTTACACTCAATCAAAGGGAAGTACAAGAACTAGATCAAACTTTTTGAAGGCAACATTCCATGCACTTAAAGAAACATATAATTTCCTTACTCCAGATCTTTGGGGACATACAAAATTAGAATCTACACCATTCTAAGAACATAGTGAATATTTAGCTGCCTTAAAATGAGATAATATTACAATCAGTATATTATATTTAAAATTCATTATTTCAATATTCTTTTATATATTTGTTTTGATTCATCTAATTCTATAGAAAATATCAACAATTATTTTTAATACAAAAACATTTTGAAAGAAGATTAATAGATAAATAATTGAATAAAATATAGAACAACAATAATTTACAGATCAAGAAATAATTGAGATTTAAAAAAATATATTTTATTAATTTTTGGAATGTCATCAGGATCGCATTTAAGCAAAGAATTACATGATTTGATCAAATCAATAGGAGAGACTCGTAGCAAATAAGAAGAAGACAAAATTATAATTAAAGAAGTTCAATAATTAAAAACTAAACTTAATGAAAAGAATATGCCACAAAAAAAAGTGAGAGAAATGCTTATTAAAGCAATATATATAGAAATGTTAGGGTAAAATTTAAAAGTGAAGTATAAAGTCATGATGCATCTTTTGTGCATATAAATGCAATTCATTTAACTCAATCAAAGAGTTTGGCACTAAAGAGATTGGGATATTTGTGTTGTTCTTTATTTTTGGATAATGATAGCGAGCTTTTAATATTATTGGTAGCCACACTATAAAAAGATTTAACATCAACTAATGTTCACATTGTAGTCAATGCTCTTACTGCAGTAGGAAAATTGATTAGCAAGACTTTTGTGAATGCTTTGACAGAACCTGTATTAAAATTGTTAACTCATAGTACTGATATTGTAAGAAAGAAAGTATTTAATAGATGATTTATTTTAGGCATTAATGGTAATGTAAATTATAAGATAATTAAATTAAGATTGTATAGCAGAATAGGATTATGATGATAGAATACGAAGAGGAATTTAAGATAAAGAGCCTAGTGTTATGGGAGCTGCATTCAACTTGTATCATGAAGAATTAAAGAAAGGTGCAGTTAATAAATTCAAACCACTTACAGGAACTTTTGTTTCTATGCTCAAATAAATTATAGAACATAAACTACATAAGGTAAAATTGTATTATATTTTATTTAGGATTATGATTATCATAGATTTCCTGCTCCATGGTTATAAATTAAACTACTTTAAATTCTTACTCTTTTAGGAGCCAATGATTTGAAAGTTAGTGAATAGATTTATGAGGTTTTGGGAACAACTTTAAGAAGAGCTGATGATACAACAATAAATATTGGTTATGCTGTTACATATCAATGTGTCAAATGTATTAGTGGCATCTATCCTTAATAAAGTTTATTAGAATAGGCTGCTAATTCTGTATCTAGATTTTTGAAATCTGAAAATAATAATTTGAAATATTTAGGAATTAATGCTTTAACATAAATTGTTTCTATTTCATAGAAATATGTTTTAGAACATTAAATGACTATTGTAGATTGTTTAGAATCAAATGATGATACTTTAAAGAAAGAGACTTTAGAGTTACTATACAAAATGACTAATGAATAAAATTGTGAAGTAATTATTTAAAAATTGATACATTTTCTTAAAACAAGCTCTGATTCTAATTTTAAAAAAGATTTGTTTGTTAAGATATCGTTACTAAATGAAAAACATGCACCAACTTAAGAGTGGTTTATAAAAACAGCTAATACATTATTTGAATATGGATCTGAATTTATAGATAATGATGTTAGAAATAATTTCTTTAAATTATTAATAGATAATTTTAATGATATTGGATCTGAATTTGGAGTATTTATAACTGAGATATATTCGGAATTACTAAAAAATGATTTGTAAGATAATATTTTAAAAATTGTTTGTTGGGTAATAGGTGAAATTGGTTCATAAATATATGATTAAGATCCAAATAAATTAAATGAATTAACTTAATTAATAATTTTAAAATTAGATTCTTAATTGGAATCAGAAACAACAATTTCTTGGATATTAACTTGTTTAGCAAAATTATAATCGGCAAGAGCATTTTAAATGTTTGATCAAACTAGAGCAATATTTTAAAAATATATGTAATCAAAGAATTTAGATTGTCAATAAAGAGCAATAGACTTTTATACACTAGCAAAATTTAATGCCGCTTTAAAAGGATCCCAATTTATAACAGTAGATCCAAAGATGTAATTTTTAGATGCTTATGTATAATAAGAAAGATAACGTGGAGCTTAACCATATAATCCTTCATTATAAGTTAAAGCAGCTGCATTAGGATCAGCAACAGAAGCCCCATCTCTTAATTTTATTCCATATAGTGACACTAAATATGGAGGTAATAAAACTGGTACATTTGGAACTGAAGAGAATAAATTGACAACTTAGAATCCATCAGCTCCAACAATAGCAGGACCTTGGGATGATACAGGTTATAATTAAAAATAACCACCTCCTCCTAAACCTACAATAGCAACTCCTATGTCTATAGGTTCTACCACTGGAATAGGAAGTAATAGTAGTGGATAAACAACAACTAAAACAACTATGTAATCTATGGGTAGTGGATAAATGGGATTGAATACCAATCAATCTTAAAGTACTTATGTCCCATCTGTTAGACCTCTTCCTCCTAAAGAAGATCCTAATTTAAAGGAAAAGTAAAAATTAGCTAATCAATTATTTGCACCAATTTCCTAAACTTAACAATAACCTTCTTAGTAATAATCATTACTATTTAATATTAGATCTACTTAAAAAAAAGGAATTACTACTATGGCGGCATCAAAACAAATGAATTCTAACATTAATACAAATTAACCTTAGTAGCCAAAACAAACAGCTTAAGTATTAAATTTATTAGAAATTGATGAACCTTTACCTATTTAATCATCATAGTAACCTATCATTGGAACTTCTTAAGGATATGTTTAATAACCTTAAATCATCAATTAAAAACCCATTATAGCTTAATAATAATAATTATGGTCTTAACCTACTGCTTAAATATAATCCATACCATAATAATAAATTAAATCATATATACCAGCTAATATCAATGTTGATCAATATGAACAACTTTGGGAAAGAAATCAAAATATTAAAGAAATCACTTTATAAAGCAAAATTAAATCTGAATAAGATTTCAGAAAAATGATCTAAACCATTAATATTAATGTAACTAAAACTTATTTCTATCTTAGATTATTGAAGTCATTGATCAAGAAATTATTTGTGCTGGTGCTAATGCAGAAAGCAAGAGTTGCGTTCTATTATATGGATCTTATAGTTTGAATGGATCATTAGAATTAAAAATTAATAGTACAGATCCTAAAGATGCTGAATATATTTTAGCTCTTATTAAAAGATAATTCTGTTGATAAGGAATTACAAAGACAATTATATATATTTTATTAATCATTTTATTCTCGGAAATTATAACTTCTTTTATTATCTTTCAGGTTCTATACGTAGTTAAGATAATGCAGAATTTTTATATGATGGAGCACTGGTTTTGCTCTAATTTGATTTTATAAATTTTGGATTTGTTGTTGTTTTTGTTAATCTTTGAACTATTTTACCCATTTTTTGTTGATTTTACTATGAAAATTTTGATATTCTATTCTTTAACTCAATTGTTCTTAGATAATATTTATCATTTACTTCTTGTAATCTCTAAGATATGTTTCTTTATTTCTAAATGTTGAAGGAGTTCTCTATAACCGCTGCATCAATTTCTCATTTTCTCCAACTATTTTTAAAGCCTCCTTCTTTCTGTAAGATAAATTAAGAGACTTTATTGAATTAGCAGAACTCTATCTAGTCAGCGATCTTTTTGGAAGAGATGAGTAACTTTTTTAATTTCCTATATCTACTATTCGATTAAGGATTTTTGCATTTTCTTTAAACAATCGTTACTCTTTTTGTAAATCTACTTATAATTTTGTATAAAATTTATTTGCTCTTATTTATTAGTATTTATCATTATCTAATAAAACATGCTTAAAATCTATAATATTTTATACTCTTTTTGATAAATATGGATCAGATCTTGTATTTATCAATTTAAATTTGTGTTATTAAAATTATTCAGCTTGGCAAACTTTCTTAATTATGTCCTATTCAATATATTTAGGTCCTTTCATTATTTAATAAATAAATAATTTTATGCATTTTAAAAAAATGATCAACTTGAACGCTTTTGCTTTTTTGTTAAATAAGCAATCTTGAAATCAATTTCAATAATGAGCCAATCTACAATTTTCCATTCTTATTATACTTTTGATAATCAATTCATAAACCATTAACTATTATCATAATAATCATTATAGATAAAAGACAAAAAAAGTAATAAGGAAGATTTAACAAATAAAAGCAAAAATTAGAATCAAACAAAAGAAAAAAAGTTTTAAAGACAATAAATAATAAACTTGAATAATTAAAAGGAGAATCCTAAGATTTGTAGAAATAATGAAATATGAAATATGAAAAATTAGAAGCCCCAGGATAAGGTCAAAAATTAATCTTATCTATAAAAATAGAAATATTATCATTAGAATCAAAATCTATATCTATATCTTGAATTTCCATTTAAAAAGAATATAAGAAATTTAAAAAGTTAATCTAAAGAATATTTTTGAAAATATGAACACTTTAAGAAATATAGAGGGTTTTAAGAGAAAATTGAACAGAAAAATCTTCTATATTGAAGAAACAAAAAAGGGTTACATAATTAGGAATAAAGAAAAATAATGAATTAATACAAAAATTAAAAATTTATTGCAAATAATTTATAAGAATAGATTATTGAAATAATCCTGATAAATATAAAATAAATCAAATTAAGTTAAGGAAGATGGCTAATAAATAATTGCAATTAAAATAAATAATCTAATATCACACCTTATTCTAAATAATAATATAAAAATTAGACCTTAAAATATTAAAATAATTGTAATTAATAGAATGACATAGAATTGAAATTAAAAAATGAACAAGTAAAATGTATGCAAAAAAGAAATTGAAAAACTAAAAAATGAAAAAGAGAGTGGTAGCGAGAATAAAAGAATATCTAAAAAGTATTTAATAAAAATTACCTGAAAAATCTACAAAACTAATAAAATTTAAAAGTGTTATATTACAGAAAAGACAAATGAATATAATTTAAGATGATAAGCCTCACATGTTTTGAGAGAATATAAAAGAAGTTTACAGCAAAATGAATTGGGATGGTCTAGCATTCCATTGATGATTGTTTTTAGTTACTAAAATATGGAGGAATAATTTATTAAAATAATTTAATCGAGTGAGTATCAGAGAAAGTAATTCAGATTGGTATATGAAGATAATAATATAATTGAATATATTAATTATATATAAGAAATAGAATTTAGTATTTCTAATAAAGAACAGCTTTCATGAATGCTTAGTATTTTATCATAAAAATCATTTTGAAAATTTATTTAAAATTAAATGTTTGAGAAGGAAATAGTGATTGATGGAAAAGGTCATTTATTGGGTAGATTAGCCTCCTATATTGCTAAAGAATTATAAAGAGGATAAAGAATCGTTGTTGTAAGAACTGAGTTGATTTAACAATCAGGTAAGCGATTTTAATAATTAAAGGATCTCTCTTCAGAAACAGAGTCATTTTTGAAGAATATTTAAATAAGAGAATGGCTTTCAATCCAAGAAGAGGATATAAACACTATAGAACACCATCAAGATGCTTTTGGAAGGTTGTAAGAGGAATGCTTTAATATAAATCAAAAAGAGGTGCAGCTGCACTTGAAAGATTAAAGGTATTTGAAGGTGTCCCTCCTCCTTATGATACAAGAAAGAGATAAGTTGTTTCAGATGCTCTTAAATTGATCAGATTAAAAAATCATAGACCTTTTTGCACTTTAGGTGATTTATGTGCTTCAGTTGGATGGAATTAATAAGCAATTGTTAATAGACTTGAAGAGAAAAGAAAATCAAGGTATTATTTAAAAAATTAAATTTATAGAGGTACTGCATATTACAAGAGAAAAATAGCAAGAGAAAATCTTAAAAGAAAGGCTATTGGAGCTAAAGAACTTACTGCTATTAATGCAGAATTAGAGAAATTGGGCTATTGAAATATTATAATAACATAATGTACAATTAAATATATTTAAGTAATTTTTTCAATGTATTTTCTTTATTTTTAGAGAAAATTTTTTTTATTAAGATTATATTAAAGAAGGCCTTTCCAATTGTTCCAATTTATATATAGCAGGTAATTACTTGGAATTGTCTATTGTTGAATGTAGAGAATGAGTATGTAAAGAATGAGTACTTGCTGCTTTTTGACTTATCAAACGAGTTAATCTTATATTTTAGATTTTCATTTCTCTTAGATATGTACTATTTTTTTAAGCATCAGACTTTAGTTTTTAAAGAATAATCATAGTTTGAATCTTCTCACCAAAACTAAAGTTTTTATTTTTAGTTTCTACACTTGAACTCTTCTTTCTTTTTCTGTTTGAAGGACTTTCAGGATATGGATGATGATGAATTAATTAATGACATATCGACATTTTTGGTGGTGAACTGCTTCTTATTTTATATTCAACCAATGCAACTTTAAACATAAAAAGAATGGCTTAAACACAAAGGATTAATTTTCTCCACATTTTTATACAAAACTAATGTCTTTGATATTTTGTTTTTTAATGAGTAAAAGTTAAAAATATAAATTAACATCTCTTATTTAAACTACCTTCAAATGTAGATTCAGAACTTCGACTTCTTTTATGTCTAAAAAATTATAAACAGTATTTATTACCTTTCTTTGTTTGATTTCATTTCATTTATTTATAGTAATTTTAAGAGTCCTTATTTTTTATCTCTGTTTAAGGTTATTTTAGTAAAATATCTCTGGCTACGTAATTTTGGTGAGGGGCTTGCCTATAATTATTAAGCAAAGTGAGTTTTGATAGCAAAGCAGTTTTTTGATTTAGCTCTTATTTCCATATTCTTTTATTAAAAGGAAAAATAATATATTGGAAAATATTCAACTAAACCTAAATTTAGCATAAACATCAATAATTTAAAAAACTTATAAAACTTTACTATTCGCAATTGTTTCAAATTCAAATTTCATAATTCAGTATATACACATCAAAAACTGAAATTTCAATTTATGTTATCTTCATTTAGATATTTCAAAATCTTCATTTTTTTTCATGTTTTTGTAAACAATATAATATTAATAACGAATTTTAAGAACTTTATCTCTCTTATCATAATTTTAGAATATATTTAATAAAATTTATTCAAATTAGATTGTAATTTAAATGTTCTAGATTATTGTAAAAAGATTAAAACTTTATACTTAAACAACTTTCATAATTTTAAAGAATTTTTAAATTCAATCAGTTTTATGATAAGTTGATGAAATGAAATATGGAAACTACTAAAAGTATTTAGTTTAATGTTAACCTATAATACTTTCTTAACTCAAAATTATACTTTTAATTAATCAACTTAAGATGATAAGATTTTTTTAATTTATTTCCTTATAATTTTTTAATTTAAAATAAAACAACTATGTTAGATCCTTTTTATTGCAGTAAAATTTAATCAATAAGATTTTAATTCTGGTTCCAAAAATAAAAAGAATAATTGATAAAGCTATAATTTCAATATTAAATTAGATATTAAGTTTGAAATCTTAGTTTAAATTTAGATATTGTAGTAATTCGAAGATGTAAATTACTTATATGATTTGGATTAAGCCATGATTGTCTAATTTAACTTTTAAATTTAAGGCTTGCTTAAAGAATAATAAGAAACTCTTAAGTGTTCAATAATATGTACTATAAATTACAAATTATACTTAAAATATATTAATTAAAATTTTGAATAACGCATATTTTGAGGAATCTGAAAAAAATTGAAGCTTGCTACTATGATTTAAGATAAAGGCCTATATGATTCAAAATTTAGAGTTGCAATCAACCGATCTAGTATCTTAATTAGAAATTTATATTTAATTGTTAAATTCTACATCTATAATTAGAAAATTGGCAAATTCAATTCTATTAGAATGATTTAAATAACATATACTGTGTTAATTTATATAAATTTTAAAATAATATAAGTTAACAATAGATTTTGAAAAACAATATATTTTGATAACTGATGAAGATTTATTTATATTTTATATAAAATAATGTCTAATACTCTTAAATAAATTGGTGTGGAATGGTTGACATTTCCTAAATCGAGATAAGATGAAGCTATCCATTAATAAACAATTTTAAGATTAAATTCTTTTATTCATTTTGAAAATGAGATCTTCAATTGGAATAACATAATTGCCAAACCAGAACTGATTGAGATTAAGGCAAAAAAGCCAATATAATACCTTAGTCCTGAAACTATTGAAGATGATTTATTGTAAAATGATGCTTAATGGCCTGTAAAATAAAATGAAAATTTTTTAGTTTGCTGAAAACTCTTTGTTTCTTTTCAAATCAGATAATCCATTTAGAATGAGTTTATTTAAGTCCTTTAATGAAAAGTTATTTATTTAGGTCATGAGATTTATTACACTTTTAAATATAATAGCAGTTTGTCTTTATGATTATTAATCGAGAATAAATAAATAAGATGAGAACAGAAATCGAATTTCAATAACCATGGAAATATTTTGTAACATAATATTTGGTTTAGAATGTTTTGGATCTATCATAGTAAAGGGATTTGTTTTAGGAAGAAATGCCTATTTAAAATCTTGGTGGAATGTTGTAAATTTTCTAACATTTATTTCCACTTGGTCAATATTGGGTGATATTAACAGTGAAAATCAGTTAATTCATATTTTGAGAGTAATACGATTGTTTCGAGCATTACGTCTAATTTAAGATTCTAAAATTTTAAAAAAGCAATTTGACGCTTTTATTGGAAGTTTTTAAAGATTAGGTCCTATTTTGATACCATTGTTATTTGTAGTTCTCTATTATAGTATTATTGGTCTTCATTTATTTATGGGAATAACAGAATATAGATGTAGAGAAACACCTGTACCAGTTAATTAAAATTGGTAAGCTGTAGATGATATCAAATTCTTATGTGGAATTTGGGAATGTCCTGATAATTCATATTGTGGATCATTAGCAGATTATAATTTACAAAGAAATATGACTGAAAATGTTATTGAATAGTTTGGTTTTGGGTTTATACGTTTTGATGATTTCTTTTATTCATTATTTGTTGTCTTTACATTTTTAAATGTTACAGGATGGTCTGGAACTACTTTTATGTTTTGGAGAGCAATGACTACCTATATAACAGCATTTTATTTTGTTTCTTTAATCTTCATTTTGTATCATTATTATTCTAATCATTAGGGCTTATTTATTATCAAATTTATTATTAGCTTCATTTTATGAATCATTTTTGGTTTTAAGTTCAATAAAAAGAAATAAAAATATGGATAATGAATAGGAAGTTATTGAAAATGAAATTATGAAAAAAAAATAATAATAAATTATGACTAGATTAGCTTAAATAAATGAATAAAAATCAAAAAAAAGAAATACTAAAAAAAAATACTAAATATCACTTTATTATTAAGATGAAGAAGACTAATAAAACTTCTTATCAGAACATTTTTAGAAATTCTTAAACATTTCAACTATAATTGCTAAATCTAATGCTTTTAAATATATTAATTGTGCAGTTATAATCATGTCTGCAATTGTTATTGTTTCTGATCATCATAAAATAAGTCCATAAAAGTATAAATTTAATATTTATTTTAAGTTATCAAAACTTATTAATCCTTGATTTTATTTGTATCATATTTTTTATTTTTGAATTCATTATCTCTTTATGGGGAAATGGTTTAGCAGAATAATTTAAAGAAATTATAGATATATTCGATTCTATTGTGATCATTTCTTAAATTATATTGATGATTGTATTGTTTTTTCTTGGCGAACCCATAATCTTAAATAATAATAGATATATTAATCTTGTTAAAGCATTTAAAATGTTACGTTTAGTAAATTAATTTTTAATATTAGATAAAATTATTATATATTGCTAGAATTTTCTATTCCATTAGTGTTCTTGCAAGATGTTTAATATAAACTCTAAATAAAATCAAAGATATGATTTTACTTTTTATAATCATAATATTAGTTACATCCCTTTTTGGATAAGAATTTTTAGCATATAAGGTGAGATTTGAGTAATTAGAAAATGGATCATTTTAACCTGTTGATTCAAGTGAGGGTATATCAGCTCCGATAAATTATGAAGGTTTAGGAAATTCTTTGATGGCAGCCACCAATATCTTTTATAATGAAGAGTGGCATATTACAATGTTATTATATGGTGAAAAAATATGGGTTTCACTATTTTATCATATTTTTTTTATTTTATTAGGTCAGATTCTTTTTTTAAGATTATTATTAGCAGTATTCTTAAATGAATTTTGCAATTAATTGAAAAAAATAGAATAAGAAATTAAACCTATTAATTTTACATAATATTATAAGAATGCTGTTGGATTTTTTGCTTAAATTTTAAAAAAGAGATAAAGGGCTAAAATCCATAGTATTACATAAAATATTAATGCAGCTCATTAATAATAAGCAAAAATGTAAGCATAAACATAAGGACATGAACCAAAAAAAAATGTAAAACTTTCCATGTTTTATGAATTAAAAGCACAAAAAGATGTTATTAATGCAAATAACGATTTAATGGACTATAAAGTTTAAACACCAACAAATATTCTTTGTAAAATTAATTTAATATATTTTTTAAGCTAATAAAGAAAGTATAATAGATTGTTTGAGAAAACCAGAAGAAAAAAAAGATGGTTCTGATGATTAAGTTAAAGATCATAATATTGAAGAAGAAGTAAATGAATTAGATGATGAATCAAATGATAATGAAAATATTAAATCTCCTAGCCACGCAAATGACCATACTTCATCTAGAAAAATGAATCAAAATATTAGAAAATCCATGCGTAGAGAAAACTCAGAAAAAACTCTTTTTATTTTTGCTCCTGAATCAGATTTTAGAATGTTAGTGACTGCTTTAGTAACAAACATCTAATTTAGAATATTTAACTTTGCTTTAATTTTACTTACATGTATAAGGATTGCTTTATTAAGTCCTTTAGAAGATCCTAATTCAGATATTTCATTTATATTACAGGTTGGGTATATATTTTTAACAGTATTTTATATTTTGGTTATTCTTTTGAATTGCATAGCTTTTGGATTATATAAAAATGAACAATCCTTTTTTAGATAATCAATTTATAATATATTCTCTTTTGTGATCACTATAGTTGATTTAATAACATTAATTTTTGATATAAGTCATCCATTAAGCAAATTTGTGACATCTTTAAGAATTTTATAATTTATATAGATTGGAGCAGTATTTTCTAAAAATATTGCGTATGCCTAAGCATCATTATTGAATGCATTTACATAGATGATATAGTTAACTATATTTTGTTTAATATTGTTAGCAATATATGGAGTTTTGGCTTTAAAATTATTGAAAGGAACATTTTATTATTGTGATGCATATGATGGAATGTATAAGGATTTAATAATAAATAAAGAAGATTGCTTTGATTATGGAGGATCATGGGTAAATTAGATATTAACATTTGATACAATCTTTCAAAGTATATTGATTCTATTTTGTACAGCAACATCAGAGAATTGGATTCCATTAGTATAATAAGCTTGGAATGCTGTAGATGTAGATCATTAACCTATTTAGAATTATAATAGAATATATGCTTTTTATTTTTAGTTATTTTTCTTTTTGGGTAATCTATGTTTATTAAATATGTTTATTGGTCTAATTGTGAATGCTTATTAAGAGGCAAAGATGAAAGCTTAAAACTTTCATTTACTTGATGAAACTTAAAGAGAATGGTTTTAAATTAAAATGCAAATATATAATATGTAACCTTTGGTCAAATCTAAGAAACCTTCAAATTATATAAGGAAAATACTATTTCAAATGGTAAAATAAAAGTATTTTAAAATATTTTGGTTAATAATAATATTTTGTAATACTATAGTTTTATCACTCTATTTTTAACGTTCAGATTAGAAGGTAGATGAAGATTATAATTAAATATTAGATAATATAAATAGTGTTTTTGTTTTTATATTTGCTTTTGAAATAATATGTAGATTTTTGGCAAAGGATAAAAGTTTATATTTTAAGGATAATTCAAACATTTTGGATAGTATTGGTATTTGGTGGGCAATAGCAAATTTATTCATTCGCAATCATGAGGATTATAATTTTTATTTTAAAAGAATTTCAAATGCTATATCGATAGCATTTTAATTATAAAGAAATTTTAGAATAATAAAGTATAATAAATAGATTTATAAATAGGCGTTTTAATAATTTAGAGAAATTATTTTCATCAATTTTTTCTGTAATTCCAAATTCATTGTCTATGCTCTTTATTATGTTTATATTTTTATTTATTTATACAACTTTAGGAATGGATATGTTTGCTTTTATAAGAACTTAATCAAATTTAAATGGATGGGATTAACATTTTCGTAAATTTTCTACGGCAATGTTTTCTTTAATTAAAGTTGCAAGTTCAGAAAGTTGGTGGTTTATAATGATAGATACTTTACATGAATAATAACCAAATTTTGCATGTAATTATATGTCAACATTTGATGATTTTTAAAAATATGGTTTTAATGGATGTGGAACGCCTTATGCTTATTTGTATTTTGTTTCTTTTCATTTAATATTTTCATTAATGATTTTAAATTTATTGATTGCATCTGTACTTGGAGCATATGAAGAACATGTTAAGAGTGAAGAATCTGCAGTAAGTAAATATTAATTAAATGATGTATTATCACTTTGGCGTAATTATGATCCTGAAGGAAAAGGTCTTATTAATTATAAAGATTTTTGGAAATTATCATCTGAAATTGCTATAATTTTTGGAGTTGCTTAAGATGATTTATTAGATGTAAATAATAAAAAGAATTTTCTTAAAGTTTTAAACATTCCAATATATGAATCAAAGGAATCAAATATGCTTTGTTATTAATTTCATGATGTCATCCTATCTTTGACTAAAATATCAGTAACACTTAAATATGGAGTGACAAAGTAATATATTTATATATATCATAATATTAGTTTAGAACCAACTGATAAGGCTGTTTAATAAAAATTAAGGATTTAATTAGGAGATCATTAAAGGAAGGAATCTACTAATATGTTTAAACCAACTAGTTTTAATAGTGGTGATATGGTTGCAATTATTTACATTTAAAAAAAATTTCGATTATGGAAGAAAAGAGTTTAGCTTAAGAGAGAGGGTGGAGATTATAAAATTATTTATAATGAAATGTCAGATCTCAAAAATTTAGTTCGAAAATAAATAGAAATGGAAGAATAAGATTTATAATCTAAAAAACCAGAATGATTTATGTGATACCTAACCTTTGTTATTTAGATGTGAGTTGATTAATAATTTATTATTAAAATAAATTCATATATGGTTTTCTTTTTATTTAAAAATAAAAAAATAAAGAATAAATGTATAAATATAATTTAATTAATTATATTAATATTTTATAATTAAAATAAAAAGAGAAATGGAATAAACTCAATTTTCTTTGAAGTAAGTATGTAGATAAAGAATGAAAAGTTTGTTTGTTCAATTAAGAATTGATAATCCTAACTTATCATCATCTATTCTTGTTGTAGATTAAAAAACATTGAAAATAGTATCTGCTTATATAAAGATGTCTGAGTAAATATAATAATTAAAATAAGATTATTAGAATTAGGAATTAATGCAGTAGAAAATTTACATTTGAAAAGAAAGCCTTTCAATTTAGAAGCAATTTACTTTATCACTCCAACTTAAGAATCCATTGCTTATCTTATTGAAGATTTTGAAAATGCTCAATCTCCATAATACAAATGTGCTCATGTGATTTTCAATAATAAAATGCCATAAGGAATAGTATAAAAGATGCAATCTGAATAGAATTTAGTTAAGAAATTATCAACTTGTAAAGTATTTAATTTAGATTTTAATTGTACTAATGAATAATTATTCACATTTGACATGATTTTTGGATTAGAAGTATACAAAGGAAGTATGTATTTACTTAAAACAAGGAAATGTTATTTTATAAGAAATGGCTGAAAAAATATGTACAGTTTTAGTATCATTTGATAAATTTTATACTTTTGAATTGATATTTAGATAAGATAATTGGAAAATCTGTTAATAATTAGCATAGTTCACTTAAGGAAGATTAAGAGAAATATTAGAAGCTTTAAAAAGAACAAATAATTCATAATATGATTGTAAAGAAAAAACTTGTGGAAAAATAAGAGTAGTAATTGTTGATAGAGCAATAGATGCATTATCACCATTATTACATGATTTTTATTATCAACCTATGTTTTATGATTTATTGGAGATTGAAAATGATATATATTAATATGAAATGTAATATGGTGATAAAAAAGTATCAAAAAAGTAAATTTTAAATGATTAAGATGAATTATTCAAAAAGTATAAATTTAAACATATTGCTGATGTCTTAGAAGAAGTAAGTAGCGATTTCTAAACATTTATGTAAACTAATACTGCTGCAAAAGTGGCTAAAGATAAAGAATAAAGTTTAACTCTTAAATAAATGACTGACATCGTTAAAACTATGCCTTAATATTAAGATTTAGTTGCTAAGTATACAATGCATATGGAAATTGTTGAGAAATGTTTAGATTTATATAGATAGAAGGATCTTTAAGAAGTAGGAGAATTAGAATAAACTTTAGCTACAGGATGTGATAAAAAAGGATCATCAATAGCAGGAGAAAAGATAATTTAAAGAGTATTAAATATATAATATATTTTTAGATAATTCAAGTTCTAAAAAATCCAAAATTAAATGAATTTGATTAAGCACGCCTTATATTATCAGCTATAATTTAAATAGATTTAAGTGAAAAGGACAGAAAATAATTAACTGATATTCTATCTATTGATATGCAAAATGCTGTTCATAATCTTAAATTAATTGGAATTCAAACATAAAAGAGTGGAAGTAAAGTATAATTATATTTATTTATTTAAGTCTCATAAAAGAGTTAATGAATAGGTAAGAAAGTATGCTAAAAATAAAATGGCTAATGAAACTTTAGAATTGTGTAGAAATACTCCTATTATTGAATAATAAATTGAAGATTTAATACTTAAAGATTTTTAGACTTCTGCAAACTTTGAAAAGATAGTTTTAAATGAATAATAAAATGTTCAAGGTTAAGGTAAGTCTCTTAGATAAAAAGGATAAATTAAATTGATGTAAGATGATGTTGGATTTGATGAATAAGATAAATTAGTATTTATTTATTTTAAATAAATTTAGATTATTTTTGTTGTTGGAGGTGTTGGTTACAATGAAACTAGAAGTCTAATGAATAATAAGCTCATTAATAAAAATTTAATTATAGGAAGCACATTCTTATTAAGACCTAATGATTATGTCAAAGAACTTGTGAAATTATAAAAATTATGATATATTTATTAATTTATGAATAAAACGCTTTAAAGGAATATAAAATTGGACTTTCACAATGAAACTTAAATATTTCAAAATCACATATGAATGAAAAGGATTTCATTAGAATAGCATTTCAAAGGTAATATCATTCATTTATTTTTAGAATTTCCTAAATATAAATCTTGATATATTATCATTAAATAATAATTTAATACACTTATTGAAAAGCACCTCCTTAACATATTTATATTTTTAATATAAGTTAATGCCAAAAATTTTATAGGAAAACTATTATTGTTAATAAAAATGTTAAATTTTTTTAGATAATAAACTAGTTTAATCAGGAATGGAATTAGAGTGAAGCATGGTATTTTGGAAGAAAAGAAGCATAAAAAAGAAATATTATATTAAATTGAATGAAAGATAGAATAAGATCATTAAATTTATTTATAAACCTTATAAAGATATTAAAGAGAAGAAGAACTAAATTAAAAATTAATTTTAGAATAATTATTTTTTTGCAAAAAAAGTCATATATTGATAAAAATTGTTTTGATGGAGAAGGAGTAGATGAACAAATAGAATAAATAGAAAATAAATTAAAAAATGTTGAAATAAAATCAAAAAAATATTAAATTGATACTCTACCTCTTAATTAATGATTTTAACAACTAAAAATGATTAAAGGAAACATAATTATTTTAAATAAAAGCGAAATGAGAAGGCAAAAATATATTGATATGAAAAAAAAGGCAAATAAATTAAAGGATAGGTATATTAATCAAGAGATCCATTATATTAATCAAAAGAATGATAATAGTAAACTAGAAAATATTTAAATTACTAAATATTCCAATAAGAAAGGAAATTACATGTTTAAAATTCTTAAATAAAAAATATCAAAACTTTGGAGTTAACTATTTTAATTATTGCTATTAAACTAACCAATTTTTAGCTCTTTTCATTTTGGTTCAAACTCTAAACAATTTTAATTGATGCAAAAACATAATAATTAAGAAATTAGAAATAAAAGAGATAAAGGCTAGACTACAGATCATGATAATTTATTATCAAATTAACTTATCTAATGTATTATTATTTTAATTTTGATGCTTTTTGTGATGATTCAAATAGAATTATGGTGTTGAAACTTAAATATTAGGCTCTGAAGATTTAAGAATAACTTAAAATTATATTGAATTGTCTAAATTTAGAAATAAAATACCTTTATATCTATAAAACATTGAATGATTTATACAAAAATTTCATTTATATTGATTGTCTATTGCTTATTGCAGCCTAAATTTTAACATTCTAGAATTCATTAAATAATAATAGTATTTATTAAATATTTGAAATCATTAAATTTTATTTTATTAAATCATGTTAAATTTCCTCCATTTCAAGTGTCCTCCAAGCTGTTATGGTGTTTTAAATTTTTTATTATGGCAAGAACATTAATAAACCCTTCTTGATGAAGTTTAAATTATTTTATTCTGTTTTTGAGTCTCATATTCTTCAAGAATATCTTGGCTTTGGATATCGAATTGATCTTTATTTTTCATTTATTTTTCTAATTCAATAGCATTACACAATTATTTAACTTAATCAATTTTTTCAAAATGAGGATTAGGTTATTTTTCCTTCTAAATCAAGCTTAATTTTTTCTTAAACATTTCAATCAGTTAATTAGTAGCTGATAAATACTATTCTTTGGTCGAAATTATCTATGTATTATTTTAAGGGGAATTTTAAATTTCTTCAATTATCATTTTTCTTCTTTTATAGGATTATTATAAAATAACAATCTTGATATAATTTCTTTTAGAAATAAATTACCTTTTTCATAATTAATATCATTTTTCTAAGAATTGAGTATTATTATAAATAAATAATCATAAAGAACAATCATTCTGGCCTTCAATATTCATATTATAAATAATATTCTTTGTTTTTATATTTACATATAAATAATAAAACATGATCCGATAATGATATAATAAATTCTAAATAAGAATCCACTAGATCATGAATAATATAAAACATATTATGTTAAATTTATGACAAATACATCATTATTTAAGCCTAAACAATTGAGTAAATATTGAAAATTCGAGAATGTAATTTTATAAAAAATTTGAATATTAAGTATAAAGGAAAGTAATTTTTCTTTGAGGAGGATTTCAAACCCCTTTATCAAACTAAATTTTTAAGATTTTTCTTTCGAAGCAGATTTTAAATATCAAGATAAATGCTTAAGATATTGAAGTAAGAAAACTATCTTACTGAAAAAGGGAATAATCATAGATATTTATATGATTGAAACCTTTTAAGGAAGGATTTTAGTATAGGTATACTAAATTATAATATGTAATAATATAATCTATTCAATTTTAAGATTATCTTACTCTTTTGGATGGTTTTGGTTCAGATTTAGTTATTAATTAAGAGAGTTTTAGTGGCTGCTTTGAGTTTAAGTTTGAATTTTTTTTGAATTAGGAAGGATAAGTGGCTTCAAGATTATCTAGATCTTTATATAAATCAGTTAGAAGTAAGACTAATCTTAATAATTACTTTTTTTTTTAATTTTAAGTGTTGTTATTGCTTTTAAGTATTTTTCTCTTTTTTAAGTTGTCGTTTTGATCTTCAGCTATTTTTCTAGAAAATTTCATTGAACTATTAAATATAAATAGTTTCATAAGGAAAAATGGATTAAAATAATTTTCTTGGAAAATTCTAAAACTGTTAAATTCTAATAAACAGATGATGGTAATAAAATATATATAAATTATAAATAGCAATTATATTCTAAATGAATAGGATTATTTAAATCATTTATGAGCATGTTCAAAAAATTATTATTTTTCTATATTTTAACTGAAATTCCTACTATGTTTAGATGATGAACTTGATGATTGATCAGTGGTAGATGAATTTTTATTCATACTCTGATTGGCATTAAATTCATAACCCTAAAATAAATCTTAATGATTTAGGTATTTATACCTTATGAAGAAGGATCTTTTAAGACAATGAGATTCTACTGGATTAATTCATTATTTTCTTCATCTTCAATTAATATTTATTTTTAATCAAAATTATCTTCAGTTCTCTAATCTATAATAAAATAATAACATTTGGTTGAAATGGTGGAATCAATTCAAAATTTTATAATTTTTACCAAGGAAAACTCTAAAACCAAGGATGTAATTTGATTTCCTAACTACCATTAAAACCTAATCTTTATTAAGGTTTTCTTTAAAGTAACTAATAGAATTTATTTAAGAGTTTACTCTATTAATAAAGTCAGCACCTTCTAATGACCAATTATCTGGTATTTCTGATTTTTTAATTTATACTTATTTGGCCATAATTTAATCTCTTATTTCTTATCTAGATCTTCCAACATATGGTCTCTAATATATATGATTAATAATAGTACTCTTCCTAACATAAATTCATAAGCAATAACTCCTAAAGCATAATAATCAACTGCATATGTATGATTTTATCTATACATAACTTCTGGTGCTAAATAATAGATATATATAAATTCAAATATATACCCATATATCCTGGTGTTCCACTTGTATCACTTGAATTCTCTGGTTTCATTACTCTTGCTATACCAAAATCAGTCAAATGAACATATCCTTTATTATCTAGAACTAGATTCTCTGGTTTAATATCTCTATGTATAATTTTATTCTCATGCACATATTCTAGACTCAAAAATATGCAGGCAACAAAAAACCCTCAAAATAATAGTTTTTGATCTTACTAGTCTATTCTTCATTGAATCTCCTCATTCTTCCTATATGATATCTTAAATCACCTCCAGACATATAATCCATTATTAAATAAAGAGTCTCTCTATCTTAATATGCATAATTCATATTAACTAAAAATGGATGTTTTAATTCACTCAAAAGTATTCTCTCATTCATAACTGAATTTACACTCTTTTTTGTTATTATTCTACTCTATATTTAATTCTTACAATGCTTTTGACATCTCTTTCATTGCATATATTTATCCAGTTTTCTTATGCTCTACTTTCCATACTTTACCAAATCCACCTATACCTACAACAAAATGAAAATTAAATGTATTTCTGCAGTACAAATTATTATTAAATAATTCTTTTAATTGATTTATTGATTGTGCTTATATTGATTAAACTTATTGCTTAATTATTGGAGGTTTTGATTTACTTGATGTTATTTCTCTCGCTTTTGCAAATAATGCCTATAATTATTATTAACTTTAATTTTAATTGCTTTATCCATCATTCATTTCTATATTTGGTGATTTACTTTATCTAATCAATTTTGTTAAATTTGCAACATCTATTTATGATCCTTTATGAGAATGTAATGATTTTTGAAGATTTTGTTCAGAATTCTAAGGTGATACCTATTAACTATTAGGAATATTAATAGCAGGTCGGAAATTAATGAGAAGTTAAGATATCATTGGCTTCTTTAATGAGGTTGGACTACTAACCTAACTAGGTTTTCTAGAGCCTTAAATTATATTCAAGTGCATCTATAAATTAATTATAAATTATTAATAAATTTAAGAAGTTCTATAAACTTATTTCATTAATAATCTTCATTTTAATTCAAAATTAAGATCTTAAAATCTAATTATATTAGCACTTATTTGATTTTTAAAATAACAAGTTCTCTTAATAATATTCTCTTTTTTCTTATTTTTACTATTATTAAATGATATTATATTTTAATCCATCATTAAAAATATTTTTCTAATTATTATCACTTGATTTTTTATCTATGCAGTTCATTCTTATCAAAATATCCTTATTTTAATTAGTCAAATAAATAAAATTGATATTCAAAAATATAGCAATTCTTTCTAAATTTAAATCAGATGAGGATTATCTTAAAAAGGTTATCCTATGGTTATTTTAAAATAATCTTATTCAATTTCCTTTTATTATTACTTTTGCTTTTATTGTCAATAACAATAAAGGATTTAATAAAAAATTATTATTTGAATCAAACATTTATTCATTGTAAACCAGCTTTTATAGAAATTTAGTAATTAATGGATTTCTCGAAAATTATCACTTATTTATAAAAATTAATTTAGAATGTTCTTAAAAAATGGTTCTTAAAAAATCAGTAATTATTAAAAAAAAATTTTGAATGTTTCAGCAAATTAAAATTTAATATCTTTAACCTAATGCAATGATGTTTCTTTTTTTTAAATTGAATTTAGGAGCAAGTTATATAGATAATTTATTTAATCTATTTTTTTGCATGATTGGTCGAGATTATAATAAAATTTTTTATTAATATTATTTTCTTCAAATATTTTTAATCTAATATTGAATTAAATATGTTTAAGAATTGATAATTTATTTAAATACTCAATTTTATGTTTTAAACATAAATGATCTAAAGAATAATATCTATAGTGACTAGAATAGTTATCATGTGAATCTAAACTAAGAAGATAATCAATAATTCTAAAAAACTTTGAATCTAAATTTCAAAATTTAGTATAATATATTTTATTAGAAGTAAGTTTTAATTTTTTTTCCAACTTTGATATTAGTTTGTTTTCAATTTTTTTCAAAAAAGTGGGTTTAATATTCAATTGATATACTATTTATACAATATACATAATCTAAATTTTCAAATATTTTATTTATATAAATAAGTGTGTTTATGTTATTCTTAAATCTAAATTAGTTTTTTTTTGAGAAATATAAACAAGAAAACTAAAATTATCAATTAAAAATACAATTAATCGCAACAGTGATTTATTAACAGAAATATTAAAATATTCTTCAAAAAGACGATCAAATGATATCCTTTTCTTCAGATCATAAGGATTTATATTTGTATATTTCAAAATGACAACTAAATGAATATAAAATTAAAAGATAATAAATGTTTTTAAAAATTAATCAAATTTTCATTAGTCTAATAAAAGTTTTTATATTCTTTAGAAAATCTCGATAAAACTTTATTTTTACAAACAGCAATTTCTATTTATTTGTGAAATACAATGACTAATTTCGATTCAATATATATATGGCTGAAAGTTCTTACCCCTTAACACTATTTGATTATATAAAATATTTATTAAATTTATATAGTATGATACATTTTGGTTTAGCAAGATATTTGTATTTATAAAGAATAACAACTTTAGATTAATTCATATTAAGTTTGAAAGCTAATCTCAGAAATCATGTTAAAAGAGATGTACAATCAAAATATTTTTTTTAAATATCATCTATTCATTTTTTTATTTAGAGTAAAACAGAATGGACATTTATAAACACTTCCATTTTTTGGTATTTTAATTCTTTTAGAGCAATTCTAACAATAAACATCGATGTAAAACTAAAAAAATACTAATCGATAAATTACTAATGGATCTGGATCAAAAACTTTATTTACTTAAGAACAAGACCCACATTTCATGAATTAAGCTCTAGCAGAACATTAATTTTTTTTTTAACATTAATAACAAGTAACTATAATCTCTACTATAATGACAGGATTACATTAGGAATAACTGGTTATTGAGTTCCAATACATAATTCTCCATTAATTTTTTCTATTAATATAAATTGCTATTAGACTTATTTAAAATTCTTACTTCTTGATTTAATGGATTTTACATATTTTTTTTAATACTTAAATAAAATAATGGTTTAATATTTAAGCATGTATGACGATGCAAGAAGTTAGGCCTAATAAAATTCTAATTTTCTAGTAGTAACTGAACCATAAAACATCAAATATTAAACATTTTTAGAAGAGCCAACTTTGACTAATTTTTTCAATTTAAGTTATTCCTTCCAAAAGAAAAGTCGTAAATGAAAAATGTATAAGTTATACAGGCTAGATTAAAATTTGATTCATATTACCTATCATAATTTCAATATAATAATAAAAAGTTATGGCTTAACCTAATAATAGTTTATAATAGGTACTAGAGATTCTTTCTTTTTTTTTATAAATGAATTCAAAAGAAATATCTTTAAAAATATTTTGCTTTATTAGTTATTTGATTATTCTAATATAATTTATGAATGGAAAACTGGATAAATTATAAATATTATTAAGATTTTTAAAGGAGTATTGAAAAAAATGTTAAAGCAAAAAAACATTGAAGAAGGATAAATCAAAATCGAGATAAGGTTTTTAGTAGTAAGTCAAATTCTAAAAGTTATTTTACAATAATAATGGCATTATCTCGAATGGCTTAAATAATTTAGAATATGTGAAAGAAATAAATATGCATGGAGTTATTATACATAAAATAGTCAAATTAAATTTAAATAGAAAAGAGTTTGATTAATTTGAATTCTCAATATATTTTAACTTAATAAAATAAAAGATTTTATCAATACACTACTTGTGATTCAAAATATAAATTAAATATCTATTATCATAAATAATTTACATATAATCTATGTATTTGAGTTCAAAGTATGTAATGAGTTTGAGAATTAGTAATAATTTATATTTTAATAGCATGTAGACCTAAGTTCTATTGTGATTAATTTTTATTAAATTTTTAATTGAAATTTGGTTGTTGATTGTCTTTTGATTTCTTTTAGTGGTGGTACAAAATGTTAAATTAAATTTGGATTCACTAATTTTTGGAATTCTCTTTTCATACAAATTNAAATTCTTACTTCTTGATTTAATGGATTTTACATATTTTTTTTAATACTTAAATAAAATAATGGTTTAATATTTAAGCATGTATGACGATGCAAGAAGTTAGGCCTAATAAAATTCTAATTTTCTAGTAGTAACTGAACCATAAAACATCAAATATTAAACATTTTTAGAAGAGCCAACTTTGACTAATTTTTTCAATTTAAGTTATTCCTTCCAAAAGAAAAGTCGTAAATGAAAAATGTATAAGTTATACAGGCTAGATTAAAATTTGATTCATATTACCTATCATAATTTCAATATAATAATAAAAAGTTATGGCTTAACCTAATAATAGTTTATAATAGGTACTAGAGATTCTTTCTTTTTTTTTATAAATGAATTCAAAAGAAATATCTTTAAAAATATTTTGCTTTATTAGTTATTTGATTATTCTAATATAATTTATGAATGGAAAACTGGATAAATTATAAATATTATTAAGATTTTTAAAGGAGTATTGAAAAAAATGTTAAAGCAAAAAAACATTGAAGAAGGATAAATCAAAATCGAGATAAGGTTTTTAGTAGTAAGTCAAATTCTAAAAGTTATTTTACAATAATAATGGCATTATCTCGAATGGCTTAAATAATTTAGAATATGTGAAAGAAATAAATATGCATGGAGTTATTATACATAAAATAGTCAAATTAAATTTAAATAGAAAAGAGTTTGATTAATTTGAATTCTCAATATATTTTAACTTAATAAAATAAAAGATTTTATCAATACACTACTTGTGATTCAAAATATAAATTAAATATCTATTATCATAAATAATTTACATATAATCTATGTATTTGAGTTCAAAGTATGTAATGAGTTTGAGAATTAGTAATAATTTATATTTTAATAGCATGTAGACCTAAGTTCTATTGTGATTAATTTTTATTAAATTTTTAATTGAAATTTGGTTGTTGATTGTCTTTTGATTTCTTTTAGTGGTGGTACAAAATGTTAAATTAAATTTGGATTCACTAATTTTTGGAATTCTCTTTTCATACAAATTAGAGGTCACATACGACATTTTATATAAATATGATTACCAAAAAAATTTTTAAGAAATATGTAAATAAAACTAGGTTTTTCATCTGAACTTTAAATACATAATCGATTAAAATTTAATGCTTATTCTTCTTTTTATTTATAATTTCATCAAATTTTATTTATATCTATGTGTATTAAAAAATGATAATGACATTTAATGATTCAATTTCATTTATCAAAGTTTTAATTAAATTTTCATAATTTAGAAATTTTTGTAGTTGATTGATGCAAAATGATATTATTCACCTAAAAGCCCAGTAAATCAAACCTATGGCAAAGGTATAATTGCTTCACTTTTTTAAGCCAAATCAAAGGTTAATTAATAAATTTTTTCAACTTCTATTTATATGATAATTATCTGAAATTATTCATCTTTTTTTAACTCTTGAAAATTATTTTGGATTACTTCTTATGAATTTTTAAAGCAATTTTAAAGAAGAAATTTCTCAATTTTATATATCCATGTAATATAAAAATTTAATAAATTTGCATTTGTTTTTCTTACTCTTAAATAGCTGTTTAAGAATGTCTTATGATTCTGTTTTCTTAATAGTTATTAATAGAAAGTTTTGAAGAAGAGTTTTTGGAAAATCTTGAAGAATATTTTGAGTAAACAAAATATTTATTTCCTCCTATGATTGAGAACTGTAATTCTTTTTATATTTATTTAGTGTAACAGGTGATACTAAACTTTATAAATATTGTCTATTATATTTGTGAATTGTTTTTTCATTTACGTTTATTTCATTATTGTTTAAATTAATTAATACAATTAACTAGATTTTTATCGTTTAGTTAATAAAATAAATTTATGTTTTATTTAGACCTAAATCATACTTTAATTCACTGTAATAACAAAAGAAGTTTGTTATTGAATATTTATTATAATTTATATATTATATACTGGATTATTATGAAAATACAATATGAGCTTGTTAAGAATTTCCTAATTTATTTAAAATAAATTAGGATATTTTGGATAATTTAAAATTAAATGGATATTACTGATAATGAAAATCCAGTTTCTATTATTAATTACATTAATATTCTATAATGAAGTATAGAAATTTTAATATTATATTATATTAAAAATTATTAGTTAATTTCTAAAAATTCTTTGAAAAGTTAAAAGAGAAAACAGATCAAATTATTGAGATATTAAAAAAGGAATAAAATAAAAGAAATAATAAGTTCTAAGAACAACAAATTAGCTAGTTATTATATATGATTTATTAGCTAAAATTTGTTTATTCAATTTCAGATTTATTATTGAAATTATATTCTATATGAAATAAATTTGGATTTCAATTAAAATTATATTAATTAATTATGCATTAGTCAATAATTTCTTTAAAAATAATTAAGTTGTTTAGGTTTTTTGTATAGTTGCAATTAAAAATTAACTCATTATTCGATTAGAATCTTAAATGTTCTTCTTAAAAATGAAAGAGAAGATCTTATTTTACTAAAATGTAGAGTTAAATAATTATTTAATTTAGAATAAAGAATAAACTAAAAAAGTTCAAAATGAAAAATTCTTCTTGTATATGATTATGAAAATGTAAATTCAGTTTAATTTGATAAACTTATTTTGATATAAATGATAATACTATTATGCTATAATTTAAGTAGTTGAATAAATCAATGATAGAAAATGTTTTTAGATATATATAAAAATAAAAATGATAATAAGAAATAAAAAATGAAAGATATATTAATTATTTTAATAAATTTGAATAGAAAAAGAAGATGGAATGATATTGAGATTGATTTAGTTATTATTTATGTATTTTTTATGCTAATTGATTAAATAATAAAAAATGATTGCATTAATATTTTGCATGGTTTATTTTCTCTGTTTGTCCATGGGTAAGAAATGTTAATGCAATGAAATATATTTTGAAGACTTATGTAGAGATGCACGAGGATGTTATTTTGAACCAAAATCAGGTAAATGTGAAGAAATAAGTTGTCTTGAAAGAACAAGTGAGGATTGCTCTTATTTTGCTGGAAAATTAAGATGTTATTGGGATATAACAATAGGTTTTTGTTAAGAATTGACAGGTTGCGAAGAGTTGCAAGAAAATGTTAAAGTTGATTCTAACGAAGAAAATTGTTAAGAAATAGACTGCCGGTGGGATTATTAATAAAAAATATGTGTATCTGAAGCTGATTAGAGATTATGTTAAGATTATGATTTAGAATATTGTGTTGGAGCAATATAAGTAATAGGCACATAAAAGAGTGAATGTGTTTTAAATGGAGAAAACGGAGAATTTTGTATAGCTCTATAGAAATGTGAAGATGTAAATTATAAAAATTCATGCAACAAATAATATTGTAAATGGGAAGAAGATGAATGTAAAACAAAGACTTGTATAGATTATAGTTTAGAAGAATGTTTAAGTTTTAATATATTAAGTTAATAACAATGTTATCCTTCTCAATCAGGATGCGTTGAATTTATTTGTAATGATTTTGGAGTAAAATTACAATGTTAAAATCATCCTAGATGTTTTTGGAGTGAAAATCTCAATTCTTGTCACTAATAAACATGTGAAAAAGCTACATATGCAACTTAATGTCTCAGTTTTAGTTATGTTGTAGAAAATACAGAATGTAAATGGGAAAATAATGGTTGTAGTTCCTGTTACTCGATTGCATTATTGTTCTATTCAATTATTTATATATTCTATTGATTTCTATATATCATATTATATATATTTATATATATTTTATTCATAAATATATATATATATATATTTTTTATTCATTAACTTTTGATTTCCGTCTTTAATTTTTATCTTTTCTTTTTCATATATTTTTGATAGTAAGAACGAACTTATGGTGGAGATCTTGTTTTTATGATTGCAGCCATAGCTTTCCAATCTTTTGATTAACCTTCTTTTATAGCTTATTTAAATAATCTTCTTTCTTCTTCAGTCCAAGGATTCTTGTTCTTTGTTTTCTTTTCTACTTAATTATGCAATCATTTACCTTCTTTACTTGTCTAATTACAAATCTATTCCAAATATTTATGATATTATTCAATACCTTCATCCATTTATTGTGGTTAAACTAAATAATTTTCAGGGAATATTTCGAAGTTATCCTATAAAATTTTATGGATTTTAGGATGTTTATTGAACATATTCAAATTCTCAACTAAATTTCCTGTTAACTATTCCAAAAGTGCTGTAGCTTATTCATAATCTTGATGACATTAAGCTACAAATATTTTTGATATTAGAATTTAATTTGTTTATGAGTTATTTAACATATTAAATCAAATTTTATCACTAATCAAGTATTTCTCTTCCACTTTTATACATTCTCCTCCTTTTTAAGGATCAAACTATGCCTTATAGTATTTCCCTTCATATGAAATTACTATTAATTAATGTTCATCTGGCACAAATGATACTTTACATTTTGTATCAAGCACTCTAAATTAAGCAAAACTCCATTCTGATCCTAAAATTGGAATTATTCCTTTCAAAAATTCAAATTTACTCTTTGGATTATGAGAAACCTAATTTTAATTTAATTATTCTTATTATAAGCCTTCTTAATTAACTGCAAATATGTGTATAGTTCCTTAATCAGAAGCACAACCTAACCATTATGATCTAAAATCAAATGCTAAACTTGTTATTGTTGCATAATCATTTCCTCTTCTAAGTTCTTATGAAATTTATCTATATTTATTATATTCAATTACCCAGTATTTGTATCATAAATACGAATTACTGTTCCTTTCTCACTAGAAGTAGCCAATTTAGTTCCATTTGAATTTAATTATAGATATGAGATTGGAGAAACATGTGCTTCTATACAATATGCTTTATTAGAGTCATAATTGTTTACAAAAACCTTCCCAACTGATTTCTCTAATGTTGCTAATATTGTATGATCCCCATCTGTATTAATTGTACATATTCCTTATTCTCATATTAACAATATACCTCTTGGATTTGGACATGTTTCAATTTAATCAAGTAATTTCAAGTCTGTAAAATTGTACACAAATATCTTTTTCTCTAAAACAACAACTACTCTATCATTTTTTAATTTAACATTTTTTATCTTAGTTCTAAAACTCATCTCCCCAATACATTTTACAAGATCTAAATACAAATTGCATTATTTTACGATCATCCCATATAATTACTTTATTATCAGGATATTTCGGTTATAAACCACCTCCAACTAATGCTAAAATATTGCTTCTGTATAACATTTCTACATGACCTATACCTCCTTTCAAATCTCTTTAAAATTTTTCAGTCGAATTCATTGCATTACAAACTCGAAATCCAGTATCAGTACCAACACAAAACATACCTTTAGTAATTTTTTAATTCATTTACTTGAATCTTAATTAAACCCTGCAAAAAGTATTTCAGACTTTGTAGAATTCATTTATGTTAATATTAAAAATAAATCTTTTTTTATTAATCAGCATTTTTTAGGAATACGTTAAGGTTCCTAACTAATACTTCTAAAACTCTAAGTTTCATTTCTCTAATTCAAAGGACTTTTTAAATCAATCAATAAAATACCAAGGTTTTTTTATTAATTATCTTAAAGCATTGATCTCCATATAATTTGGCTATGAATACTTTCTTGCTATTTTATCTGGAGAATCATTATTTTATGTTTCTTTAATTATACAATAAACATTTACTTAATTAAGGAGTATTATCTCCTTTTGGTTTTTAAGGTTCTTTGCTTAATTATTGATTTCGACCTTTACGAATAGCAGCTTATACTTAATTAAAGTTATTTTTATTTGGAGAATTCTCAACCAATGTAAAAAGCTATAAATTATCTAAATGATCCATTGATGACTAAATAGGCTCTGTTTTAGTTGCTTAAAATGGTGTTTTTTAATTTCCTTTATTTTTTGTATCATAAAGTTCATTCTTAATTGTCATTAATTCTTTTTCTTTATTATCAAGACTTTTTTTTAATTCAGTTATAAACTGTTCATATTTAACTTTTTCACATTCAAATTCCTCTAACTTTTATTGAGCTTATTCTAATAAAATTTATTGTTATTATTGAACTCTTATATGCTATCTTATATCTGCCTCCATCTTCTATAACTCTATTTCAAATTATTTGTTATCACCAAATGAACATAATTTATCCTCTAATTCTAATTTAGATTTTATCAAATAAATAGCTATCTATTTTAAATAATTTAATATTATTATTTAATCTGTATTTTAAAGAACTTCTCTTGATTCATTTATAGGAATCACCATCTACAAATATTCTTTTGATGTCTCTTTTTAAATTAATTTTCATTACATAATCTAATTTCTTACAAATATCCATAAACACTTCTAATATTGGAACAATCATCCCTTTATCTTATGTTCTTCTCCTTTTTATTATATTTACATCATAATAATTCTCTTTGAATTCATGCAAGTCCATTTTTATATTAAAATTATACTATATTCAATTTTTAATCAAAATGAGAATTTCATTACTCCTAATTTAAATATACCTTAATCAAAGTATAATTAAGTAATTCATAATTTTTTAAATTTATTGAAATCATCAGTTTCTTCTATTTTTTAGAATCTCTGACAGGTTTAGTGTTTTTGGCTCTAAAAGACCAGAAGTCTATATATTATTATTTTTAAATGACTTCTATGTCTTCTCTTCTATACCTTTATTAAAATCATTAATCATCTCAACCATAGAAACAGATGATAGAGATAAATTATTATTTTATTATTATTATTATTCGAATTAACCAACATCAAATAATTATTAAATATTCTTTAAAGTAATATTAAGTGCTGGTAAATGTCCTCTTATTTGTTCAAATTTTTAATCTACTTATTACAATCTTTTCATCTCATTGTTGCTCTCATTTAATTTATATTTATTATCCATATATTTCTATATATCCTATTATTAACTTTCAATTATTTTTTATAATTTCTCATTTTATAATTCTTATTCCCAAATTTTTTAATCCTTCTCTTGTATTATAGATTGTAATTGTTCAATATATTGATTTGTTTACTAATCAGAATGCATTTAATCAATTTTTCTATTTCTCTCCATATTTTCCAATTCATTCTCCAATTATTAAATTCTCTCACACAAACTTAATTATAACTCTTCATATTTTAATTTCCAATCTTCATGATATTATACAGAGGCATTTCGAGATTTCTAATTCTTTGCAAATTTACCCATACTTTTTTTATGACTACTATCGTTAACCTTGACTAATTTTTGCTCTTGATTAATACTTAAATGAGGCACTTATTATTAATCCACTTTGCTAACACTCACTTTCGGATTTAAATTTTCCTTTTGATCCTTTTTACCATATAATAGTTATTTTACCAAAAGCGGACTATTATTTTCTTATATAGGGGCAGCTATAATCTATCTTGGTGACAAAGAAGCAGATGATCTTTAGATACTTTTTGGTGCTTGGCAGGCAATTTATTTGCTATCTTCTTTCTGGATAAAGTACTTACACAAACCATTTAAGGATTAAATTAAATTATTAGGTTTTTATTATTAAAGAGGAGTGGTTGATATTAATGGTTTAGATTTTGTTAGATGACAAGATTAATAGGATGAACGAGGTTCTGTATGAATATTATCTATTGGATTTGGTGCAACTCGTTTAGCTTACATTATATTCTGTTATAAAATTAATATTTATTTTTTAAATTTTATAAAGTAGATAGTTTGTACATGTATATTCTATAATTATTTTATAGAATGTAATGTTATAAAATATTTCAATATTGAGATTTGTATGTATTTAGATGAATATTGAGATATATAAAACACCAAAAAAAATCAAAGTTCAATGTTATTACGAGAATTCAATAAGTGCTTACAAATTTGATTAGATATTATGTATAAATAAATAGAATATCTAAATTCAAAAATAAGAATTTTATAATAATATGTCAAATATTAGTATATTAAATTAAATCTCAATGAGACTAGTAAAAAATAATGATAAAGGTTCACAAAGAGTATAAATAATACTAATTAGATAAAAAAGGAAGTAAATTAAATAAAAGATTTTTGTATTTTGTAATTATTTTTGCAATAATATGAATATGAGTTTTTAGATATTAAAAAATGAATTAATAATAAAAATTATGAATAAATAATTGAAAAGAATATAAGGAAGAGTAATAGCTTTGAATATAAAATAAGTTTGAATTTTGATAATAAAATGATTATGTCATCCATTATAAGGTTATTTACGTCCACGTTCAAATAATAAATCTCTTTCATTTTTTTCATATTATAACTTCTCTTATTTATCTCTTTCTTCTTTGTCTTTCTTTTCTTTAGCCTAATTATATAGTAGAAATAAGTACAAATTATAAGTTGGTTTGTTTGGTAGCAACTCCAATATCAGTTTTTCTGGCTGCAAAATTATCTTATAGCATTCCTCTAAATCTATTGATTTCTAAAGTTTGTTAGGCATAGGCCATTTCTTCAGCTTTCTCTTATTCTTATTTTCTTTTCTTTTCTTCAATTTGCTACAAAATCCATTGCTTCTGTTACTCTTTATTATATTTATTTCTAGCATCATATTCTAACGAACATAAGATGAAATATAATACGTAGATCTTCACCATCAAATTCTTTAAGACCACTGATTCCTTCTCTTTATTACCAATCTGGATGTTGTCTAAATATAGTTTCCTTTGTTCTTTTCATTATTAATATTAATAAAATGAAAAAGAAGAATTCCAGCTCATCCGATATGCTAGAGTAGATTATTAATTAATAAGGCATTCAGCTGGAGATATAAGTAGTCCAATGCTTTCACCTCGTAAACGTAAATAGAAAGGAAATGAGACTTTTAATTTTATGCTTCGAGTGATCAATTCTTCATTTGTTTTCAGTACATTAACTCTTCCCTTTTATTTCTAAATGGTTGGAATAATATTTGGAGTTATTACTTGCATATTTTTCTTTATTTTAAGTTATTTTCAATCATTACTTCTTTTGGATCTAAAGTATTATGCTCGATCAAAGAAAAAATAAGGATCATTAACAAAATTATTTGAACTATTATAAATGCCAAAGTATTCAGCTGACATTTATAGAGGCATCATGATATTTAATGCGTATCTTTACATAGTCTTATTGATGAGTGTATTTTAGTCTTCCATATAATCTCTAATTTATATGATGGCAAAACAACAATTAACAGACTAAGTAAATATATTAAGATATTCAAGTGGGCTAAATCATTAGCATCATAATAATTCATCTAATTTATTGGTAGTCTTTTAATGATTCCTTTTTTTGTTAAATGGAAATACCCTGTTTATATTGTTGCAATTGCTAGAATTTTAGGTGTTTTATCTATAATTTTCATTATCATAGCTTCTTTTGATATATCTCATCCATCTAGCTAATATTTATATCCCTCAAGTGAAAAAATTGTATAATCTTTAATTTCAACTCCAACAATATTATTGGCTTTTGCTTACCATTCATAATTTTTTACTGCAAGAGCATCAGATAAAGGATTAGAAAATGATGATGATTTAGAAAGAAAATTAAAAAAAGGGGCATTATTTGGTTCTTTATTCTTAATGTGTGTTGAAGTTACTTTTTCTATTTTGGCAGCTATTGCTTTTAATTCCGTAAATACTTAACTTGACTCATTATATGGAAATTTAATAAGAATGGTTTATCAATCTAAAAATTTTGATCCTCATTTAAGCGACGCTTATTTCTACATATTCTATATTTTTATTGCAATAAGTGCTCAATTACAATTATTATAATACATACCATATATAACTGTATTAGTACTTAATATATGGGATAAAAAACCAGTAATTCCTAAAGAATAGAATGTTGAATTCATTTTAATTACTGATGGCGATTTTCATAAAGAAGAGGAAAAAGATAATAAAAAATCATAAACTATGAATTATAAATTTAAGTAATCATTTGCTATTCATGAAAATACAAAACTTTAATAAAATCAAAATACTTCAATTTTTGTAACTGTAGTTTTTTATATTTTGGCATTCCTCTTTGCTATGGCTAAACCTCCAATTTTATTATTAAGTTGCTTAATGGGATCTACATCTTAGAATTTTGTTACTTTTCTCATACCTTCTATTTTATATTTGGATAAATAATTTAAGATTGATGCTGATATATATAAAAAATGCTTTGCTTGGTTTACATTTATTTTTTCAATAATTTTTGCTATTGTTTCAGTTTCATTTGGTTTATATGGATTGTATTCAGATTAGATATGAATTTATTAATAAATTAATATATCGATATATATATTGTATTTTTATAAGATTCTTTTATAATAATTTTTCTTTTTAAATTTCTTCGATTCACAAATATTCTTATTGGATCTTATTAATTTGATACTTAAATTTTTCATATGTTACATTCACTCTTTCAATAATATTATAAATATTAAATTGAGGAAAATAATATCTATAAGATTATATTATCATATTAATGCTTCTTTTTATTCATAGATCTATAAATTTCTCCTATATTTGTTATAATATATCATTACATTCCTAATAATATCATAGCTACTAAAATAACAAATATTCATTAATAAGCTAATTAAGGAGTCATGTATCCTTCTCCAACAGTCAAGTTGTCATTACGATGGAACATAAAGATGCAATAAATCTCTAATTAAATTTTATTATTTTACTATTCAATTCAATAAAAAAAAGAAAATTTATTGTCATAATTAAATTAACTAAAAATCAAATTATCAATTCTAAAAACAAGGATTTATTTAATTAAGAAGAGATTGGCACTTAAATAAATCTCATGAATACAAATATTATAAATACAGTAAATTTTGGTATTGTATTAATGATATGGAAAAAATACAAAAATTTTGAAACCTCACTGACACTTTAAAAGAATCATCAGTGCAATTTATTTTTCTCTAATCTTTTATTTAATAATATTAAGAAGTCAATGATAAAATAAAAATGAAAGAGAAACATTAAAGTTTTAATGTGATTAATAGTATAATTTTAATAAGTCTTAATGAAAATATGAATAGATTCAGGAATGTTATTTAGTATTACTTCTTCCTCTCTTATTATTATTAGATATTTTTTATGCTCTATTGTCAGATTTAAGTTCTTTTTCCATTAATGTAAGCTTAGCCTAAAATAATATTTAAAAATAAAAACTTTGATAGAATTTATCAACAACTTATCTGCTGATTCAATATCTTTAAAAGATTATTTTCCTTCCCCTTTTGCTTCTATAATTTACAATTATTTGACTGCTTCAGATACCAGTTTATTTGCCTCCTGCATCATATGCTAATTAGAAAATCCAACTACTTTAATAACTATTATTTATTACTTTCATTTCCATCAATAATTTTTTCAAGATCTGTTTTTTCAAAAATCAATTTTTACTTTAATTTCCAATGAGATTTGATTTCATTCAATTTATTTTACTTAGGATTCCTAACTGCTTTTTAGTATCCTTATATTGGATTTGATTAACTTTATAATTTATCTACACTTTCGTGCTAACTAGGTTTTTTAATTATTCTTTTCATATCATTTAAATATTTATTTCCTATTACTTTAGCATTTTATTCATCAATTTTTTCATTCTCCTTTATTTTATCATAATATTCTTCCTATCTTGTGTATATAAGAAATTTACATCAATGCTTCTCTCGAGAATTTTACCCTCCTTATCAAAAAATACTCCCTTTTATTTTACTTTCTTAGTCATTTCAATAAATTCATAAAAATTTATTTTATGATGAACTTAATTTATAATTTATTCTAATTCTTATTACTTTTCTGGACTTATAGTTGGAATATAATCCTTAAGTTTATTTAAAAATTCTTATTTCACTTATTACTTTTACTATTCTTTAAATTTTTTATCTTTTTCATGTTATTATTTAGATTATTCTTCTTTGGCTTATTTATAAGCTGAGGATTCATAAGATGCTTGATAAGATAATTAATTATTTTTTAAAATTTTCTAATTTCTTATCTCTTCTTACGATTTTTTTCTCTTTTCATAATTATCTTCCCATTATTTTAAATCATTATTTCTAATAGGTTAATGTAAATCTCTAATTTATTTCAATTTAAGTTTATGTTCTTCTAATTATGAGTTATTTATTTTATCTAAAAATAAGTTTTCAAGTTTAATATATAAAGGTGTTGTACCTATAATTTATTTAACTTATTCATTTTATTTAATTAATTATTATGATCTTTCTTATCTTATTTTATCCATAGATGCTATATTTTACATAGCTTTTTCTTTTCTTTTTTAAATTAAATCTTACTCATTCTTTTACTTTTATTCTTTTTCTTATTTTTATAAAGATTCTAAATTATCAACATATTATTTATATCTATTATTTCTCTGATCTTCTAATTTCTTTCTTTCAGTTTGGATTTTTAAAATCTATTCATTTTATTCTTTAACATGTTCTGGATTATGAATTTAATTAATATGTTGTTTAAGAATTTAAGTTTAATCAATAGTGAGAAAATTGTTTTTATTAGTACTAAATTTCTAAGATTTTTTAGATAATATAATATCAGTTTTTAAGAAATCCATATTTCTTTCAACACTTAAAAGTCTTTTTTGTAATTCTCGTTCTAATTTTTAAGTTTAAGTATTTTCTATAACTTAATCAGTAGTTAGTTTTTTTCTTTATTCCTAAATAAGTAATAAATTTTATGCAATTTCTTTTCTTAACTTATCTAGTTGTTTATATTTTAATTTCATAATATTTATCTTATTTTCAATTTTATCCTATAAATGAGAATTATCATTTTCGAGAAGATATAATGGTCTTGTATTTTAAATAGTAAGAGTTTATTATTTTAATTATTAAATTACATTATCTTATGCTTCTTCGACTATCACATCAGCTAACTTAATAATATCATTAATTTACTTTTTAATTCTGTAGATCTGCTTTTTTATATAATTATGCAAAGTAATCTTACATACTATCTCCATTAAATGAATTTTACTGTTCATCAAAAGATTATGAAATTACATTATTTGTATTATTCTAAATCAAAGAAAAACTAGTATTTTTGTTTTTAAATTTAGTCTAATTATTTTTTGAAGTAGAAGTCAAAAGTTATTTTGAGGATTCATCATTATTTAATTTCTCTAAAAGTCTTTAAGTTTACTCTGGGACATATTTAGGTTAAATATTAATTAAAGTCCATTATTGAATAGTTAAGAATATCAAATTGATATTACTTGGTTATTCTGCTGAACATTCAATAAACCTAGCACCAATTGTAGATGCAAACTTCTTTCCTTCTTCTATATGAACCTTTCTTTATTCTTTCATATCTAATTTATTTCCTACAACAATCCAATAATTTATATTTGGATTTTATCTTGTAACTTCTTATTTATAATTTATCTACTTAATACCTTTCTATAAAGTCTGAATATTTTAAAAACTTTGATAATCAGTTATATCATAAACCAATATCACAGCTTAAGCATTCTTGAATTCAGCTAATACTTATGCTCTAAACTTCTCATTTCCTGATGTGTCATAGATCTATATTTATTTCAATTATAATTACTTATGCTTTTTAATTGCTATTACCGATTTCTATTTAACTTTCTCTTTTAATCACTCCAATTGTTGGTTGAGATTCTACTAATTTGTTCTCTAAATATCTTCCTATTATTGTTGATTTTCCAGTATTGCAATCTCCAATTACTAAAACTATGAATGGATGTTAATTTTCCATTATTGAAAAAAAATATTTTATAATACAAATATGTTAATATATAAATAATAATATATTATTCATCAAAAATTATTAATACGGCTGCTTACTTATTATACCTAATTCAAGATTTAATTGTTTTGCTCAAAATTATTTAATAGTTTTATTGCCAATTTCCATCCTAAATAAAAATATTATCAATTTTTATTTTATTTTGATCTAAAATACATATTTCTTAATTTAACCCTCTTTATTTTTCTATAAATTTAAGATCCATTTATTAATTTATTAGAGAACTTGTTAGATCAATCATTTATCTAAAAATAACATAGGAATAATAATTTTTATATCAATCATTATTTCTTTTTAATTTATTAATTGAAAATGCAAAAAAAGCCAAGAAAGAATTTGCTTATTCAGCGACTAAATTACATGAGAGAAAAATAAAATGATATCTATTAGAAGATTCTAAATGATGAAATGAAAGTAGATATCCAAGAAGCTTTAAAAATGAGTATTAAAGATGAGAATAATCAGCTTAAACCATTTAGAAGAGATTAATTATAAATAAAAAGAAAATCTTAAAATAAACCAGAAATAGTTATTGAATAGATTAACACTGTATTTTAAATTAAAACATTTAGCACCTAAAATAATTATACTCCTAAGAATGTTATTGTTTAGAAATTAAAAAGAAAGTAAAAAGATTGTTAAAAACAGGAGATTTTTGTGATTTAAATATTAATTGGTATATGATTGAAGTAATTAAGGGTCTTACTAGAATTATCAGGTGCCAGAGTCATTAAATTGTAAAATAAGGGAGTTTTTATTAAATTATTTGAATAAAAGGATAAATATCCTCCAGAACTATTTGAACCTATCTATTTAGTAAATTATCTTTTCATTTATTAGGATTCTGTTAGAACTTTAAATAATATTGATTTAACAAAAAAAAAATAAATTGAAAAATAAATTGAAACAGTTCTAATAGCTTATTCCATCAGAAATCCAGAAATTGGATATTGCTAAGGATAAAACTTTATTATTAATTATTTCATCAATATATTAAAATTTGATTTAGATGATGCTTTTTGGATTTTTACTTAAATATTAGAGACAATAATGCCAATAGATTATTATACAAATATTTTGAGTGCTTTGACAGATTAATAAATATTGGACTATTATATTTAAGAATATATTCCAGAATTAAGAACACATTTTCAAAAAATTAACCTTTAATCTGATTTTTTTACAGTTCAATGGTATTTATGTATATTTACAAATCAAATCAAGCCATAAGTATCTTATTATAATAATTAAGCTAACCAATTTTATTATGTTAATGTTATTTATCGATGGAATAAAGGCTTTGACTATTAGTGCCCTAATTCTACTTATTTTATTGAAAAATGAATTGTTAAAGTTTGACTAATTTAGTAAATTATTTTTTATATTAAATAGCGGATGCAATTAACTATATTTAACAATATGTAGATATTTATTGTGATGTCGAAATATTTAAATATCATTACTTCCAAATAAAAATTAAAAAAGAAGCCTTTTACTTTGCAAGAGAAGAAATTAGAGCATAATTAATTTGTATTTTATAATTCATAAATTAAGAAAAGCATTAGAATGCAATAACAGAGAAATAGTAATTAGAAATTGAAAAAATTCCACCTTGTCCAAAAGATTTATAAGTTTGTAATTAAGTGCTATTGTCTAATTAATTTTTGAGAAAGTCTTCTTCCTTTTATGTTTATAAACATAAAGATCCTCCTGTGATTATAAAGAATTATTGGGACGGCAACATCTTTCCAGAAATTTAGAAATCTCATGAACTTTTAATATTGAGATAAGAACATATTTGTATGAGAAAAAATTCATTATGAAATTATATGTTATTCGAAAAAAAAATTGAGGGTATTCATTTAGGGTTAATAAAAATAAGTAATTTGTCTATTAAGTAATTTGTCTATATTCATTAGAAATATGACATTAAGCTAATATTTGTTCTATCGATATTATAAAACGTGTAAAATTTAAATAAATAATTAAATTGTTTAAAAATAATATTGATCCTCAAAAATTTCCAAATGTTGCATATTCACTTAAAATGATTCTTAAAAAGCCATCATTACTTCGATATTTTGAATAGATTTCTCCGACTTGGCTTTCTAATTAAGTAATTCTTTTTACCAGGTTTGATCAATCCAGAATTATTCAAAAATAAATAAATGGCTTCCTATTTAGACAATTTTAAAGAGTTTCTTAGTATTTAAAAAAAGTGATAAAAGTGGTCTGATTTACTAATCAAATACTTTTTAAATTTAGATCCATCTGAAAAGCGAATTTTAGATTTTTCTGTAATTTCAAGCAAGATTGGGCTAAGAATAATTTAAATCAATCATACACTCTATCAGGATATTTATCAATATAAGAGACTTAAATACTCTACATAAAATAATTAATATTGTTATAACTAAAGTAACTCATATTAAAAATTAAACTTATTAAAAATTCATATAATCTTTAAGGGAATCATTTTGAAAGTCAGATTCTAAATTGAATATAGTTTGATTTAGTTTATTCATATATGAAGCATAATCAGAACAAATTAAATCAGAGTATTCTCTAATCTAACTTAAAAGAAGGAGTTCTTATCTTAAACAAACAATAGAATAAATTTTATCTTTAAAGTGTTATCCTTTCCTTGAATAATAATTAAATTAATCATTATTAAGTCTTTTCTTATTAATTTTATTAATGAATATACTTTTTTATCGTACATTTTAGTTAAGTTTAAATAGTTAATAGTTTTAAAAATTTAATTGAACTAATTTGAGAGATTTTAAATTATCTTTTGGATATTAGATTTCTGATTCTGAACTACAATTATGTTAAGATTCATCATCTTCAGATAATTGTCTAACATCTTCACTTAATTAATCAATTTGAGTAACTTGTTTTCTATTAATTTTTGGTTTGTTTGGCATTTCATCATCAGAAAGTTCAGGACAGGAACTATCACTATTACAATCTCTTTAAGTATTTTAATATTTGTTTAAGACTTGAAATTTAATATCATTTTTAGCTAATTATTTTGAAATATGAATTCGTTCTTCTTTTTGTAATAATTTATAAATAAGTGGTCTATTTTAAGAGAATGGCATTTATTTAGCTGTAAGATTTTGATAATTTACTTATAAAGGATTTCCAATTTGATTATTGATTAAAAATGTAAGGATGCTAACACTATTAACAGCTAGATGTAGAGGATAATCTCCATTAATATTTTTGATATTCATTTTAAATTTTAATTTGGTTTATTTTTTTTAATTTATATTTGCTATGAATCTAAGTGCAGTAAGATTAGACTTAATAATACACATTTATATTAAGGATTATCCATTTTAATTTAATTTATTTGGGTTAGCTTAACTTTGTAATAGTAAATGAATAATCATTTCCATATTTACTTAAGTAATATTCAAGACTGCATTAGTAAGAGGAGTTAATCCTTTTTAATTATAACCATTACAATCTATTCCTAATTCAAGAAATTATTTAACTAAAGAAATTTATCCTTATTTAATAGATTCATGAAATGCATCAATTTCATATTTGATAGAAAGGGTGCTCATTAAATCTCCAATAAAATTCATTTTAAGTTTTTTAATTGCTAAACATAAAGGAGTTTCAGAATTATCAAAATGATGCCAATTTTCTAGATAGTAAGGTAAAATTAAATCAAAATAATACTTATCATTAGATTGAATAGTAGTATGAATGATTTTTTTATTAAGATAATTGTGCTCATTTCTATATCCATATTAAAATAATAGTTCAATAGCTTTATCTAAAAATTATCTAAATGTTATTTATTATTAATTTGCAAATTATTTAATTGTTAAATGTTCCCAGACATCATTTTAATTTATAATTCTCAACCAATCTAATTTTAACTATATTAGATTATTCTAATAATCTTAATTAATAAATTATAACAAATTGGAACTAGCATCTAATTGTTATAATGATTTTAAATGGATACTCTTTATTTGATTGCTCGATATGTTTAAAATCCTAAGAGCTTGATAATATTATGTACAATACTTGAAGGAACATCAAATTCTTCTATAAAATTATTTGTTATTGATAAAGCAATCAAATTAGGGAATTATGAGGTAATGTCTAAATTTCTAAGATTGTTAAAATCTAAAATAAGAGTAGATAGATTTTCCACTTTAATGTCTAGTTATTATAATTATAATCCTTAAAGATTGAGAACTTTGAGATATTAGCAATCAAGAGGTTAATTTAATTTTGTTAATTTGATGGCATATTGAGGTGGTTATTTTTTGATTTTGTTTTTCATTATTAAATAAATAATTATTATTGATTCATATCTTAATATCAGAAAAATCGGCTGATTTTATAAGCGACAATCCTTACTCTGCTATAGGGAGTTCTCTTTATAATTCATTAGCAGTTTAAGTATAAATGTCAGTATCAACAGTATAAGTCTCATTTTCCAAATCTAATTATGACTTATATTATAATCTGTCTGCCTATCTTTAGAGAAGGAATTGATTGCAATCCTCTAATTTTTCTAAATAAAAAATATAATAAGAATATACAATTAGTAGCTTCAAGGTCAACTTAAGATTAATTGATTTATCTTTAGAATTCTCTATGTTCATCATCTAATTGTTCAAGTCTATCTTAATATTCTTAAATATTAATTTATTCTTATTTAGTTAAATCATTCATAGCTTCAACAACTTAATTTCTAAATTCATTTAATGCTTCTACAATTTATTTCAATATTCCTTAATCACTAAAATTTTAATTTAATGCAATTTAGATTAAAGCTTAAACCATAGGTCCTTAATGAACACGATTCCATTATTTAGATGACAATCTCTTTAATGTAAATTTAATATTCTTAATTTATAATAAAGATGGATTTGATAAAGAACTTACTAAATTAATAGCATCATCAACAGCATCAAGTGCATCATTATCTTCTTCAATTTATTAAAGATATGCATCCTGTTCTTATTATCTAAGTAAAGTTGTTTCATCTACATTTTTTCTATTAAATTCATCATATTCAATAAGTGATTCAATTTTATTTCTTATTTAATCTCTTCTAGGAATTAATAGATTATCTATAACATCTATCATTCTAGCAATATCTTATTCAGCATCTTATAATTATTATCCAACTTAAGCAACATAAGAATTATGTTCATTTGTACGTACTTAGAATTTATATTCTACTTCATCAATATTAGTATTAATATCAGCTATCTATTATTATTATTAAACTTACTAATTCTTCTATTGCTTCAATCAATTCTTAAATTGGTCCCTACACTAAAGAATGAAGATTAACCAAATTTAAAATGGTCTTCCCCAATTTACTACCATGTAGTTCTTCCAATTTCTTTGCATGACTTAATTTAGATGAGATTCCTAATGAGACTGTCATCACCATGCATAATATAAATGCTATTTTCATTAAAATTAATTATGTATATCCGTTTTATCACATTAGCATCAAACTAAACTCAAAAGCTGGACCAACATCTATATGTTTATCAATTAATCCTTTATTTATCAAATTACTAAGTCCTTCTTTATAAATCAAACTCTCATATATCCTTTTCCTTTGATTCTATGGATTTTTTCTTATCTCTTTTGGTATTAATATCCTAGGCTTATTAATAGTGCCTTTTATTGGACTTAAATGTTTCAATCTTTATATTGGTTACTCTACCTCTTTTTCTTTTTCTTTCTCATTCCAAACAAACTCTCATATTCAAATTTATTGTTTTACTTAAGGTAAAAATGTATTAAATTCTTAATTATGTCTCTCCACTATCCTTCTTTTATCTTTATTTATCAACCATAACGGATTATAACATGTATTATCTTAACTAAAAGCTCTTTTTTTTATATCACTCTTTATCTTCTTTTACACTTTTATATTTTTTAATTCATTATTGCTCTTCACTAACTCTTCTGAACATTTTTCTACAGAATAATTCAATTATTGAAGTAAATTTGTGAAAACCATTGGATCTTAATTCTCAGCCATAAATGTTCTCAATTATTCTTATCTATTCTTACTAAACATTATCAATTATTTTATATTATTATTGTAATTTCAATCAAATTTATATTTTCTATAATGATTATATTATTCCTATTTTTTATTGTTGCTTAAACAACTCTTATTTAGCAATAATACTCTATTCAAAATTAAGATCAAGCTGTTATTCATTTATCAATCATTAAATAATTCACAACTAATTATCAATTTGGTGACTTAAAATTTAATCTTAGTATTTAGGCTAATCATTAATACACTCTACTTTACATTCCAGATTCATCCTCTATTGAATATTATTGTGTTGTGATTTAAAAATAAAATTACTAAGATTGCTTTAAAGAAAACATTTTCATAGAAGATGATGAATATCAATGTTAATAAACTGTAACTTTCCATTTCAAACATAATATTGATGGCAATTAATCCAAATTACCATTTCTTATTTGTGATGGACTATAAAATTTATCTATTTTCAATTTATTCTATACAGTCAAAATACCTATACCACAAACTCTCATTACTCCAGCTTTTATTGTATTAAATAGATATGTTAATTCTAAAGAAGGACTTTAAGTTATGTTCTAAATGAATTTGTAGGTACTCTAATTAGAGTTATGAAAATAGTATGAAACCAATAAAGATGACTATGAAGCTGTTATCATTTTAGGAATTGTATTAGTTTTAATATTATTAATACTTTCCTTTATTTTATTTCTATTTTGTAATAGATATAAAGAAATTAAAAAACAAATTAAGTATTAAGGCAACATTTATAAGAAAATCAAAGAAAAATGTAATTGAAAGAATTATTTTTATTATAGTTTTAAATATAAATTCACATATTCAAGATGTACTTGTAAGATTTATGTATTTTAACTATAATTTTAATGAAATTGAAATTGAAATTTTTGTGGTAATAAACATAATTAATTAAATATATAAATAAATGATCGCAAGTATTTTTTCAAGAATTTAATAGCTTTTGCTATATATTATTTTTATTATTAAATAAATATGCTATTTTTGAATAGATTTAAAATTTTAAAAGTTTTTAAAAATTTTAGTTGCAAGAATAATAATGCAATTTATAAATTATTATATATATTGCAATATACAGTAGTATGGGTTATTAAAAAGTCAATATCTCCCTGATAAAAAGAGTCTATTTTATAATTACCTTATTCTTGTTGTCAAAGGGGGTTATTTTAAATAAGGTGAACTTGTAGATTATTAAGGAGGGAGAGCTTTGTGTATTATTTGATGTAGATTATTTCTTTATGGACTTTTGACTTCATCAATTTAAGTTTTTAATTGTTTTAATAGTAATTTTGAATGAGTACTAGAGAAATTATTTTATTATCTTATTTTAGGAAGTGATAACTAATAGTTATTTGGATGAGATTCTATATCATGTAATTTATTGTTGAGATAGTTCACAATTGATTTTCGTTATTTGTGCTTAAAATCAATCATCTAAACTTGTACTGGTTATATGGGCTTAATTTATAGAATTGAGTTTTTACATCTAAGTAAATAATCTACTGATCTAATTAAGGTGATTTTTTTAGAGCTTCAAATTTTTTAGTTTTCATTCTAACTATCTTTTTCATAAACACAGGTTTTTTCTTTCTTTATATTACTAATTTTTGCATCCACATAATAACATAAACTGCATTTTTAAATTTTTGTTTTAATTTATTTCTTCTTTCCTTCATTTTTTCATGCATAACTGGACTAAAACGTCTATATTTCTTTTTCATTTATTTCATTTTTTAGGATTAATGTCCACAATCCTTACAATGACAACTTTTATTATTTTCAAATTCCCCTTCTGATTCACTTGAACTAATATTAGTTTAAAATTAAAACCTAATTGAAAGAACATATTCTAAACATTTTGATGAGATTGGTTTTAATCTTTAATGAAATGGATCAAGAGCTTTAGAATGCTTAAGTTTCTATTTTTCTTAGATCTCAGGTTTAAAACAAATAGTCTTATGTTTCTAAAGTAACAATATGCGTTATTTACTTCCAGGTAGTGAATACATATTATTTTTTTTAATTATTTAGCCAAAAATTTTAATTATTTTCTTTTTGAAAACATTTTATATTTAATAAGCAATCATTACCGAAATATCAGTTATTTAGTTTTTTCTATCTTATAATTAATATAAAATAAATAGAATTTTGTAAATTAAAATTGTAAATACTTTTACTTCTTATTTTAGATTAAAAAATAATTTATATTAAAAACATATAATTATAAAAATATAGTATGGTATTGTAAACAATTGATAAATATGTAATTTAATGATTCATTAGATGAATTATATTGTAATTATAACATTACTAAGATAAAACATTTTGAAACATTAAATTCTGGATAATTTGTGAAATTAATATAAATTTATTAGTTCTTGTTAATTTTTATTATTATAATGCATAATTCTGTAATAAAAACTCCATAATCAGTTTAGACATCATATACTAGACCTTAAACTGCACTAACCCATACAAAATAAATATTGTAATATATATGAATAGAATTTAGGATGTCTTAACCTTCTGAAGATGGTCTTGATACAACTTTAAAAAATAATAGATATACAAATCCTACCAGTCTTACACCTAGAAGCTTAAAAAAATTATAAGAAAGAAAGAGAGTTGAAGGGATTAGTAAATCAGAAGTAGGAACTTGTAATTTGAGAGTCAAAAATGATTAAGCTGAAATAGATGGTCCTGAAGATTATTTTGATAAGGAGCTTAAAATAAATGTTGATGAATATGATTAATTCAGAAAGAACTTTCATCGAATTGTTTTTGATGCTTTTGGAAATTATATTTATACAAAACCAGAGGCCTTAGATGACGAAATAAAACAATAACTTAATGTAACTTATCTTCACTTTTACATAAGAGTGCATTAAATACCAAAACCAAAGTAACATCACAAAATTTATAACGAAAATTGATGTTAAAAACTTAGAGTTTTCAACCCAGAAAAATTATAGATGGACTTGTTAAAAATGCTTCTGAAATTGCTACTATGAATCCAAGAAGAAAAAATATTATGGATATTAAATAAAGAGCTGAACAAACTTTACATCAAATGATCTAAAATGTTGCTAAGGATAAAATACTTGCAGAATCTAAAGCTTTATTACATGGTATCAGTTAATAAATGTTAAATTAAGTAGATAAATTTATACGAGAAAAGTATTTGTATTAATAAAATTAGTTCTGAACTTAAAGATTAATTAGAAATGGCAAAAAATAAAATTTTTGAATTACAATCATCTAATGAAAGTCTTAACTTTAAAAATTAATAATTATAAAAAGAATTAAAATAATCAAAAGTTTAACTTGATGATATTAAAAGGGTTAGTGTAGATTTAGAAAAGTTTTTACCAGAATACAGAATTATCACTAAAAAATTTATAGATTTTTCAGCTGAGAAAATCATTGATAGATATGAATATTTTGAAAATACTGTGTTAACATTAACAAAAAAAACAGCTGATCTTGAAGAAGATAAAAGATTTCTTGAAAAGTCTTTATAATAATAAAAAAGAGAATTTGAGGCTAAAATATAAGATTTGTCAATGTATAAAGTTTAATAATCATCTAATCAATATTAAAATTAAGATTAACCTAGTAAAGAACTAGAACAATATAAAGAAATGTACATGACATTATTTAAAAAAATCATGAATGTATATTGTAATTGGACTACAAAAGCAAAAGCTCTTCTACCTGATAAAATGGATGATGGACCAAGAGCAAATTTAGTAGATCCTATTGAAATATTATCAAATTTAGAAAAAATGATTTAAATTTCATCGAATGAAAAACTTTAAGCATATCTTAGGAAAGTTATTGTTAGTGCTAATTTATTGTAAAGAAAGTATTTCCCAGAAGAAGTCAATCTAAAATTTGATCCAGATAAAATCTATGATAGATTAGTCAAATATATTGATAATTAATCAAGCGTTATTTTGGGATATTAAAATAGAGAAAAAGATTTAAAAAAACAATAAAGAAATGTAAATCAATTAATTTAAATCTTAGTTTAAGCAAGAAGATGAACATTAAGCTTTAAAAGATATCATTTCTTCTGAAAAAGTTACAGAAATGATAAAAAAAGATTAAAATAGTGTAAACTTAATAAGAAAAAGATTATTTTCTAATGAATCTGGTTAATAAGTAGACCCAGAAAAGGTTGTTGAGAAATTACTAAAATTAATAGAAACTTAATCCATACAAATCAAAAACTTAGTCTCTAAAGAAAAAATTAACTAAAGATCACTAAAACAATTAGTATTATACATAATTAAAATAATTTTAGTTAAAAACAGAAGATGATAATTAAGATATTAATGAATTCATAATTAATTTTGAATTAGAGAAATGATTAATTTATATAAATGTATATTTTACATTTAATTAACTATATAGTAATAGTTTTAATCATAACAAACCAAGTTTAATTTTAAACAAATTGATTTCTTTGTTTCTCTTTTCTATAACCTTATTTATTTTTTTGATCTTAGTTGAACATAATCTTTGCGATTATTTTACTGCTCTTCTCATTTATTTTATAATATCAAACATCTGTATGCATATCTATTGTTATGCATTTCCTTCTATACAAACAGTATTGGAAGTATCAGATGGGCAGAAACTATTAGAAGAATCACTGTCTTGATATTCTTCTTATTTATTTATGAAATGTTTGATAAGAGTAAAATATTCGAGATCTTTCTTTTATTCCTAGGTTAGCTCATAATATTTTCTTAAGGTATTTAATTTCTATTCTGACATGGATTTGGTTTATTCAACTCGGTGAATTTGGGGATTATTCATAAAATAAAATTATTTTTTCTAGCTTCCAAAAATATAATCTTATGAACATACAAGAACTTTTTGGAATGTCATTCGAAAAAATTCTAAATTATACATATTCAAATTTATCAAATTAAATAAATTATATTCATGATATACTTAGAACTTCTAAAACATGGGTTGAAAAGTATCATGCATTTGGTGGACCAAATTGTTTATCTATCTAAAGTAATAATTGATTAATAAGTATATAATTTGGAATATACTATTAATTTTCTTATTTTCAATCCTTAATTAACTTAAGTATTTCAATCTTAAACTAACATAATTCAATATAAATTAATATAGATCTATTAACATTATGGTATATTTATTAAAATTTTTTTATTCAAAATCATTTCATTGTATCTTTAATTAATTTATGAGAGTAATCAATTTTATTAATAAAATTTCTTTGACAAAATGATCATTAATTTATAGAAAAATATAATTTTGAAACATAATTTAGTAAAATATGATAAGAAATATTTTTTAATAATTATTCCATCAAATCCATAGATTCAGTAAAACTCAATATTAATATGAGATCAAAAATATACTAATTTGATTTTTAAATTTTGAATTTATATATTCATAAACATAAAATTTAGAATGAAAATAAATAAGTAATAATAAATAACTAAAAGATTATATTATAATTTTAATAATTCATATAAATTAAAAAATTAATTGAATTAAAAAAAGGGTTGTCAACACGAGGACTTCCCAAGCGGTCCCCCACCTTAGTACTAACCTCGCCTTAAGCCGCTTAACTTCGGAGTTCGAATGGGATCCGGTGCTTTAGGCTTAGTATGGCCGACAACGATATATTCTTAATGTTTAAGTTTATAAATATCTTGAATTTAGAATTTATATTGTTATATCTCAAAAATAAATAATTTAATACTCATTAGAATTTTGACAGAAAGAAAATAATAATAATAATCAATTATTTATAATGTTGTAAATATCCACTAATCATTTAATAAATTACAAAATAGTTAAAGGGAATAATATTACAAAGAGATATTGACCTAAATAAGTCCAATTTAAATCATCAATTAAGACTTCTTCCAATTCTAATATTTAATAAATAACAAAATTACTAATTATATATTGGAATTCATTGATTTCTCTTAATCCTCTTGAAATTTAATATCCAACGACAAAGAAACAATTTTCTGGTCTGCTTGCATCATTTCTAAATCTTAATTTAACTGTATCCATTGGTTAGTAATTATTAATGGTTTCATTGAATTATTATTATTGAGATTGCCAAAACATTGCAATATCGATGCCTACACTTCCCAAAAAAGACACTTTAATATCATATAATTTATCATCAATTTTAATGTCTAAACAATGTAATTAAGGTTGTTTTAAATTTGCATTCACTTTTTATTCTTAAAAAGCATGTACGATAGTTAATATAATTAGAATTAGCATAAATTTAATATAAAAATTCAAATTATTAAGATTATAGTTTAATGTCAATTCAAAAAAAGACATCAAAAATAATTAGACAAGGAAATGAACCTTAGAAATACTAAAATATGTATTATGAAGTTTAACTTCCTTTTTTTAATCCTTAATCGAATTCAATTTTTGCAAGTTAATTGTTAAATAATCCATAATTTATGAATATTTATTAGTTGGCAATAAGTAGTTATCTTTAAGGATAATACAAATAAGCTATATTTTTTGCTGAGAAATTATTATGTCTAAATCAAGATTAAAATATTTTAGCATATTTGGTATTTATGCTTGGAATTGTAATATTACTTACTATAATAATTTTAGTGTCATTTTTAAAATGCAGAATATTCAGGAGTATATAATTTGTTTTTAAAGTACAAACTAACATAAGGTGATTTTGCAGTATTAGCAGCAAGAGCCTTATATGGAAATAAGCAATATGAATTAGGAATAGAGATATTATAGGATGAAATAACATCATAAAGTGATTGGATAAGAGGATAATGTTATGAAGCATTGGAGAATAAATAATTGGCAGTTTCAAATTATTATGAATGTTTATAGAAGAGTCCAACAAATGTGAGAGTGTTTTAATAATTAGTGGATTCATATTTAATTTCATGGGATGAAAAGGAAAATCTGATCCAATAAATATAATTAAATTTAGATGAAGCTTGGTTAAAGGACTATTATATAAGTAAGACAATAAATAGGGATATTGGGAATTAGAGAATAGTAGATAATTTATAGGAGGAAAAAAGGAAAATAGTTTAACAATTATAAATTGTAGACAAGGTTGAAATTTAATAAATGAAACCATCTCCTATAAGGAGTCCATATATAAGAAAGGAGGAAATTCCGATTCAAAATGATTTAATATATGTAGCATTAGAAAAGAAAAATAATATAGATATATTGAATGTGAAAGCAAAGAAAGCATATTATAGTTATGATATTGCATCTGCATATGATTGGTCATAAAAAGCAATAAAATAAGATCCATTATATTTTGATGTGATTCCAACATATGTTTCATGTTTATTGGAATTAGAATAAATAGCAGAATTATATTATTGTGCTCACAATTTGATAGAAAACTATACATCAAATGCTTTAAGTTGGTTTGTAGTTGGAGTATATTATTTTTCAACAAAGAAATATGAAGTGGCAAGAAAACAATTCCAGAAATCAATCTAATTAAATTAGCATTTAATATATAGTTGGATAGGATTAGCTCATTCTTATGCTATTTAAGATGAATCTGATTAAGCAATGTCAATATATAGATCAATAACTCGTTAATTTCCAGGATGTTATTAGGCACATGTTTATATAGGAATGGAATATTTAAGGACTAATAATTTATAGACAGCAATCTTATCTTTATAATAGGCTAAGGATATTAATCCAACAGATCCTATGATATAAAATGAGCTTGGAGTTATTGCTTATAAATAAAAAAAATATAATGAAGCAAAAGATGTAAAATTTAATTCTAATATAGTTTTTCTTGAATGCTTTAGTGTTCTGTTAGAATTCCAATCATAAGATTCGAGAATCTGCACTTTAAAATTTGGGTCACAACTTTAGAAAATAAAGAGATTACAAAAATGCTATATTAATATTTGAAAAGTGTATTTAGGTATTCAAATTTAATTTTTAATAGTTAAATTCAGTATCTCCATAAATTTTCTTTGGATTGGCATTTTCTTATCATTTAAGTGAATTGCCAAACAGTTTAAGCAAGGCTATTCATTTTTATCATAAATCTTTATCATTAAAATCAGATTAGACTTTTGTTTAGGATATGTTAAGTAAAGCATTGTAAGAAGCTGCAGATATGGGATTTTCAGAATATGTAAATTGAATCTATATATTAAATAAATATATAATAAATAATATAAATTTAAGATTTAAATCAATCAAATATGGGTGATAATCCAATAGATGTTTTTAAGGAGGAGATGGAAAATGAGGAAGTTTATCTAAAAGTCAATGCAATGCATAGAGTTAGAGTTATTGCAACCCTTTTAGGAATAGATAAAATAAAATCTGTTCTTTTGCCATATTTTGAAAGTAAAATATATATATGATAATTAATTTCAGCATTAATGAAGAAAGAAGATGATGAAGTTTTATTTGCAATGGCAGAAGAGTTGGGCTATATTGCGTATTTTTGAATAGGTTTATTTAGTCAAATAATTCAATAATAATCTATATGTTTATTGCCGATTTTAGAATAATTAGCTGGATTTGATGAGACTGTAGTACGAGAGCAAGCTGTAAAATCAATAATAATTGTATGTGGGTATTTGGGAGATAATGAAATTGCTAACAACATTGTTCCTATGGTAACAGTATTTAAATATATTATTAGATTATAAAATTAGCATCAAATGAAGCCAATTTTACATGTAGAGTTTCAGCTGTTAGTTTAATGTGTCCTATGTATGCAAGGTCTGGAAATTAAAAGGAAAAATTGAGATAGTATTTTAAATGAATTTAAGTTTTTAAGAAAATTTAATGAATTATGTAGCGAAGAAACACCAATGGTTAGAAGAGCTGTAGCAAATAAAATTGGTGAAATTGCATAATTTATGGATAAGAATCATGTTATAGAAGTTTTAATAGCTGTTTTAAAATAATTATGTTAAGATGAATAGGATTAAGTTAGATTATTATGTATGGAAAGCATAATGAATATCGCTAAGATTTTAGGTATCAATGAAAATAAAACAAATATTCTACCATTGATAATATCTTCAGCAGAGGATAAATCATGGAGAGTAAGATTGGCATTGTCAAAGATATTTGCAGAGGTACAATATTTAGATGAAATATAAAGTTAGCAGATGCGGTAGGAAAGGAGATTGCTGATTCTTCATTAATTTAGATATTTTCAAATTTATTAAAAGATCCTGAAAGTGATGTTAGAGTAATAGCAGTGAAAAGTTTGGCCAAATTTATTAAGTTTGTATCTCCAGAGAAACTTACTCTAATAATTCCATTATTATAGTTATTAGCAAAGGATGCATTTGCATAAGTCAAATGTATAAATATATAATATTGATAATTTATAGAGAATGCTTGTTTAGTAATTGGATAGATAGCTACAATTTTACCTAGGGAAAATAGTTAAAACAAATTACAATCATATTTAATTGAATTGATGAGTGATGATAATTAAGATGTAAGAAAAAATGCAGCATAATCAGTTGGAGTATTTGCTGCTGCTATAGGTCCTGATGCAATAGGACAATTCATTCCTCATTTAAAAAAAGGTATGGAGGATCCAAAATGGAGAGTTAGAAAAGAAATTATGTAAACTGTTATCCAATTAGCATTGTAATTATTATTTATCATATTTAGAACAATAAAAAATACAGATGTATTTTTAAAATAATTAGAACCTGTATATGTTATGTTCTTGAAAGATAGAGCAGCTGAAGTAAGAACTATAGGTTTGAGTAGATTAAATGACCTAATTTAAACATATAAAATTGATTGGGCATTAGGAAGCTTTTTTTCTAAATGTGTTGAAACACTTAATAAAGATGTTGGATTCTTATACAGAATAAATGCTTTATATGCAATCTAATAAATTGGATTTGTGGCTGATGGACCAATGATTTAAGATAAGTTATGGCCTATTGTCCACAAATGTCTTAAAGATAATGTTCCTAATATTAAATTTGTTAGTATAAAGGTGGCAAAATCTCTAACAAAAAGAATTGAACATTAAGGTACTCTAAATCAAATAAAATAGTAAGTTATTAATAATATTATAGAGCTATTAATGAGTTGACAGATGATAATGATAGAGATGTTAAATTTTATGCTTAGGAAGCTTTACAATATTGAAATAATACATAAATAATATAATTAATAAGTTGTTATACATTATTTTAATATAATCTGCTCAATGAGTAGCTGATTAATTATTTGGTGCTGTGAATGGTCTTCTTTATTCAAGAAAATCATCAAATTCTCCATCTGGTCGTCTTTTTCTATAAAAAATAAATTTGTACCTGTTATTAAGATTAGGTCTTTATTAAGCAGCTCTTAATTATCTCATCACATTCATTACTATTTCTGCTGTTCTCTCAATACTTAATTATTTTCCTGCTCCTAATTTATTCTTTTCATCTTTAACCAATTCACTTAAATATTGAATTATATTTATTACCTTATATGATCAATAACTTAATCTTCAATAGCTTTACCTCCATTCTTTCTTTATTCATATGCTTCTTATTGATTGGCTAAATATTAATTCCAAACTGTATATGTAAACAATTAATATGGATGAGAATTATAAGATACTAATTCAAAATCTCTATCAATTTAATCTACCATTCTTCTTTCACCACCATGTTTTATTTAAGTCACTTAACATTCAGCTATATGTGGTACTATAAAAAATGTTCTTAAACCCATCTAAAATAATTCTTCTAATTCTTTGTTACCAAAAAAGTACTACTTACAATGTCTAGAGATCTTTCTATATGAATGATAAGCTAAAAAAATTTAATTTATTTTTAATACCTCTCAAAAATGAATTATGATCATATCTACATCTAATACCAATTGTGAATTCTGAACTTGATGGTCTAGGAGCATTAAAATTCTTAGGATGCCAGTTATTTTTCCATCCAGCTCTTGTCCAGAAGAATGACTTATTTCTTATCTTGTAAACCATAAATTAATATCTTTTTTTATATAAAAATAATCAAACTTTTATTCATTTCTTTATTATTCTAATTTTATTATCCAAATTACCTTCTAAGTTTTTTTATCATGTAAGATTTAATTTTTATATCACAATTGCTTTTAATTAATTTATAAACCATTATAAAACCCAAGAATTATTTTAAGAAAATAAATAATTAAATATTATGTCTTTATTTTACTTTGATATTGATGATTCATAAAATCCATTTACTCTGAATAATTTATTAACAAATAATAATTTCGAGGAATAACAATCAAAAACTGAGAAAGAGAATTAATTATTTATCTAAGATGAGAAAAAATCATTAAAAGTTCCTTCCAAAAACAACCAAGAAGCAAAGAATGTCCCTAAAAATATGGGAATTTTAATCAAGAATTACTTAAGTAATATTTAATTATATTTTAGCTAATAATCACAAAAATGTTATTAGATAGAATTTAACCATTTAAAAATTTATTAGAAAGGTTAACAATAAAAAGAATTATACTCGAAAAGATTTAAAAGTTCTTTTCTCAAATGATGATGCTAGAAATATATGCAAATAATACTTTTCTAGCTTTTAAATTATCCAAGATATACTTAAATCTTCTAAAATTGGAGATTCTGAAGTTATCTTGAAATATATCAAAAAACTATTTATTGGAACTCATGATCCCTCATCACTATCCTGTTTAAAGTACACAAATAAGGAGCTTTGACTTATTATATATTGAAAACTTTTTGATACTAAAAATTATATTAAAAAATGTTCATAAATTTCCTTAATGTTTAAAGTTTAAGATATTGTTAATGGATGGGAGATTGAAAATTCACCAGATTTTGGGGATATTTTCTAATCACTAAAAATATAAATTTATTCTAAACCCTAGGAATAAATAGAAAATGAAAAACAAGTCTAAAAGGTAATAAAATTAAAGGAGATTGAGATACCAAGAGAAAGAAAATAGAGAGTGAAATCTAGTTATTTTGAATAGTAAATTGTTAGTAACAAGAAAGAATAAAGATTGAAGCTTTATCCAATCTAGCATATATCATTAGTATAACCAGGTTAATTACCCTATAGAGATTAAAATAATTCTATACTTACTCATAGATTTAAACAAGCTAATTCTTTAAATTATGCAATGAGAAGAAAGAGTGCATATTTACAATCAATTTTAAAATAAGTATATATTACATCCTAAAGGTTAACTATTTAGTGAATGAAAAAAGATTTACAAAATTAAGAAGTGGCTCAGTAATGTCAGTTAATTAATCCCCTAGATGGTTTGGCACCCCTAACTTATATAATAAATATATATAATGATGACTTACTTTTTTAAAATTAATTTTTAAAGATTTTAATTAATGGGAAAGAAAGAAAAGGGAAAGCCTAATCCCTTAGGTGAAGTAAGCAGAGATTATACTATAAATCTTCATAAAGCTGTTCATAAGGAGACTTTTAAAAGAAAGGCACCTAGAGCAGTTAGTCATATTGTTAGATTTGGTAAAAAGTGAAGGGATTGTTTAGCTTAGAAAAATATGTTAACTGATGATGTGAGAGTTGATCCATAATTAAATGAGGCTATTTGGGCAAGAGGAATTCGTAATTTACCAAGAAGAATTAGGGTTAGATTATAAAGAAAGAAGAAGGAAGAAGATGATGGAAAAGGAAAGTATTACACTCTTGCATAATATGTTCCAGTTGATTCATTTGACAATCTTAAGACAGAAATTACAAAATAATGATGATTAACATAAGTTTATTAAAATATTCAAATAAATTCATATCATAAAAATATGTAATCCTGGTAAACTTGTGCATTATCTGGTGAATTAATAGAAACACCAGTAATATCTAAAGTGAGTGGACATATATATGAAAAAAGATTGATTGAGAAACATATTGAAAGTACAGGTACATGTCCAATTACAGGAAGACCTTTGAATTAAGATGATCTAATTGAAGTAAGATTATAATTTTTAAATATAAAGGTAAAAGTAGCCAAAGTTCAAAAACCAAGACCAGTTACAGCTACATCAATACCTTCATTACTTTCTCTTTTGCAAAATGAATGGGATGCTTTATTATTAGAGCAATTTCAATTGAAATAACATTTAGAATAAGTAAGACATGAATTAACACATGCATTATATTAACATGATGCAGCATGTCGTGTGATAGCAAAACTTATAAAAGAAAGAGATCAAGCTAGAATAGAATTAGTGCAATTACAAAATAAATTAAATCATAAAGTAGAAGTAGAAACTAATAATATTCCTGAAAAATTATCGATTAATTATGTAAATGATATAGAATAAAATGCATTAAAATTAACAAGCTAAAGAAAGCTTTTAAGAAAGTAATAATCTTACTTTGATTAATTTCCTAGTTCTCAAGTACTTTTATTCAATATAATTTAGATTTTATCAAATTATGAAATTAAATAATAACACACTTAAACTTAAGGTGGTACTTCATTAGATATATAATCAAATTATATAGTAGTAGGAGGATAAACTGGTTTAGTTTCACTTTATCGTTCTGAATAACTTGTATATTAGAATTAATAAAATAATCAAAAAATTAATTCAATTAACTTTTTCATAACTGATGAACATTTGAGATTTGTATCATCAACTTCAGATGGAGATTTAGTTCTTTATTAATTCAATACTGAAACTATTGAAGGTATTATAACTTCAACCATAAAGATTGGATAAAATATTACTGATTTAGCAATTCATCCACTTGGCTTTATTGCTGTCATAGTTACTTCTGAAGGTCTCCTGTTATTTTACGATTTAAGATCTGGTTAATAAATTAGCAAAATTACTGATTTTGAAGGCTAATGCTAATTTACATCTGTAGCAATTCATCCAGATGGTTTATTGTTAGCTATAGGATAAGCTAATTCATAAATTAAAATATGGAAAATTACATCTGGATAATTGGTTGCCTAATTTGAAGGATAAGAAGTAAATCTAAATTATAAATATATTAGGGATCAATTAATCAAGTTACTTTCTCTGAAAATGGAGTTAATTTAGCATCAGCCACTCTAACTGAAGTCTTTTAATGGGATCTAAGAAATCCTGGTCAATTCTAAAAATTGTTTCAATCATCAAAAATAAGTTATTATTACATCATATTCTTTAGGTACCATTTCTTATGATAAATCTGGAGCCTATTTAGCTATAGGTGAAAATAAATATATACATTTATTTGATGTTAAAAAGTAATAAGAATTTTTCAAATTCGAAAGCCATAGGGATACTATAACAGCTATTAAGTAACTTTTCAAACTTAATTTAGATTTGCTGAATTTAATAAAAATATTTACAGCTGTAGTTTTGATAAATAAGTAAACATCTATGGTAATTGAAAGAGTTTTTAATTATATAAATATTATATTATTGAGTGTTAAATAATCTTCTTCAAAATTTAATAGTCATCTCTTAATATTAATTATACTCATACTTTTATTTTCATTAATGCAATATAGTTTTGGAACTATTATAAATAAACTTTTGCAAAAATCAAATCTTTTCCCATTTTGTATTCTCTCCAAATTATTTTAGAAAAAATATAAGCTATAATAAGAAATCTCTTAAAATATTTGTCTCTACATTTTAATATTAAAAAAAATAAAATAATAATTATCTCTTTAATTTTATTCATTTTTTACAATGTTTGGAAAGTAGAAAAATACATCTGATTTGAATTTAAAGATCATTTTACTCGACATCCTAATAAAATTTAATTGCAAATGCAACATTGAAAAAATAGATTCAAAACAAATAAATTTGTGTTTTTTTTTAAATAATTCTAAAAGAATAGATAAATTGAAATTCTTTAATAAAACTTAATTTCACTTGAACAATATATTTATAAAATAATAAAATAAGTAGGATTGAGAATATTTATAGAATTTATCTTTTACTAACAAATTTGATTTAAATTAAGTTTTATTGAAATATATAACAAAATAACATTTGAATTCTGATTTAAGTTATTGTTATGATATTATTTAAGTTTGGTTATTTATATTTAAGAGTGCTAATGTTAAATTAGTACATTTGTATTAAAAAATGTTTAAATATATTTTTAAATTTTCGAATTAAATTTACAATAAATTTTATTTTTTTTGTTTTTTAATGAAATTCTTTTTAAGGAAATAACATAATTGCTAAATGTTTTAATGAATCAATATATAATATAATATTAATTGAGAATTTAACTTATTATGAGGACTTAATTTAATTAAATATGGATAGAAATATTTTGTGTTTTTAAAGATAACATTCCACGTTGAATTTGATCAAACTGTTTAAAATAGAATCGTCATCGTTATCTTATAACTGTATTTGTTAATAAGAGAATTAAATATGATGATAATAGAGTTTTGTATCCTGAATATAGGAGTGAATGGTTATTTATTTTTGTATATGTGTTTATTTATTTATATTCATTGTTGAGTATTAAACTAAGTGAGAGGAGATTGTTGATTATTGAAGACTATTTTAGATTCAGCAGATTCTGAAACAAATTCTCTAGAAAACAGATTAAAAGTATTAATACCTTTCAAAAATGTTCTTTTCTGAATCAGAAGAGATGCTACTCTTAATATCAGAACAACTTTCTGATGAATAATACTCATTTTAAATTTCTATAATATTAAGGTTGAATATTACATTCACACATTTTAATAGCTTTAGCAAAAATGACTGAGCGAAGACTATCATAACCGAATGATGAATGAAGAGACATTTTTTTGTTTTAACAATTGTATTAGAAAATATTTAATGGATTTCGTTTTTAATTACATTATTTTTCGCAAAATTAATACGAAATAAGAATAGCATCATAATTATTATGTGATCAAATAAATTAATTAATATAAAATATTTATTACAGTTAAAGAATGAACCTTAGTTATGATTTAGCAACAGTCACAAATCCAGTAGATGATGTACCTCCATTAGGATTATCAATTTGTCAATAAGTTTATCTAGAATTGGCAATGTTAGGACTTATAGTAATTCCATGGATAAGTTTTAAATTTTAATAATGAAATAGCTTTATCTATTACAACATCAGCTCTACTATGTTTATTAACTTATATGATGTTAATAATTTTAGTGATATATTTTTATATTTTTTTTATGGCTTAAGGAAAAAGAGTCTTGGAATTTTATATAGCAGGTATAATAAATAAAATAATGAGGGTGAATTCATCTTCAAAAAGGAAAACATATAACTTTTGATATTGTCTACAATAATCACTTTTATAACCTTCTTTACTCTTACTATTCTATTTCTGTCAACCTAAAATACTTAATTATATAAATCCTATTTTGATGAATCAAATACCTCTTATATGATATTATTTATGACATTATTTGTCTTTGGTATAGGAATATTGGAGGAATATTTTTGGAGAAGTAAATAATCATTTAAAATATGTAGATTTTATGATTAAAACACTTCCATCAGGATGGATTACAGCATTATTTGTTGGTTTACATTTTGCATTACTTGTAATGATGATAACTAGTTCTATTGTAGAATGGCAATATTGTATTTTATTAGGAGTATTATCAATTATTTGGCATATGATAATGGTTTATGCAAGAAAAGTAAATTTATAATCAATTAAATTAAGTTATTTAAATTTTCATCTGTCTTAGTGTATGGAATTGCTGCAAGATTTGGCATCTACGCTGCATTTTATATATTATTTTTGAACATTAAATTAGGTTGATTTCTTTAATACATAAATAAATATGTATATTTATTTAAAATCAATGTTTTTTTTTCTGATTTCTTATATTTTTATTATTTATATTATTTTGGTTAATTGAATGTTTAATTACTTAGTTATTGAACAATTCAGAATAAGATTTAGAATTTATTGTTAGTTTCAAACTAATACTTAATTTAATTAATTTCATTTTTTAATAATTCTACTTTGTAAGATAATAATAAAATATTTTGAGCAGTCTCTTTAAAATAATGATCATTTGAATATTTAAAGAATTAATTACTTCAAATTACTTTTTAGTTTTTTTATAATCATAATGAGAGATAAAGATCGATGTGTACAATTTGATTTATTTACATAAGTTGAAAAAGTGATAAAATCAGAAAATAACATTACAAACTCCTTTTAAGAGATATATTTAAAAGAAATTTTATAAGAATAGAGTCATGATTCTTGTTTTATCGTTAAATATTTATAAAATAATAGAAAGTTGTAATATATTCCTTTTATGAGATTTCATCTAGAAAATTTCTTAAAAATTCTTAAACCCTTACAGATTGAACTAAATTAAGCTTGATATTTGAATTTATCCACTTATTTTATATGAATAAAATAATGTATGCATCTAGGAATAAAATAAATAGATATATTGAATAATAATATCAAACCCTTTTTCATTATTATATTTATATCAAATTTGGAAGTGATCTCGGTGTTGTTATGCTAGATCTTCGGCGATCATTAAATTAACATTCAGTTTTCCAATGCTGTAAATATTTGATTGCTGAATGAGTGATTATATCTAGAGAATTCACATAAATAGGTTTGGAAACAGTTTCTGGTGTTTCTAAATTAAAAAATGCATCCAGATCATTTGGTTGAAAGTTTGATATACTTTTAAGAGGTTCTTCAATTTCTTCTATTTAACTAAGTGTCGATTTGAAATTTTGAAATCCAAGATCAAATGCACATAATTCATTTTTGATTTTATCAAATTGATCTTTAAATTATTGTTGNTTTTATTAGGAGTATTATCAATTATTTGGCATATGATAATGGTTTATGCAAGAAAAGTAAATTTATAATCAATTAAATTAAGTTATTTAAATTTTCATCTGTCTTAGTGTATGGAATTGCTGCAAGATTTGGCATCTACGCTGCATTTTATATATTATTTTTGAACATTAAATTAGGTTGATTTCTTTAATACATAAATAAATATGTATATTTATTTAAAATCAATGTTTTTTTTTCTGATTTCTTATATTTTTATTATTTATATTATTTTGGTTAATTGAATGTTTAATTACTTAGTTATTGAACAATTCAGAATAAGATTTAGAATTTATTGTTAGTTTCAAACTAATACTTAATTTAATTAATTTCATTTTTTAATAATTCTACTTTGTAAGATAATAATAAAATATTTTGAGCAGTCTCTTTAAAATAATGATCATTTGAATATTTAAAGAATTAATTACTTCAAATTACTTTTTAGTTTTTTTATAATCATAATGAGAGATAAAGATCGATGTGTACAATTTGATTTATTTACATAAGTTGAAAAAGTGATAAAATCAGAAAATAACATTACAAACTCCTTTTAAGAGATATATTTAAAAGAAATTTTATAAGAATAGAGTCATGATTCTTGTTTTATCGTTAAATATTTATAAAATAATAGAAAGTTGTAATATATTCCTTTTATGAGATTTCATCTAGAAAATTTCTTAAAAATTCTTAAACCCTTACAGATTGAACTAAATTAAGCTTGATATTTGAATTTATCCACTTATTTTATATGAATAAAATAATGTATGCATCTAGGAATAAAATAAATAGATATATTGAATAATAATATCAAACCCTTTTTCATTATTATATTTATATCAAATTTGGAAGTGATCTCGGTGTTGTTATGCTAGATCTTCGGCGATCATTAAATTAACATTCAGTTTTCCAATGCTGTAAATATTTGATTGCTGAATGAGTGATTATATCTAGAGAATTCACATAAATAGGTTTGGAAACAGTTTCTGGTGTTTCTAAATTAAAAAATGCATCCAGATCATTTGGTTGAAAGTTTGATATACTTTTAAGAGGTTCTTCAATTTCTTCTATTTAACTAAGTGTCGATTTGAAATTTTGAAATCCAAGATCAAATGCACATAATTCATTTTTGATTTTATCAAATTGATCTTTAAATTATTGTTGTTACTATTATTGATAACCTAAATATTGAATTAAGATATCTTGAGTACAAAAATAAATAATGTTTTTACTCACATTTACAAAACAAGGAGTGAGTTCTGTAATTTTAGATTCTTACTCTATGTTTCCTATAGTATATTGGACAGTAATCTAAGTTCGCTATTAAAATTGTCGCTTTACTTAATTATCAATATTTTCAGTAAGTTCAATAGATTTCTTTTTAGTATTTTTATTTTGACTTTCTGCACTTCTCCATTTTAATTTGGATAATAATACATCAATGGCTTATCTTTAAAGATCAGTTATTTCAGGTCCAGTGCAACCTGATAATAAATCATCCAAATTAGTTGCTGATCCATTTTGAGTGTATCTATTATTATTTATCTTATATAATTACAACACAGGTAAATCCTTTTCTCTTTTAATTAAACTATTAAATCTATTTTTAAGATTGTTTTCACTTCTCTTTCCATCCATAATTTTTGATATTTCTGCCCATCTTCTACCTTAATCTTTAACAAGATTCAATAATAATATGTCTTCATCATCAGTCCAAGGTTATCTTAAATATTAATAATTATACTTAGAAATCTTTGGATTTAAATGATTTAACCATCTTTCTCTACATTATTTACTTGATCTATAAATATTTGAATTTTAATTTAATTCTTATGCAATTTAACTCCACTTCTAACCCATATCTACTGATTAATATTACACAATTATATCATATAATTTTCTATCTTCTTCTGCTTTAAAAGGTTATTATTATAATGCTATTTTTTACATTTGACACCATTTCTATTTACATTGATCTTTATCTCTTCTACAAATCATTCTTGAAATCTCTTCGAATATTTCTGATGATAAATCTCTAATATCTTCATTTCTCATAATACTAAATTTTCCAACCAACCAAATAAGTACTTTCTTCTCATTAATTGTCCAATTCTTTTTAAGATTACTATTCCAACCACTAGTTGTTAGTATCTCTTGTTAAATACGTTAAATATCTTTATCTGATGGATATTCATCAATGCCTAAATTAAAGAACTCCTTCATATATTCAAATTTTGTAAACTTTATCTCCTAAGCTTAAGGATAAAATAATTAGAATTCTTAATAGAAATTATAATCTTCACAATCCGCGTTTTTGCGTTGAGAAATCGCAGTCTTACATTTACTTTTCGAATTTCTTCTTTCTGCCAAACTCTTATTTCGATTACTCATATTAAATTTAATATTAAAATAACACACTATTACTCTTAGACTTTAATCTACTCAACTTTTTGCTTCCATTTTTTATTAAAAAGAATCAACAATCATATCAATAATAAAATTTAAACAAAATACTCTAACAAAAAATAAGATTAATACACATACTTAAAGTTATATTAAAAATATTACTTTTAAAAAAGATCTAACTCAACTTATTCATTTATAAGATGATTATTATCGAAGCTTCCAGTAATTAATTGAAATAATGCTAAGGCAGTAAATTACATAACTCCTAACAATCCAAATGCAGTATCTATAATTATTTGAGATTTTAATAAATACCTATAATTTGACGATTTTACTACAAGAATTATAGATGGAATCAATAATTCATAGTTATTGTAAAGCTAAGACAACTTACCATTCTAACAAATAAGTATTTAACTAAATTACAATAAATAAATAACAATTACGAATTAATTATTATAAAGATGATAGTATTCAACACAATTTAATGAAAGTACTTTGAAGAATCTTATCACTATAAATTCTAAATTATAGAGTTACATAGATAGCAAAAAATTATGAAATTGTAAAAACAAACTTTGAAGAATGTATTTCTAATATCTAATAAAGAAAAAAACAATTCTTATCTTAAATTATTATTGCATGATAAAATCCAATAAGAACTATCTAAGTCTGATAATTTGATATTTTCTTTAGGTTCAAGCTCATTCTTTTTCTACTCATCTATATCTATCTCAATCATTTTCATTTAGTAAAGATACTGAATTGTCACTCTCTCTCTCATTTTTTTCATTTATAAACTCATTTAATAATATATTAATTATTATTTGTTTCTTTTTTTCAATTTCTCTAATGGATTTTGTACTTTTCAAATATAAATAAGTTATTCAATTATTCAAATAGGTTAATGCTAAATCACAATAAATCAACCAATAAAAAGGTAAATCCAAAATTATCATAATTAGCTTAGATTATAAGAATTACTAAACTATTCAATGCAAATCCTAATTATGATACTGATAGATATTATTCTAACCCTAAATTCACTTGTCCATCTTAAAACCTCTAAGATATTATTACTGCAAACTCTCATATCCTATTCCAAATATACATCTTCATATTAAAATTGTTCTATATGATATATCTTCCTATCTCTACTATTTTCTTAGAACCTATTATTAAAATGAATAAAAATATGAGCATAATTTACTCTAATTCCAATCTTATCTATTAAATTTTCTTCAAAAATGGTAATATTATACTTAAAGCTAAGTAAATAGAATAAAATATATTAATTACATATTGTTCAAATTCATTTCACCCTATATTATGGATTACAATGGCATTAGATTATTAAAAATATAAGCATCTCCAAAGAATAATAAACTAGCTAATCATAAAATAATCAATTTTTCTATTACGAATAGTTTATTAAAAAGGATTGCTTGTTGTTTTACATTAATTTATTTTTTTATAATTCTAAAAATAATTTATTCTTTTTTTATTAAATGTGAGAAATTGACCAAATACTGAAATGATTATTAAAGAATAGTTTTAAGGTTGATTTATATAAAGAAGTCTGATCCCATAAAACATAAATATAAAGTCAAATTATGCTTTGTATGAATTAAGTTTTCTTCTAAAGGATACAAAGCTAATTTCTAATTATCATCTTTATTTAAAAATTATCAAGTCCTAAGAATATAAAGTATTAACAAATAAACTTAATGGGGTCAAAGATAAGTTTATTAAATTATATAATAAATTAGCTAAAAATGCAGGATATAAAGGAGATATTTCTATAAAACTTCCTAATAGCTATGTTTTAGCATGGATGCCCTGCAATAAAGTTAATTATATTAAGCAAGAATTAAACAAACTTTTAATTATTACTTTTATTCTTTAGATTACAGATATGTAGGCTATTTGTTTATCCTTTATTAAGGATTCTTTTTAAAAAAATCACAATTGCATAGTAGAATATATTCAGCAGAATAAAATAATAAAACTAAAATTAACATTTTATGATTGTCTCATCCTTAAAGAATTAGCATAGAGTGTAATTTCATAAAATTCTCTCGATCATTTCCCTTATGAATTAGATAAAATTTCATTCAATCCAGATAGGATTGAAATTCTTGTTAAAGAACAAATAAATTGCTAATTTAAATTATGAACTTAAATTAAGGTTATTGATTTAGCATTCTAAATAGATAATTAAAATTCAAAATAGAATTAAATAAATAATTAAATTATGTAAATTAAAACTCAATTAAATTAGTTCATAAATCTTTGGAAGACCAGAAAATGAAATCAAAATCATTTAGATTTTGGGATCTATTCGCTAAGATTCTATTGTTAAATATTATCTAAAAAGTAGCGAACAAAATAGTTTCAAACTGATATTTTATAATACAAAATCTAATCTTCAATTACTTAACAATATTTTTGATCCAAATGATTTTAATAAATTTTTAGCTTAAAATTACAATTTACCTTATGATCTTTAAGTGTAATATTCGACTTTCAAATCAAATATAAATTTCAGAGGTTTATTAGATATCTATGGATTTGAGCTTTAATAATTAAATAAAATAATAATGAAGATGCTTTACTTATTAAAGTTTCCAATATATTGCATTCTAAATAAATTGATTTAATTAATTACTTTAATTAACAATTACAATTTTATAATGAATAATAAAAATCTGATATCTATATGTAAATGATCAATGATAATAAAAATAAAATAAAATTTAGGAAAAATGACAATTTTTCATTAGAAACCACAAATTCTTGCGAATCTCTTTAAGAGAAATGTAAAATTATATAATTAACAACATCTCAGTTACAAATAATTAAATAATTCAATATCTAATATAAAACAATCAGAAGATTAATTTAAAATTGTTTTTTTAAGTACCCAATTTATCAACAAATAATCTGATTTATACTTAAAGGATTCATTTTTTGTAGCTGTATAATATAAAGGCAATCAATTATAAGATAGTTTTGAAAGCATCAAATCTTAAGAAAATTAATTTTTTAGCAAAATGGGCTTAAGAAAAAGAAATTTTTGAACTTGAAAAAAATAAGTAATATGACTTATATTCAGTGTTTATTTAAGAATTATTTCTAGATTATTACACTGCTGCTAGGATGCAATTTTTTAATATTTATTTGTAATTAGAGATTTCTATGGAAAAATAGTAGTAATTTATATTCAAATTACTAAACTAAATGTACCTATTTCGAATTTGGAACCTATTATTATGATTATTTAATCAATTCAAAATTTAGGAAGAGTTTTCTTATTAACAAATGACCTATCTGTCAGTAGATATTTGCTTGGTTATGGTCTAACAAATACTAAAGAGATAAATTAAGTTCTGTCAAATATATTATTAATTAGTTAATTAATTATAAAACTATTAGAAATTTTGTTCAGATTTATTAAGAACATATCTGATGGATCAACTATTAATTATAGTTATTATTCTTAAAATGAAATCATCTATTCTTTTTAAGTTCCATCAAAATATAGTTTATGAAATAGAACTTCTAATAAACTCACTTTAAATTAAATACAAAGCCTTGATTTATTATTAATTCATCATTGATTAACTTTAATTTAAATTAATTATAAAAAATATTATTATCTTATATAATAATTATTATTCCTTTTTAAATTATTGATATAAAAGAAATAATAATAATAATAGGCATTAAATTATTAAAACTTGGAATTAATTTAATTCACTAAAGTTTTTTCGAGTTTTATGTATTAAATATATGTTTATATTATATCCTATTTATAATTAAATCTTAGAATAAAATTCAAATTATTGTCTCAAAATCTGTTTAAAATAACAATATAAATCAAACAAAATATATTAAAAATAAACTATATATTGATCATATTTAATTAATCTTCAAACTTTATTTATAAATAACCATCATATCAAATACAAGAATAAATTAAATTATCACTGAAATTGATGATTTTTTATATTAATATCCGTTTAAGCTGATAAGATTGCTGATAAATTGATCTTAGACTTCAAATCCCATAAGAACAAATTTAATTATAAACTCATTATACCAGATGAAGAATGAAAATTTACTTAATAAAAACTGCTAATATTCTGATATGAAAAGGGCAATTAATTCTCTGGAAGAAAGAATAAAAAGAAATGAAAAACAGAGTTGCCACTACTTTTTTGAAGGCTAAAAATATTATTGATAAATTTTTATTAGAGTTTATAACAACTATGTTAATTTAAATAAAGTTTTTTCTAAGTTTTTTTTTTGTTAATAATTTAATAATTAGTACAAGAGGATATTGATGATGTCTATCAAAGAGAATTGGTGATTTAGATTGAAAAAATTGAGTTACATTATGAAATATATTGATATTTGAATAGTTAACAAAAGACATTATTTGGCTAAATATTTAATAATAAATAAATTTAATTAATTCATAACTTATTATAAGAGAATATATTTAATTAAGAATCATAAAATTATGATTTTAGTAAATAGAAAGTGAGAATAGTATAAATTATTTCAAGAGAAATAATAGAGATTAATAATTTTTTGTAATTTTTTTAGTTAAAGAGAAATTATAAATAACATATGAATAACAAATAATTAAATCATCTAGAAATTAACTATGAAATATCTGCAATGACTAAAAGTAATATGATTAAACAACTGTAGAAAATTTGCTGAAATATGTATTATAATTCAAATCTTTATTACCCCGTTTGAAAATATTTATACTTCAATTCATGTTCTCAACCATTTCCTATATAAAAATAAATTTTAGGAATGTAAAAAAATGAATAGAAAGAACTACTGTTGAGAAAACAAAATAATGAGGCCACTCTTAATTCAATGTAAGAGAGTCAATACTAAATACAAATTAACTTAATTTAGTAAAATAAAGATGTTCTCAATGAGTTTTAAAAAAATGAAAAGCTTAATGTGAAACATCTGTCTTAAGAGTTGTTGATCAACAATGAGATTAATCATTAATGTATTGATAGGATTTTATATATCTAGAAAACATTTTAAATAATACTAAGACGCATGTAAAATTGGGTAAGAAAGCCAAAAATGAATTGATTTTGAAAAAAAACATTTCTTTAAAGAATATTTCTTGCAATTCAGATGAAAAATTAATAGGAATCGATAATTTTAGTTAAATAGATGATGTCTCAGATTTTCATAAAAATAAGATATCAAATAGTTAGTCTCAGTATTATTTATTTCAATTAATAGTATTTTGATGCTCAGGTATAATAGAGCAAATGGTCAAAGGAAATTAATTAGAAAACAACTTAAATACGAATCAAAGTATAAAGATAAGAAAGAAGATGAAAATAATCTCAATAAAATCTTTCTAATTTAAAAAAATCCTAAAGAGGTGAATGATTAAGAAACAAGTCAATCAGAAAAATTCGTTGCAAACCCTTCAACAGAAACCTTTATTACTGATGATGTTGATTTATCAAATCAAAGTATTTTATAAAAGTCTATTTATAGAATATTTTCAATAAAAATAATATTACATGTATAATTTAGTTGGACATTTCGAAGGCTAATTAACAGATACATTTTAGTCTCAAATGTATCTTCGACATTTTTTATAGATCTACGAGAATTTATAAAAATCAAGAAATATCAAAATCTCATAAAATTTTTCAATTTCATAAAAAATCAAAGCATAAACAAGTATTTAGAATTTAATTATTAGAAAAATAAAAAACTTTGGTTATTGATCTTGATGAGACCTTAGTGCATTGTAATGAATATTCATAATTGAAATCAGATTTTTATATTCCAGTAAAAGTGAATAATCTAATTTATTAAGTAAGTGTTAAAATTTAATTAGGCTGGAATTAGCATTAGACCATATGCATAAGAATTCTTAAAAAATATGGCTGAATATTACGAAATAATTATATTTACTGCTTCAAATGAAGATTATGCAAATTAAATAATAAATTATTTGGATCCATAAGGAATTTTAGTTTCTTGTAGATTATTTAGGGATGATTGTATTAAAATAGAATTAGGGTGTCATATAAAGGATTTGAGAATTCTCAATAGGGATTTAAAAGATGTAATTTTAGTAGATAATTCTGCATTCTCGTATGCTTTTTAAATAGAAAATGGAATTCCAATAATTCCTTATTTAGATAATAAAAAAGATAATGTATATTTTGATTTAATGAAAGGAATTATAACATTTAGAATCATACTTAAAGATTCTAATAAAACATGACGATCTTCGTAACGTCAATACTAAAGTATTTAATTTAAAGGCAATTTAAGACTGCAATTCGATATAGGAGGCTATTAGATAAATAACTTCTAGTACTAATAGTCAATATTTTTGAATAACAGCATGATTTATTTATATTTAATGAACATGTTTATATAAATGAAACAAAATTTTAGAAGAATCTGTTTTAATTATAAATATAATAAATTAATATTCTAATGAATAAGAATCACATATTTTCAAAGAGTATCAATATCATAAGAGATCATTAATATGAATATAAGCCTTCTTAGTAATCAGGTTAAAAAGAACAAAGTAGAAAAGATTCAGAAGAAGAGAGTGGGAATGTTCGTTCAACTTAAATTTTGAAGAAGCCAATTTCAAAAAAAGTAATAGTGATTTAAAATACTGGGCAATCAGGAAGAGTTTAATCACAATAGGTTAATAAAAAGAAAGGAATTTTGAATATAACAAAAAAGGAGGGTGAGATATATAACTATTTTGGATAGAATAATAAATAAAGCAAGATGGTTCATATTCAATATTTATAAGAAATTTGAAAGAAAATACAAAATAATAGGATCTTAGAGAGTTGATTGATGATGATTAGAATATTTTAGGAGTTAGTGTAATTTGATAATTTTTAATTTTAGATTAATAATAAGTAGGCAACAATTACTTTTTCAAATTAAGAGTCAGCAGAGAATGCTATAGGTATAAATAATATTGTTTATATTATTTATTTAGAATAGATAAATAATTCTAAGGATAAAAATTAAGAGATGAGAGCTGTGCCAAATTTTAAATAAAATGATAAAGTTATAGTAATAGGATAATATTCTGATAAAAATAGAAGTAAGGATGATGGAAGACTGAGAATGGATGTTAAAGAGTCTATTTTTGATCGTATTCAGATAAAAAAATGATAAATGCAAATTTTTGTTCAGATTATTTAATTATTATTTATGTATTTAACTGCCAAATCAAAAGATAATTTTTATCCATAAAGTACTGAAGAATAACGTGAACTGAATTAATAATTAAGATATGCAATAGAAGATAATTAAATATTGAAAGCTAAAATAAGAAGCTTAGAATAAGATATTGAAGTAATAAAGGAAAATGAGATTAAGAATATAAAACATTATGAAAAAAGAGAAGATGATTTTATGAAGCTTATAAAATAAGAATAAGAAAGAAATAAAAAATTATATGAAGAATTAGAATATCTTACAAGAGAATTAAGAAATCGAGATGATTAAGTAATTTAATTGGAAGAAAATATAAGAACACTCAATACTGTTGTTGAAGATTAATAAAATAGAATTGAAGAGGAGAAAAATAGAAATAAAGAGATATAAGATTAGATATAAATAAAAGTTAAAAAAAATGATGATATTTTGAAAGATTTAGCATAATTGGAAAATAAATATTCAAAATTTAGAACAAAATTAGAGACTGAAAATGTTCATCTAAAATAAGAATTAGATAAACTATAAAATAAATATAAAAATAAATTGCAATAATATAAGAAAGATATAAAAGATCTTTAGCAGGAGAATAATTAATTAAAAATGGATAAATTAAAATTAGAAGCTGATAATGATCAATTATATAATTTATCAAAGTAGTTTGAAAGCCAATTGGGAAAAATATTACCTGAAATGCCTATAATGGAGAAATAAAAGTAAAAAAATTAAAATTATATTAAAAGTTCAAATGTTTCAAATGAATTAGAAAGAATGAAGATGAATAACATTTAAATGAATGAATAAATATAATAGGCTGACTATGAAGTAAATTCAATTTAATTAATAGATATCATAATTGTAATAGTAACTTTAAGCTGCGATTCAACATTTAGATCGCACAAATTAAGATTTACAATTTATTTAGTAAGAGAATCAAAGATTAAAACAATTAATAGATGACAACAAAGTTGAATAAAAATAAAATGAATATATGATAGAAAAGATGGTTGAATTATCAGAAAAATAGATGGATGATTTGGAATAAAAATTTAACAAAGTTTAAGCTTAAGTAAATTCTTTGCAACATGAAAAAAGATCATTATTAACAGAATGCAACAATCTTAAAATGACAATTGATTAATTAGAAAATAATGAAGTGGAATGGTAGAAGAAAGTGAATAGATTTAAAAAGGAAAATAAAGAATTGACTAGATAATTATCATAATTAGATTAAAATATGAGAGAAATGATTGTTGAAAAACATTCAGAATTGAAAAAATAAAATAATAATATTTCATTAAGATAAAGTAGATTTAGTTAAAAGCTTAATAGTTAAAATCAATCATATAGATCTATAAGAACAAACAACATATTAATGAGTGGAACTAAAGATTTAGATGATGATGATGATGACGATTTAGAAGAAATGTGAATAATAAAATATATAAATTATTTAAATAATGATATTATAGTAGAAATAAGCTTTGAATGATAATAATCTGCACTCTCTAATTTATAAAGGAGAAACTTGTAAACAATCTTGATTCATTTCTAGTTCATCAGGTATGCATATATTGGACACACTATCGATTGCAAATTATCACAGTCCAGATCCATAAATCAAGGACCATTTATTGAAAATAGCTAGAGAACTTTATAAGGATGACTAAGAATTACCAAAATTGATGTAAAGATATGAATTATCTATTGCCATTCTAGAAAAAGAATCATTCAATGTTAAAGTATTATTTCAGCTTAATTAGTAATACTTATCACTGTATGCAACAGTAATGAAAACCAAAATTAAGGAATTTTACACAAACTAAAAGTTTTAGTTATTTTGTAATGTCTATATTCCACCAAAATTTGCTAGAACAATAAATATTTTTTGTTATAGTCCTTCACTTACTGGTTATGTTGCCCTTGTTAAAACTGATTAGATGACTAGTTTAATTGCAATGGAGTAAATGTTATCTCAAATTGATAATAAAGAATAGGAAAATTATTACACATTTGATGAATTATTTGAAGATGTATATATACATTCATTTTAGAATTCTATTCCAATTATCAATATGACTCCTGAAAAAGAACAATAGAAAACAGTGATCAAAAGACATAAAAAGTCTTTATCAGAACATTAAATGTTTGATTTTCAAAGAGAATAAAAATAAGCTTAGATTTTAGCATAAATGCAATCTATAAATTAAGATAAAGCTTGTAATTTAATATTTGAGATATAGTTTATTTTTCTTAGGCAAAACCACAATAGTTTCTTTAGGATGACTATCAATTCCCTTCTTTAGATTAGTTAAACTCAAATAAAAGTGATAATGCAAATATAGATGAATAAAGAAAGCGTTAGACATACATAAATCAATTTGATTAGCAACTATCATAAGATATTTATTAGTAGAAATTAGAAGAAGCAACACTTGACCCTGATGATTTTGATATATTTCCTCCTTTAGAATTGAATTCATTAATAAGTTATCCACAATTAAATAAGTTATAACAAACTGATTTAAAGAAGTAAATGGCAAATCCAATCTACACAGGGAGATTAAAGTTTTTTGATGAATAAAAAAATTATGGATTTATTGTTATGGATGAGGATAAATCTGATATTTTTGTTCATTTAGATGATTTATAAAAGGCTGGAGTGACAAAAGAAGTCTTAAAAACTGCAAAATTAGGGTCTTTAATTAGGTATTTTTAAAGGTTAAAATTAGATTTTAATTTAATTGTATGGTATATGTTGGAAAGTACAAGAAATCTAGAAAGGCTGTAGAATTGAAATTACTAAGCAATTAATAAGCAAACATTTTCAAAGCATATTAATGATTTGATATCTGAATATATTAAGAAAAATAATATATATTAAAAATTTACATCGTAAATAAATAAAATGCAAAAAATTGGCAACAAACTTATTTTAAAGCAGGCCTTAGTATTTTTTAAAATTATAAAATAAGTTTTGGCTAGATATGGAAATGACAGGATTAAATGTATTTTAAGACTAGATTTTGGAATGTGCTTGTATTTTGACAGACTATAAATTGGGGACAATAATAAAAGGTCCACATTTGGTTATTCATGCTGATAAATAGATTTTAGATGGAATGGATTAATGGTGTACAACTACTCATAAAGGATCAGGATTATATGAGGAATGTTTAAATTCAACAATAACAGTGTAATAGGCAGAGGAATAAATACTAAATTTTTTAATTTAAAATAATATACCTCCAAAATAATTGCCATTAGCAGGAAATTCAGTTTATATGGATAGATTATTTGTAATGAAACATATGCCTAAATTGGATTAATTTCTACATTATCGAATAGTGGATGTCTCATCTATAAAATTGTTATGTAAAAATTTAAATCCTTATGTTTGCAATCATTAACCATAAAAGAAATTGAATCACAGAGCTATGGATGATATATTAGAGAGTATAGAAGAACTCAGATACTATTAAGAACATTTTTTGATATGCAAATAGCTTTGAATTAATATATGATTTTGAATAATATTTTTAATTGTTTTAAATAATGTCTGGTACTCTACTAATAAAGCCATTAAGTGCAAAATTAACTCGTGATACTGAAACATTTGGAAAGATGGATCCATATTGTTTAATAAGATTAGGAGGACAAATATAAAGAACTAGATCACATACTGATGCTGGGAAAAGTCCATCATGGAATGATTCTCTTTCATTTCGTAGAACTGGAGAATTGATAGCTGATATAGAAGTTTGGGATAAAGATGAAATTAGCAAAGATGATTTGATAGGTTAAGGATCATTGGCTTTATAACCATATCTGATTCAAAAAAGTGTAACAGATTGGGTAAAGCTGACTTATAAAGTATATTAAGTTAACTACATAGGGTAAATCAGCAGGATAAATTTTATTAGAAATTTAGTTCTTTCCTGATGCTGGTTGTCAACCTCCAATTATGCCTGGTTATTAACAACCATATTATCCACCAAATCAACCTTATCAATAATAATAATTTTATCCTCCGTAACCAAACTACCCACCTTAATAACCTGGTTATCCTTATTAAGGATATCCATAATAATCATATCCACCTTAGCCAGGATATCCATAATAATAATAAGGATATCCGCCTCAACCTGGTTATCCCCCTTAAGGATATCCTACATAACCTGGATATCCACCTTAAGGCTATCCACCTTAATAACCTGGATATCCAACCTAAGGGTATCCTCCTTAATAACCTGGATATCCACCTTAATAACCTGGATATCCACCTTAATAACCTGGATATCCTCCTTAATAACCTGGATATCCACCTTAACCAGGATATCCTTAATACCCAGGCTATCCTCAGTAAGGATATTAAAAACCTTTTTGAAAGATATTATTATTAATAACATAGATTTAAGATATATTGTCTATAAAAATACAAAAGAAAATTAGAGTAAAATTTAACATTGCTTTATCAATATTAATTCTTTAATAAAATACTTAATATATGTCTGATTATACTATTATTATCTCATTTAGCATTCTTCTTTGCTTCTTATTGTTTTTTGAGCTAATTAGCATCCACAAATACTATAGTCTTGCATCTCTTAATAACTTTTAACCATTTTAATTTGCATTTGACACATTCAAGCCTATTCTCTTTAAATATATATACTTTAATGCCACCTTTTTTGTGGTCTTTGCTTTCTTTCTAAAAATTGGCTTTGTTTAGCCTCCATAACCAGCTTGTTTCATATCGTACCTTCTTCTACCTTAAGCGAAAGGACTTTCTTTGCTCTTTTTATATTAGGAAACTTTGCAACTTTAATGATTTCCACATTTTCTGCAGTAGGTTTTTCTATTCTTTGGTACGTTCACCATTTAATATTTTTTAAATAAAATTTAATCATTTTTAAAAAAAAAATTTATAAGAAAAATAATCAAAAAATATTAAATTACAAAAAGAAAATGAAAAAATATTCTTCTTTATATGAATATTATTACTTAGATTATCAGATAATATCCTTCAATAAATTATTAATCTCTTCAGCAGAATAATCAGGTAAATTTGGTTCAATTATCGGTTGGGAATTTGATCTTTTAAGTTTAGTAAATTACTCCTTGTTTTTCATTTAATCAGCTGATTTATTTCTACAAATATTAATTATAATAAAAACACTCTTTCTTCAAAATGAATGGATCCATTTATTGTTGATACTTATGGAAGGGGAAACTATTCTTTTGCAAGTAAAGATTCAGTTAATATCTATACTATGGCCTCTTATTAACAATTCTTCTATTTCTTTTTTGGGTTCTATTTTCTCTATTTCATATTTTAATCTTCAGATTTAACCATTAAGTAAAATGCAAAGCATATTACGCAGACCAATAAAATTCCAATTTATTATTACTTAGACATAAATATTTAAAAGTTATTGTAAACAATAGACATCTATTCTAACATACTTGTCTTGGCATGCATCCAATTTGTAATTTCAGATTTTAAGTGATTCTTTTAACCAATTTATTGCAAATCATTTTAATAAAGAGCTAAATCTACTTCACTTAATTAAACATCTTGAGCATTAATTGGAGTATTGAATTTGTTGTGAATTTGTATTTACTTCTTAGGGATAGCTTGGACAATATTTAAAAACACTATAATCCAGAACACTAATCTCATTTAAAACGGAATATTAATAAAAAATTATAATGTATAGTTAAACTTATGGAAAATAATAAGCTACTAAGACAGCAAAATTAAAATTCTTTTGTTAAATGTGTAGAAAATAATGTTATGATGAAAATGGATTTCGTTGTCATTTAAATTCAGGTCATCATATGAAAATGATGAGACTTTATAATGAAGATCCTGAAAATTATATTGAATAATTTAGTTAAGAATTTGAAACAGCTTTTATGGAGATATTAAAAGAAAAATATAAAGAGTAAAAGATTGGCTCAAATAAAGTTTATGAAGAAATGATTAGAAAAGTAGATCATGTACATTTAAATGGAACCAAATGGACTAAATTAACAGATTTCATTTAATATTTAATTTCAAATAACAAAATTGGTTTTGATCATTCTTAAGGAGATATTGTGATTTGGAATCTTAATATGAATCCAGATAAAATTAAATATGATAAAGTAGAAACAAAAAGAGTTAAGTTAGTTGAAAAATAAAATGCCTTAATTGATAAGTCATTAGAAAAGCAAATAATTAAAGGATAATAATAAGATTCTAATAATCAAATTTAAAAGGAATCTTTGGATTTGAAATCTACTGAATAAGAATGTATTAAAAATTAAATTGAAGCTTAGCCATAAGAATAATTTATATCATTTGGTATTAGTTTCAATTAAGCGAATAAAAAAGACAGTCATATAGTATTAGATGTTGAGACTCAAGTAAATAAATAGTGGATAGAGGAAAGTCTTCTCAAATAATAAGGTTTAAAGGAAAATATGGAGAAATTATATCAAAATATTAAGTATAAAAATAATTAAAACACAGTAAATTAACCTTAATAAGTAACAGAATAAGTTATTGATGATTTTCCATGGATTCAAGAAAATATTGTTGTAAAAGTTATAGATAAATAATTAAACAATGGAAAATATTATGGAAAAAAAGGTATTGTGAGAAGAGTCTTAGATTAATATGGTGGATTAATTGAAATTTAAAGTAGTAATAAAGAGAAAGTGATTATTGATTAGAAGTTCCTATAAACAGTAATACCCAAAATTGGAAATCTAGTTATGATTTTAAAGGATGGATAGCATAGAGGGAAAGTGGGTAAACTTGAAAGTATTCACTAAGATAACTATAGTGGAAGTGTATATTTAGAAAATGAAAATATACTTTTAGAAATGCCATTTGATTTATTTAGTAAAATTAATTGTGAATGAATTATAATTATACAAAGTTCCTATCATGCAAAGCTGTAAAAGAATTATTCATTATGATTTTCAATAAAAAATATGATACTGCCTAAGAACAAATTCATAAAATACTTTATTAGGAAAACCTTTTTTCTTAGTGTTCAAAGGAATATATAAAATTATTGCATTATCAATCCATTTTATAAATAAACGATCGAAATTACTAAGATGCAGAAATCAATATTCAAAATGCTATGCTCCAATCCAAATTGATAAATGAAAAAGCTTACCATAATTATTTGTAAAATATTCAATAGAAATAAGAACTTTGTATTATTTATTAATTTCTTTTACTAATGTCAATGAAATACATTGGAAAATTAAGAAATTTAAGAAGCATAATTTCTTATCAGATTTATCACCTATCTAATAGGCTAAAATCATGAATAGCTTAGCAGTATATATTAATAGTAATCGAGATTGGCAATTTATTCTCAGTTTCTAGTTCATTAATTGATAGTGTACAATTATTAAAACAAGCAGCCGAGTTATAACCAAGTTTATCATGTAATTATTCAAGATAAAATAGCTACTAATTATTATAATATTGCAGCTATTTATTATTTATTTGGTTAATCTTCAGATAAAAATGATATCATTATTGAAAATCTAATTTAAAGTTATAAAAGTTTAAAACAACAATCATAAGATGTTAATAACCTTGAAGATTTATGGATTTCTTACAATTTAATAGAATCAAATGAATTTACTCAAAAAGATATTAAAATATTATTGTTGTTGGCTTAACAATTGTTCTTAAACAAATAAACCAAATTAGGCTTATAGTTCTTAAACTTAAGTAATAAAATTATAACTGCAAATTCCGCATTTTAAATATATAAACCTGAAATGAACTTTATTTATGCAGCCTATTTTCTTGATTAAAAATAAGTTGAAAATTGTACTGATATATGTAGAACTATATTATAAACTAACGTACACCCTGTAAAATTTTATTGATATTTAGATTCAAGATTAAATTAAATTGAATTCTTTAAGACTTGCAAACAAATCCACTACTATAATTACAAAACCAATTGTAACCTCATAAACATAAAATAAAAAGTCCTATAGAGGTATAAAATTAAAAAGTGAGTTTCAGAACATTGAAGCTTAAGAGATTGAATTATAAAAATAGTTCAATCTTTAAAAATCATCTTCATATTATTATTAATTTAATTCTGATTTCAAAGAATTATTTAATATTAAATATATTGAGTTAGATATTAAAAATAAAATAGCAAAAATGCTTTAGTGATTGTGTATGATTTATAATTTCATAATAAAGTATAAATTATATATTACCATCTCATAATAATCGGCAATAGAACAGATTCTAGGTATTAAGATTAATCTAGAAACTACAATATTTGCCAACATTTTTATATATATTATTTTTATGTTACTAATAATATGTATATTGATTAGTGGCATCAATTCATTATAAGGTTTAGTCTCTGTTGGTAGAGCCATTAAAACCTAATAATAAATCAATTATTATTTAGGAAAATATCATCTATCTCTGAATATGGATTTGATTGATTTAAAAGAATATAAAGATTTTGATGATATAACAAACTTAAGATATGCCTCAAAATGTGAATATTGCAATAAAACATTTAAAAACTCATCCTATCTCTAGATGCATTAATATAATAAACACTTTGATGATAATCTCAAAGAAACAATAATTATTTTAAATTATATTTGTGAATTCACTAATTGTCTTAAATCTCATGGCAGCAATAGTTTGTAAGCATTGCCAAAAAATGTAAGAATACAAAAATGTTTAAAATTTGCGAATTTATATGTAAATTTTTCAGTTTTGGAGCTATAAAATTGTATGAAAATATAAATATAAAGTGAATAAATTTTGCGATGATTTGGTTCTAGATGAATTAGATCCATTTTATTAGGAAACTCCTTATTGGGATGCCTTTATGAATATTGTTAAAACTATTGGTATCACTATATATATTTTTGGATCCTTATACATAATAAAAAAAATATAGGATTATGTTTCATTTTTACAGAGAAAGCATAAGCGAACTTAACCAAAAAATTATAAAGAAAAATATAATGTAATGTGAATAGTAATAAAAATTCTATGTAAATTATTTATAAAGTGATTTTCATACTTTTATTAAGGCTTATAAAATAAATCACTATTTGTTTTTCTTTTTGATCTATTTATTTTAAATTACATCTTTTAACTTAGAACTCTTAATTTTTAGTTTCTTTTTTTCTTGATCTTATTATTATGATTAATTTTATTATTATTATTTTTAATCTTTTTCTTCATTTATCTAGTTTTTATTCTCTGTTTATTGATGCTATTGCTATTGCTTTTGCAGTTAATTTAGACTTGGAATTGGATTATTAGGTTAATTTATTTCATTGGGTTCATTTAATATTTCAGTATTTAGTATGGCTTCTTTTATAATTGATTTGGCTTTTTAATCAATTGTAGATCTTTCAATTCCTAATCCTCTTCCTTTAGTCATTAATCCATTTAAAGCAAGTCTCATTCTTGTTCTCATTATAATTTTAGAAATCTAATTAATTTTATTTTAAATAATAAACCATTTAGATCAAATAAGGTTTTTTTGACAAATTTTATGGAATAAGTTTTTAAACATTAATGAGAGTTTCGAATCAACAAAAATATTAATGTAATACTATCTTATTTATATTGAATAAAATGAATTTCAAAATTTCAAAATTTTATATATAGGCTCAAAATTCTCATTTGTTAATTCTTAATAATTTATTTATTAATATCTCTTTTAGATATTTTAACTAAAAATCTAAATTGTTATATCGTTTTAATGAGTCAAGATCTTTATTTTCAAAATCGTTAAAAAGAGTTTGGAAAATTTAAAGGTGATTTGAGATTTTATGCTCAAAGAGTAGGTTGTTAAGAAGATTAGAAATAGATGTTGTGATTGTATTTTTCTTAAATAAACAATAAGGATTAATTCGAATACATCCATCAAGCTATTGAATAATATCATCTATTGTAATATGAATAAAGAATACCATGATTAATATGAAGATTTCTATTTAATAGTTTCAAACAAAAAGAGACAAGTTCTTTGGAATTATCATAATTTTTAAGTTCTACATACTTTTTAGTCTTAAAAGTTAAGAATATAGATTACAAATATTTTGAGAATCCAAAATCCTTGATAATTCTACTCTGAAACAAACTCATTAATGGGTAGAACGAGATCATAGGATTGTCTCTTATAGTTTGCAATAGCTTCAAGCATTTAAGATTCTAGGCTCTATAGTTTAATAAAATTTACTTTCCAAAAACTACAAAGTTTAAACTTAGTATTACATTCTATCTTCCTCTCGATTAAAAATCTAAGGAAAGTGATAGATAGGTACATCATCTAATTGACTAAGTTCTTCTTGTATTTTTTCATTTAATTTTTGAGTTTCTGGAGAGCAAATAATACTTAAAGATTTGCCGGATAAAGGTGTAGATGTAAAAGCACACTAGTATAGCATATAATAAAACCTATTATAAATTTCTAATGGAATCACCTTTGAGTTGAGCTTGAACAAGGTTAGTTTGTTTGACTTAAAATTTACTATTTTTTTGAACAGAATGACATTGACTAGACATGAACTTCTAATTTAAAGTAATATTATTATAATCCAATTTGAAGTTAAATTACAATAGGGAAATTATATGAATTAATTTTGTTTAAAAAAAGATTAAGATAGAAAAAAAAAAATAAGAAATAAGTACATAAAAGGAGAAGAAAAAATTCAAAAACTTTAATAATATGAATGTTGATTTATCTATAATTGTTATAATAATTATTGATTTAAATAGAAATGTATAGATATAGGGTTATAGTTTTAATGTTTCGTTGATTATTTAATAGTTAGTAATAGATAAAACTTAAATAAGTTTAGTAAAGAAAGTTGTGTAAAGGAAAGAGAAATGATTAGAATGGTTATTAATTATATTGAATATGTTATAAAATAAAATATTTATCTTATAGAATATTGGTTTATATTTATGAATTAAATCTTCGATGTGTGTGTTTAAAGTAAGAAATAGTGATTGAGAGATTTATTAAAAATTAAATTGTTTTGATAAAAAATGGAAGAAGATCAAGAAAAGTATTTGGAAGATGCTCGTAAAGTTGTTAAAGAATAAGCATATTTTATGAGAGCTTCATTAGAAAAAGCTTAATTAAAAGATGCTTTGAGATATTCTTCAGCAATGTTAAGTGAATTGAAAACTTCCTTGTTGAGTCCAAGAAATTATTACATTTTATTTATGTAGGTGTTCGATGAGATGCGTATATTGGAGAATTACTTTAAAGAAGAGTATAGAAGAGGAAGAAAGATGCCAGATTTATATGAATCAGTTTAACATGCTACATACGTCATTCCACGTTTATATTTACTAATCACAGTGGGATCAGTATTTATATAAACTCATGAAATTGGAGCAAAAGTAATCTTGCTTGACTTATTGGAGTGTATAAAAGTAATAATATTAGTATATACATAAATTTAGGCTATTTAACACCCATTAAGAGGATTATTTATTAGATATTATTTCTTGAAATTGTGTAAAGATAGATTACCAGATACTGGATCTGAATATGAAGGACAAGGAGGAAATATAGATGATGCTATTGAAATAATTATAAGAAACTTATCAGAGATGAATAAATTATGGATTAGAATGTAGGGTTCAAAAGATAAGTCAAAGAGAGAAAGAGAAAGATTAGATCTGAAAGTAACGATTGGTGAAAATGTTACCAGATTAAGCAATTTAGAAGGTGTATCATTAGATACTTATAAAACAAAAGTTTTACCAAAAATCATTGATATTATTACTAGCAGTAAAGATCCTATCTCTTAAACATATTTAATGGATTGTACTATTTAAGCATTTCCAGATGAATATCATTTATAAACACTTTAAGAACTTCTTAAGGTTTGTACAACTTAACTTGAACCTACTGTGGATATTAAAAATATATTTATTAATCTTATGGGTAGATTAGCAGATTTTGCATTAAATAATGATATGGGAACATTCAATTCTGAAGTCGATATTTATAGCATGTTTAAATAAAATATTGATAAAGTAATAATATTTAATTTATATTTAGATGTTAGATTCTAATAGTTAAATTGAATTCAAAAATTTATTAGACTTATAAGTTGCATTTCTTAATTTTACACTTAGATGTTATCCTTAAAATTCAGAATATGTTAATGATATTCTTAAATCATGTTGTAGATTATGTGAAAGATAAAATGAAACTGATTTCACTGAAGAATGTTAAAAAAATATTGTTAAATTCCTTGCAATGCCTTTAGATACCATGAGTCTATCTATTTTAACTATGAATGAATATCCTAATCTTATGAAACATTTACCATTCTAAAAAAGAAGATAAGTTGCTATCAAAATATGTTAAGCTGTTATTAATTTAAATTAAGTTATTGAAGATTTAAAAATTACTGAAGAATTACTTAAATTTATTTCACCATTATTAATTACATAAAATGATTATGTTGAAATTGCAGAAAATGAATTTGAAGAAGAATAATAATTAGTAGCTAGAACTGTTCATTTAGTTTCAAATCATGATTTATCAATTTAAAATACTATCTTACAAAAATTCATTGCCAAATTTAAATTAGGAGATATTAATAGATAAAAATATACTTATCCTGCTGCCATTTTTGCTTTGTTTAAATTGATTTAATAAATATTTACTTAAGGAGGACCTTAAACATGTAATTTATATTTCCATTATTATATTAGAAGACACATAATATAAAATTTTATTTGATTAAATCAAAGAATTAATTGAAGTCATTTAAGGAAACTTTGCGGAACTAGCTTTAAAACTTTACTTAAACTTTTTATTATGCATCAATATTGTTGATTAAAATCAAGAATTTGATGAATTCTCATATGATTTAGGAACATAAATTATAACCATATTTTAAGATGAAATTGGTGATTCTAATTTGAAAGTCATCTTATTAAATTAAATAATGTCAACTTTTGCTAAATTAAATTGTATTAATCCTGAAAATTTTGATACACTTGCTGGAAATGCTACATAATAAGCTGCTAAATTATTGAAAAAAAATGAATAAGCTATTGGAGTTCTAAATGCTGCTCATATGTTTTATAACGATTATTAAAGAAATTCTTAGAGGGTTTAAGAATGTTTCAAAAAAGCTTTGAAAATAGCTAATTAAAGTATTGGTAACAATCCAAAATTTGTTTATGTTTTTATTTAAATTTTAAATAAATATTTCTACTTCTTTGAAAAAGTTGAGGTATATATAGTTATTATACATTTAGTTTAAAGAGGCTGAAATTTAAGAAGTTATCAAAATTATTCTTGAAAAATTACCCAAAGCATTGACAGATAATGATGAATAATCTAAAAAGATTAAAATTTTATGGGCAGCCACATAAGAAATTGTTAAAGAAAGAAAAAGAAGATCCATTTAAGCTTATCAATAAATAAATATTTGAATATGATATGAACCGAATATTTAATTATCGAATCTATTTTCTTCTTCCTTATTTCTAATTACCTTGATCCTTAAGTCAACAATTTTTAAATTGCTATTTTATAATAATATATAAAATGTATAACAGCCTTGTAAGTAAATAATTTGATATATATTAACTAGGTTACTACAAAAGGTTTTTACAATCATCGATTTTGTTACTCTGTTCATGAATAGAAACCTATTAAGATTGAATTTTCATTTGAAGAATCAAAACCAATAAGCCCATTGATTAGAAATATTTAACCAAGAGTCAGATGGCCTTCTGCAAATTAACCTAAAATTAAGCTTAATAACTTTAATGAGAGAGGAAAGTAGTTTTATATGGAAACTCCAAAAATGAATGATATATCAAGATAAAGTCGATCAGCTGGGGGTAGTAGACTTAATACAAATGAATTTAGAGCCACTTATAGCAGATGGATATGTTCGCCATTGTAATAGGCTTCAAATACCGTAGAAACTACAAAAGGATTCTATACTTTAAAATATATAGGAGAACATAATTAATAGATAGGAGTACTTACAAAAAAATTAAGCATGATTTCAAGTCCAAAAAATAATGGAAATAAAAGAATTCGAAGTTACACTCCTTCTGTTGTAATAAATAATTAATATATTGTGAATAAATATCTAATTCCTAGAAAATTAGGTGAACATAATTGAAATTATTGATTTTTATAAAATTATACTAATAAAAAATGTTAGATAATCGTGCATCATATTTCAATGTTTAAGGAAATAAGGCAAGCATGAATTTGAATGTTAAATTGTTTTAATCAATGAAATCAAAAGGGTAGTTAATAAAATCAAAATCAAAAGAGCCAATACGAGGACAATTAAGAACTTTAAAGAAATTGGAAGATAATATTGAAGAACCACAAATGTAATAAAGAGCATTAACAACATAAAAGAAACTAGCACCTTTAATAGAAGAGTCTTAATAAAAGAATGAAGATCTAAATCCATTGCGATATAATTTAATTCAATTATTAGTTTTGATGGGAAAAAAAGAATATTATTTTGATAAAATAGTGAAAGATGATTTAAAATTAATAAGAGTAGTTTCTTTATCAAAGGAGAACCCAGAGGAACATCTATAAAAAATAAAAAAATTTTTAAGCAATAAAGTTCGTTATAAGTATAGAAGCACATTTAAAATGTTATGTATAAAATAATAATAATTTGAAAGTGTAAATTTAACTTGAATTATTGAAATACAGTCCAAAAAAGAAATCAGTTGCAATAAAAAATAGTTAAAGAGATTTTGAATAGGATGAAGAAGATGAAACACCAAAAAAGAAAAAAATAAGTGCTAGAGGAATTTAAGATTATCCTACATGGAAAAAAAAAAATAATGTAGCTTTAAATTAAAAAGTATTTATAATAACTAGTGGATATCATGCATTAAGAGATGCATTATTAGAAAGAAATTGGGCAGAAAATGATGATGCATATAGTCCATTTTTTGATTTAAAATGGACTTGTAGTTTAAGAAGTGATGATTTTATGAATTTGATGGAATTTCAATAGATTAATCATTTTGATTGTAATTAATGTTTATGTTCTAAATATGGATTGGCTAGAAATATTAGATGTATAAATAATTGGGAATCATTCTTTCCAAGATGTTATGATCTTGGAGATTTAGTTGATTTTTCAGATTTCATTGAAGATTTTAAAATATCTAAAATTCATAGTATATTATTGGAATTTGAATAAAGTTTATCGAATAATAATAATTAAAATAAAATAATTGTTGAACCAGAAGACGATGACGAATATAATAATAATAATAAAGGAGATGAATAATAAAATAATACAATAAGACCAGAATTAAATTATAATAATACTATTAAGTTTGAAGATCAAAATAATAATACATTAAGAATAAAAGAAGATAAATAGTAATCTTATAATATTAATTAATTAACATATAGATAGAGATTCAGAATAAGACTTTGTTTAGTTGTTATGAATAGAGTAAATAAATCTTTAATTAATATGATTAAAAGTATTTTAAGAGATGAATATCCATTTATTCATCCTGGTGAATGGATAGTTCTATTAAAAGATCCAGAAAAACCTAAAGAAATTTTAATTTAAGATTATATAGAATAATAACTAAAATTAAATGGATATGAAGATTATGAAGGAGTTTAATTTTTATAAAAATATGTTCCGTAAATAAAAGAATTACTTAAACAACTTAGTAAAAATCCTTAGAATTCTCTTTAAGGAACTAGAAATATTTGGATTGTTAAGCCTGAATATTCTTCTAGAGGAAGAGGTATTAGATGTCTTGATGATTTATATCAAATTTTGGATAATGTAAATAAAGAAACTATGAATTATGTTGCTATGAAATATATTGAGAATCCTTTGATTATTAAAAATCGTAAGTTTGATATTAGATAATGGATAATAGTAACAGAATTAGTTCCTTTAAAAATATATTTCTATAATGAATGTTATATTAGATTTTCAGCAGAAGAATTTGATATTGATTAGTTTCATAATAGATTTGCTCATCTTACTAACAATGCTATTGCCAAATATTCATAAAAATTCCATAAATCAGAAATTAAAGGGAATATGTGGACATAAGATGATTTTTAATAATATTTATTAGAAGAATTTGGTTGGGATGTTTTTGCTGAAAAAATATAACCTAAATTTAAAGAAATTGTTATTAATAGTCTAAAATGTTGTAGTGATTAATTAAAAAATAGAAAGCGTTCCTTTGAAGTTTATGGATACGATTTTATGATTGATGATTAATTTAATTCTTGGTTAATTGAAGTTAATATGTCACCTTCTAGTGATACTACAACTCCAGTCACTGCATAAATCATTCCTAAAATGCTTGAAGACATTGCTAAAGTTGTTGTCGATAATTAGAATAAAACTAAAAAGAAAATTGGTGGGTTCTAATTAATATACAACAGTGATACTAAATTATTATGATGAGGTTTAAATAAATTAATATGTATCAATTCTTTTTAAGAATAATGTGATTATATTTAAAATCAATTTATATTATTATTAATATCTTCCAACTATTTTTAGATCAACATTTAATCAAATTAGAATTTAACTCTTTCTAAAACTTTTTTTGATTCTCATTTAAGTTTTTTTAATTTTAATAATTAAATAAAAATATAGATTATTAAAATCTGTGAAAAATAATCATTGTTAGTATTATAAAATAAACATCCTTATAGAAGAAGATTTAATTCTAAAAATACATAATTTTTTTAAATATCTATATTTAAAAAAATCAAAGCTAATTAATACCAATATTTTTTAAATAAGAAATTATTTGAGATTAAATCTAAATGATCAATATAAATTATTTCTTTTATTTAAAACAAACTATTTTTATTAGTAGTTCTATAAATTAGAATTAACTTTACAGAGTAAATTTGTTTAGGATAACTTTATTTGATATTATACATCATAGTAAGAATTTACGAATTATAGAGATATATGTTTTTTAGTGAGATTTTTTATAATTTCTAATAATTTCTGTTATAATTAAGCCATCATTTTATTTATGAGTAGAGTCAATAATTTATTGTCATAACTTCAAAAGTACAAGAATATAAAGTTGCCATAAAAAGTAAAAATTGTAGAAATGGGACCTAGAGATGGATTATAAAATGAAAAGACAATAGTGGAAAGTGAAAATAAAATAAAATTCATAAATCTGTATGAATAAAATCAATCTAAAGATTATCTTAATGTGGATTTTAAGCTATAGAGACAACAAGTTTTGTATCAAAGAAATGGGTACCATAAATGGGAGATGCCTCTGAAGTTTATTCTAAAATAGATAAATATCCAAATATTAGTTATCCTGTTTTAGTTCCTAATGTAACTGGATTAGATTAAGCATTAAAAGTTGATGTTAAAGAAATAGCTGTATTTGGAGCAGCATCTGAAGCATTTTCTTAAAAAAATATAAATTGTTCTATTGTAAGTATTATTTAATATGTATAGGCTGATTCACTAAAAAGATTTAATGATGTGGTAATAAAAGCATAATAAAATGGAATAAAAATAAGAGGATATGTATCATGTGTCATGGGATGTCCATATGAAGGGGATATCAATCCTTTAAAAGTAGTGGAAGTAACATAAAAATTATTTGAAATGGGTATTCAAAAAAATAAACTATTATATTAAGGTTGTTATGAAGTTTCATTGGGAGATACAATTGGAGTAGGGACTCCAGAGAAAACTAAAAATTTAATGTAAGCTCTTTCTTAATTCGACTTTAAAAAATTAGCTGTTCATTTTCATGATACTTATGATAGAGCTATTCCTAACATACTGGTTGCTTTAGAAGTAATTTAATTCTGAAATTAATTATATAGCATGGCATTTAAGTGGTAGATTCATCAGTTTCAGGTTTAGGAGGTTGTCCATATGCAGGTAAACCTAGTGGAAATGTAGCTACAGAAACTGTCATTAATTCGTTGAATTATTTGGGAATAGAAACCGGTATTGATAAAGAAAAACTCAAAAAAGCTTCAGATTTTATTTGTGGTTTGTTAAATCGATAAAACATATCAATCAATTTTTGAGAATCTAAATGAAAGGAAAGTATCACTCATCTGAATTGAGTGCATCAAAAAATATTCCATTTACAATAACTTAATATTGCGTCTCTCTCTCTATTTATTATATATTTATTATTTACTGTTTGGATCATATTATTAAGGACTATCCTATTTTAATTTTGTTTATGATTCTTTTAACATTCTCTTTGATTAAAGACATCCCATTTAATTTATATAAATTTATAAATTTTCAAACATTTTTCCATTATTTTATAAAAATTTTCTTAATATATTCATATGATTCCAATCTTAAATAAAGTAGATACTATTATTTTTTCATATCATTCATTTCTACATAAAATTTTATTTCAATCATATATATTATATAGAAATCTATATGCACCATAAATTAACTTTTTATTAATAAAAATTCTTGACTTATTTTTATTAAATCCTTATTCAAAACAATCTTAATAAATCTACTAATTCTTAGAACTCTTTAAAATTTAATAAATATTCACTCCTTTCATCATTATTTGTCTTTCTTATTTAATTACTTTTCCAAATCAAATAGATTGAGATTTTCATCTAAATTTTATTAAAATGAAAAACTTATTAATTTAGATAAAAATTTGAGATTTTTTGTTATTTAAATTATCGTTCATTCTTTCTATTACTAATTTGATTAAATCAATATAAATTTTTTAAAGAAAATTCTGTATTTTTTTATAAAAACAGAAAAAATATAAAGAAATTTTCAAATTTTTAGAATGATACAATATATAAAAATCACAAAAGGATTTTAAGAGATTTAACCAGAAATAAAGAGAAAAATAATAATTATATAATAACCGTAAAAAAGTTCAAGTTTAACTTTACCATAAAATAAATAATTAAATGTTTATAAATTTTCTTTTGAAAAAAAAGTGGTGTTTTAAGTCTTTTTATATTCAATCATTTTCTTTTAATGATCTATCAAGGAAACTCCCTCTAACTGTAGTGTTTTTTGCTTATCTAATTCTATCAAAGAGAGTCATATTAGTTTTTGTTCTTTTCATTTCCCTCATATCAAATTCGTTTTGTTTATCATTCAATTTATCATAATATAAAGCAATTTTTTATAATACAACTTCTAAATTAAAATCAGGGAAATAATATTTAGAAGATTTATATCTATCTAAATCCAGTTCAAAATGAACATGAACAATGTCTTAGATTCTTTTTTAAATGCCATCAAAAGAATGTGCAACATGAACACTATTATTATCTGTTGCTACATTATTTTCTTTATTATTGCTATCCAATAATGCAGTATTACTTGGTCCTCCAGTTGTATAAACACTTGAACTGTATACATCATTTCCTAATATACTTTTTTCGACTTTTTTTGTTGATTTAGTATCACCTTCAATTCCTTAAAAGAATTATAAGAGTTAAGTAGTTTTCCTTCTCTTTTTTCTTCTTGTTATATCAATACTAAAATCTTAAAATATTTACTTATTATTTGTTTTTTTTGAAATTATGCTATTTTCTCTAGCTTCTATTCTTTATTTAATTTGATTTTCTTATTAATTAAGAGGAGGAGATTAATCAAAATTGGACTCACTACCTTTACTAATCTATTTGTTAAATAATTAGGCTGTTTTCCCATCTAAAATAATATAAATTTTAATAACCTTAATGTTAAGATATCCCACTATCAAATTCAAGCCATGATACTTTTCTTATTCCAATAGCATTTTAATTATTATGTTTACTTTTTACCATTTTCAGTTTATTATGAATATAATTTTAAGATCCAATATTAGTATTTTGAATTTTAACCTCTTCTTAGATCATAGATTCTTCTAATATATCAGCTCCTCCACCATTATTTTGATGATATTTTCCTTTAATTGATTATAATGTTCTTCCTCTATCTAGACCTTAAAATTTTATTCTGTTCATGCTTTTTTTTAATTAACTACCCTAATCCCAATCAATAATACTTTCCTAAAATATAAATTTTAAATTTACATTTGTTAAATTAATTTTTTATCCTTCTTTATGAAATATGGCTGTCTAATTTTATGATTTTTAATCTTATAATACAGTTTATATCGAAGGTTATTGTATAGGTTATTATTAAGAATTATTTTCATATTGAGATAAGATTTTTGGATCTTTAGACATCGAATTTTTTTTAATGGGCACAATTTTAGAAAGTTCATCATCTTTTTCATTTAATTCAAAACCCAAATTAATAAGATAATTATCATTTATTTCTCTATTATAATAATATAATAAATACTTTTCTGGTATTATGTTATTAAGTACTATATAGCCTAGAGCAGCTTCTTAAACTTCAATTACAGTATTTCTCCAATTAGTTTTAGGTAGAGTTCTATATGGAAATTTCAATCTTTTATTAATTTTAGTTGATACAAAAGAACTTGCTATTTTATTTTTATTGGGTTATAGAAAGACGAAAGGACATCTAAATAAATGGATAAATTTACTGAATAAATCTATGAGTCCATCCACAAATTTCACAAATTTATCCAAAAGCTTTATAATTGGTATTAAATAATAGATTGTCTTTAGCTAAACAATATTTTTAAAATTCATCATTATTTTCTTACAAAATTAAATAGAATTATTAATAACTAAATAAAATAAATAAGACTACTCAACAACTAAAAGTTAAGTAAATTTAGTAGCTCTTGCATTATATTCATAGGGGGTTTAAGATATAAATTCTCTTTCACCAATAACTGCTCTAAATTATATAGGCAAATAGAGTACCCTTGAGTTAATTTTTTTAAGAATGTTTCAGTGTAATAATGATCATCTTCATCTAATGATAATAGAAGATTAATAATATACTTTAATGATCAGCAACATATTCAACAGCACCAGATAGAACAAACCATAATGCTTTAGGAGAGTCATTTCTTTAAAAAAGTACTTATTCAGGATATAACTTAGTTTCTTTAACAATTTAACATAATCTATTAATAATAGATTCACTAAAATTCTCTCTTAAAAATCTTGATTGTTTGAGTGTCTTACTATAAATATCAATTAAGACTTCTTCCCTTAAATGTTTAGTTAATTATTCTATAAATTATTCTGCATGTTAATCTTCTTCTTATTTGACTTTCAAGAAATATTCAAAATATTTTTTAACCTAAATAATTTTAAAGTTGACAATACTTTTAATTACAAATTATAACTTAAACCTCTTTTTCTAATGTGTTAATTAATTTCTCTAATTCTTTATTTATAAATAGCTTTCTTATCTGTTATTTATTTGAATATATTTCCAATATTAGATAGACAATAACCAAACACACCACAAATTAATAATGTTACTAAAATAACAAATACTCTCTCTACTGTAGTAACTGGAACAATATCTCCATATCCTACTGTAACTGTAGTTATCACACTCCAATATAAAGATATTATATATCTATCAAACCATTCCAAATTCATTGCATCTGGTTCATAACGAGTCAACCAAGTTACTTCTTATCCATAATCTTAATATTCTATTATTGCAACCCAATGCCATGCACATCCACAAAAATGTCCTGTTAATAATAAAAAGAATATTAATTTCAATAAATCCAGAAATATTTATATACTATCCTAACATTTTTATTTATATTTATTATACTTCTAAGTTTAGAACTTCTTCAATACTTGTCATTAATGGTGATAATCTTGTTAATCTCAATAATAATGTATATCTCACAAATGGAATATCTAAATAAGAAATCAAAAATGGAATCACTACTATTATATCCCAAAAAAAATTTCCCTTTACATAATGTTTCATTATTTGCTTTCTATCCTCGTGCATTAATCCTTTATCGTAGTATGCTGTATTAAAATTTAATAAAATTTCTGCAATAAATACCCAAGAAGGCAATAAATCAAATATCCATTCAAATAATCCAGATGATCTTACATCAAAACTTATATAAATTGGAATATAGAATATATTAACTACTATAAATAGTAATAGGATAATGTCCCAAACTATCTTAAATAAACTATCAGGTTTTATCACTTTCACATATTTACTCATAAACTCATTTATTTATTCTATTCCATTTAAAAGCTTTAAAGCTCTATTTTAAAAATGATGGAATATTATTAATCCAAAACTTGGTTTCTATTTAATTAATCTATTTATTAGTAAATATTCAAAATTTGCACTGTTATCACAAATTACTTCAAATATTCTTTAAGTTATTAATCTGAATTTAATTCTTTCAGTTTTAGTCTTTAATTACTAAATGAAACGAGATACTAATCTAATAATTATTAATGCTTTCTATCCCCAAACATCATTTAATCTTTCTATTTATTAAATAATAATACCCTGTTTTCATTTCTCTACTTTTTCCTCTTAAAACTAATGATTGTTATTTCACTGTATCTCGTTACAATTGTGCTTTCCTTTATTTCTCATTTTACTCTTGTTCCTCTTCCAATTATTATACAAATGTTTAATATTTTGCTATCTTAGCATATGATTTAATTCCTAAATTATTACTTTGATTTAATGGAGATGCTATTACAAAGTCATCCTACTCTAATTTTTATTAGAATTAAATTGTTTTGTTTGATTTATGCTTTGGTGCTTTTGCAATCAAAGGTTTTTGCTTCTTATTATTATAACTTAAAGAACTAACTGACCCTTGTGGTTCACTCCTTTTTCCACTATTATATCAAATATTCTTACCTTAGATTACTCATTAAACAATCCTCCTCATTTATATCTGATTTATTTCCTAAATTTAATGCTTGCTTATGTTTATTATCAAATATATCTCTTTTCATTCTTAGAGCCTCTAGTTATTATAATTTAGAAATCTCTAAAGTTGGATCCAATTATTATACATTCATTGGACTATTTTATTCCAAATCAACTAATTATCCTGATGATAAATTATTGCTTTGAATTCCACTCTCCAGATCTTAAAATCCAGCATCTCGGCTTATCATAATATTATTTATAATATAATAAAATTAATGAAATGAGATAAATTTCATCTAATTTACTAATTCCTATTCTGAGTTAATTCAATATTTTAAATTATTTTTTACAACAGCTTTTCTTAATTTAAATAATATTAAGTTAGACTTATATTAAAAAGAACTAAGTTTTGTTAATTAATTAAATAAACATTTTATATTTTGCTTTTCATGAGGAAATATTACATAATCCAATTAAAATAAACTTTTTGTTTTCTAACCTTATATTAATTTTTAAATTAGTAAAATTTAATTTTTTAGATATATTAATATTATCGACTCCTCACATATATTTATATTATTCCTATTTTAATTTCAAATGTAAGTGGTTTCATAAATTAATTAAAAGTATTAATCAATATCCAATAAGTAAATAAGCACTATAATAATAATTCGATGATTTTAATTCAAACTATGATTTAACTAATTAATAATCGATTATCACACACTCTAATAAATATTAAAATTATTATTATAAAATTTAAATAAGACTATGATGCAAAAAAAGTTGTTCACTCTTTTGGAAGGGTATACTTCATTTTCCTAATCATTCCATAAACAACATAAAGAACTTTTAATGCTAACAATTAGAATTTTATTGATTATTAATGGACTTTAGGAATTATCATTAATTTCTGGCTTAAAAACAGACACAAGGTATTTATTAGAGTCTAAAACTAGAAAGATTTTTAGTATTATCTCATAGTTTGTAATTACCAATTAATTGATTATAATTGATAATCAATAGATGCTAATTTATTTGGTTGTTCTGCATCTATTAATAAATGTTATTTGTGTTGCACTTGTGACATATTTTAAAAATTATCAAAATAGTTAATATCTGCTTATGTTATTGATTAAAATCTAGCATAAAATATTGATACTTCCTACATGGAATACCATATTTTATTAAATTAATCATTATCCAAGCATATAAATTTATATTTTGACAATTTGTAATATGATTATGTATATTTAACAAATTTTATGGATGTCAATTTGTAAATAGACATAATTAATTGATTTCACAGGAATTATTTACCATTAAAACCTTTTAGTTGATTTATTTTATGAAGCTATAACAGTATTAGCAATTTTACTTGCTGAAATATCAACAGAAACATGTGTTGTACTATTTTTAGTTAAGTACTTTTCAAAAATTTTATTTTTAAAAAGTATTCTAAATTATAATGCCACATTTTATTTAATTTATTAAGTAATAATGATTAATCTAGTCTTATGTTTTGAATTAAATATGGAATTTATTTTTGTGCTTATTACACTCTCGTTTTCTATTTATATTACAATCAATATAAGAAGACGATTATTTGACTTGTATTTACTTGATCAGAATATTACATTATAGAAATGCTAGTTAATTGAATATTTGAATTATAGCAAATTTAAAAATTAGCATACATTATTATAAAAATCTATACTAATGGTAAGCTAATTAAATATTAAGAGTCATTCTATGGTTTAATTAATCTAAATTTTATTATCAGATAAAAATAAATAGGATTCATAAATAATAAAGATATAGTGTAATTATTCTTAATAATTTTATCCATTAAGATCTTTGATTTTATTTCATTCATAATATAAATGTGATAGTATTTTAAATAAAGCTTATCTGAATGTTATTACATAAGAAATTAATACTTAAATAAAAAGAATTTAAGAAGTCCAAACAAAAAAATCAGAGATTCCAAGATTAACTATATCAGGATTTCTTTAAGCTTAATATAAGAGCATTGAAAGTTTAAGTTATTTAGAATCAACATTAAAATAGAAACTTGGTTTATTGGAGTATCTAAGGCTTGGGTTTTCATCTTAATCAAGACAATAGGATAAGATTATTCCTTATGTAAAAGCGATATCTGAATGTAAAGCAGTGATTCAAAAGGAATATAATTTATAAAAGTTTTGTATAAAGGGTTAATAGTATTCTGATATATTAACTTTAAGAATATTACAATTATATTTTGGTATCATAATGGTGAATACAAAAAAAGTAAATTTAAAATTATAAATTAGGCATTAGAAATAGAAAAAATAGTTGATGATTTATTGAGATATGATAAATAGTTTAATGAATATACAATTAACAATTAAATTCTTCTCACAAGTAAAGTAAAATATACATAACTTAGATAGATCTATGATTCTTTAAACAAGTTTAATTCATGACTAGGGTTAATTATTGAATTATAATAAAGAGTAAGCATCTTAATTTTTTTAATGCCCTTCAGAAACTGTAGGAAATTATAAATATATATACGATTTTATGCCAGACTATATTGCTTCTTTGCATGATGAATTAGTAAACAAATTTTTAGAAAATGGTTATTCTAAATTAATGTAGGTCGGATCACTTATTTTTTTGAAAACTCCTAAGAATTTTATATTACCAGGTTATATTCATTTATATAATCCCTTGAGGATGGATGATATAACATTATATGCAATACTAACATAATCTTCATAGTATTTTGAATATATAGTTTTTGATTAGGATGGCATTATAATGGGAATCACCCAAAAATTATTCAATGTTATGAATGATTTAATATCTGAAAATAATTAAAAGTATTACAGAATTCTCGATATTATAGAAAAGGGCGGATAGATTCTTCATTATATCTCATAAATTCCACAATAATTAAAATAACTCTAAGAAAATATTCAAAGTTCACAAAATTACTAATTAATTAATTTAAGATCATTTTGGGAGTTTCCAAACAATAATAGTGAATGTATTATTCAAACTTAGTATATCATTAACTAAATGAAACTAGGAAATCAAAGAACAGAATCAGAATAGGAAGATAATGAATTTTTGATTGATAACATTTAAGTCAATTTATTAGATCCAAATTTTTAAATTAAATTTTCTACTATTTTAAATAATAGAACAACATATAAATTTAGTGAAATAAAATAAAAAATTGAATTAGCATATACAATTTAAATGTCAAAAATTTACAACAAGATCTATTTTTTATTACAAATATAAGATTATAGATTATCTGATGCACCTGCTACTCTGATGTCATCTTCTTAAAATAATAAATCAGGTGGTAAAACTTTATCATTAACTATATCATAATAATTAGATTTAGAATAGTCTGATATTATTTCATCAGAAGGACATTAAATTAGAGAAATTTAAATATTTAATAATTTACACTAATAATTATTAGTTGAAAAGTTGTTGTTTGATGATCCAGAAATGGACTATGAAGGAGTTTAAGATAAAAATTCATCTAAATAAATGAATTTCAGTTAAAACTAATCAAAAACACCATTCATATTAACCTAAAGATAAACACATAGATAATTATTATCTGGATAACAATCATTTAGAGGATCTATGTAAAAAACTGAATTTGTTTTACCATAATTATCAGTCTAAGAATAAGTAAATAAAGATTATGATGTTTTAAATCAATTAGAAAGAGATATGATAGAAATATCAAGACTTAAATAGGATCCAATTTAAGAATATAATGATAATAAAGTTGAAAATGATAATGCTGATTACATATCAAAATCATTATAAACATCTAAAGATATAGATTAAAATGATCATAAATAACATATGTATAAATTTAACTCTCTTTAAATTGATTTAATTAGAGAAATTGTAGACACTAGTAATAATATTAGATTTTTAACTAATGCTAAAACTCTAACCTGGATTTTAGAAATTCTAATTTTAATTTATATTATCATAAATACTTTACTAGTTTAGAATCAATTTACTAAGTTTAGAGATTAAATAGATGAACTCTAATCTATTTAATCATTAAATAATATAATTGTTTCAAATTATTAATTGTTATAATCTACTTATTTGGAAGGATTAAACATTTATACCTTAAGTCCACTTTTGAAGCAATCTTTAAATTTAAGTCTCTCTGAATCATTTTAAACTATAATTAATGACTAATTAAATTTATAAAGAAAGAGCTGTATCTATCTTGATCAATTAGCTAATGATTCAAATTTTGAGAAATGCTTCACATATTTTAATCGCATTTAAGAAAATGAATTATCTTATTTTAGAAATAGCATTTTAACTAATAATACATATGATTTTTTAAATGCTAAGAAATAACCTTCTTATATCTAAGAATAAATATACTATGTGATCAAAAAATTTTTAATTTACTCAGAATAATTGTATGAATAATTTGCAGAAATTAAATTGAGTGATGTCTTTATTGTCATATTAATTACTGGTTTATTAATGATTATTACCATATTTACGTTTATATTTAAAGTTGTATCAATGAAATCAAGTCTCAAATCTAAATTAGTTACATTACTTTAAAGGTTATCTTAAGAAGAAATAGTTGAATAAATAGCCACTTTAACAATTATTATTGATAGTTGGAAAACTTAATAATGGAAATAATTTAATTTTTATGATTTATGGAATCATAAATAAAATCTAATTATTAAAGAAATTTCCCCTACAAAGAATAAAAGAAAATAAGGGACAAAGAATATTGAAAAAGTATTTCAAGAAACATTTTTAATTTTTATTGAAGCTCTAATTTTAACATTTTTTATTCTATTTTTCGTTGGTGGATTCATTTTACTTTAAAATTTATTTTAATCTTATATACCCTCAGTAATTGTAAATTAACGATTCTTATTATTTTAATAAAAAGTTGATTCAAGTGTAACATTAGGATAAATCATTAAAACTGAACCCTTAGTTAATAATTTTAGAAATAAAACAGAATAATTTGAAATAATTTAAGAATATTTTAAATTAATTAATAATTTACCGACTATTATTTTAGATATTTCTGAATCAATAGTTTAATATGATTTTATTGATTAATCTGCTATCAATTAGATTTTAGATTCTTTAAATTCAGATTATTGTTTATTATATAATTTACAATTTTGTACAACAAATTAAATAGGAATATAATTTTAGATTGAATCCTATAATTAATTTTTAAAAGAAGGAGTTAATGGAATGATTTAACATATATATTAATTTTCAGTAAGTGAATTTGAATAAGAAAATTAAACAGGACTTTTTGAAATAGATTAAGAATTAATCAAGTAAACAATTAGCTAAAGATTATTTATTAATATATTTATTTAGTTTGTAATAGACATTTAGTAAATAATAGATTAAAGTTAGGAATTTTTGATAGAAGGAAATGAAAAAGCAAGTATATTAATTGTAGATAAAATTTTAATTTATTACTATGTGTTAGGATGGATGTAAATATTTTGTTATTTTTAGTTTAATGTTTCTTCTTTTTATAATAAATGCATATTTAATAAAAGCATCAGGATTAGAAATAAATTAATATAAATATTTAATATTGATAATTCCTGAAAATAAGCTTGATAATTCTGTAATAAAACAAAAATTAATCAATATTAGAACATATTTTTTTTGAATAATTTTGTATTTAATAAAAATATTAATGCTTATTTTAATCAAAATACTTCTTTTATAAATTAGTTTAATAAAATTTGATATTATTAATATTTATTCTAGAAATGAATATTTTTGCTTATTTTCCTTCTATAAATAGCTTCTGGGGTTTGATATTATATTCATTTTGTGCATATATAGTGGCTACTTTAATTGCAGAAATAGTATCATCATACATGGTTAATCCTGATTAATTAGAATAATAGAAGAAGAAAATAATTAAATAAAGAGAATTAAAAGATAAGAAAGCATAAGAATTATTAAAGAAGATGAGTTGAAGACAGTCAATTTTATATTATAGTGTCAAATTTAATGTCGAAATTATTTATTTCTTACATAGGCATCTAATTTTAGAAATAAGGCCTTCTAATTATTTTAAATGAGTCTCTATTAGAAATTGGACTATTTTCTCTGCTACTTATTGTGGAAATTAATTTATTTTGTTAAATTTTATACACATTTTGATTTGAAAATGTATTACATGTATTGGATATCATGGCGCTCTTTTTATTTGATTCTTAAGTAGGTGTTTTTTAAATTATTTTTTCAGTTTATGCAACTTTTTTTCTAAAAGTAGCTTCATTCAATGATGTACAAACACTCTTTAAATGTAATTGTTATTCATACATTTATAATTCTTCTTATTTTTAAATTACAGATTACTTGACATTTTCAATATTCAAGTTTTTTTGTTTGAATAATTATTCTATCGATTCCATCATAGATAAATGTTGATTTGAATTTGAAATAAATTAGTTGATATGTTCAACTCTTTATAATGTTTCTTATTCTTATTGATTTAACATCTAAAGATTATTAAATAGTTGTGATTCTTTTTATTCTAAATACTTGACAGAAGATTCTAAGTTATCTTTTAAATTATTTAAATCATCTATTAATTGAGTTTGATTATTAGCCTAAAGATTAATTTGATTCTCTTTTTCTGCCAATTAAGATTCCTTATCAATTAAATTTTTCTTTAAAATTTTTAAAGTTTCGTTTAAGCTATCATTTTTCTGATTCTTTTTTAATAAAGTTTATTCAAATTCTAAAAGTTTTATCTCTTTAATTTTAATATCTTTTTCTTTTTTTTAAAGAGCTTCCATAATTTCTTCAACTTCATTATATGTATCATTTATTTTCTTTCTTTCATTCATATATAATGCTTTATATTTATCTAAATCTTTTTATAAAAGAAGTAATTAATGTTGCATCTGTATTCCATGTAATTTTACTATCATACAATCTTTTCTCTCACATTCAATTACATAAGAATTACCAAATCTATTGCTTAAAGATTATCCATTTGATTAAGTAGAATTATTAATCAAGTTTTTGCTACTATTTTATGGAATTCCATTAAGTTAATTTCCTTTTAACATACAGAAACTAATAATAAAAATTATGATTAAAAATTAACAATAAAATTATTATTCTAGATAAATAGATTATTCATTAGTTGATAAATATCTTAGTATAGTTACAAAATGTTTATAAATATCATTCTAAATCTATTTATTTTCTTTTAAAACTGAGATAACAATTAAATTATAAGCAAATATATTTAATTATTCATAAAATAAGTAAGAACTGTCAGTTTTGATTGAATGTTTTAATAATATAAAATTTTGTTTTTTTGAAATGGATAATAATGTGAATAGTTTACAAGTTGTAGAACAATAAGCTTCCTAAAAAATTAATCAGAGCAATATCAAAAGTGTTTAGATAGATTATAATTCTTTACTTAAATGCACAACAAGTTGTGATTTACCAAAAAATGAAATTGATTAGTTAATGAAAATGTTCAAACGTATGGATTAAAATAAAGTTGGATTCTTAAGCTATCATGATATGATGGATTTATTAAAAGGTATTAGATATATTTTATTAAAGAATTTGGTTTTGAAATAAATTAGAATTGTAAGGAGAAAATTTTCAAAGAAATTGAAGACAGAAATACAACAAAACTTGATTTCTAAACATTATTATACATTACTCGAGTTTGTAAAGATTTTGATTGCAAAGATAAGGAAAACCAAGAATATATACAATATAGTGAATTTAGTAATGGATTGTATAATCATTTTAGTTGATGCATTTGTGGCATTAGGAGGTGAACCTGATGCAAGTGGTTACGTACATAAAAATAAAATTATTGAAATACTATCAGATGAATTTGATTTGAATTTCGATATTGATGAATTATTGGAATAATTAGAAGTTTCAAATGAAAGTTTGGATTTCAATACATTTCGTAGATTGTTTAGAGCAGAAAATAAAAAATCAATAAAACGAAATAGCAGTTTATTATCAGTAATAATCCTTACTAAATTTATAAGCTTTTATCACATAGATCTTTAACACAGAGATCCACTTCTAGTATTTCAACAGTAAAAGTTAGAATGAGAGATTTTGAAAAATTTCTAGAAAAACTTTAAATGGATGAGAATGAAAATGGTGGTTCTCCATCTCCAAAAAAATGATGAAGTATTAATGTTATATTTATTTTATATCAATTATTTTTTATAAATATTTACTATAAATTGAAATAGATTGTATAAAGAATTAGAAAATAATTTTTTTTGAATGGATATAAAACTTATGTTCATTTAGCAGAAACACTATTTTACAAAGTTAAATGTATTAATCAAGAATTCATGATAATTTTTTATTTTTATTAAGTTGTTTTAGAAGATTCTCCAAAAAGCTAACTTATCTTGTTCTTTAAAAATAGGTTTCATTTGCATTAGAAATAGATCTTTCTCTAGGTTTATTTTAGACTTAAATTAATGATATCCAACTCATGGTGTTTAATTGTTATTATTTATTTAGAGGAGACTTTATAGTTGGTAGAGAGGGTTCTCTATTATGTAAATAAGGTAAATAAAGTTTTTATTTGGGCAATTTGATTTTACATTTTGTTTTGATATATTATGGGATATCACCTGAGGTTTTATCTGAAGTAATAAGTGATTTATAATTTATCTAATTTTAAGATTTGATTGATACTGTAGTAATAGTTTAATGTAATTAATCACCTTTAGCACTCTTAGTTAGCATTTAATATATTTATTATAGATTATTAAAATAATCATTCAACTTCCTTTTAATTTTGAAATTCCTCCGAATATTAAAGGAATGACAGCCTAATTAATTGTTCTAAAGACCCATTAAAATGCTAGTTTAGGTAAGCTATGAAGACCTAAAAAGTAATTATATATATATATATTATATTCTACCTATAGCAATGCAAAATCCGATAAAACATAAGATAATCAAGATTGGATATAGGAATAGTGGATTGCCCATCCATCTTAAGACATCATCATACATGAAGAATAACAATAAGAACCAAAAGGGTTTTGGTATATTTTAAAGGAAATCTTATTTCTAAGAATGTAGTAATTATTACATGTTTTTAAATTGCATCTTAATATTAGACATCGATATCTTCACTCAATTACATTTTTATTTAAGTATAAAAAACTTCATTTAATACAATATCATCAGAATCTGTATCTGAAGATATTTAATATTGAATTTTAGGACCTGAAGTAATTAATTGAGTTTTAGCCTTTTATTTAATTGCAACTTGTTGTTTAATGAATTTTACTTTTCGAATTCTCAATATCTCTAAAAGTGATAAAACCTTATCTCTTGATTCAGAGTAGAAATGAAAGATCTCTTCTTCGGTTAATTTTTACCAATTTCTTGGTTATCCATCTGCAGCTCTAACAAATTAAGCCTTAAATTATTAAAATAATTAATCTTTAAATCTACCACTAGCTACTGCTATTACTTATTTTAAATTATAAAAACTATCTTCTTCAAATTTATTTAAATAATCTTCAACCTATTTTTATTATACTCTCAATCCTATTAGTAAAGTCTCATATTTTTTATATTTATCAGAAAACATAGTATAATAATCGATTTCAATTTACAACCAAAACTTTTGTGAAATATTAAGTACTTATGAACTTACAATTTTATCACATTCTGATTTAATTATATTATCTAGTTATTGTTTAAAAGCTGCTAATTAAGCTTCAACAAATGACTTTGTATTATTATCAAATTATTATCTAAAGAATCTTATATGATCTTCTTCATGCCATAATCCTACCTCTATTACAGATTTGCCTAACTATTCTTCAAATTCTACTTTTAATAAATCCAACTCATTTAATCTATCTGGTAAATCATAAATACCTAATCTATAAAATTATTAATTACTTTCTTTTTTTAATTTTTCAAGATTATCTGTTAATTATTCCATATAATATTGTTTAAGTTATTCTGTTTATTTTTAAAAGAATGAAAAAAATTTATTAATTAATTCATCTTTCAATTCTTTCTCTTTTTCTTTATAAACTTCAATATGATAATCTCTAGCATCTTTATCATATATTTTTTTAGCTAAATTCATAATTGTTTAACATTCTTAACCAAAATGGTCAACATACTTTGATCTTACTCGATTTTATAAATCCTAAATTTAAATAATTAATTATACTTCATTTAACTATTTTACACCTTCTAATGCTTCTAATTTAATTTATTAACATCTCATATTCGAAATTAAAATTTTTTCATTTGGTAAATTTAAATCTTTATTATTTGAAATAACTTCCCATATATTTGATAAATATTATGGCATATCAGACCATCTTACGTTTTTCTCATAATCAAAATTTGAAAATATAAAGTTAGGATCTTAATTATTCGTTAATTTTGAATGAAGTTCATTTGTTTATTCAGCAAATTCTTTTTTCATTTTGTAATAGACTAATGTAACTACTTAAACCCTGAATAATTGATTAAAATCAGTCTCTCTATATTAATCAGGCTATGTATTAAATTGAATTTATACTTTAGGAATTTCTTTCCAAATATTTAACAAATAACCATTTAATCTGCGAGATGCCTCTTCATAATTTGCATCTTCATCCCAATCTCTAACAACAAAAATAATATGTTTAACTGTATCCTATTAAAATAATTTTAAATTCTATTGCATAATGATTTTTATTATTGATAATTGACAACTTGTATGTTAACCTAATGCATTTAGAAAAACATTTATTATAAAACAATGTGACATTGCTAATGCCATTAATGCTGTTTAATTTTCAACCATCTAATTTTTTAATTATTATCATATACATTCTCTCCTGATTTTCTCTCTACAGAATCTGATCCTTCTACATCTAACACAACTATATTATTTTAAATATCTTTTGAAATCCAAACACCAACTGTTGTTTAACCTACACTCTATTATCTATTCTAAACATCAAATTTTGTTCCAAATAACTAATTTAACAAAGTACTTTTTCCTGTACTTTGACTACCTATTATTGATATAATATTATAATTTTTCCCTATTTCACTTATTCCTGATTCTTTTACAAATTGTACTAGCTAATCTCTATCCAACTTCTTATCTTCTAATGCTTTTTTATCAATAAGATGATATCTGTCTCCGTAATTTTTAATCATTAAATTATTTAATAAACACGTTCTTTTACAAACACTATTAATTGCTCAAAACAAATTTAATTTATTTTATATCATTTATCGTAGCTCTTCATCTTAACCATTATTTACAATCTAAATCAATTAATTTAATAATATGATTTAAACTAATATTTCAAGTCTTATTCAATATACACCTAATCAGATGTTCTCTCTTAATATCCTCAAAATTTTAGCCATGATTTCCATTTCTATTAGTCATTATGCAATTATCATTGGATAAAATCATAGGCAGAATATTATCAACAGCAATTTCATGATTATTATGATAAACTCATTATATGCTGTTGATATATTCTTTCTTGTTTCAGGTTTCTTACTTGCAAGAAAACTATTAAATAACCCAAATTTCATTTTATCTCCTTTCCAAGCCATTTTCATCATTATTGATAGAATATTTAGAATATACCCTTTATATTGGATACTTTTAATTATTTACATCATATTACCTAAATTATTTACTAATATAGGATATAATGAAACTTGTTTAGATAATATTTTCTATCTTACTACTTTGACACACAATATTTTTAATAAATTTGGATGCTTTGAATGGAGTTGGTACATAGCTGTAGAAATCTAAACATTAATATTCTTGTGTTTATTTCTTCCAATTATTAATCTAATTGTAAAACATATATTATTATATTAGAAATCCGTTTTGTTTAAATCTAAAATTAAATAAAAAAAAGTTGATACTATTAAAGATTTACAAAATTACATTGTAATCTTAATTATTATTATGACATTATACAGTATCATTATCTGCATTTAAAATAATTTCAAGATTTCTTTTTATGCAATGACTGATAAAAACTTTTACTATAATTTTTATTAAAAACCTTAACATAAAATGTCCTCTTATTTAATAGGAATAATTACTGGTTTTAAATATGAAAACAAATGTTATTCTAATATGAGTTATAAAATATTGGCATTTTTTGCAATTATCTTTTCATTAATAGGCTGGATATTTATTAAAGAATACTAGGAATTTATACCAGATTTAATTTAAAATATTTATTAATGTTTATCAAGACCAATATTATGTTTAGGAATTGTATTTTCAGGAATATTAGAGATTAAATCTTCAAAATTTATTGAGCATTTATTTTAAATATTTTCAAAACTTTTATTTAGCATTTATTTAAGTCATTACTTTCTCTATTAAATTATGATAGCCAACAATTTTATAAAATTGGGATTAATTACAAATTTTATTGGTAATTTATTTTCTAATTTTTAGTACAAACGTTTATTATATTTACAGTTTCATCATTTAGCTATGTTTTTATAGAATCAAATCTTAATTTATTGAGCCAAATATGTTTAAGATCAATATTGCCTCAATCTATAAAGAATGAGAAATTAAAAAATTGATTTCTATTTTTGTTAGGGAGTTGAATATAAATTTCTTTATATTAATGATTATATGTTAAAAAAAAAATAAATTATAAACTGTGTTAATAAGAATTTTAGGATTTTTTTTTGATACAATATGTTTCAAATACAATTAATAAAATTTTAAAGCCATATTTTGGTAATGATTTTTATATTAAAATTAATTTTATCTTTAACAAGAATTGAGAAGATTGGAGCAAATTTAGGAAAAATTTTGATCTTGATCTACAGTGATAATTAATAAATTAAATGATATATCGCATTTAAGTTTTAGAAAGTAAAATTTATTATATTTATTTAAAATTATATATGAAATAAAAAAATAATCTAATCCCTGGATTTGAGGCAAATTTGTTATCTGAATAGAGTGAATTGAATTTGTTAAGTGCAAAAGTAAACAGTAGCAAATCAATTTTTCCAAGAACATCCCCATTTTAAGCTGATTATTATCTTTAACCTACAAATGAGAAGAAGCAGTTCAATTATGAAAGGAAAAATGATTATGTTAGGAAATTTGCAAATAATATGATGGATTAAATACAGAAAGTGAAAAAAATAAAAAATTTTCATTTGTCTCTAATAGGAGATTATGGGTCTTCGGATGAATTTATTTTAAAAAGAAAGTCATCCACATTTTCTCCACTAAATTAATAACATTTAAGATTTTTTATAAGTCTCTAATAAATATTAAAGAATAAGCTAGAAAAGTTACCATTAATACATCCTGGTTAATACATGAAAGTGATATGGGATATTGTAGCTGTTGTTGCAAGATTATATTTTTTGTATATAATCCCTATAGATTTAGCTTGGATTCATTAATAATTTATATTCCATGATTTTAAATACATCTCAATACTATTTCTGCTTATTTTAATTTTTGATTTGTTAATAAGTTTAAATACTGTGTATTTCTAAAACGGAGAGGCTGTAACATCAAGAGTCAAAATAGTGAAACACAGTTTATTTAATACTTATGGATTATAGTGGTTATCAGTGCTTTAATTATTAATTTATTTTATAATTGACAGATTTATCCATATATCACTAGATATTGAAAATAATTTAATAAATATAGGTTTGCTGATATTTTTAGTTCATCACAAAACAATAATAAATTATGCAACAAATTATGAAGATGGATTGAATATCTCTAAAAAGGCATCATCTATATTTGCTTTATTTAAATTGATAGCTTTTTTATTTTATGTGATTCATTTATTTTCTTGCTTTTGGTTTTGGGTAAACGATATTAAATAATTTAGGTTGGGAAATATAGTATTGATAATTATGATGGACAGAGTTGGATTATGTCAACTAATATGTTTGAATAACATTGGAACACATAATATCTATAATCATTTTATTATACAGCAGTAACAATCTTTACAGTTGGATATGGAGATGTGACTCCATAATCTAATATTGAGAAGATAGTGACAATTATTCTAATAATGATTTCAAGCATTTAATTACCTTTTAGTGTAAATACAGTTGGAAATATAATCACTGAAATGTCAGCCTTTTCAGAGGAAAGAAAAAGAAAGCTAAGAATCATCAATTCTTATATGAATAAGAGTTCAATGTCTACAGGTTTATAAATGTAGATCAGATAGTATCTCACATATTATTGGGAAAATATAGTCATATCATAATCTGAAGAAGAGAAAGAGATAATCGATAGTTTATCTGAGTTTTTGAGACAATAATTAATTAGTGAAGCTCATTAGAAAATATTTGATTAGTGCACATTATTTAAGATACCTTTTAGTGAATAGTTTAAACGATAACTAATTAAGGAAGTTGAAGAAGTACTTCTAACTCCAGAATAAGATTTGAAATCACCAAATGATATCTTATTGTATTATATAGAGGATGGTCAAATATAAATTTGTTTGTAATAAGGTAGAAAAATTAATTTAGGAATTGTTAATAAAGGAGCATCAATTGGAATTAAAAATTTTATTATGGGCATTGAACCTTTAGAAACTTATAAAAGTCTTGGATTTACTAAGGCTATGATTTTAAAAAGAAAGAATTTTCTTAAAATTTTACAAGAGCATCCAGATGATTAAGAATTATTTTTTTCTATTAGAGATAAAATGATATTTTACAAAGATTATTAATATTTTACTGTATCTTGTTTTTCATGTGGAAAGGATTCTCACAAATTAATTGAATGCCCATTAATTATTTATGTTCCAAATAAGGAATTTATCATTAAAAAATACCTATATCCCTAAACATAATCTAGAAAACCATATGTAAGAACTTAAAAAAAACTAAAAGCATTAATTTCAGATAAAAAAAAACTTGAATAATCAGCTTTATTAATATAAAAAGACGATCCACTTTTATTATAATTATACAAATTTGATCATATACATAATATTGATGAAGAACATTAACAAAGGCAAAATATAAGATCAACAACTTCCTTTTAACATATTAATAATAATATTACCTAAATCAAAAGAGATAGATATTTTTCACTCTAAGATCAAAATTAAAGATTGATTTAAAAAAAATTTTAGCGTCTTGTTAATAAAGTAATATCAATAAATAAAGTTTATCCTCATTTTTTAATTTAAACATATGTTCAATATGAGAAATTGATTGAACAAAGATAAAGTAACTTGACCTTAAAAATTTTGGAATAAAGATGCAAAAATATATGTTAATTTGATAGCAAACAGTTTAAAAAATATTTTAGCGATATGTTGCTGATTATATAAAAACTATCAAATAAATAATATATTGATGACTTAGATTTTGAAAGTCCTAAATCATATAAGTTTTATTTTAGAAAAGATAACTTTTCAGTAGTCAAAGAGAAAAGTTTTCTTCAAAATTTAAATATATTAAAAAAATTTATTTAATATGTTTAATACCCAGGGGATTTAATAAAATAGTTTAACCTAACTTAGATTGGATATTTCCTTTTAATGAATAAAAGAAAACCAGTAATATGTTTTTCAGCAGACTATGTTAAAAAATGATATATGTAGGATAGTCAATATTTATTAAGTTCAATCATTTTATTTTATCTACAAAATTTTAAATAATTTTTATTTTCTGAAAATAATATGATTTTGGAATCAAAAACAAAAATCTAAAGATCTAAAAATTAAAAAATATCAAAGATTTTATAAAATTAATATAATATTTATATGTAAATTTATTGATTAAAATAAAAGTTAATTTAACTTGATTTTGAAAAGTATTTAAGTAGAATGAGTATTATAATATCAAATAAAGAAAATTAAGATTAAAACGTTTGATATCTTGTTTTTAAGATATATAGTTTTGTTTTGATGAATGCAATTTTAGTTTAGAAATATTTTTGTTTATTGACTACATAATATAAAATATTTATTTTGAATTCTTATGATTTCAGAAATTAAAACACCTAAAAATCCAACTCTTTTTATAACTGAATAGGATGAAAAAGAAAAGCCTTTTTAAAAATACAAAGGCAGTGGTCATCATTTTTTTTCAGATTCATTTAAGAGTCCATCAACAAAATAGGAAAGAAAATATTTATATGCAAGAAGATTCTTAAATGCATTAAAAAATAGAGTGGAGGAGAAATGTTAAATATCGAATGATTTAATAGATTTTGTAGGAGATAAAGCGTCACAGAAGCAAAAGAATGGGTTTAATTTAAACATAAAGTTGCTTTCAACCCATTTGGAAATGGAAATAAAATTAAAGTTTAAAGAGAAGATGAAAAAGTTAATAGCTTCATCTTTTGGTACATTCATATTATGGACAAAACGAATCTAATTATTTAAGCCAGAATCTCCTGTAAAAGTGATTTGGGATTTCGCATCATTAATATCTCGTTTGTACTTTTTATTTTTAATACCTCTTGATGTAGTATGGAATAAGTATTCATTTATGTTTGATATGTACAATATTTAGTCATTTGTATTTCTGTTGATTCTATTAGGAGATTTATTAGTTGGACTAAATACATCATATTATACAGAAGGAATTTTGGTAACTGATCGAAAAAAAATAGTAAAGCATAACTTTTTGAAATGTTATGGATTAGAATGGATGTCTACAATATAAATAATGATATATTTTATTTTGACATAGAATGATGATATACAGAGTAAAATAAAAGATTATAGAATAAATGTAACATTGGTAACATTTTTGGTTCATTACAGTACTATATAAGAATGTTTGGTATATTATGAAGAAGGTTTAAATCTGAATAAGAAAGCATCATCTATTTTAGAATTGATAAAATTGATAGGGACACTCTTTTTTATAGTACATTTTTTTTCTTGTTTTTGGTTTTATGTAATAATTAGTAAATTTATAAAATATAGATTGGAGAATATAGTCATAGAGTAGATGGTATGAGTTGGATGGAGAAGATAGTCGATGAGAATTGGACAGTTTAATATGTGCATTCGATGTATTTTTCAGCTGTTACAATTTTTACAGTTGGATATGGTGATGTTACCCCATAGAGTAATATAGAGAAAATTGTTTGTTGTTTATTTATTGTTTGTGCAAGTCTTCAACTTCCATATAGTATTAATACAGTTGGAATGATTGTGTAATAGATTACTGAATATGGAGAAGATAAGAAAAAAAAGTTAAGAATTATAAACTAATTTATGCAAAAGAAATAAATACCTTTTGATTTATAAAGTGAAATACGATAATATTTGAATTACTTTTGGCAATTGAATAAAGAATAAGATGCTTAAGATGTTAATGTTATAATAAATTAATTATCTGAATCATTAAGAAAGAAATTAGTCTAAGAATCAAATGCTATAATTTTGAATCAATGTGCATTATTTAGATACAAATTTACATCAGCTTTTAAGGCTGAGTTGATAAAGACTCTGAAAAGGAAGATTTTACCTCCTGAAACTTTGGTAGCTTAGAAAAATTAATTGGTATACATAGAGTAAGGGAGAATAGATTTATATGGAGATAAGAAATGTAATTTAAGACTGAGTTCTTTTTCAAAAGGATCAACATTAGGATTAATACCATTTTTATTAGGATATGAGAAGTCAGAGACATTCAAAACATAAGGGTTTTCGTTGATTATGACTTTATCTTAAAAGAAATTCTTGGAAATATTATAGAAATATCCTGCTGATTATGAGATATATTGTTAAATAAAGGATTATTTGATATTTAATGGTAGTGAAACTAGTATATTTCCTAGAAGATGTTATGTGTGTAAAAAGAATTAGCATTATTCACAAGATTGTCCTTTGGTTCATTATGTACCAGACAAAGAAAAATTAATTAAATAATTTACAATTGATAAATTGTAAAATAGAGTATTCATTTAAAGAAAATAAAAAAAGGGTAGCATGAAAAAGAATAAAGAATGTTTAGAGAAAAATGCATTTATTATTTAATAATAGAATGGTGATATTACACGAATGTATGATCTTCCTGATAGAATAGATGATCATGTTAGAATCAATAGTTTGGATAGTTATAAAAATATCAAAAAAGGATTAAATAGTAATAAAATGATGAAGATGAAATTCTAGAAGTTGGTTCGTAAAGTAGTATTAATTAATAAATCTTATCCTCATTTCATTATAAACATTTGCTAATCATTTAGAGCTTCGACAAACTATTTCAGTACAATTTCTTAATTGAGATATTTGTAAATAAGATATGACTATTTAAAATAAATAGGAGGAATTGATCTTAAATTATTAGAAACTATTGATTTCTATATTAAGAAGAATCTAGAAACTCCATTCATAACAAAATTAGAATTTGATTAACCTAAAAATTTTATACATTACAACCCTAAATTTAATTTTGAAAATGTTAAAGTTAATTTAGATAAAAATAAAATGAGAATCATGACTTAGTTTTTATATTATGTTTTTTATCCTGCTCAAATAATTAGATAAGTTAGAGCAACTAAATGTACAATTGACTTAATTACATACAAAAGAAGAAATAATGTTATAAAAAAATGATTAGTATATAAAATATTATTTTATATAACTTTGTTAATTAATGAAAGCACAACAAGCAGCAACTTTATTATTGGAAGAGACACTTTTTCAAGTAGATTTAAGAGCTGAACAACTTAAAAGTTATTTGGAGAAAGTAACTAACACAGTTAATGGTCATTCATCATATTTAAACAACTTATAAGTCCAATTAAATCAAGTACTTAAATTACAAGATGTATTTTAATCATTTCATTATTATTATTAGTATGAAACCTATCTATAAAGAACAGCCAGATCTATGTCTTTACGTGATCCAGAATTTGAATAATAGGTATCTTTTCAATTGGAAAAACCATTGGCTGAAAATGGATCAGATTAAATTGAAAATGCTATATGTATGGTAATTAATAAAGAGCGTGTATTCAGTTAAGGAATGGCTTATCTATTTAAACGAAGTAAGGATTGGGAAGCTAAACTTAATAAATTAGAGGCTGATCTTATGAAACGAGCATTGAAAGATGAATTAGATAAAGGTTTGAAAGAACAGAAAACAAAATTATCAGATCAAATTGAAGATTTAAATAAGAAAATTACAAAAAGATTTTCAGATTAGGAGAGATTAGCTACTCAAAATTAAAATCAGTTACAATAAAGTATTAATGAATTAGAGAAAAAAACATTGTGGAAAATTAGTGATTGTGAAAAATTATTGTAGTAAAGAATTAATGATAAATTTGTTGAAACTTCATGTTAAGGTGTTTATGATAGAGTGATGAGAGACATTGCCAAATAAAAAGATGAAGGAATTAAAGCTATATAAAATGAAATGGCTGAATTAAAAGCAAAATTTTAATATAATGAAGAAAAAAATTAAGACAATTTTAAATCCTTAAGAATTCTATTGAAAGAAATGAATGATACAATCTAATAGAAGTATACTCCTCTTGAAAAATTTGATTAAACTAAATAAATATTAAATGATAGAACTGTCGATTTATAAAATAAAGTTGGAGAATTGTCAAGAAAAATGGATGCTATTCTTTAATTAGAAAAATTGATACCATAAATTAAATCTATGGATGATAAAATCGCTGAATGTCAATATAGAGGTGACTAAAATAGAAAAGATATTGAAGAATTAAAAATCAAAACAGAAAATTTTGAAGGATCATCTAAGGGAGGAAAAAGTGATATTGATCCACATAAAGTATGCTCTTTAGAAGCAGACATAAAAAGATTAAAAAGTGATTATAGTGATTAAGAAAATAAATTAAGATTATTAGAAAATGAATTAAAAAGAAAAATTGATGTAAATGAACAAAGATTCCTTTAATAATTAAACCTTCTTAAGTAAGCTCCTTAATAACAATAATTATCCAAAGAAGATATTATTTCTATTATTGATAAGGAAATATCACAACCTATGAGTTTGTTAAGAGCTAGAATACTATAAATTATAGGATAAGCTTGTGGAGATAACATGTCTTTTGAAATGTTTATTAGAAATCTTTTGAATGATATTGCTGATTTAAAAAAGAAAATGGAAGGATTACAAGACCTTGATAAGAAAATGAGAAAATATATGAAATAAATGACATCAAATGATAATACTGATTTGTAAAGACAACTTGCAGAGTATATATAAACTTATATTTTAGGAAAGCAAATGAAGAAGATACTAAAGCTAAATTCACTGCTCTAGAAGAAAAATATAAAACAATGGCTGAAAATTATGGTATCTTAGCCAAAGGAATGAAAGAATTAGAAGAATTTTCTAACTATCTTCAAACATTACTATAGTAATTCTCATTTATACCTTAAGTGTTAATCAACAAGAAACTGTGAGTATCTTAACTGGAAATCATAGAGTAGTTACTTAGAGATGTTTAGTTTGCTCAGGCAAAACTAAATTAACAAAAACTGTAGATGTAATTATTATTTTTTTATTTAGAAAAGCCAAGATTTGAATTAAGCTAAATTAGTTAGGGGAGATTTAAGACCAAAAGATTTGCTTTATGAAAATTCTGAAGTTTATGAATTAAGTATACATTATTCATAAAATTTTAGATCCAAATTAAGTGAATTATACCTCAGATAATTAGAAATACGTAGGAACTACTGTTGGATTCAAATATCCTATGCTTAATCAGAATAAAGCAAGTATTAACGCATTTCTAATTTAATTTTTAGATGATCCTTCTTCTAGTTCTGGCAGAATGATTAGACCATAAAGTGCTACATAAAAAAAATATTGAATTTATTAAATACCGTATATTGATTAAAACTTATATTAACAAGATTTATAGTGAATTTAAAAAAATACAATTATTTTTTTATTTTTTGAAGTTGTTTTATTGTTTTCCAGTTCTGTAATACCTTTTGTTTTCTTATTTTATAAAAAGATTTTGTTAAAATTCTCAAATATTTCTCAAATATTTTAACTTTAAAAAATATAAACATAAAAACTCATTTAATTCATTCAGTTTTTATAGAAAGACATTTGCTTTAGCTTCTAAAGATCCTATAAGAATATATCAATAGTTTAAATTCTAAATCAAGATAAATGATACCTCTTAGAATAATCAAAGAAATGTTAACTTGAATTAATATTTTATGGCAACTGCTAAGTTTCTTCTTCAAATTATTATGATTAGGCTACAGGTAAGCTTGCTTACAAAATATTTCTGTGTTTTCGAAAGGTACTTGAACTCATGAAGGTATATTAGATAATTATTGATTAAAATAATCTTATCTCTATTCTTGGAATATTTATAACAGTATGAAGAATATTCTCAGAAGAACTTGGAAACTTAATTTATCTTATTGAATTGATTAATCAAATTGGAAATAAATTTGAGCATATCTTTAGATAAATAGTGATTTAGTATCTGATTAGATCTTTAGGAATGTGTTAATATTAACAATGTATATCAAATTAATAAATTAAGCCTTAAATTTTAGGTTTGCTGACTTTGTAATTGATTTTAAATTAATTGTGGAAGATTTTAAATTAAATAATGATANACTGGAAATCATAGAGTAGTTACTTAGAGATGTTTAGTTTGCTCAGGCAAAACTAAATTAACAAAAACTGTAGATGTAATTATTATTTTTTTATTTAGAAAAGCCAAGATTTGAATTAAGCTAAATTAGTTAGGGGAGATTTAAGACCAAAAGATTTGCTTTATGAAAATTCTGAAGTTTATGAATTAAGTATACATTATTCATAAAATTTTAGATCCAAATTAAGTGAATTATACCTCAGATAATTAGAAATACGTAGGAACTACTGTTGGATTCAAATATCCTATGCTTAATCAGAATAAAGCAAGTATTAACGCATTTCTAATTTAATTTTTAGATGATCCTTCTTCTAGTTCTGGCAGAATGATTAGACCATAAAGTGCTACATAAAAAAAATATTGAATTTATTAAATACCGTATATTGATTAAAACTTATATTAACAAGATTTATAGTGAATTTAAAAAAATACAATTATTTTTTTATTTTTTGAAGTTGTTTTATTGTTTTCCAGTTCTGTAATACCTTTTGTTTTCTTATTTTATAAAAAGATTTTGTTAAAATTCTCAAATATTTCTCAAATATTTTAACTTTAAAAAATATAAACATAAAAACTCATTTAATTCATTCAGTTTTTATAGAAAGACATTTGCTTTAGCTTCTAAAGATCCTATAAGAATATATCAATAGTTTAAATTCTAAATCAAGATAAATGATACCTCTTAGAATAATCAAAGAAATGTTAACTTGAATTAATATTTTATGGCAACTGCTAAGTTTCTTCTTCAAATTATTATGATTAGGCTACAGGTAAGCTTGCTTACAAAATATTTCTGTGTTTTCGAAAGGTACTTGAACTCATGAAGGTATATTAGATAATTATTGATTAAAATAATCTTATCTCTATTCTTGGAATATTTATAACAGTATGAAGAATATTCTCAGAAGAACTTGGAAACTTAATTTATCTTATTGAATTGATTAATCAAATTGGAAATAAATTTGAGCATATCTTTAGATAAATAGTGATTTAGTATCTGATTAGATCTTTAGGAATGTGTTAATATTAACAATGTATATCAAATTAATAAATTAAGCCTTAAATTTTAGGTTTGCTGACTTTGTAATTGATTTTAAATTAATTGTGGAAGATTTTAAATTAAATAATGATATGTTATGATAAAAGCACTGAGTAGTTGAGACAAAAAGTATTTGATTTAAGGTATGTTTATAAATGGGTGGATTTAAAAATTGAGAATGATGAAATAAAAATTTAATAACATTACTAAAAATAAGTTTAAAATTAAATTTATATATTGCACATCTCCAATCAAATCACTTTTTCTTTCCTGATGCTAATTTAGACTCTGTAAAGATAACATATTGATTGACTAATGGATCATACTTTCTTAGAATCAATTTAGAGCCTACTTTCCTTATTTTAATAATGGTCCAATTACTTTGTGCTCTTCTCTCCATAGTAATAGAAACCTGTACCAGCCGAACTCACTAATTTAAATAGTAATGTTGTCTTTTTGCCCATATTTTTAATATAAATTTTAATATTGATAATAATTCACTTTTTCATGATTAGAAATATTGTTCATCTAAAGCAGGTAAAATTTTTCCTTTACATCTACCAAATCCAACACGATTTCTAAAATAAATAATATTCTTACTCTCCATCTCCTGCATATCCTCTCATTTCAAGGACATCTCCATCCTCTAAAAATAATCTTTATTCTCCTGATTTCAATACAAGAGGTTCTTTTCCATTCCATGTATATTCCATTAAACATCCTCTTCCATCTTTAGTAGTACCTGAGATTGTTCCTGATCCAAAAAGATCTCCAGGTTGAATATTACATCCAGTAATTGAATGATGAGCAATTTATTGATTGACACTCCAATACATATATTTAAAATTGCTAGTAGTAAAATGTTCTAATTCTGGACTCTTTTCTGTTCCTATTAATACCTCTAATCTAATATCAAAAGAAGTATGACTAGATATAGAATGCTTTATTACTTCTTTTCCTTCAAATATACAAAAGGTTCTGGATCCTATTCTGGTAATTAAATACGGAATGGATCTAAGGCTTCAATTGTAACAATCCAAGGTGAAATAGTAGAAGCAAAGTTTTTAGCACCAAAAGGACCTAGTGGAACATATTCCCACACTTAAACATCTCTTGCAGACCAATCATTTAGAATTACAAATCCAAATACTCTATCTTCAGCTTAATTCACTTTTATTGGTTCACCCAAATTATTTGGAGATCCTCCTATTACAGCTCCAATTTCTAATTCATAATCCAATCTCTTGCATTTTGTAAAAGATGGTTTCTCTGCTGTTGGAGCCTTAACCTATCCCCAAGGTCTTCTAATATCAGTACCATCAATAACTATTGATGATCTTCTTCCATGATATCCAACTGGTAAATAGTACCAATTTGGTTGCATTGCATTATCTGGTCCTCTTATTATTGATCCCATATTAAAAGCATGATTCTTAGAAGAATAAAAATCTGTGTATTCTCCAATTGTTATTGGCATATGATTTTTAGCTACATCATTATAATCAATTACTATCTTAAACTGGTGTTATAATCTAACCCAAAGCTTCTTAATTATTTTCTAATTGACTCCCACATGAAAATAAAGACTATATCTCAGATCTCACTTCCTTCCAATATGGTCTTGACAGAGATACAAATTTGTTTAAGTTTCCTTCATCAAATACTCTTGATCCTAAAGTAGAAAACAAAGGTCCCTTAAAATATCCCAATTCTTCCAGTTTAGCCAAATTTATCACAGAATCCCCTATTTCATCAATCTAATTCAATTACCTATGATTGTAGCTGGATAAGGATTCCCATTAACCTTAGAAGCTACTCCAAAAGGTATGTTTTTAATTGTGAAATCAGAATCCTTTGGAACAAGGAGAAATGCTTAAATTGCTTATTGCATTAATACGTAAACAAAGATATTTATTATCATTTCTCTTTACACAGATTATTTATAAAGAGTATTATTTAATCATTTAAGATACTCATACTCTAATTGATATCAAATTAAACTATAAATTTTAGTATAATCCTTATAATATGCCTAATTATTCCCAGCCTATAATATTTTACTAAAATTTTAGTCATTTCTTAACTTTTTTAGAACATTAAGTTAGTTGATTAGAAGTGCATATTTACATAAATATATGTTAATAATTCAGATTGCCTCGTATTAAGGTGGATTCTTTGGATCTGCCTTTCTTTTCTTATAAAGAATTCTATAGCCACATTAGCATCTCACTATGTCTTTGGCTTCTAGTTATACATCCTTTCCACACTCTAATCTAATCTATTGAACTTACTTCCACAAATGTAAACAACTCTAGATGCGTCTTATATGTCCATTAATTAATTTATTTAAATATGTATTCATTAGAACAAATTACTAAAATTCGATAACTCATTAACAATTATCTTTATAAAGCAAAGATGTTTGATAAATTAAAGTAAAAAATTGAAAGTGAAGAAATAAAATTGAAAACTTAGATAATGAATTATTGATCTAATTGCTTAGAGAAGTATATCTAATTCATAATCATATCTAAGAAATCGATCATCTATATAAAATTGATTATTTTAATAAATAAAATAGAATAGTAAGATCAAATGGAATTTTAAACTTTCATTTTTACATTCAGATTGTATTAATTTTCAATAAAAAAATTTATGAATTTACAAGGGCAACTCTTGCTTAGATTTTATTGAACCTGATATTTCTAAATTGTAATTATAATTAAGATTTTGTGAATATTTGTATTGAGTAAAATATGAATTTAATAAAACTCTTTTTGTTTTATTAAAGAATTGACACTCAAAAGATAAATGTATTTTTTGTTGTAAGTAAATTAAATCACCTATGCATAATTTAAATAAAAAATAAGAAAAAAATTACTTTCCTAAAAATTTTACAATGGAGTTTTTAATTATGTTTTGGAAATATTAAATTAAAAATAATTTGCAAATGCTTATAATCTAATGACATAATATTAAAGAATGAATCATTTAGATATTTTTTGATTTAATTTAGAGTTATCGCCGAAAACGAGATATGTCTTACTTTCTAAAAACATATGGTCTCATAACTCTCTAGAGAGTAAGCAATTAAGCATTAAATATTGGATTGATTTCAAACTTAAGGAAAATTTGGTACCGATGAACAAAGTAGATTTTGAAGATCGTTGATCCTTAAGTTCTCTTTTTCGGTTTAATTTAGATCCTAGAAGTTGAAAAATTCATTTGAATATTCATATAACTTTTTGGGGACTTTTGAATGATCAAAAGTTTGAATACAGGCTAAATGGTAATTTAAAATGAATAATATCAAAAACGTTCATTATTTTTATAAAAAAATAGGTTATACCCTATATTCAAAGTTTTTTTATTCAAATAGAGATTTCTTAGATTTCCAATAAACAAAGATGTTTTTAGGAAATTAAAACATCTTCAATTGGTCAGGAAGCACTCACTGCAAGAGCAGACCAAACATATCATTCTGTAAAAATTAGAATTGAAATTATCTAGAAGGTTTTATGCAGTTAGGGTTTTGATTCTTAAAATTGTTGGAATTTTATAATAACTTTAAAAATAAAAAATAAAAAATCGAGCATTTATTTCAATATTTTTTTCTTACATTTAATAATGTACCTTCTCTATAGTCACTTTACAAAGAGAGATCAAACTGATTTTTGTAATAGGGTAGTTTTTCTTCCTAATCTATTTAAGATTAGCTTTTGAGAGAGTTGTAGTGTTTTAGTTCTTGATTATTATTCTAAGGCTCCTACAATTATTCATTGATGTTGATTTTTTGATTGCCCTTTTTTTTGTTTCTAAAACTCTACACCTTCCTTTAACTTGTTTATTTAATACTTCCAATCATATGATTCTTTGGGGCACTCTAAATACTACTGCTATGTTGCATTATTGAATTCAGATTTAAAGAATTATTAAATTGTTAAGAAAACTAATTAATCATCTATTTTTGTGTCATGTTATCAGATTCTGATATATCATCATCAAATTCAAAATTGTTGAAGCTATATTTCAAATAAAGTAAATACTTCTATTTGCTCTTTTTGTCATTGTGAATTGAAATTTCATCGCTGTCTGAAAAGTTGCCTTCCCTACAAATCTTCTAAAAAATTAATTTGGAATAAGACTCCCATGTCTTAAATAAAATGAGGACAGTTAAATAGTCATGCAAAATATTAAAATTAGCTTTAAGTTACTTATTTGGACTTATATTCGATCTCTCCAATAATCTATTTTTCCTATAATACATTAATCTTAATTGCATCTCCTTATTGAATTATTTGATTTTGAGAATTGAACTCTCAGATCCTTCTTTAAAAACTTCATTTACAAAGCATCTTCTAAAAAGTTCATACATCAATTAATTGTACTGAATAAAACCATAATGATCACTATTTATAATGAAATAATAGTTACCATTATAGCTTAAAGCTTGATGCTAATTTTGCCACATCCCATAAATTTTCTTCTTTTCCTCCCCCTAAAGGTTTTCCAATGTCCAAAAGAAACTTACACAAGAACTTATAATTCATAGCTTGTCCTTAAGTTTCAGAGGAGTATTTACACCAAACTGTTTTAATTTTATCAACATTTTCAACATAAGTTTGAATTAGAGAGTTTTACAATTAAAAGAATTATTCAAATTATTCAATCAATCCAAGAACAAAAAGATTCAACAATACATAATTTGACAAGAGCATAAAAAGGAAAAAGAAATACTAATTGTTCACACTACCACAATATTTAGGATCATGGAGACAAAGAGGATTATGTTACATGGTGTCTGTCATTATTGTTCTCCAATCATCTCCTGAAGCACATTTGAATAAAGCTAAGAGTGCTTAAGCTACATTTTAGAAATTTATTTAATCATCCATCACTGCTCCACTATCTATTTAACCATATAACTAACAACCTATCAAAGCAAAGATTAGCATTGCGATCATTAATATTGTAAATATTTTACCTAAAAAAGGCAATGCAAATACCATTACTCTCATTAATCTTTATAAATTTATTAATCCCTAAAATATAAGGATAACTCTTAGACTTCTAAGTGAAAAGAAAATTCTTAATATCTAATAACCTTTATCATATGGAGTTGATCTATAATAAATCATTATCCAATCCATTGAATAATCAGCAATAAAATCAACTATTGATACCAAAATTAAAACAAAGTAAAATTTTCTCCAATAATTATCAAAAAATCTACCAACACCTAAGGCCAAAAATAATAATATAATCCAAACTACATATAGTACAGTTAAAGCATTATGAACATTATTAACTGCTCTAAAATAATCTTCACTCATATCTGATTCAAATAACAATAAAATTATTAAATCTAGTATGAGCATGAGATACATGAAAATCAATAGATAAGAATTATTCGTTATATCTGATGCAAATTTTCTTATACCATTTGTAGGAGGAGAACTAAATATTGGAAAATCTTTAATAATGATTGAAGAGATTTCTTGGAATTCCTTTTAGGATTAAGTCACATCAGTCATTTCTATTTTCTGCTAATTTTCCTTTAAATTTGAATATAAAACTCCTGTAAATAAACTTAAAAAGAACATTGACCCTATGAACACAAATATTATAAAGAAAAAATAGGTGTAAATATAACTATTAAATGCCTAAGGCCCTATGTTTGATAATTAACTATTCTCTGCTACTTAATAAATTTCTCCCCAACCATCTAATGTTGAGGTTACAAACAGAGTTGGGATTGCAACTGTGATGTTATCAAAATTATGTTTATAATTAATCCAATGTCTATCTTCTTTAATACATTAATCAAAATTAATTTCAAAATTCATTTTATCATCACAAAAGCCAAAAGAACCTTCATAAAGAATTATACCGTAAACTCCAAACATGATCCATACTGATAACATTGTAATTAAAACATTTGTGATATCAACTAAAGAGTATCCAAGAGCTATTCTTAACTAAGTTAACCAACTAATCCGAAATAATAGTTTCATAGGTCTCAAATACCCAAAATATAAAAAGAAATCTAAAATTTACGAGTAATCTGATGTACCAAATGTTATAAAATGGGATATCATATATATAATGTCCAAAATTTACCATACAGAAATGAAATAAGATCCTTTATCTAAAAATAAACCTTTAGCTATGACATTAATTAAGATATCAATTGACATCCAAACATTTATTATGAATTAAATGATATTGCATGTTTTATTTGAGCTATCCTCATAATCGTAATAGGTATTCATAATAAATGTCACCATAGAAGCATATAAAACTAAATCCATAAAATACACATAAATAATCGATGTGGCAATCTTAGTACAGACTATTCTTATGATATTTTCTTTCCCAAAAATATAGAGAGAACTCTAGCATTCAATCCCAACATAAAGTTTAGGCGTTTTATTCAATAATTCTTTATTTAATTATTCTAAACTAATTAATTATTAAATAATTACTGATAGATTTAAAAAAATTGGTAATCAAATCAACTTTAGATTTGGTTTAATTGTTTTCTAATATAATATGAGTTTAACTTCCTATTGGACTAAGAATAGTTTATTAAACTTGCTTCTCAAGTTCTTCATTTGAGTTTTGTGTTATTTCAGCATGTTATTGATCATTAAACAAGGGGGCATTTTCAGTTGATTAATTTAAATATTTTCCAAATCCATCTAATAAAACAGCCATAAATAAACCATATGTTAAATAATTTAATATTATAACCATTGAATATGAATATATTACAGCAAAAGTATAATTTAATTCACTCCCCATAACATAAACTCCATACCAATCATCATTGGTCATGATGTTAAATATCGTCATGAAAGCCTTAAAAATATTATCATATGAATGTAATTATCCTAAAGTATCAGTTTAATCAAATTCACCTGCAAACATTTCCATGCCAACCAAAGCATACATAAATATTACAAGAAACATTAAAAATGTCAGATAAATATATTATTTAAATGTCATTGAAGCAATATGTCCAATTCTAACAGCCATTGCGTTATATTTTAGACATCTGTAAAATAACAAACATTTTGTTCCTCTGATTAATCTTAAATTTTACTCACCAAAATCATTTAACAGATCTTTTATTGTTAATTCAATTATATTCAAAATCACTATTGCTGCTTAAAACACATAATTAGGATTACTAGTAAAATCTTTTATTTTTATTGAAGTTACTCGTAAAAATAACTCGATTGAAAGTAATACAGTTGACACATTCTCAATTTAATGAATAGTATTAGAGTCTGCAATATTCCAGAGTGAAAGAAATGTAAAATTTATGAATATTACTAAATCAAAACAAACCCTACTGATTGAACTTGTTATTATGATATTTGCATATTTAGTAAAGTTTTGAATTTTCCCCTTCAAACCTTTCATCCATATTAAAATATCTCTTTAGTTTAATTATGCAAAAATTAGATTGAAATATTCAAGGTTTTTCGTATTTAATACTAATATATCCTTTCCAGACCAATTGCTTTTGGTAATTATTTTTCCAGACTGTAATTCTTTTTCCCGTAATTTTCGATATTTAAATTAATTGCTAGTAAAATGATTTTTTATTATTGGAATCTTTAAATTAATTTTATCTTTTATTTCATCATAATTTATATAGTATCCTTATACATATATCAGAGCTTAGCCGTCTACAATTTTAGCAAACTTTTTAGATTTTCTTTTCTATGAAACTTTTTTTTACAAATTCAAATTCAAATTTTAATTTTAATTTTTCTATTCTGGAGATTTTTCAGGCATATCATAAGAGTTCTTACTTGTTTCTTCTTACTCTTTTTCTTCTTATTTAAATTATATATTCCATTTAGGTTGTCTTTTTTTGAGGGGGAAATAACTTCTCTACAATTATTTTTATTATTAAGCTTATTTCTTTATTTGTTTAATTTAATTTGACCAATTTGGATATTAATGTTTAAATTTTATTTTTCTCAGTTTTTCAGGATTGAATTTTTTTTCTTCTTGCAATGCCAAATCTATCTAACTAATAATATTTTATAGATATACATGAATTTTAATAAAATGTCATTTTAACTAGAATAATTTTATTCCAATTAATAATTGACTTAAGATTATAAACAAGAGTAAGATGTACTTAATAATTTTTAAAGAATCTCCAACTCTAATGGATCCTCTGAATAATGTTTGATATTAATTTTTAATTATTAAAATTTTAGCAATCTAAATTTTCTTAATAATATGTTTTTCAAAGTAAATTATTATATTTTAGTAAATAAACTTTAGTTTTCCAAACTCTAATTTATATTTAAAATTTAATACATATTGACCACTTAATTTTTTTTAAGCAGCCGATAATGTTCTTGCTTCCTAAATATTTTTATTCATTTATGATTCTGATTCTAAATGTTAAGTCATTAGAATCTTGCTTTCAAAACATTCCCTATACTTTTGAATAGTTGAAAAAAAGCCAATATATCTTAAGAATGCTACATCAAATACATTTATGAGTTCTCTCTCTGGATGCTCTTAATTATCCTTTATTAATTTATTAATTTCTGCCTCCTCTTGTTTTTTAGAACTTTCTTCTGCAGCCTCTGCATAATGTGTTTTAAGAACAGCAATAACTAAATTGAATCCGAAAAATCCACCTACAAAAATAATTAATAAATAATAGATCCAAATCCAAGGATGAAATATTCTCATTGTAAAAAACATTACCCAACTCCAATCATCCATTGTTATTGTTCTTAATATCTAACCATATGAAAATATAACATTATTAAATGATGTTGGCATCTTAGGAGTTTCATTTGTAAATTTACATATCATACCATCTTCATAACATTAATTTTAATGACATTATATCCAACCATCTACTTCATCTCCATTTTCAAATACACATCTATAATTGAATAATCCTTGAAATAGAAATACTCCACATATTGCAAAAAAAAGAGAAAAAAGACCGACTATCATTAAAGCTTCAATCAAAAATTTTATTGATTATTTTAAAGCTTTTAACATTACTTATAAATCATGAAAAATATCTCCCAAATAAAATAACAGTGTGATCATTCTCAATGGTGAAATATCAATGATAAATATTTCTGGATAATAAAGATTTATTGTAGTTGCGAATATTAAAGTGAAATCATAAATATCTTGCATTCTGAGAAAAAATGCATTTTTTGTAAAAAAGATTCCTGAAACTAAAATTCTCACTATAATTTCAATAATAAATAATATCGTTACGGCTTATTCTATTTCAAATGTATCTTCTCTATGTTCTGTCTTTACTACAATAAAAAGGGAAACATTAAACAATATCAAAATAGTCATCAAAATTTTATATATCCTACTATTCATCATGTCGTTTGCTAAAATAGGAAATATCAATGATAAAAAAACAACTAATTTTCTAAATTTTAAAAATTTAATGTTATCTTAATATTTCTTAAAATTAAATATAAATTTACTTTTAATTCATAAAATAATCTATTGATTCCTTTCAATGGTACTAATTGTATATAAAATGGATCCTAAAATGGATTGCGTTAATAATATTTTTCATATCTTTTCACTATTTTTTCATAAGCTCCTTCATTCTCAAAGTGATCATCTTATTCTAAAGCAAAGAGTTCTGCATATTTTGATAGTTTTTCATGATTTTTTATTTCTGAAATTTCTTCATCAAAGTCCGCTTTAAATTAGTGGTTCTTATCATTTAATATTTCTATAAATTATTTCGAAGTTTTTTTTTATTCTAAATTAACAAATTGAATTGTCAGTATGGATTGTTCTGAATACTCAGAGGAATTTAATTAGTATTCATCATACTCCTCTAATTCTTTTTCTTTTTAGTTTCTATTTTTAATTTATATATAACTTTTTTTGAACAAAGAACGAAGAATGCGAATGAAGTGATGAATCAATTGATGATTTTCGATTTTATTTTTCTTATTTGTTTATTTTGGAACAAGAGTCTTATTTAGCTAATTGAGTACCAGCTAAAACATATTCTAATAAATAAAATACATTAAATATGCTAAATAATGCTCTACTTTCTCTAAGCCAATTCTTTCGAAATTGTTAGTCGTTTTTTAAGGTTTCTTGGCTGATGTAACAGATTCATAGAGAATTATAAATAATAATTTAATAGTTATTGCTATTTAATATTTTCAAACAAATGTGTAATACAATTTTATATTTCAGAGAAAGTTGTTTAAATTTGTTTATAAAATCAATAAAATATTGCATCCTCTTTGTTTCTTCTGTATTTATAAAGCTCTAGTAATTCAGATTTGATAAGGAGAAAAACTAGAATAGAATAGGAATTGCTTATTATAAATATCTTATATAGAAATATCAATTATTATCTTAATTAAGTTATTGTAATGCTTGTCTACTAGCATTTTCTAAAATTCTGATGTTTTCTTTAAATTTATCATTGGTTTCTTCAAGCATTTGTCTTTTCATCTAATAGTTTTATAATGATGAAATACTTGTATGATTTATTTTTCCTCTTCTCTTTTTTTTAATTAATTTTAAAATTATTTTTTAATCATATCCATCTCGCTTTTTGATTCATCAAGATATTTCTTTTAATCTTATAAGTATTTTTTGACATCATCAATCTATTTGTCATCTATAACTCTATTGAATCTATTTAAATTAAAGTTTAATTCATCAATTTTTTTTAAGTTTTAACTCTTATTTATAATTTAGTTAATCATTTTATCTTAAGCTTCAAAAATATAGTTATAATTTTTAAATAACTCTGTCAAGTTCTTACAAGCTTTAATTTTGCCACCTTCAGCTTCAATTTCAATTTCATCTTCATTTAATTAAAGTTCATATTATTAATCAAATTTTTTCATTATATCTTTAAATGTTTAAAGATTCTCTTGTAACATTTAAATAGCTTATTTGCCATTAGTTTCTAAAGGAGCTTTGTATAAATCACTTTTGAATTAATGCATATTTTATTAAGGATTTTCCAATTCTTATGGAATATTATCATTTCCAAAATCTAATTTTCTTCTTTTAATAAACACATCTCTTCTAATTTAAAGTATTTCTCCTAATTCATAATGAATCTTAACTAAATTTTCTCTGAGTTACTCATTTTCTCTGAGAAGTTTATTATTAACTTCTTCCCATTTTTTCATAACTAACTGACTAAATTCATATTCTCCATTAGCTGCAAAAACACTTGGTCCTCCTTATTCAATTGTTTAGGTAACTTCTAAACAATTTTTATAAGATTTTGAAGTTTGTTGTTTTTTAAAATATTCTTTTAATTTTTAAATTTCTAAATCTCTTTACTTCAATTCATGTTCAAATTAAGTTGATCTACTTTATAATTTGTATAATTATTTTTACAGATCTTCTCTCTCTAACATTAATTTATTACTAATATAGATTTAATTTTAATACATTTATTCTTTCTGTGTTTTTTCAGTACTCTTAATTTTAGCTAATAAAGTAGCATTTTCTTATTCAATTACTTTTCGACTATTTGATATTTTTTCAAAATTTAAAGTTAATTGTAATTTTTCAGCTTCTATTTTATTAATTTTTTCATGATAAGTATTTTTGAAGTCCATGTCTTCTCTTCTTTATTTAATAAATGCAATCAATCTATTTTACGATTAATATTATATTACACTTTGACAGTTAGATCAACTTCAGAATTAGAATTACTATATAAATCACCTAAACTTGGAAATCCCATCATGATTAATTTCTCTCTGATGTTATTAATTTGATTTTGAAGAAAATCTTTTTTATATTCATCATCAAATTTAGTTTCAACAAGCTATTCTTCTTGACTTTCTTAAACCTAGAAAGAGTAAGCATTACAGATTTATGGTTCCTAAAACTTTTCATCAAAGAGATATTTTTTATAGGTTTCCATATTTGAATTTAATAATAATAATTCATACAGTCAATTAAGTCCAATCTCAATAATATTTAGAAGCATAATTTCCGCTTATTTATGTTGATTCTTTAAATCTTTAATAACCTTATTTTTCTTCAAATTAAACTTTTTTAGGTTATAAAGAAGATGATTTTTGTTTACTCTTCAAACTAGATTCTGCTGAGAATTCAAAATTGTTTTTATGTGGGAATTATCTATTCATAGTTTAATTTTGAGAATTATCTCTTTCAACAAATCCAAATCGAGGTTATTCATATTAAACAGGTTATGGAACAGGTTATTTTTCAACAGCTTAAGAAAATCGGGTGAAACTACTATAAATAGTAGATTATTATGGTTTTTCTACAAATTTAGTTTCTTATCTTGGTTAAGGAGATGTAGTCTTTACTCTAACTCTTCTATTATATAATTTAGCATATTTAATAGATTCTGCTTTTACTTTTTCTTCCAATCTCTATAATTCTTCCAAATACCAATCAATTCCAAGAAAATATTCATAATTAACCTACATAGTTTAATAAATACTTTGTCTTCCTTTTCATCTCGAAAATAAATAACAAGCTTTTCGACTTCTTAAACAGACATGCCCAATTCTTAATGCATAAGATATTTAAATTTTACTATAGATAACCAACCTTTGTTATCTGGATCATATTTTTTAAAAATAGCTTACAAATCTAATTATTTCAAATATCTTCGAGCTTTTAAATCTATAATTGAAAACCCTAAATATATTAATATTTATTATTACATAAAGATCTAAAAACTTTAAAATAAACTTCCTTTGCAGCTCTTCTTTATTCTTGATAATCCCCAAAATTAGCATATTTATCTTTCCTCAAAATTAAGTATTCCTCTTTTGGATACCCAAAGAAATGTTAACAAGTTCCAAAAACTTTCATTTTAGGTAATTCATTTGTGAATCCAGTAACTTTAGTTTGAATAGGATTAATATTTACACTCTAATTAAACTTCTTCATAAGGCTTAGTATTAAGTGCACATTATTCATTTATAACATCAATGAAACACCCACAAAATGTACATATCATGCATAAACTATCCAAAGTATTTACAACTTTCTTAAGTAATCTTACCCAATCATAGATTTCATCCTCAATTTTAATAAAGAATTCCTCTTTTATTCTTTATAATGATTAAATCTTTTCTTGACGACATTTCCATATCACTTATTTTTTGAATTCAATTTATTGTTAAAGTAATTCAGAATTTTTTATTTTTGTTCTGAGATCAAATAATTCTCTTGGGAGATCAGAAGGATGTGATGTTATTTCAGCTATCAAAGTTATAATGTTTTAAATACTTTTAATTATTATACTAAGTAATTTCATGGTTTATTGACTTAATGTCTTTGATATAAATAGTAAAGGTAACACATTCTAATCTAAAGCCAAATATTCAAATGTATGAATGAAATCATCAATAGAATTCAAGTGTTTTTATAACCAAGCTATATCTTTTTACAATACAGCTGTTAATGTGCCAGATGAATCATTTAATCTCTTTAAAATACCTCCTTCAAATTCCATATGTATATCCTTGACTATAGTAGCCTTGACTTCTGTAATATGTTTCATTCTATTTTCTATTTTCTCTAATTAATCTAATAGTATTTCTTTTTTATTTCTCATGGCAGTTTCGATTCTATCTTTAATGAATGCCTATCTTATTGTATATGCATCTTTAAAACTAATTATTTTGTGATTCTTTGTTTGATGTGGTCCATAACTAACACAGTCATTACAAACCAAATCTTTACAAGTTTCACAAAATAATTCTGTAACCTTTTCATGATGTTAACATTCTCTATTTTAATTCATTTTAATAATTATTTTTAAAATGAACGATTCTATTGATTCTGGATATTCATTCACTCCAAAATAATAAAAGAAGCAAAGCTCTATTCCTTTTTTAGTTAGTGAAGAAGTCAAGAAGATTATCTCTTTTAACATGACTCCTTTTAAGGATAAAGTGCATTATGAACAAATCAAAACTCCAATTACAGAGGGTTACGATAGAAAATTGTAAGATGCTATTAAATAATTGGAAATTGAAGAATTGATTACAGATCCTATAGATTTCTTATGTCGAAATACTACAAATAATATTATTTGTTCACTAAATTTAAATACAATTTAACGATCAATTTTATTTTAATTACTCTCTATTTTAGTAGATGGATTAGTTGTTATTATTTCATATAATTATGTATTACTTAAAGAAAAATTAAGAAGAATTCAAGATATAGTCTCTTGGGCAGCTATAAATCCTGAAGTTCCTGATCATTAAATTGAATTCATTGTTAAAAACATTTCAAGTAGAAATATTAAATTATTAATTGTACATCCAGAATAAGTTAATCTAATTGATTTATCCAATCTAGATATCAAATTACTTTTGTTAGACTAATCAAATTATTATTTATCTTTTTTGGAAATTGGTAAAATTTAATCAGATTTAACAAAATACATATCTAAAGCTAACGCTGAATTCATCCATATTCTTTTACCTATTACTCAAAGTGTATTTATATAAGATCTTAGATAATTTTAGCCTTTCTAAAGAATCTATTTAACTTATAGAGAGTAATTTTGTTTGATAATATCATTAGATCATTCTCTCCTAAAACTTAAATCACTTGTTCTAAAGATGAAAGTCCTATTAAATCATTGATTTCATTACTTAGAAGCTAACGACTTTACAAAAAGACTGGCATTGCTATTTTCTGTCATAATATTAGTGCAGTTGAGTCTATTTAGTTTACTTTATAATAAAATGGATTTAAGAGTAATTCAATACATTCAAAGAAACCTGAAAATTAAAGACAAGCAAGTTATTATGATTTCGCATCTTAAAATATAGATATAATAGTATTACCAAGTGGATTTCAATTACCAGAAGGATTGAAAAATTTTATTTACCTTTCTGTTCATTTATATTTGCCATTAAATATTGAAACATTCATTTTAGATATATCTGAATTAAATAGTGAAGCCAATTCACATATATTTTTATGTGATGAATATTATTTTACTTAAAGGGCTGAGATCTGTGCTAATTTTATTCAAATTGAAAATCTGGCTATCTTTATGCAAGAATGTGTTTATACAAATGATTTAATCTCAAAAGATGAAAATGATATTACTTATTGGTTAACTAAGAAATGGTTACATTTATAAAATTAAGAATAATCAGATATGAAAATAAAAAAGATTTAATTAAATGAATCTTCTATGAATTATGATTTTAGTAAAAAATAAATCTAATTTTTTCTCTAAGAATTGGAAAAAGAAAAATGGTTAGAGATTTAAGTTGCTGTACCTGTAGAATTAATTATATCATAATTACCAGAAGATGAGTAGATTTCTCAGAATATTTAAATTTATGGAAAGAAATCTGGTAGTCTTATTGGTTATAAATGTTAAGTTGATGATTTACTTAAAGGATGTATGATGACACCTATTTAATTAATAAATAAATTAAAATAACAAAAAGTTAAATTTGAAATTTCAGAGGAGGCATAGATAATAAAGTTAATACATTTTCCATCATAATCTGAATTATAAGCAAAAGTTTTGGATATTTATTCTGGTATCAAAAGATAAAATATCATTCGAATAAATAATTTAGATTAAATGTACACAATGGCAAGAACAGGATCCTTTAGATCTTTAGAATATATGTGGAAATAAATTTAACTCTAAAAAAACTCAACATAATTAATTGATTTTATTTAATAATATTTAGATTAGAATATTTATTCTGATTTAACAGGACATAATAATTTACCTTTTATAAAACTTGAAACTTAAAGAGAAAAGTCAACTCTTTTGTAAGATGTCAAGGTATTTATTATTTATAATAATTTAGTGTATAATAAATTTTTATAATATACTCGATTATGGATTATCTTGGATATAAAAAGAAAATAGTGCAACTAAAATTTTAGTTATATTACAAGGACTTAAAACAAATAAAAAAGAATTAAAATCATTGCATCAATGGAATAAGTACAGATAATATAATTATATAAAAATACATGAGATGATTCATGAATAACTAGAGTAATTAGAAACCAAATTATTATGTTAAAGAAATAAAAAAATTAAAATTTGATATTTTAAATATATATATCTATATATATATATATCATTATATATGAACAGGAAAACATTCAAATGTGTTTAAGTTAATTAAGCAGATTGTTCCAGTTTCAGAAAATGCTGGTATACTAACAATTCTAACTTTTTCAGCAACAATTTTAGTTCCAAAATTTTCCATATTTCCAGCAAAGTAAATATTGGGTAATTCTTCTAAAATAAATGGATCCTAATTTTATAATGGATATGAACTTTAAAGTTTAAATAAATGAATACATTAAAGTATCTGGAGCAGTTGGAGCTAAATTTCCATAAAATATTGTCATCTCTAATAAATCTATATCTAATTAATCTTTAATTAATGAACATCTTTTAATATCTGATATATTTTATCCACTTGTTCCAAGAATCTTAATATCTCCTAATGTAAATTCAGCTGGATTAGTTAAAAAAATAAGTTAATTTTTTTATTTAAATGTTTCTGAGAAATATGATTTATGTAAAGGAGTCTATGGAAGCATTTAAGAAACTGGATCATTAGGACCTGGCATTATCGCTACTGGTGTAACAGATGCTAATTAACTAATTAATTCATCAACTGCTTTTATGTTTATTTATAATTTGCTCTATTAACCTTTAAAATCTTATTAAGGTTTTAGCGTTTATTAATCAGTAATCTCTTCTTATTTAGAATATAAATTTCCAACAAATATTACTTATGAAATATGATATGGAATCTAAATTATTTTATTAAATATTACCTCTCTTCCTTCACCACTATAAAGATTGCCTTACAAATAGTCAATCATGTGTCTATATTTTGTTGTACTTTCTGAGGCATTATAATTTAATCCTGATATTAAGCAGACATATGAAGTCAAATTTAATGGCTTCAACATAGGTGTTTAAGGTAGATTAGGCAAATATATTCTTTCAACCTTTACTATATTATTTGCTACAATCTATCCTTCAATCATCAAAGTAATTCCTGTTATTAGATCTGAAACATTAACTATTTTATCTTTTTTATTTGGAAGACATAGTTAAGCATTATTAATTTATAATTTAATTCTTCCGGATCTATCTTCTAAATAGCAAACATCATCATTAGAAACATAATCTGTAGTATAAATATTTTATTTACTTTAAACAGTCTTATATGCATTCTGAGAAAAATAATATGGTTTTAATTTCATTTCTTTAAAAATAGTTCCAATTGCCTATATTGTTCCTTATTAATTTTAAATCTTTTAAATCAATTCAATGAATTAACAATCTTTACTATCAGTCTTAAATCTTTTGACTAAACTTAAATAACGCATATAATAGATGTGACAATATTGAGTCTTAATAGCTTTATTTCGAGGAGGTAAATAAAACTTTGTCGTTTATTAAATTTCTAAACCAATTCTTTCATGTTCGAATTTCTTTTCAGATTTTATTTTCAGTTTTTCAAGAATAAAGGAAACATCTGTATTTGTTTCTACATCCATATTTAAGCGGGAAATAATTATTATTATTAATAAAGTATTCATCAATTTTTCAATAGAATTTCATTATCACTCATGTATCATTAATATATTTTCTATATTCTTTTAATGATTATAAGTAACAATGAATCTTTTGAATTAATTAAAAAATTTTCCATTGATTTTTTAATACTCTTATTTATCTGCTAATTATGTCAAATTTTTGTTATAATTTTACATTATTATTAAAATCTTTTATTAAATTCTTTAATTTGTAAGATTTACAAAATAAGATGTATTTTGATATGAATTATTCAATATATGAATTAATATAACTTTCATAATAATGGTTTTCAAAAAATAAGTTATTGAATTCTGATTAATGGATATTAAATAATAAGAGTCTATTTACTGTTAGTCGTAAATTTGTTAGTAGTGTATATAATGCAATTTGAATAATTTTATATTAATTTTATTATATAATAATGCTTCCTCGAGAAAATTCACCATAACATAGAGCATAGGCATAATAATAGGATTTTAAAAAATAAAAAAGCTAACGATTCACAATCTCGAATCAAATGATGAAGCGTAACCCGACAAAATATTTAAAAGAAATGAAAAGTCTCAGACATAATATTTAATAAAGCACTTTGAGAAGTTTAAAAAATTTTCAACCTTATGAAAAGAAGGAAGAAAATTCATCAGATTCTAGTGATTATAATAATGTTGATGAGAAACCTGATCCTTTAGAAGGCAAAATAGCAGTACCTAATTTGAGTTTTAAAGAAGGGTTTTTGGTTACATTAGAATAACAAGAATAATAAACGCATAATTCTTCTGATAAAAATAGCTCTAAGGGTTTTTAAAAGCAAATGGTATTAAAAAATATCAAAAAATGTTTTGGTGATTAAAGTTCAATGAGTGAGGTTAATTCACAAGAATAATTACTTGATAGAAGACATGATAATTTTCCACTTCATGATTAAATAGAAGAATTAGATGTTTAGCATTTTGAAGAAGTGGAATATTTTTGTGAAGATCTTGATCCAAGAATTTTGAAGAAGTATTAAAAACATAAAGAACGAAATCCATTTGAAGATCCTTATTATGTAATTTTAACACCTCTTCATGGTTTGGAAAGATTAAAGCATGAATTAAAAGTAATTAAATTGGTTAAGTTTAGAATTACAATGATCATCTCAATTTCCTGAAATTAAGAAAATTCATAGTTTTTTCATGTTTGTGTATACCAATGTATTTCTAGAAAATAGTAGATAGCTACTAATTTAAAATTATAAATGGTATTTGTATAATTTGTAATCTAACTTTATTTACTTTAAGTAATTCAAATCCTCCTATTACAAATGAATAATACAAATAATTTATTTTTTATTGTTTTGCTATTGAAATATGTATAAGAATATTGGCTGCAGGAGGTATATATCCAACTTTTCATTTTTTATACAGTAAAGAAGACATTTTTAATCTAATTTGTACATTAATTAGTTTTTTGCATTATTTTTATCCAGGATTTATAACATTTGATCCTACACCTCTTAGAATAATTACAATCTTATTATATCTAGGAGATGGTTTATTGAGATTGAAATATATGTTGATAGCATTAAAGAAATCATTAATATTTTTAGCTGAAGCACTTTTTATTCTTTTAATATCTGCTTTATTCTTTTCAATTATTGGTGTATCTTTATTTTAAGGATTATTTAATTATAGATGTTTACCAATAAATGGTGATCAAGTTGATGATTGGATTTAATGTTATTAGAATAATTGTCCTGATGGTATGCAATGTATACTTTCAGAAGATACACCTAAATTACCAACTTCTTTTAATAATATCTTTTTTTCACTTGGTTAGATATTAAGAACAATAACAATGGATGATTGGAGTTGGGTAATGTTTTTTACAATGAGAATATTTCATCCTTGGATTTGGATCTATTATTTATTAATTATATTTGTTTGTGGTTTTTTTTCCATTAATTTGATAATTGCAGTTCTTAAAATTCATTATTCAGAAGCAACTGAAGAGTGTGAAGAATTTGAAAAGTTATCTAAACAAAAAAATGATCATAGTTTATAAAGATAAGAGATGTTCTTAAGTAAAGATCTTATATCTCATTTTGATTTATCATTTTTACGTTATATAGGTTTTTATACTGTGTTAAAATAACATAGATATTTGATAAGTACAACTAAACCTTTAAATGAATCCATTGAAGATAATTTTAGACCTGAAAAAATTAATAATTAATTAAGGTTACTATCCTCTAAATAGAAAAAGATTTTAGATGAAGCAAAAACTGTATTTAAATTTTATATTTTATTATAGAAACTTAATTAAAATTCTATTTGGAATAAGTTCAAAAACTTTTCACTTAAAAATTAATTATTACCTAAATTTAAAGAACTCAAAAAAGAATAGAGTTTAGTAAATATTAAATTATATTCTGATGATCCTATTGAGATTTCCATTCTATTGAAACTAATAGAGTATAATTTTACATAATTGAACAATTCTGTAAATTATCAAGTAGATTAGAAATATAATAGTTTAAAGGATGTATTTGTGTAAAAGAAAAGGTATTAATAATATAATTTTTATTAGAATTGGACATAAGGAGAAAATTAAAATGTATTATCAACATTTGTTATCAACAAAGAATATAAAATCAACTACAAGGCAACAATCTGATTTTTCATTAAGTAGATATCCAATTCATAAGAGTACTAGAAGAATTACAATTCAAAAAACTATAATTAAAAATGATGAAAGTCTTGATGTGCCCTCTCCTTAAATAAAGAGAAAAAATAACGATTTATAATCAATAATTAATTTAAAAACAAAAGCTTAACGATCTCATCCTTTTGAAATTATTAATAAAGGTCGAAAATTCCTTTTTATTTAAGGATATTATGTTGATTATGAATTATTAATGGAAAAAATCAATGTGAAAATACCTAAATTAAAACAAGATTTGGGTTCTAATGAAGAACTTTATTAATAAATTTTTTAGAAAGAGAGAGAATAAAAGATTATAAAGACAAAAAATTGGTCAGGTAATAATGTATTGCTAATGAATCCTAATCGTTTTTAGATGTTCGAAGATATATTTAATAGTTTAAATAATTTTAATTAATTAATATGGATGCCAACAATAGGAGGGAAATTATTAATTTTAAGAAGATATACACTTATAATAATAGATAATTAAATCACTTAATTGTTTTTTGATTTGATAATATTGATAAATTTCATTTTTTTATCTTTGTATGGAATAGCTGATCCAATTATTATTTCAAAATGTGAAGATGTTTCAACTGTTTTTTTATTGGTTGAAATTAGTTTGTAAATGTTTACATATCCACTTTAACGTTTTTTCTCAAGCAAGGAAAATGTTTTATAAGCAATAATAATGATTGCAAGTTTTATAGAGTTCAGTTTTAGTGATTATTTAAATTTAACAGAATAATATTTGAGATTAATAAGAGGCACAAAATGTATTCTATTTTATAGATGTTTAAAATATAATTAGATGGCTGTACTAATAGGTAAGATTGCATCAATAACATTTAAGTAATATATTTATTTAACAATATTCATGTTTATAATAATAACTATATATGCAATGATTGGAATGGATTTATATGCAGGTAATTTAGATTAAAATGATTCTTTGGGTTAATTGCATTCATTTGATAATTTGTTAAAAGCAATCATGACAATTTTTAACATAATGACTAATGATGATTGGTATGGAGTATATGTTATTGGATCTGAAATTAATACTGTTGCTGCTATCATATATTCATTTTCTATGGTTATAATTTTGAATTATTTGACTTATGGATTAGTTTTAGCTATATTGCTTGATGGATTTGGAAGATATTTAGATGAAAAGGATGAAGGTGATTCAAGTGATTAATAAATTTTAGAAAATCAAATGACATCTTTAAAAGATGATGATCTATTTAATACAGAATTGGATTCTACAAGATAATTAAAAGTAAAGTCACAATATTACTCATAAGTTTAAATATGTGAATTAGAAGAGAAAGAATAACCAAAAATAAAAGCTGATTTGATGGAGAGTCTTTTAATATCTATAAGTATAACTACGTAATTATATTAGAGTAATTAAATAAGTAAGTAATGAGATCAAATCCAAAATTATTTTAAGATATTTAATGTGAAACATCACTCTATTTATTTGAAAAAACAAGTAAAATAAGAATAATATGTTGTAATCTTTGTATATCTTCAGGATTTTATTGGTTTACAAATATAATTTTAATATGTTCAATAATTGTAATGATTATAGGTACTTATCATGACTATGAATTGGAAAAGAGTTAATATCCATATATTTTATTAATGATTTTGAATGTTTTTATGTTGATAGAAGATGTAATATGTATAATAGCAAAAGGTTTATTTTTGGATAAAGGATCACATATAAATTATTCATGGTAATTGATAGACTTAATTTATTTAATTGGATTTTTTATTGATAGTAATTAATATAATCCAATAATAAAAATTTGTTTATTTCTTGGTCATTTTAGACCTATGAAATTAATGTATAGAATTTAAAGGTTGGACAAGATAAGAGCTGCTTTAGCTTAATCACTTTTTGATATGTTAAAGATATTGGTAACTCTAGTATCAGTATGGATAATGTTTGGAGTATTTGGTATTATATTATATGAAAGTTAATTTGGATTTTGCAATGATAAAATGTAATTTGAAATTAATGAGAAAGAATGTATAGAATCAAATGGATAATGGATTAATTACAAACATAATTTTGATAATATTACAATAGCATTACCAACTTTATTTGTAGTATCAACTTTTGATGGTTGGGGTGAAATTATGTAAGTTGCAGAAAATAGTAGATAAAGTAGATATGGACCATCTCCATTTGCTACATACATATCTACTTATGCTTATTTTATATCTTTTTGTTTTGTAGGATCCATGTTCTTTTTGAGTTTCTTCACTGGAACACTCTTTTCAAAATTAAGAATCAATTAATAAAAAATTGAAATGTAGGACGCTACAAAATTTTAAAGAGAATTTACAGAAATAGCTCCTATTATTTTAAAAGATACGCCAGTCTTTTCAACTCCTCCAACAAACATTTTAAGAAGATTAGCTTCTTTTATTGTTAGTAACACACTCTTTTAGAAATTTATGTTTCTGATGTTATTAATAGATTTGATATGTCAACTACAATATTAATATGATATGGATGTGGAATATATCATAAATATTAATATAATACAAAGATTCATTATTTTATTTTATGCATTATGGATTGCGCTTCTTTTTATGTCATTAGGGATTAATAGATACTTTGATAATAATTGGAGAAGATATTACACAATTTTAATTCTAATTTCTCTTTGTGATTTGATTGCAGATTTATAGAATGGTTGGGTAATCCATTACTTTTAATCAAATGTATTCACTCCATATTATTAACTATTAAGAATAGCTTTTATGACGAGATAATTACGTCTTTTAGTCATCTTTTAAGGATTAACTAACTTATCAAGATTGATTAGAGTTATGGGTTTTGCCATTCCCTTTTTAGCTAAAATAATGTCCATTCTAGTTATCACTATGATCATATATGCTTTGATTGGATGTTAATTATTTGGTAAAATTATAGATGGTGCAGTAATTGATGATCTTATTAATTTTACTAATTTTGAATATGCTTTATTAGCATTATATAAATGTGCTTCAGGAGATGATTTTAGAACTATAATGACAGATACAATGCATCATAATCCATCTTGCCCAGAAAATCCTGATTGTTGTGGATCAGATTTTAATTAAATCTATTTTATAACATTTATGTTGTTCTCCAATTATGTTCTTTTGAATTTGTTTATTTTAGGTTTAATAGAATAATTTGAAGAATTTTTTTAAGTATAAAATTCTATGATTTAAACTTATGTTGAAGAAATAGATAAAATTAAAACTGCTTGGTGTAAGTATTCTGCTGAAACTAATGGTTAAAGTATGCATTATAAATTTTTATGTCGATTTTTACTTGATATTGGTTAACCATTAGGAGGAGGTAAAGATGATAATTTATGGGATGCTGCAAAAATAGCATCAAAATTAAATTTGAGATGGTATTATTTTATAATGAAATAGTGATGCTTGTGGGTATATTCAATATAATCAATTACTTTATTAACTCTTTAGAAGGTGTTATCATGATGAAGTATTTAAAGACGGATCCTAAGAATCAATTTAAAATATGAAATAATTCAATAAAGAAATGCAAATTCGCTTGATTTACTATAGAAGAAGCAAAACCTTACCAAGAACAAATATTAGTTAATAAACTTTGTAATTTAAATCTAATTTCAACATTCTCCATGATTATTTAAATGTTTTAATCTTATTTAAAACTTGGTAATCATACTCGGAATTGCTAGTTCAAAAAATTATGAAAAGATTAGAAAATTATACAGAGAGTGATGAAATTACATTAGATGGCAATCTCTAAAATAATCCTTAATAGTATTTTTTTGTATTCTATCTTTTAGTTGGTAACAGGTACACAATGATTTCATTAATGATGGTTTCAGTTCTAGGAGAAGAACTACGGATATTAAATTATCTGAAAATGAATTTACAGGTCATCATGTAACACCATAAAGTCAAGGATCTTAGAGAGAACCTTAATTGCCTATATATTCAACTACACTACAATAGGAAACAGATAGAATATTTGGAGGTTTTGATGAAAATGTTGTCTTAGATTGTAGAGAATTAAAATTTAAAAATTGATGTATATATATATTATCATACTTTATTGTCTTCCATTTAAATTTAAGATTATTATAATTATCTACTTTTACTAAAAAAGTGTCTTCGAGTACCTAAAAATTATTCTGAAGGAATCTATTCACATTCGAATTAAATTTCTCATTATTAATCAAAATATTACTTGCATCTTATTGATTTGAATTACAATCAGAATTAATCAATTAATAATCAAAATTTATTCCACAAAAAGTACATTATAATTTGTATCTATTTAATTCTTATTAATATTAATCTACAATGTTGTACCATTCTTGAAATTCTTGATTAGCTTATCTTTCTAATTCTTCTCTAATTTTTCGACTTTCTATTTGGGAATCATTAAAGAGTTTCCAAATGACTTCATTTTTGAAATCCATAAGTTTCTAGAGCATCTGATTTTGCTATAACAATTATCTTAATTGTATGAGATCTTAAGGCAAATCATCTGGATAAATATCAATTTATTTTTTGATTCTCTTTCTGCTTAACCTTTCTATGTTTTCATACAAATCCAAGTTTTTTTGAGAGTCAAAATCTTAGAATTGTGAGATTCTTTATTGTATAGCATCAATTTAATCAATATCTCTAAAAATTAAAAAAAAAAAATTTACCTAAGCAATTAATTTTTATCATGATACAAAATTTGTAATTTTTGATTTTCAACAGTTTTTAATTTATCTATAATGATTTCACATTCCTCTCTGGTCATATTCTCTATTTTTTAGGATTAATATTTGATTTCATCAATTCTGTTATCTATCTAATTTATCATAAATAGCAATAACCTTTTAGACTTATTCAATGATCTCTTATCTTTTAGGCAATAAATTCTAACTAACTTAATCTTTGATTCTCTCATGTCTATAATCGAATCCAGCCTGTTATGTAAATTATTATGTTGGATAATAAGCTTACTTGTAACTTTATGAAAAATATTAATCCTAATAAGGTGGACTTTTTTAGTAATATTAGTCTTAATATTATTATTAATGAGTTGTTTGATCATTCATAAATTTATTAGTTCTAAATTGATTATTATTCTTATTGACAGTATGATAATTTTCATATTAATTTTGCTACAAGGAATAATCGATAGCTTTCAAATTACCATTATTATTATTATTGAATGTTTACATTTAGACATCATCATCACAATTCGCTAAGCTATTAATTTTAATTACCTAAACTCTTGCTTTCTTTGTCTCCCATTCTACTAATTACTCTAGCAATGAGTTGTTATTAATCATTTTCAAGAGAAGGGAGAATCTTTGAATCCTTCTTCTCCACTTTAGTAGTTTTCTTCTTTTTGTCTTTTGATTTATCACTTTTAACACTTTGCTTATCTTTTGAAGACATTCGGTTAAATATAATATTATAAATAATTTAATATTCTCAATAATGTTTATGATGCAAAAAGGAGTGATCAATATGATCCTAAATGATTTAAATAACTTACAATCTTAGTGACTTAATCAAATCTTGAGCCTGTATATGGATTTGTGTAAACATATAAAAAGAAGTACATCTTGAATAATAACAGTAACACAACTTAACATCCAGCAATTAGCCATATAACAATATGTTTCTTTGCTTATATGTTTTTTTCTAGTTCTCTAAAATTTTTATGTATTTGAATTACCCCCAATAATTGACAATCAAAAACAATGAGGAATTAATCATTGCATAAATCAATGCTCCCCATTATAATTAAGGATTCGGTATTGAACATACTATACAAACAGGTATTATACAAGTTTAGGCATATGCATAAATACAGATGACAGATGATAAATGCAGATGTCTACCTCCCAACATTTTCATCACCATATATATTGCAAATGGTACTAACAATGCTATTCCAAATAATAGAGATGATGCTGTTGGTATGAAATCAAAATTATAATGAAATGCAATATTTTTTGGAGTTGCCAAGTAACCTGAAATATTTCCTGCTGCTGCTACTGAAAATACTAAAGTAGCATATATCCAAACTGGTCCATATAAATCTGCTTTCCCATCTTATATTTCAAAGAATGTTGCTTTAAATGGAAAAAACGATGCCCATAATTTTTATGCTATTACTTTTGTTGTCAAATCATTGAAAAATGGTTAATAATATTTCAATGTAAATGGAGCACAAAACATTTAACAACAAGTTGGCTCTTTATTTTAATTCTCTTCTTCTTCTATTTTATCATCAATAACATCATCCGAAACTATCTAGTTTACTATTTATTATGCTAATTTCTATGCCAACACTTATTTAGCCAAATCAGGAGGTGCTTTTATTAATTATACACTTTTACCTGATCCCTTTAATGCACTGCCATTAGAACTCATTAAAAAAAAAATATTATTATTAAAATATATATAAATTTCAGGTTAAGGAAGGCATGTTGATTTCATGATAAATCAATTCTGGTGCTAATATCATCATTACTTTATTAGTAAAAAATTATTATATTAAACTTAAACTAATCTATCTTTAAATTTATGGTTTTAAGAATTATTCAAATAAATATAATCAATTTTCATCAGAATTTATTAATTTTATTCATATCCAAAACAATGATATCATCAAGTTAAAGTCCTTATTTTTTAGAAAGGGTTGATGTCTTTTGATTATTTGAGTCTCTAATTTTATTCTAGTTATTCTTCTCCTAAACTTTCATTTTGCTCCTTTTATATTTTATTTATCTCTTTTATTTTATAAAATACTTCGTATATTTTAAATTCTAGTGATGCATTATTTCATAGAATTCTATACATCTATAAAAAATAAGTTTTTTTTCTAAGTCAAATTTTGATTGCTTCAGCTATTTTTAATTAAATAAATAACTTAATGGATAATAAAATAATCCATAACTCATAATCAACTGAATTAATATTGTAGAATCAAAAGACAAAGAATGAATTAGATGATAGCTGTTGTGAAATTAATGATAGCGATTAAAGTAGTTAAAGGATTGCTAAATTTGTGATTGGAATTTTAAAACCAGGATAAAAAAGGATTGGTTTAATTGCAGCGAATAAAAATAAAATAACCATATGTGGCATTCTAGGTATAAAAAGCCCAAAGAAGTGAAAGAACTTTATTGCTTTGAATATAACTTTTATATTTATGTTTAAATATTATATAAAACTTTATAATTTCCAGTTTTATTAAATTTTTATCGTTGTTAAATAGCTATTTATACTTAATAAGCACTATGCCATATTTTCTATTTTAATAATATTTTCTAATTATTTTTTAAGTAGAGTTCAGTGACCAAATCAAAATTCCATCACTATTAAATAATTAAAGAATTCTATTCTATAAATGGATTCAAAATAAAATTAAATTACTGAAACTTGAAATAAATAAGTAAAGTTGTCAAATGGGCTAATTAAAAATGATAAAATTTTAATTTTTAAGCTTAATTTTTACATATAATTAGCTCTTTAATTTTTTTTTGATATTCACAATGATTTATCAAAGTTAGTAAATATGTTAAGGATAACACAGCTCTGCTGACTTTTTTCACTATATACATTCCTTAAGCAAAAAAAAAAACATAATCATTATTGAAATAACTATTTTGATTATTTTCATTGTTTAAAAATGTTTCTAAAATGTTAAATTTAATAATTTGGGAGTTTATAAACAATTACTTTTCACCGTACACCATAATAATTGTGAATTATACAACAAACAAATTTTTTAAGTATTTCTAATGAGAAAATTCTGGGGTAAGAAATTGAATGACATTCAAATAAAATTTAATTATACTAAATCTTTTTTAAGTAAATTCAAAGAGCCAATAATCCTTTATTAAAATATTCATATTAACAGAATCCCTATATCATATATCACTCTAAACTCCTCTCAACTAACTTCAAAAGTGATTAAATATCCTGAAAGCCATTAAAATTGCTAATTCTTATTTATTTATGGACCCCACTGCTCAATTGTTATCCTCTTCTTTCCTTTTGCCTTCTTATGACCTGTACAGAAAGGTTATTGACAATATTTATATTTTATCTAATGCAGTGCCAGTGATATTAATTTATTACAATTCTTTTGGACTTTGTTAATGAATTCATTTAATATTTAATCCATTTTATTTTGACTTTTATTTATTTTAAGAATGAAATTGTATGAGATATATCAAAATCAAAAATGCGATATAAAGTTGGATAACAATAACAAAAATCATAAAAGAA